TCTTCGAGCACAGTCCATTGCCAAAATTAATTTTTTTTTTTTTTTTTTTTCTTCACACAGTCATTGCAAAATTAATTGATTTGCAGTGCGGCTGCATCATCCATGGCTGCTCTGAAACAGCCAACCATTCGAGTTGTGGCTATAATAGCTGAGGGTGTTCCTGAGTCAGACACCAAACAATTAATTGCATATGCACGGGCTAACAATAAGGTGACATTATGATGCAAAATCATTTGAATTGAACTGAAACAGGAGAATCATGTGATCAAACAGTGCTTTATACTTGAAATCTTATGGTGCTAGGCCAAATATATTTTCCTTGAGAATTATTCGCTGGGTATAGGTATGCATCGTAATTTTAATTTTAATGATGATGCAGGTTGTCATTGGCCCTGCTACTGTTGGAGGCATTCAGGCTGGAGCATTTAAGATAGGTGACACTGCTGGAACAATTGATAACATAATTGCTTGCAAATTGTACAGGCCTGGATCTGTTGGATTTGTCTCCAAATCTGTATGTAATCGTTCCATTGCTCCTAATTCATTGACAAGCATATTCTATGTCAAGTAACTTTACTTAGAACATTAGAGAGAATGCCATCTTTTTTTTTATCATGCTCTTACTGCAACATGTTAAAGAGTTGGCTTTATGCTGCTACATGAGATTATTGATATCCTGGGAGGAGCACATGGTTTGGGACCATGTCTAGCAATTTTGGACTTGTAATTTTGAAGTAATGATAAATATAGTCTATTCTTACTCCAAAATTCAAAGGAATATTGTTCAAAAAAAAAAAAAAAAAAAAAAAAAAATTTGTTGGACTTTTGTAATATTTGAAAAGTATATGATATAATATAGTCTATTCTCCTTACTCCAAAATTCAAAGGAATATTGTTCAAAAAAAAAAAAAAAAAAAAAAAAAGAAAAGGAATAACACTTTGATTGTTTTCTCAATGGACTTAAAAAAAAAAAAAAAAAAAAAAAAAAAGAAAGGAATAACACTTTGATTGTTTTCTCATGGACTTTGCCAAATGGTGATGTCTTGCCTGTCAGCATTTTGTTACTGGCCATGAAGTATGTTGATGTTTTGAGAATGATATCTCATTTATGATTACAGGGTGGCATGTCAAATGAGCTATACAATACAATTGCCCGTGTAACAGATGGCATATATGAAGGTACTCCTGCATGCTCACTACTTTCTTTAGGCTAGTTTAAAGCATTCAGATCTTGGTTCAGTTTGGGCATTTGTTTTGGAAATTGTTTAGGTATTGCAATTGGAGGAGATGTCTTTCCAGGCTCCACTCTTTCTGATCATGTTTTGCGGTTCAACAACATCCCACAGGTTGCTGCCATTCTTGAATTTTAACAAGAGCTCAAGCATTTGTAGTTTCTTTCTCTTGGGAAAAATATTACTGTTGGATGCTTTATTGCTCAGGTTAAGATGATGGTTGTCCTTGGAGAACTTGGTGGACGAGATGAGTATTCTCTTGTTGAAGCCCTCAAACAGGGAAAGGTGACCAAACCAGTAGTTGCTTGGGTCAGTGGAACTTGTGCTCGACTCTTCAAGTCAGAAGTACAATTTGGTCATGCTGTAAGTTATTGCCTCAAATGTCTTGCACCCATCTGTTAATAATCAGCAGCCACAGTTTGCCGTAAAAGATGCACTGTTCTTAATCTGGACTCCTTCCAAATTAGGGTGCTAAAAGTGGCAGTGAACTGGAGTCTGCTCAAGCAAAAAATCAAGCATTAAAGGATGCTGGAGCTGTTGTTCCCACCTCATATGAAGCTTTTGAGACTGCAATTAAGGAAACATTTCAGAAGCTGGTTAGTTTACATATTGTAATATTTTCTGCATGCAACTTCCCAGATTCTGAAAAGGGCTCTGGGTTTCTGATCTTTTCCATTTGTCAGGTTGAAGATGGTAAGATTACACCTGTAAAGGAGGTTAAGCCTCCACAAATCCCTGAGGATCTTAACACAGCAATTAAGAGTGGCAAAGTTCGGGCTCCAACACATATTATTTCCACAATATCTGATGATAGAGGTGCTTTTATTTGTGTTTGCAATCAATGATAAGGTGCCTATTTTCTTGAATCAGTAGTATGATAAACTTATTTTTTGATCGTTTTTGCAGGTGAGGAGCCGTGCTATGCTGGTGTGCCAATGTCTTCTATTGTTGAACAGGGTTATGGTGTTGGTGATGTCATCTCGCTTTTATGGTTCAAACGCAGCCTTCCACGTTACTGTACCCATTTTATTGAGGCAGGTTTCTCATAACTTTATAGCTATCTTGTTATTTGCTAACCGTTCCAGCTGAATATACCCCCTTGTCTTCCCCTCCCCTCATGTGTCACATATATCTAGAAGCAAAATATATCGTCTAGGTGTTAAATGGTTTATGATCTTAAACAGATATGCATCATGCTATGTGCTGACCATGGTCCCTGTGTCTCCGGTGCACACAACACCATAGTAACAGCAAGGGCTGGAAAGGACCTAGTTTCCAGCCTTGTCTCAGGTAAGAAAGTAGTCAATTGATTGTTTTCTTAATTCATTGGAGAACTCTCCCCAGTACGATGCTGAATGAAGTGCATTTCTGAGAGCCAATCATGGAAAAAAATGTTGAATCCTGGTCTTTCTGAAACAGGTTTGCTCACAATTGGTCCGCGATTTGGTGGTGCCATTGATGATGCTGCTCGATACTTTAAGGATGCTTATGATAAGGTGGCTTTAACGAATTTCACTTTTGTTCATTCATGCCAAATTGATTCTTGTTTGAATACTCTCATGGTTGGTTTATCCAAGATTTATTGCTTTGCTGTTTCTGCCAGGGTCTAACACCCTATGAGTTTGTTGAAAGCATGAAAAAGAAGGGTATTCGTGTTCCTGGAATTGGGCACAGGTATGTAGGGCCTTTGGTTCTCAGTATATTTTTGGAATTTTGACACTAGAAACATAGCATTTCAATGATTTGGGCTTCTATTAACTGCCATTGTAAACCTGAGTTATAAGAACTCTTGTTTGCTTCCTGTGTAAAGGATCAAGAGAGGCGACAACAGGGACAAAAGGGTGGAGCTCTTACAGCGGTTTGCTCGCACACATTTCCCTTCAGTGAAATACATGGAGTATGCTGTTCAAGTTGAAACCTATACACTATCAAAGGCCAACAACCTTGTCCTAAATGTTGATGGTGCAATTGGGTCCCTTTTCTTGGATCTTCTTGCTGGCAGTGGAATGTTTACCAAACAGGAGATTGATGAGATCGTGGAGATCGGTTATTTGAATGGGCTCTTTGTGTTGGCACGTTCCATTGGTCTGATTGGGTAAGTTGATTGCACTTCAAATTTTTCTTATCCCATCCATTTGGGTTTTGTTTTGTGTTGCTGATTAGGTTACAAGCAGGCCCTTTGATATTGACACGTTAACAGTCAGATTTCATATCTTAATCCCTTTTTAATTGCAAGGATTTAAGTTCCACTGTTTAAGGTCCCATGAGTGCTTTTGAGTGTCACATAGATATGACCTTTTTGGAATAATATACAGTTTAATATTAGTTGGCTAGGAATGAGTAAGATAGACCTCCATTATCTACTGAAAATACATCCATTCTATATTTGCATATGACTAACAATAGCTTTTAATTTCAGGCACACCTTCGACCAGAAGAGATTGAAACAACCACTATATCGCCACCCGTGGGAGGACGTTCTCTACACCAAGTGAGAGAATGACAAAGAGCAGGTGCAATGCTGATCTGCTTTCGACTTTCAGCAAGCTTTTCACTTCCCAAATTTCTCGAGTTTGCAATTTGCTGCTGTGTCTGTTCAGTTGTTAGATTAGTGTTGTACTGTTTATAGGCTGAGTGCCTATATTTGTAACTTTATTAGAAGTTTTTATAAGGAGAGTTCCATCAATTTATTCAAAGAAATGTTTCTATAGAGCCTTTAGTTTCAGGTTTCAAGTTGAAATAACCCATTTCAAATTATCTTATTGTTTGGAAATCTGTGGTATGCTAAAAAAGTAAGGAAATCCAATGTATAATATGTTACCAAAAAGGCTCTGTTGTCTTATAAAGACAAGTCTGCCTTATTTCAACATCAACATTATGAATATTATTTGTATGGGGAAAAAGGAAAAAAAAAACAAAAAGAGATGGGGTTCGAGCAATCCATCAACAATCACGTGGGCTGGGGAACTGGGTGCTTGACGAAGAAGTGGGGATGGTCACATGGGCAGTGTGCTGGTTGTCGAGGCCGAAAGGATCTCCAGCGTTAAAGAAACGTACATATTCTGTTGCACGCTGTCTCAATCTTGGTTATGGTTAGACTTAACTGTGTAACTTATTGCACATTGTGAGGCTTTATGGATGTGAACGTTTCATGGATTAAATTGCTTTCATATGAACTCCTAATAATAATAATAATTAAAAAACAAATTCAAGTTTGTGTTTTTCAAACGAAATAAGAGAACATTTCTAATTATATATACAGAAAAAATATATGAAAAAAACTTTTTTTTTGATTGGTTTAATCTGTTAATGAACCTGTAAATCTGTCTCGACAAATATAATCCATTCAGTAGTTTTCGAAAAGTTTCGTCTAAATAAATATAATCCATCCTTCAAAAAAGTTCCCTTTAAAATTGTGGCCTAGGGATTTTTTATTTTATTTTATGTCAGTGATCCGTTCACTCCACTTCCTAGTTCCTACCATTAAGAAATCACGTTTAATTAATTAAATATAGCTTAAGGAATAATCGTGGGGTTTAGGGATGAGGAAATGAGTATACATAGTTACATACTTTAGTTCAGCAGCGTATATAAAGTACAATTAAAATAAACAAATTAGTAAACACGAGACTTTTAAGATAAGAATAAGATAATCAAAATTAAAAAAAAAAAAAAGTTAAAAGAAAAGAAAAGAAAGAAAAATCTGCATGTCTTCTCCAATATACCCACAATCACGTGCCGACGGCCATCGCCCACCAATCAAACTGCTCTGGCCCCCATCTTATATGCCTCCGTACCTGCGCAGAGCTCTCTCTCCGTGCCCACAAGTGAAGGAAAGAAAAAGTTCCAATAACACGTAGAAGTATTATTCAAAAAGAAAACAAAATTACACAAGCGAAGAGAAAGAAAGAAAAATATGCAAATGCCAAAGTCGCTTCCCTTTCTGTGATTCAATTTTTCAAACGAACATAGACAGAAACATTGCCTACCAACTCATTATTCGGAACAGCTTTTCTCCTCTTGCTAGCTATATGTAGTCTCTTTCCATTATCGAAAGGCCACATAAAATAGATTTCTTACTTTATTTTGACACAGAATCTTCACTATCTTCATTTGCCCTTACTGGGTCAGTTCATTTGCTCTTTATCAACCACTAAATTCAGACATAATTGCAGGCAGAGAAGAAACAGGCACTCCAGTAATGGCATCTGGTGGCAGAGCAGCGGGGCAGTCACCCCAACGGCACCTGCACCAAAATCAAAGCCAAAACCACCAGCAAGTAGCTCCTCAGTCCTCGGGCACCAGCAACTTGAGGGTCCACAACACCGAGTCTGTAAGTAAAGCAATTGCTCAGTACACAGTGGACGCGCAGCTCCATGCGGTTTTTGAACAATCAGGTGAGTCGGGTAAGTCGTTTGATTACTCGCAATCGGTGAGAACCACTAACCAGTCAGTCCCTGAACAGCAAATCACTGCTTACCTATCTAAAATCCAACGTGGTGGCCATATCCAGCCTTTTGGGTGCATGATCACTGTTGATGAAGGTTCTTTTAGGGTTACTGGGTATAGCGAAAACGCACGTGAAATGCTCGGTTTAACGCCTCAATCAGTACCTTCTCTTGAAAAACCAGAAATCCTTTCGATTGGGACTGATGTGCGCACCCTTTTCACGCCCTCGAGTGCGGTTTTGCTGGAAAAAGCATTTGGGGCAAGAGAAATCACGTTACTCAACCCTCTATGGATTCACTCCAAGAACTCGGGAAAACCCTTTTACGCGATTTTGCATAGGATAGATGTTGGGATTGTTATTGATTTGGAGCCTGCTAGGACGGAGGACCCTGCTTTATCAATAGCCGGGGCTGTGCAGTCACAGAAGTTAGCAGTTCGTGCGATTTCTCGTTTACAGTCACTTCCTGGTGGGGATATTAAGCTGTTGTGTGATACTGTGGTGGACTGTGTGAGGGAGCTTACTGGGTATGATAGAGTTATGGTTTACAAGTTTCATGAGGATGAACATGGTGAGGTTGTAGCAGAGAACAAAAGGTCTGATTTAGAACCTTACATTGGTTTACATTATCCTGCAACTGATATACCTCAGGCTTCTAGGTTTTTGTTTAAGCAGAGTAGGGTTAGAATGATAGTGGATTGCCATGCCACACCTGTCCGTATTATTCAAGATGAAGCACTAATGCAGCCTTTGTGCTTGGTTGGTTCAACTCTTCGTGCCCCTCATGGTTGTCATGCTCAATATATGGCGAATATGGGTTCAATTGCCTCATTGGCAATGGCGGTCATTATTAATGGAAATGATGAGGAAGCTATTGGTGGAAGGAATTTGATGAGGCTTTGGGGTTTAGTTGTTTGTCATCACACTTCTGCAAGGAGCATTCCTTTTCCACTTCGTTATGCTTGCGAGTTCCTAATGCAGGCCTTTGGGCTTCAGTTGAATATGGAATTACAATTGGCGTCACAGCTTTCAGAGAAGCGTGTTCTGAGGACTCAAACGCTCTTGTGCGATATGCTTCTGCGTGACTCTCCTACTGGCATTGTTACTCAAAGCCCAAGTATCATGGACCTTGTGAAATGTGATGGGGCAGCACTTTATTACCAAGGAAAGTATTACCCACTAGGTGTAACCCCAGCTGAAGCTCAAATAAAAGATATTGTGGAGTGGTTGCTGAGATTTCATGGAGACTCTACAGGTTTAAGCACAGACAGTTTGGCTGATGCTGGGTACCCTGGGGCAGTATCACTTGGTGATGCAGTTTGCGGCATGGCTGTTGCTTATATCACTAAGAGGGATTTCTTATTTTGGTTCCGATCTCACACAGCGAAGGAGATCAAATGGGGTGGTGCAAAGCATCATCCAGAGGACAAGGACGATGGGCAGAGGATGCATCCACGCTCTTCATTCAAGGCATTCTTGGAAGTGGTAAAAAGCCGAAGTATACCATGGGAGAACGCAGAAATGGATGCTATTCATTCTTTGCAGCTTATTCTTCGAGACTCATTTAGGGATGCTGAAGCAACCAATTCTAAGGCTGTTACAAATGCACAGCTTGGAGATCTGGAGTTGCAAGGGATGGATGAACTCAGCTCAGTTGCAAGAGAAATGGTTAGGTTAATAGAGACTGCAACTGCTCCAATATTTGCTGTTGATGCTGATGGCCGCATAAATGGGTGGAATGCAAAGGTTGCTGAGTTAACGGGGCTTTCAGTTGAGGAAGCTATGGGGAAGTCTTTGGTTCATGATCTTATTTATAAGGAATACGAAGAAACTGTTGACAAGCTTCTTCATCATGCTTTAAGAGGTATTATTATATCTAACATATTTCTGGGATTTCTTCCAGTTTTCCCCTTTAATTATATTTGAACATGCAGATTTGCTTAGAATGAAACTCTTAACAAAAAAAAAAAAAAAGGTACTCTTCATTCTCCTGGAAAATTTGAAATTATTAAAGCTGATGAATGAAAATGAAAAGGGATGAAATTTTGAAATCCAGGGCGTAGCTGAAAGTCTCACCCAGCTGTGGAAGTCATAGCTGCTCCATTAAAATAGTAAGAAACATATGATTTGATGGTTTCACAAGTGCGTGATACCTGAAAACTTCTGATTAAGTTACTTTAGCATGTTTATGTAGATTCTTGGCTAGTTCTTGTACTTCTTAGATGAAGTACTAATCAAACAGAAGCTTTGATAAATCTTCTAAATTGAGGATTTTGGGTTAGATTTGAGAAACTAGGTGAAGTTAGCTTTTAAACTAACTAATAGGATAAAGTTTCTGGTCACATGTTACTAGGGAATTGAGGCTTAATTTGACCCATGGTCATTGGACTAATTGGTGAAATCACTCTACCTTAATTTTCTCAATAAAATTGCTAACGGTAGATTTTGGTAGAACCAAGTAATTTTTGTATTTTATTGCTGAGCTATAGGGTTTTCAGGATCAGTCATCACATAAGAAATTTGATTGAATTTCTAAAAAGAATTTAGTGATTGTGGCCTTTTTGAAATAAAATCAAAGTCAAATAGATAAATAGCTTCTGGGTAAAACCTTGATTTCTTAATCTTGAAGTATTATTAGGACTGGGTATACCCTGTTTTAAGACGTTGTCTAGGTATATGAATAAATGAGTGGGAGTGAGCATGGTCACTTGTTCTCATTCCTAGTTGTAATATCTGACCTGGCGACAACTGGTTTCTAATACCTGCCTGCAATTTAGGAGTAATTTTCTGATTTCATGACATTTCCTAAGAATGGAAATAAAGGCTGGATTCTCATTTGTAGTCTCACTTATTTCCAGTAACAAATTGGGAACTAAAACGTTTTGAGTCCTGACTAAGCTGCTATATTTTATAGAGAGCTCTGAGACTACATTATAACTCCATATGACTAATAAATGGAATGGTACCATTTGCTTTGAAACTCTATAAAGTAATTATTTTTCTGTTTCTTGTAGTCATGCAACAGTTCAAACTGCTGTGCCCTGCTTGTTTTTATTTTCCTATTCATAGAAGGTCATTTAATTCTATATCAAGCACATGGTTATTCTCCATATAAAAGTGCTCACTGTTCATATTGCCTTGATCTATGCACACTTTTACGTAATAGAGGGACTCATAACATGCAATTCGTGTATCTGTTGTCTAGAACATAACTTAGTTTTGTCAAAAGATTTTTAAGCACATGCTCTATTTAATAAACTTTGTTTGATAGGTTGTTTTATTCTTTGGTGCCAGTGTGGATATTGTTACTAATCATATATCAGCATTCTAACCACGGCAATTGGATGAACTTTGGAATTGATGTCTTATTGATATTTGATAGCTTGTTTTATTATTGATATTTAATGAATGCAGGCGAAGAAGATAAGAATGTAGAGATAAAAATGAGGACATTTGGCTCCGAACATGAAAAGAAGGCTGTTTTCGTAGTGGTGAATGCTTGTTCTAGCAAAGATTACATGAACAATATAGTTGGAGTTTGCTTTGTTGGTCAGGATATTACTGATCAAAAAGTGGTAATGGACAAATTCATCCATATCGAAGGTGATTACAGGGCTATTATTCATAGTCCCAATCCTTTAATACCTCCAATATTTGCTTCAGATGAAAACACTTGCTGCTTGGAGTGGAACACTGCCATGGAAAAGCTCACCGGGTGGGGCCGAAGTGAAATTATTGGGAAGATGCTGGTTGGGGAGGTTTTTGGCAGTTGCTGTCGGCTCAAGGGCCCTGATGCATTGACCAAATTTATGATTGTGTTGCACAATGCAATTGGAGGACAGGATACTGACAAGTTTCCATTTTCTTTCTTTGACCGGAATGGAAAATTCATGCAAGCTCTTTTGACAGCAAACAAGAGATTAAATATGGATGGACAGATTATTGGAGCCTTCTGCTTCTTGCAGATTGCAAGTCCTGAGTTACAACAAGCTTTGAAAGTCCAGAGGCAACAGGAGAGAAAAACCTTTACAAGAATGAAAGAGTTGGCTTATATTTGCCAGGAAATAAAGAATCCTCTAAGCGGTATACGGTTTACAAACTCACTTTTGGAGGCAACAGACTTGACCGAGGTCCAAAAGCAGTTTCTTGAAACGAGTGCTGCTTGTGAGAAGCAGATGTTTAAGATCATTCGAGATGTTGATCTGGAGAGCATTGAAGATGGGTGAGGTTCCTTGATCAAATCATTATTAACTTATGGGTTTGCCTAAAGAAATGCGATGCAATCAATGTAGGTCCTAGCTGGCATTATGCATCTAGAATCAAATGCCTATTGAGCAGAATACTGCAGTAAATTATTTCACATCCATTTTGGCTTAAGCAAATGTCAATCTGTGTTACTGTCAGAAAGCATTGTATTGGGGCATCTTTAATTGAATAAGGTCAAAGATGAATAAACTCCTCAAGGTTGATCTGTGATTATAGTACTCAGAAACTTTAGTAGTAATATTCTATTGAATTTAACATGCATATTTCTTTTTTATTAAATGTAACTTTTCTGCTTTCATGTGTGAATATTGTTAATGAGAGGAAAATTTTCATTTGTTTTTGAACTAGTTCACTGGAGCTTGAGAAGGCCGAATTTTTCATTGGGAATGTCATAGATGCTGTAGTTAGCCAAGTGATGTTACTGCTGAGGGAAAGAAATCTACAATTGATTCGTGATATTCCAGAGGAAGTAAAATCTCTGGCTGTATACGGTGATCAAGTAAGAATTCAACAGGTGTTGGCTGATTTCTTGTTGAATATGGTTCGTTGTGCACCATCTTCAGAAGGTTGGGTAGAGATTCATGTTTGCCCAAAACTGAAGCAGACCTCCGATGGGCTATCTGTTGTGCATATGGAATTCAGGTATTTCATTCTTGCACTTCTTTGTACATTATTTAGTATAATATACAATGATAAGAGTAAAAGCACTAAAATGTGATAGATGGGTATTCTCTCTCCCTCTCCCTACCCATTTCTCTTCTTTGTTCTTATTTTTACCTCCTTTGGTAATATTGTCATAGTCATTAGGAACATCTTACTTGAAATAAAATGTCAAGGCTTTATTCAAATAATTTATTTTGTGAAACTGTGACGACTTGCAATAAATTATTCCTTTTGTTCTTGACTACTCTGAATGATTTAGTGACAAGTCTAATCTGTTCTCCAAGTTGTGAATCTCAACTCGGAGCCGGTGTGGACTAGTGAACAGAAATAAATTTGAAAGGTTGGTCATTAAAGACCTCCATAGGTTTCGTCCCAATTCACACTGGTTCTTATTTTTTCAAACTTTAACAATTTAATCGCTATGTTCTGCAAAATAGAATGGTTTAGTATTTTTTAGGACAGAGCAACGGTTTTTGGACCAAAACTATATATCTGTTCCACTTATTTTTAGCCAAAAAGGATTAAAGTTCTGAATTCTAGTAAAGAGGGACCAATGTGTGTGTTATTTTGCAGCATTTGCTTTATTTCTTCTTCCGTGTTATTACATGTAATGCTGTTAATATCTTCTGACCAGTGATGATATTTTTATAAAGGATGGTTTGCCCCGGTGAAGGTCTTCCTCCTGAACTAGTCCAGGACATGTTCCACAGCTGCCGATGGACGACTCAAGAAGGCCTAGGACTCAGTATGTGCAGGAAAATTTTGAAGCTTATGCAAGGTGAAGTCCAATACATCAGAGAGTCAGAAAGATGTTATTTCTTAGTTATCCTCGATCTTCCCCTGTGTCAGAGAGGTGCTAAAAGTGTTGATTAGAATGTTTAGCCCTGGAGATATGTTGAAGAGCTTTCACAATTTTGACCTCATATTGGCGGTTCAATTTACTGAGAACTGTTTTCAAAACCTAGTTACAAGGTTTACTCTTGTACCGAGGCCACCAATTTGGCTAATCCTTAGGAAGACAACTGCTTATTCCATCAATCTCAAGCATGTTTGATGCTTGTTTAGTCTACTGACACTGGTCTAAATCGCAAACTTACCTTGTCGGGCTAGCCAGTTAATGTTTGCCAAGAAGTGTACCGATCTTGCTGATATGGTTTTGTGAGATCTGAATGTGGTAGTGTACATAAGAAGCAACAATGGATCTCATAAGTTTATTGTAGAGGCTTCCATGATAAACAATCTTGCATTTGGATCAAATTGCATCTCCCACTGGAAGTAAATATGTGTATGTAAGTATATTACAATTTCTCAGGTTCCTACAGATTACTGTAACCTACAATTAGGTCACCCTGCCAGGGCTAGTCTCTTAATAAAATTTTATTCTGTCTTATGTAATGAGTCAAATTTCCAGCTCTGGTATTTAATATGAGAATTCTGACTGCCTACTTTACGAAAGTTGACAAGGAAGGGGATCAAACTTGGATTTGAGATTTAATAGTAGAACTATAATATATTCAATTCAATATGTTAATTTTATGTTACCCGTATATACTCTACTAGGTTCCAAACGGCAGAAGCTCCATTGAATGAAGAATGAAGGTCAAAACATTTTATAAAACCCATTTTTGAAAAAGAAAAGTTTGATTATAAATATTATTCTGGCTTCCACCTTCCACATGGTTTGAGATAAGGATGATACAACTTTAAAGTTTAGTACTCTGTATTATGGTATTTATTTTTTTAGGAGCAATTGGAACTCTAACTGGTTTCTGAATTTAGAGAAAGAACAAAGAACAGAACAAGAAGAAGAAGAAGATTTGGATGCTACACTTCACCTCTTGTCTCTATCACACTCCAACGGTGTGCGTGCACGCCCTTAATCATGCTGTGCACGCAAACAAAAGTCTTATAGAGGAAAAAACAAAATTTTAGAGAGACATAGAGAGAGCAACTTGCTCTAACTTCCAAAATAGTAATTACCCATAACAAGGAAATTAATCACAATTTGCAAAGTAAGTTCAGAAATGCCTAAAGGGAATATACTTCAAGGAGGGAAACATGCCTAAATTTAAAACACATCCATAACCATAGCTTCCTCGTGCACTGATTGAAGCCAAACAAATGAAAACGCTCAATAAAGATAGACAAGAAATATAGCCATATATTGTTCAGCAAGAAATATTCTTCGCTAATAAAAAGTTTGGTCTTTTTAGATATTTTCGAAACCTATCGCTTAAAATTCAGGAAAGACTTATCAACATATAGTGTATGACCTTATTTATATATGGAATAAGTGTTTTAGTTCAAACGAAAATATTTCTGATCATAAACTGAAAATCTAATCAACATTGTTAACTTTATTATTTTGTCGCAATTAATTTCAAATTAATTATCAATTAAAATACAGTAATATGGTTTTAGTAGTAAATTGTAAAGTTGGGAGCAAATAACAATTATATACAGTTATTTTTTCAAAAAAAAAAAAAAAAGAACAATTATTCTAAGCCAAAAAATTTAGATGATTAAGACAGGTATTAATTCAGACAGCCAAAAAGGTAAGCATTTTACTTTCATCAAATCCAAATCCTAATTGGGTTTTGACTTCTCTCGAAGCTTAACACGTCAACTTCTTGAACAACAATCAAACCTATCACTGCCTTAAAACCCAAACTTCCCTAATTAAGCCCTAATTTTAGGTGCGGCGGTGGTGTGAATTTTCAATGCTTCAAATCTCATATTTACTCTTTTAAATTAAAAAAAAAAGGAATAATTAATCTCTTAATATTTTTTTGGACATATTGTACAATTATTTATTAATTTAATTAATTATATTGAGTTAAGGGGCATAATCGTAAATCCATGTGATGTTTGCGAATTAAGTATTCCAAATTGTCAAGTTAACCGAAACTAAACTTAATTTGATTATTAAATTAAATCAGAGAGTTTCTGTGGAGGAGGTGTTTTGTTTTGTAGCCACGAATTCTGTATATAGAAGAAACCCACAAAGAGTTGGAGTGGAAGAATGAGAAAGTGGAGTGGACGTGAACTCGTGATCTATTGGGTCCTTTTAGCTGAAAAGGAAGAGGCCGCGCAAAAATGAAAATTCCAATACCACTTGCCATATGCGGTGTGAATAACGCGCTTTTAAATGTAAAAATCTAGTATACGATTGGCTATAACTGTCCACGCACTCACCTAGCGCCTGAGGAAAGGAAAACGGCTTTTTCTTTAATATATATAATATATAAATAATAATAAAAATAATGTCTGGACTAAATGGTTAGATGCAGACGATAATGATGAGATCGAAAGAGAAGCCAAAAACAACAAGACACCACAAACTAACTGCCCACCCCAACACACCCAAAATCAAAAACCTTTTTAATGCAAGGAAATATTTTAAAAAATAAGTCGACTTAGCTCGCAAGCTGTTGAAATTTCATTTCGACTTTGAAAAAATTTGAAAAGTTTGACTTAAATCAAGTTGAAATTCGTTTTAAAATTTTGAAAATTGAATTTAAATTTTAAATCGAATATAAAAATTTTAAATTCAGTAAATTTTAAATCGAGTTAAATTTTATTGAATCAAGTCTGAAATTGAGTTTGGATTCTGATTGACTATTTACATCCCCTCAAGACCATTGGAGATTTACATAAAAATTTATTTAAACTTAATTAATGAAATTCATGAGCTCTGCTTAAAATAAATGCTTAAAACTAACAAAAATTATTTATAAATTAATTTATTGACTTTTAATTAAAATAGGAAAATAAATAACACTTAATAGTACGTCTCAAATTAAAACAGACATTTATTGTGAACAAGGCGAGCAATAAATTAATAGTATCCCCAGATTAAAGAGAAAAGTAGATGATGGTGATAAAATAAATTACAAGAACCAAACCAAAAAAGGGAAAAAAAGAGTTTTTCCATCGCTCTCTTTCTATAGAATTCTTCTGGAGAAGGATAAAAAAAAGAAGGATAAAAGTCTCTCTTCTTCTTCTTCTTCTTCTCCTACTTCTGTGTGTGCAGTGTTTTTATCAATTTCGAGGTTTCAACTCTATGCTATGCTTAGTTCTTCCATCTGCTTTGCTGGACATTAGTAGGCCATGAATGGATCCCTATATCCTTATTCGTTAGAAATCATTATCGACTAAAGAGAGAGGAAGTGTGTGTGATTTTGGATTCTGGAAATGGACACTCAGCCAGCTGAGGAGCTGCTGAGGAAGATCCAGGAGCTGGAAGCAGGGCAAGCTCATCTTGAACAAGAGATGTCTAAGCTTAAGCTTACTAGCGATCCAAAATCGGAGCATGACTTGCAGTACCGGCAACATCATCACCACCAGCAGTCGCAACAACGTTCCCATTCTATATCGCCGCAGAGGACTGGGCCTAGGAGGAGAGGAAGCAGTGGGACTGGACCTGGTTTCGAGGCTATTGCAGCTTGGAAGAAGGGCTCGGTGTCGTTTAGGCATTCGTCGCCGTTGCAGAGAGAAAGCCGGAGTGTGACGAGTGCTACCACTACTAATGCTGCTAAAGAAGGAGCAAACTGCGGGCCATCGGCGGTGAAGTTTACTGATAAGCAATATTTGAATATATTGCAGTCCATGGGACAGTCTGTACATATTTTTGATCTTACGGGCCGTATCATTTATTGGTGAGTTATGGATTTATAGAACTTTTGTTTTTTTGTCTTTATTTTTGAGTTTCTTGTTTTGCAGGTTTTGTTGCCTTTAATGGATTTTGGTTTTGATTGGTTGGGGAAGGGAGGTTGTTTTGGACTGTTTGGATCTTAATTGGTTTAATGGTCGATGGAACCGTAGATTACTGGCGGTTCACTACTAGGAATTGGAAGTACGAAATTCGTTGTGCAAAAGAGCAGGATAAAGCTTTGACTTGCAGTTTTACTGTCAATTACTGTTGAATATGCGGTTTTTTGGCTTAAATTATATGTGAAGATTGGTTTTCAATGCCATTGATGTATCGAATTTAGTGTGTTTAGTTATTATCCGTTTCTGCAGGAACCGAACAGCTGAGCACCTTTACGGATATTCTTCAGCGGAGGCTCTCGGCCAGGATGCCATTGAGCTGCTTGTAGATCCTCAGGATTTTTCGGTGGCAAATGGTATAGTGCATCGTGTCACCATGGGGGAGAGCTGGACAGGTCAGTTTCCTGTCAAGACTAAGATGGGAGATAGGTTTACAGCTGTTGCAACCAATACACCGTTCTATGACGATGACGGTACTTTGGTCGGGATTATCTGTGTATCAAGTGATTCACGGCCCTTTCAAGAAATGAAGATTGCATTGGCAGGTTCAAATAATTCAGAAGCTGATTCAAGCTTTAGTCGACCTAGAAGTTGTGTCACAACAAAACTTGGTCTGGATTCTCAACAGCCCTTGCAAGCAGCAATTGCATCTAAGATATCCAATTTGGTTAGTCTATTAGGCTCTTGTGTTGACGTGAATTTAATTTTATAGTGTGCAATACCTTGATTGTTGGTTGCCGAAACAGGCATCAAAGGTGAGCAACAAAGTGAAATCAAAAATTCGGACGGGAGATAACATGGATCGTGAAGGTGGGACCAGCGATGGTCATCAATCTGATCATGGCTTCTCAGATGCAGCTCTATCTGACCATAGGGAGGATGCAAACTCTAGTGGAGCTAGCACTCCCAGAGGAGATGTGCATCCATCTCATTTCGGAATATTTTCACACTACGAGGCTTCCCCAGTAAAACCCTCCACAGATTCCGGCGATGAGAGCGAAGGAAAACCAGCAATTCACAAGATTTACTCAAAGGCTGAGGCTTGGATTGGCAGGAAAGGGTTATCATGGCCTTGGAGAGGGAATGAACGGGAAGGCTCAGATGTAAGGACCACCCGTTTTATGTGGCCCTGGGTGCAAAATGATCAAGAAAGTGATACAGGTCATCAAGGGAGTCCCTCCTCTAGTGCAAAACCAGAAATCCAGGCAAATGACAGTACTCGGCCTACCAATAACGAGGCCTCTGGATCTTGGTCATCCTCAGTTAATGTTAACAGCACAAGCAGTGCCAGTAGCTGTGGAAGTACCAGCAGTAGTGCTATTAATAAGGTGGATGTGGAGACTGATTGCTTGGATTATGAAATATTGTGGGAAGACTTGACGATTGGTGAACAGATTGGGCAAGGTAATAAGCTCTAGTTAATTCTTGTGCTTTGCTTTTGCTTATTTTCAGGAATTATCAACTTTAAAATGCCCTAAACTGAATCCATTTACCTGCATTTCATCTTTCTTGAATTTTAAGTCTTTCATCTGCAATGAAATTTTATTTTTCTTAATGGACGTTTGACAATTATGAGTGACCATCTAATGGTGATTTCATGTATTCTCATCAAGGTTGCTTGTCTCTGAATTCATGTTTTGATATTTTGTTTGATCTTCCTTTCTGATTTTTCATTTCGCTGATGTTGTGCTATATTCATGCAGGTTCGTGTGGGACTGTATATCATGCCCTGTGGTATGGATCAGTATGTTCTTTGCTCTTCCTCCAAACAACTTTATTCTGAAGTGGATGCTTAAACTCAATGTATATGGATCCATATATAAGTAGTTTGAGACGAGATGTATCATAATTAGCTGCCATCTGTCCAAATCTATGGTTTTCATCTCTAGATTTCTAATATGAAAAAAGCAACTTGAATTTTGAAAATTTAAACACCCTGCTAATTTCCTAATTCCAAGTTACCATTTCAAATTTCATGCATGCTGATAATATAGAAGCTATGTTTTGTGTATGAGAATTTTTTTTTTTAATTTTTTTTATTTTGAAGAAATGTCTGAGAAGTTTTTGTTGTCTCTGGTTTGTTAAAGCCTCTAGTTATTTTTATATTAGATGGAGCAGGGAAAGAAGTGCAACAATATTGTGGATGATATTAATTGGTTGAGTGATATCCATTTTATTTCAGGATGTTGCTGTCAAGGTATTCTCCAAGCAAGAATATTCAGAAGATGTAGTACTGTCATTTAGACAAGAGGTATATCTTCTATTTGTTTGATGTTGCAGCATTAAACCAAAAATTCATAGTCATATGTACATTCAGCATTTTTCTTTGTGAAATGCTACCCTTCGTTTACCTGAACTTCTATTAATGCTAAATACTTTTGTCTGATTATGGCATGGACAACTTTCAGAGTTCAGATTTAATAATATCCAATATATAAAAGTGACTGGAACTTGGTTTTTCATGATTATTGTTACTGATGCTATAAAATCTCAAGTGCAACTAAGTTGAGCTAGACACTGGTAAAAGAGAAACCTGTTTCTTCTTTTTCTTCTGTTCTTAAATTTAAGCAATTATCCCATGTTATTGTTCTATTTTGAAGGTGTCTCTCATGAAAAGACTTCGCCATCCAAATGTATTGCTTTTCATGGGTGCTGTTACTTCAGCTCAGCGTCTCTGCATTGTCACGGAGTTCCTTCCACGGTAATTCTGAACTCACTTTCAAGAACTGCAATAGCCAGCTATCTGCTTTACATTTTCCTCCTATCTTTGAAAAAGAAATCTTCTCTATGGAGCAGTATGTCATGGAATTGATTTGGTTGACCTGAATTTTTTATAATAATAATAATAATAACAAAAGGAATGGGATGGACATATTGGGCTGACAATCCGCTTGTTTATTTTTCTTGTTAATGCAGTGGAAGTTTGTTTCGGTTACTCCAGAGGAACACAACTAAACTGGATTGGAGGCGGCGCATCCATATGGCATTGGATATAGTGAGTTTTCAGTAACTTTATCAGAAAAGTTCATTTATTTTTTGGAGATTGCAGCTGTTGTGTTCCCTTTCCACCTGAATAATTCTAGCATCACTGCTCCACTTTCTGAATTTCTTCTTAAGGCACCTGTGTAAAATCTCTGGCTCTTTGTTAATGAACTGTAACTCATTCATTGTTTTATTGCTTAACCCTTTAAAAGGCGCGTGGTATGAATTATCTTCATCATTTCAATCCACCTATCATTCATCGTGATTTGAAGTCTTCAAATCTTCTGGTTGATAGGAACTGGACCGTAAAGGTATATCATGACTTATAAGTAAATTCTTTCCATTTTTATGGTTCTTTCTTTCTTTTTGATTTGTGGAATTTTCCAGATTCTAAAGGTAATAATAGCAGTGATAGTAATCTGAATATTATCTGGACAGGTTGGTGATTTTGGTCTATCGCGTCTAAAGCATGAAACTTACTTGACAACTAAGACTGGGAAGGGAACGGTATTTTAACTGAGCAATGATACTTTTTCTTTTTTCAGTTTTATTAGTCCTGTTGGTCTAAATAATTTTGCATGATTATGTTCAAACAATTTAATATCAGATCTAATGAATTCTTTGAATTTCAGCCTCAATGGATGGCGCCAGAAGTTTTGCGAAATGAACCCTCAGATGAAAAGTATGTACTCTTTGTTCTGTAGAAATGTTAAAACTTTGGTATTGATTGCTTATTCGAAGTGTTCTTTCTAAGCACCCAACTTTAAGTATAATATGTTTTTTTGTGCTGTGTGGGTGCATTTAGGTCTGATGTATACAGCTTTGGGGTGATTATGTGGGAACTTGCCACTGAGAAGATCCCTTGGGATAATCTCAACTCAATGCAGGTATAGACTTCCCTTGAACAATTTAGGAGGTTATATATTCAGGAAAGTAAAACCAAACTGTTGATCAGATGTAATCCTTCAGGATTTGAAAGTATAATGCATATGGCAAAAAATGGAGCTATATTGTTTGTTAAATGGCACTACACAAACAATGGGTTGTTTAATACTTGCAGGTGATTGGAGCTGTAGGTTTCATGAACCAACGCTTAGAGATCCCCAAAGATGTTGATCCACAGTGGGCTTCTACAATTGAGAGTTGCTGGCACAGGTGCTTAATCTAACCATGATTGTTATAAGATTTTGTTTCAATTTTTTAATCGTGAAATCACAGTTAAAAGGGCTTAATGGTTGTTTTGGGAAGCCTATTAGACATCCACTACATTTAATTAGAGTTGCACATGAACAACGTTTTATGGGCTAGAAAATCACAATTAAGTGTGATGTTTTTTTTATTTTTTTCATTACTCTGATTCTTTCTTCACTTTTTTGCTTCCTTCATGTCTGACATTAGCGTGTGAGGATTTTTCTAAATCATCAGAAATGCAATATACAAACAATACAAGTTGTGACTATAGATTCATCTAATTAATACTAAGTTGCTAAATTGGGATCTTATGGTTTGATTTATAGATGTTTATCGCCCACATGACATTAATATGGAGATATTTCTTAATGTCGGCAGATATCTGAGGTTCATTTTTGTGAATTTCTTTTTAGTGGCGCAGTTATTTTGGAATGCGTAGTGTTAGGTTGTATAGGGTATTGATTAGGACAACTATATTAGGAGTAAGTAATTGTTTTTTCTGTCTCTTTCTTTTCTAGTTATAAACTAAAAACATTTCCAAATTAATAATGCTTGCTAACGGTGAATGTTTAACTTTTGTGGTAACTAGCAATCCTCAGTGCCGTCCATCTTTCCAAGAACTGCTGGAAAAGCTTAGGGATCTGCAGAGACAATACGCAATTCAATTCCAGGCGGCCCGTTCTGCAGCTGGAGATAACACACAAAAGGAATTATAGACCGAAATTCTTTTGCTTGTGGTTTGTTTTGTTGATATGGCCACAAAAAGCAATGGCAAAATTTTCCTTTTTTTTACTGGAAATCTCTAGTAAGAAGATGGTTACGACAACTGCCCACAGATTGCCACTAAAGGTTTGTGGTATTGGCATAGAAAAAGCTCACAACAGACAGACAAGGAAAAGAAAAAAGAAAATGAGGCAGTAGTTGGCATCCATTTTAGCTGCCTAATTTTGATGGTGATTGGTTGGTTTTGGTGTTTGTTTATTTACTGACATCATGAAAAATCTTCAAAATCCATAATCAATGGTGCTCTGCAATTGGAATTATGCTGGTTGGATTCTTGCAACCATTAGTATTTTTATGTGAGAGTTGCTTAGGACCACTTTGAAAAGCTGTACAGAAAAAAAAAAAAAAAAAAACCATCCTTTCCCGAAAGAAACCTGCTGGCAACACACGCCCTTAGGGAATCTGCAGACGACCAATCGACCCCAATTCCCAACACTTCCAGGCGGGCCCGTTCTGCACGGGGTCCATGAGCTCGAGACATCCAGCCATAAACAGACCACCACAAAAGGACAATATTAGACACGAAATACTTACTTTTGACTTGTGGCTTTAGTTTTGTTGATCTATGGCCAACAGCTTCGTAGAAGACGCCCCCAAACAAAAACCTTGCCTGAGGAAACATGGCCCTAAATAAACTTTATATTCGCGCATCCTTATTTTCTGTTACTGGCGGAACAATCTCTTCAAGTAAGCACAAGATGGTGACAGACAAAGGCCTTGCCTCATCCAGATTGCCACTAAAGGTTCTCGGTTGGCCGGTGGTGTTCGGCCATTGAGCAAAACGGCTCCTCCACACCGGACAGCACCTCAGGGACAACGGACAAAATGAAAATGAGACAAATGACGGTACGCCACGGCGCCAGAAAGATAAATACTTGTGTGGCATCAGTTTTGACGCTGCCTAATTGAGGTGATTGGTTGTTTTCGGGGGTGTTTGTATTGGTCTTTATTTTACGCTGACATCATGAAAAATCTTCAAAATCCATAATCAATTGGTCTCCTCGCGCCACATTGGAATAGGTGTGCCTTTCGGTTGGATCTTGCAACCATTAGGTGCGGTTTTTATATGTGGACATGACTTGGCCTTAGGGACCACTTTGAAAAAGCTGTACCGACAGAACAAAAAAAAACAATAGGTTACAGGAAACCCTTAGGCTTCCAATATATAAAAAATGTAGTCAGAGAATTAATCTCGCTTTTGTTTTATCTCGTTTTTTTTGGTTTTTGTTTAAGGTCTGGAGAAATGGCCACCGCGGTTACTCCTCCCACCGCAGGGACGAGATCGACGAGGCACAGCTCTGCGTGTTGTATCCGCCTAGGCAGTCTTGCACTGTCCAGCTTGCATAAACTTTGTTTCTTCAAAAAAAAAAAAAAAAAAACACAATCTTCAATATATAAAAATGTAGTCAGATAATTATCTCGCTTTTGTTTTTTGTTTTTTGGTTTTGTTTATTGAATGGTATCCTCCACAATCGCAGTTGTTACCGCTCAGGCAGTCTTGCACGTCAGCTTGCATAAACTTGTTCTTTCTTTTTAATGTTCAAAAACATGGGAATATTTGGTCGTTGACTTTGTTGAAGAAGGTAATGATTATGGATTCTTATCTCCATCTCGATCAACTATTTGCCAAGACCAAGAGGAAAACGTGTGAGTGATTGCCGATTGGACGATAATTTCCCATTCCCCTGTACGAGTGGAAAATCTGAAATCATGGGGCACTTTTCATCAGGTTATTATAGAATTTAAAAGTACCACGCACCGAGACAATGCCACTATCTGTTGCAACCAGACTTTGTTGGATTGGAGCACTGTTTATTTATTTTACTAATATAGCTGAACAAAAAAATATTAAAAAGTATCCAACTCATCCAACCAATTCCTGCATGGACTTTCCAAGCTGAATTGCGAATCCATGGAGGAATTTTTCATTTTTCTGCAATACTGAAATTTCGAGACCAATGAGTAATGGTGCTTTGGCCAAACCACTACCTTAATAAATAACAAGTCCTCCATGAAATTGCAGCTCCAGGCAATCTCAGATTGTGGCTGCTGAATTTGGCATCATATGATTCTTACACAGGAAACAAAATATACTGGCACAACATATCTAAATGGGGACAGCAGTATTAACACACCCCATATATTAGCAATACATGGTGCGGACATAGTATATGGGTTGTTGCAAACTTGCAAATATGAAAAGACGTCTAATTGGGCAAGGGGTTGCAATAGTTTTCAGCGGATAACAATTGAAAATTCTTGTTCACACCCCAAAGTTTCATGCTTATGATTCTCAACTAAATTTGAAACAAAAATTTCGTTCATCATCCGGTTTTCTAGCGAAGAAGATGTTGAATTGCAGCAACTGCATCACCTTTGTGCTCTCTTAAGGTTCTCTCTGCTACCTTCTTATCCAACTGTTTGCATAGCAAAGGAAACTGTTAGAAGTCAGATGAAGCAAATGGATGCTTTCAGCAGTCAAAACTGGTAGGAAAGTAACCTCTAGTTCATTAGCTATTATGTCCACATCAGCAGCATTGATCTTAACAGCAGCCAATTCCTTCTCCCTGTGATGAACAACATTTTCACGAAGAAGTAAACATTTTTAGATTCACAATAACAGGAGAAAAGCGGAGATAAACCCAAAATATGGGGAATATTTCCGCGAAAATGATCATGCTACAGTCCCTTTCAAATATAGTTAATAATCCCATAACTAAACCCACCAACTTGCAATTGGGTGAAATTAGATATTAGACTGTACACGATTGATATTCAGATTGAATCCTAAAATCCTATGCTAGCTTAAGAGGTTTTCCATAATGTGGCCAATAGATAACAAAAGTAGCACATGCCTATTTCTAGTAGTTAGAAACATAAAGGAAATATTTGACTCACAGGCTATATCAAATACATGTTGCAATACCCAGTAGAAAATTATACATGTATCTACATCTTCTAATGTTATGAAGCTGTGACAAGCTTAACAAGGCCACCAGTGTTCAAGGTCGCTCCATTATAGCCACATTACGTACACTCTTATCTTGCACTACTTGTTGAAAATTTCTACACTCATTTTTTCACCACATTGATTATTCTGTTTGATTCAGAACTGCAGCTTGAAACATGAAGCATTATGACATACAATAATGTAGGCCAAGCCCGAAGAACATGAAGAATGCTCTGACCCAATTAAAAATCTATCTTGGCATCACTATGCATTTAATAAATTCTGGTCATGTTGCCTAACATATTTATGTTTGTAAGTCTCAGGGGATGATTTATGGATTTAATTTAACAAATCAGTGAAGTAAAGCAAGATCAACTTTACAAGACTCGATTCCAGCAATAATTTCAAATCAGTTAGCCCAAATAAAAATCTACATTCAACCAAAACTTAAAAGAACATTAAATGTAAAGAAAAAAAAAAGAAGAGGATGAAAAAAAAAAAAAAAAAAAGAAATCTATCTTGCATCACTATGCATTTAATAAAATTCTGCGTCATGTTGGGTTGTATCCTAACATGATGGAGTGTGCTCATCGCTGCTCTTGCGGCTACTTAGTTCTCAGGGGGGGAAGTTGATTTATGGATTTAAATTTAACCAAATCAGTGAAGTAAAGCAAGATCAACTTTACAAGACTCGATTCCAGCAATAATTTTCAAATTCAGTTTAGGCCCAAATAAAAAAATTACATTTCAACCCAAAACTTAAAAGAACATAAATGTAAAGAAAAAAAGAAAGAGGATTGAAAAAAGAAAAAAAAAAAAAAAAGAGGATAATTGGTTGATACCTCATTCTCATAGCATTCCAATCGGCTTCTGAAGATGCAGCAATCGAAGCCATAGCCTATTCAAAGGAAAAGACAGCATATAATCTCCAGATACAAAGCTACAATAATCCAAGTTCCTTTTCTTTCTCAATTCACATTTCCTATTATGCCCAAGAAAATCAAATTTAACAATTGAAACTGAGAAAGTGCCAAAAAAATAAAAGATGAAGAAGAAGAAACCTCTTGAACGCGAGTGGAATCGAGCTGGCGATCTTCGACACGGTCAGTGAGCTTATCAAGGGCTTTGCTTTGTTGTTGTAAGTCCTTGGAGTCAACAACTCTCTCTATACCTCCTTCATCTGCACCCTCCATTTCTGCTTTGCTTCTAAAACCAAAACCCTAGCTTCTATTTCCTCTCTGCAGCTTATGTACCTTCACTACAGTCAACAGATGCTGTGCCTGTCTTCTGGAGCCGACGAATTGTTAACGAAAAGACTAAAGTAACCCTTTTGCTTGATCCGGCCCGCGATGCTGTCAGCCACTGGAAAGTCTGGACTTGTTACTTGTGACCCGAGCCCATAAAGGTGGAGAGTTTTATGGGCCGAAGAGTTTAAAAATACAGCGGACATTTTACCGTTTTTCAATTCTAAGCCCAATGCGCATTGGTTAGGGACAGAAGGAGGCTACAGCGTCCCAACGGCACCCATCATAGTGAGGTAACGGCTGCCTCTGTTCAATTTTGGAATGAAAAATTTTAAAATATATATTGATTTATAAAACTATAATTTGGCCATCTAAATTACTGTCTAGTCCTGTCACAATTGATAATTAGGGAATGCTGTTGGATCTGAGCAGGCTTGGTCAAACTAACAATGGCGTCACAAGAGAGAAAAATGGAACGCCTGTGGACCCACTGCAGTTGTGATGTATTTTCATTATTAATTAAGTTTGAAAATCTAACTTAATACATTGATGTACGAGACCAATCATACTCTAGGTGTCAGCGACAAATTTTCTCATTCAAAAGACCTTTTTTTTTTTTTTTTGGGCAATACGATATGCTCGCGGGGAAAAATTGGCTCTTTGAGCCCTTGTACTGTTAGCACACAATTAAATTTACTGTTAGCAAATGCACGTGGTTAAAGCGCGAGCACATGTCTCTTCTTATTTGTGCCTTGCAATTTTTCGGCGCTAAAGATAAGATAAATTCATATGTTAAGACAACTAGTCCTAAATATACTTATCTGATGTCCTCTATAGCAAAAAACTCAACTATTCAATAAGGACATTTTTAGTTTGGCGCACTACGTCACATCTATTAATTCTGTCTATGTCCTGATCAACAATTGATAATTAGGCAGAATGCTGTTTGGATCTGAATATGCACCAGGCTTGGTTCAAAACTAACAATGGCGTTCACAATGAGAGAAAAAAATGCGAGACGAGCTTGCCTGTGGATCCAACTGGCCTGAGTTATAGTGGTATGGTTATATATTCTATTTACTTAATTATAAGCGTGGGATGTTCCGGAAAAATCTAATCTGGCACCTCAATTACATTTGAATACGCTACGAGGGACGAGGAATCTATTTACGTGCCCTAGAGTCCAGTCGCGTCTCACGACGAACCCACATAAATTTTAACATTCCCTCATTCAAAAGGACCTTTTTTTTTTTTCTTTTTAGGATTTTCAAATTAAACGTTACTTCTCTTCCCGACAATCAAGGTATGTAGGATGAGAGGTACGCCTTGTTATGTATTAGCAGGTCCATGAACACTAGAAAGTAATCTAAAATTAATGAAGAATATTTCGTCACAGTTGAGATATATGCAAAAGGATAATTAAGCGAAAAAAGACATAAACAAAGAGATCATTAATTTGCTCTCTAATAAAAAAAAATATTCCTATAGATAATAGTAAAAACTCTCAGAGTTGAAAGGCGGTTATATTTAGTTTAAGTTTAGAGACCACTACATGAACTGGGGAATTCAGTTTAAGTATAGTATCATATGTTGCTCATAAATATTTTCATCCCTTTCAAACGGTAAACAATCTCTCAGAAAGTTGATAAATGATTTCCGAATTCTTATGCGACTTATAGTATCAACTAACTTACTTGTTAATATTATATTTTTTTAAAAAAGGGTTAATTGGATAAAAACTAAAATAAATTGAGATAGGCTATGTAAATTGGGGTTTAAAAATTCTTTTTTGTCACCGTTGCGCTTAAAACCCATAGGGAAAGCACAAATCATAAGTTATATTAATAGAGAATATTATTGAGGGATAGATGCTTTTAATATAGTAGATTATAAGCTAAGCCCGGTGACTTTGCGCCCATACAATTTAGCCAGAATCCCATCCCCCTAAATTCAATTTTTTGTCTAATTGGTAATATGAAATAATAAACCAGTGATGTCGAGGGAGTGGGTGGTTGGTGGCGAGATGCCAAAAATCGGCAACATCCCAATGTGAAACCCATTCCTCGCCTCTCCTAAAGATGACCTGTTCATTTTATCTCCTAGTTCCTGAACACACAGCGTGGTTTTCAGACATCCTTTTTTTTTTTTTTTTTAGGATTTTCAATTACTCTTCTCTCCTCATATGAGAAGGAACTTATTTATTACACCTACCAATAATCTAAATTAATGAAAATATTTTTAATTATATATTAAAAAAAAAGAATAAACAAAGAACTATTTTTAAAAAATTTATATTTAATTGGTTGGTTATAGGTAGAGCCATGATGGAATCAGTTTAAGTAAGTATCATATGTTGCTCATAAATATTTTTCATCCCTTTCAAGTAAACAATGAGTTGAGATAGATTTTATCATAAGACAACTTAACTTGTAATATTAATATTTTTTAAAAAAGGGTTAATGATAAAAACTAAAATAAATTGAGATAGCTATGTAAATTGGGTAAAATTCTTTTTGTCACGTGGCTTAAAACCCAAAGGAAAGAAATCAAGAAGTTAGACATTTTAATATAGCAGCGGATTTGGCACTAAGCTCCCAACATTTTTGCAAGAATTGATAATAAAGTGATGTCGGGGTTTGGAAGGCAACATATAACCATCTCTTTAGTGCATTATTAGTCGCTGAAAGCTGGTTTCCACTTAAGTTGAATAAGTGAGGATTTTTCTGGTAGATAAGAAGGGATGAGTAAATGCTGAAATAGAGTATAATTGTTATTAAGTAGGTTAGTAGTTGAGAACGAGGACAACTATCTTAATGAGTTCTTGCCGGCCAATAATGATTTGCAATTAACCCAGTTGAATTTTGCTCCATTGCGTTAAGCAGTAGGATCGTGGTTCGCAGTCTCATGCATGCTTGCATGGAGGAACACACATATGTTGACTCTAACTAATTCATTTAATGCATTTCATCTGTTAATGCTATAAATAAAGCCCCTTCTTGGTAACGAATTATAAGGTGGCCTTGTATTGTATTCTTGTCTTGCTGGTGCCAATTTCCGTTGCTCTCTGTGAGAAGATATGGGAAAATTTTCTAGTAAGTATGTTGGAATTATGGTTGTGGCATTTGTGTTGGTGCTAGGTTTAGCAGAATGTCGAAAACTTGAGAAAGATACCCTTGGAGGTGGTTTAGGAACAGGCGGAGGGGGAGGTTTTGGAGGAGGTGGAGGTGTTGGAGGAGGTGGAGGCCTTGGAGGTGGTGCTGGAGGAGGAATTGGTGGTGGTGCAGGTGGAGGCCTTGGAGGAGGCAAAGGTGGAGGATTAGGAGGTGGTGCGGGAGGAGGAATTGGTGGCGGGGGTGGTGCAGGAGGAGGACTTGGTGGTGGCGCAGGCGGAGGCCTTGGAGGAGGCAAAGGTGGGGGACTAGGAGGTGGTGCAGGAGGAGGAGTTGGTGGTGGTGCGGGCGGAGGCCTTGGAGGAGACGAACCAATAATTGTTAACTCAATTTCGGTGCGCCAAATGAATCTTAAATAAAGAGTATAGAGCGTGCCAAGGACCGGAAAAACTTAGATTTTTATGGCCTTTGTAATTGATGTCGAAAAGGCCAATATTAAAGTGTGGTGGGCGCAGAACTTAAAGTTCTGAAATAGTATTATAGGTAATGCAAGACACGCATAAAAAGGTGAGGTACAATGTTTTTGAGTCGATATTCTAGGTAGGTTTAATTTAAACTGTGATCGTATCCATAATTGTGGCGCTTGTCGGTGCTGTGAGCAGAGACTTCTATTGAGAAGGAGAGGAGCAACTCTCAAGAATGGTTTGTGATTTGTATTTAGGAGAACTAAGATGAGTTGTATGGTTTAGCAGTGTTTAGTAGTGAGTTTGATTGTCTTGGAATAAAGGTTTCGGGTGGCGTGCGGGCCGGAGGCCTTGAGGAGGCAATGGGTGGGGGACTAGGAGCGTGTTGCAGGCAGGAGAGAGTGCGTGGTGGTGGGGCGGAGGCCTTGGAGGAGGCCATGGTGGGGAACTAGGAGGTGGTGGCAGGAGGGTGGCAGGTGCTGTGGAGGATTAGGAGGAGAGAGGTGGAGCTGGTGGGTTGGTGGAGGCGGACGGTTCTCGGAGGAGGTTCAGGTGGTAGGCATTGGAGGAGGAGCCGGATTTGGTTGAGGTGCTGGCGGAGGGTTTGCGCGGCGGGCACACAATTAATTAAGTAATGAAAAACATCCACATGCAACTAGAAATGAATAAAATCACCTATGAAATACTTTAGCTTTACTTCGTCCTACTGCGTCACGACAAACTGAATATTCCATAGGGTTTGTAGCAACTACGTCCACAAAAGAATTATGTAATATATCCATCTTTAAAATGAATATGGATTATAATTAATATAATATTGCAGGTATTAATTAGGGGAAAAATTTCTAATTAAGATCAGCTTCAACCAGGCATTTAAATCATAAGAATTGCAATAGAAACATAGGTTATTACATGTGTCAGTAAGAGACAAACCTTGGCAAACAATATAGATTCTTGAGCCGTTTTATGTTTTGCTTATAAACTTTCAATAATAATAAATTAAGAAACATAATTTAAATTAGAAAATAACCAATGCTGACAATCTTTTACAGTAACTGATAAATTTACTTATTGCAACTTCAACATTACAACCGTTACTTGCTTGTGACCAAATAGCAGGCAGCCATTTCTTTGCCATTTGTAGGTAAAAAATCACAATTGGAGCATGGATACTAAGTGTTCAGCCTGTCTTGAACACTTTGGGTATGCGTGTTGCAATTGTTGTGAATAGTGAATAGTTTTTGTTGTGTCTCAGACCACGACAGCCTCGCGTTTGTGGCAACCAGGTGCGTATAATTAGTGGGGACTAGGAGGTGGTGCAGGAGGAGGAGTTGGTGGTGGTGCGGGCGGAGGCCTTGGAGGAGGCAATGGTGGGGGACTAGGAGGTGGTGCAGGAGGAGGTGGCGGTGCTGGTGGAGGATTAGGAGGAGGAGGTGGAGCTGGTGGTGGTGGAGGCGGAGGTCTCGGAGGAGGTTCAGGTGGTGGCATTGGAGGAGGAGCCGGATTTGGTGGAGGTGCTGGCGGAGGGTTTGGCGGCGGGCACTAATTAATTAAGTAATGAAAATCACAGCAACTAGAATGAATAAAAAGCAAGATATTGCATCTTTTACTTCTATGCAAAATTATTGTAGCAACTACGTCACAAAAGAATTATGTAATATATCCATTTAAATGATGATTATAATTAATTATATTCAGGTATTAATTAGGGGAAAATTTCTAATTAAATCAGCTTTCAACCAGGCATTAAATCAAAGAATTTGCAAAATGTTAACATTATAAAAGCAAACTGAAAATAACGACTTTTTTTTTTTTAAATTTCAATAATAATAAATTAAGAACATAATTAATTAGAAAATAACCAATGTTGACAATCTTTACAGTAACTGATAAATTACTATTGCAACTTCAACATTAACGTACTTCATTGCCAAGCAGGCAGCCATTCTTTGCCATTTATAAAATCAATGGACATATAGTGTTCAGCTTCTTGATCTGTGAGTTGTTTCGACCACGCAGCTCGCTTTGCCGTATTGGATCCTGGGCCATGATTTTTGTACTCCGCTTGGAAAAGCTTACTGTTCCAGTTCAGAGGAAAAGAAAAAAAGAAAAAGAACATTTCCTTAAGAAGATGAAGACACCATAACCTGAAAAATTAGAAGGAAAGAAATATTTCTTACTCTGTGGCGCCATTGTAGCTCCAATTAGTCCAACCTTGTGGTGCTACAGAATTAGAGAGATAGGCCTTTGCAAAGATGGTCCTAGAATAAGCACCTTTTGCTCTTCCCAGATAGACACTAGCAACACCATAAACCTTTCCCTTGACAAAAACAAATCCACTATTATCTTCTGTTTCTCTGTTATGGGCTGTTATTGACCCAAGAATCTTCACCCTCATGTCTTCAATCCCAAAGAGCTCACAGTTCTTTAAACAAACAACACCGACGCAACCAACTGATTAATTATTACCTCCTTGTACTTGGCTTCTTAGCAACTGTACTTGAGAAATTGAATATATATATAGAGACTGTACTTACATAAAAAATGGATCTTGCACGTCCAAAGATGAAATCGATTGAGCCCTGAATGTAGCAACTTTCATAATAGTGCCTTCCTTTGTAATCAAATAAAGTATTATGGGTGCTATAAAATCCGCAGTGATAGAATGCGATCTGGTCTGCACCCACAAATGCCGCCACCGACTGGTTTTGCGATGTAAAAGCCACCCCAGTTGGAGCCTCATTCTACAATGTCGTCACCAAAAATTAATTTATAATGTAATATATAAGAAACAATTCTATAATTTTCTAATTAGTGACATGTATATTTATATATATATACTACCTTGAAACTGATACCGAAAGCAATAAAATGGGGGGATTCTACCCTGAAAGTAGCAGATTCGATATTATCAACAGAGCTTTGAGACCAGACAAGGGCTGTCCTTCCTTTTCCATTCCCTCTTATGAATATATAAGGTTTCTCTCTTGGAATGTGTACCTTTTCTCTGCAACCCAAAATTTTTAGAAAGTTAAACCATTAAACACTCAATTTCTCTTATACAATCATTAAATAATAATACATACCTGTATACTCCTTTCCTTACATGGATTATAATCCATTTATCGTTGTTCACTGGAACAGCATTAATGGCTTCCTGGATAGACGTGAAATCTCCCTCGCCATTGATATCGACTTTGATGGTGGTATTTGTACCTATTTTTTCCGTTAATAAAGGAGCGTCTATGATTTTATTCGCGGAAATGGCATCAACGTCGCCTGAAAAAGAGATTGCACTGACTAAAATGGTTGCCAAGACAACATTGAAAGCATTAATAAGGAACATAAAAGGAGACACAGAGGACAAAGGCATGTTTAAGGAGACAGTTTTTATTTGGCTTCAGGTGAATTCTGGGTCAGAGGCTCTGGAAGAAAATAATGGAATAGAGCTGATGTTTAAATGCAAATGACAGTTATTTTTTTATGATGTTTAGGAAACGCCTTTCTTTTTTTGGTTGGTTTTAACCGAAACTTGTGTGGTTCATATATTATTCTCAGTTGTTTTCTTTCCTTTTTTGGGCTAACAACACTATTGTGAGGCCCATTTGATTTGTAAAATCATTTTGGATTAAACCTAATTGGACCAATCATCAGGCCCAATATCAGTTTTGATCTTTCCTCCATTAGGCAGGATTCTACACATTAATGAGTTGACGACTCGTTAGCGCTGCAGTCTATTACAGTGCCTACATACAATTACACAAGATAAAGGCTATAGCCGCCCAAGGAATGGCCTTTTCCGATGAATAGAGCCATCCTCACCTGCCAAACCAGTTGTTTCAGACCATTTATTAAATTAGGTTGCTGCTTTAGAATAGATTGCTTGTAAAAGTTTGTTCTTATAGATATATATGGTTATTGGTGATTAGCATATAGCAGAAAAGTTATTGCAGCAATGAAGATGATATGCCAAGTTTCATTTCTCTACTTGCTATTGAATATTTGTTCAGCGAAGGACGTTCCAGCTTGTTTCATTTTTGGAGACTCACTATATGATGTAGGCAATAACTTTTACCTGAAAACTTTGGCAAAGCCTTATTTTCCCAATGGAATCGATTTTTTTGGGAACAAATATGGAGTTCCATCAGGAAGATACACAAATGGTAGATTAGCAACTGATTTTGTAGGCAAGTTTTGCTTTCACTTTTCAGTTTTGTTTTCCATTAAGTTACTCTAGAACAGGGTTTTTTGAGAATGTTTATAGTTGTATTTAACAGAGCAGGAATTAGGCTTGAAAATTTTAACTCCTCCTTACTTGGCTCCAACAGCCACTGGAGATGTGCTTCTAAAGGGAATCAACTATGCTTCTTCTGGAGCAGGAATCTTTAACTCAAGCGGACAATTATATGTAAACTTTCTGCCAATTATTGTTATTAATTACTACACTTATTATTACTTGCACATTTATCTGTATATATGTTATTTACAGGGTGAACGAATTAGCCTCGACCAACAAATTAGTTACTTTGCAAAAACCAGGAAAGAAATCATAGCAAAAATTGGTGCTCAAGCTGCAAAGGAGTTGCTCAATAATGCTATCTATTTTGTTGGAATTGGTTCAAATGATATGTTGCTCAATAAAGAAAAAGACCGATCCCATACTCCCAAATCTGTAGATACTCTTTATCAACCTCTGTTATCAACATTTACATCACAACTTGCGGTAGAATATACTCAATATACATACATGCATTCGACAAATATAAATCAGTTCTTAAGTTTTAACGTGCATATTTGCTTAAATTTGTTACTCAAATTGCTCCAGAAACTCTACAGTTTGGACGCTAGAAAGTTTGTGGTGGCAAATGTTCCAGTTCTTGGATGTCTACCTTTTCTGAGAGATGCTAGTCCGTTAATATTTGATGGTTGCAATCCAAATGTCAATCAGCTAATCAGAGCATTTAATGGAAAAATGAAGATAATGCTCGAAGAGCTTACTACAAATCTTATAGGATCAAACTATATCTATGCAAATACGTATGCTATGACAGAAGATATAGTCCGAAACTACATATCATATGGTATATGCATCAGATGGTTACACGCGTACATACATACACAGATGTTTATAGTTACGTAGTGGCTTTCTTTTCTTGACAGGATTTGAGATTGTAGATGAAGCATGTTGCCACTTAGGAGGGTTACATGGGGGTTTAATTCCCTGTGTCAGAGGATCTTTGGTTTGCCAAGACAGAACCAAATATGTTTACTGGGATGCATTCCATTATACAGAAACTGCACAGCTAATTATGGCAAAGCATATGATGGATGGTGGTACAAATTATATGTCGCCTTTCAATGTTCGTCAGCTTTCAAATTCTTCATTTGGTCAAAGGAAATGACAGGTGAAAGTCTGTAATAACTTAATTGGAATCAGCAAAGCTGCAATTTTACTGAGAAGAAAAGGGAATAAAATATAAAGATTATGCCAAATAATATTTGAAGAATAAAATCATAGATTTTCAAATTTTGAATTTATTTCAGACATGTAAAATCATTTACAGACTTAATTTTCTATCCCTTTCATGGATATCAAAAATCGATGTTAATGGCAGTAGATTTTCGGCTTCTGATTCAAATTCAGAATTGATAATTGTGGTTAGGCAAATTCAAAACGACACGGAACTGACACGTTTTATAATATTGAGCTTATCTTAAGCCCATACTATCTAGTTTTTACACGCAGATCAATGCAAACAGAACAAGAAACATCTCCATAAAACCAACCGGCCAAGCCTCCAACTTTCACCGCCAAAAACCCTCATTTTTTGCTCCAAAATAAGCGAAATAATGGATCATTCCGGACCCGAAAACCTCATCCTCGTATCCCGTGATCCGGACGGCGTCGCTATCATCACAATCAACCGTCCCAAATCCCTCAATTCGTTGACCAGGTCCATGATGGTCCGTTTGGCCCATGAGATCAAAGCTCTGGGTATTGACGACTCGGTGCGGGTCATCATTCTAACTGGATCTGGTCGGGCGTTCTGCTCTGGCGTCGATCTGACTGCAGCGGAGGAAGTATTTAAAGGAGACGTGAAGGATGTGGAAACCGATCCCGTCGCGCAGATGGAGCGGTGCAAAAAACCCATAATCGGAGCGATTAACGGGTTTGCAGTAACGGCCGGGTTTGAAATTGCCCTAGCGTGCGATATTCTGGTAGCTGCTAAAGGAGCCAAATTTATGGATACTCATTGTAGGTTTGTATTATATGCAAACGACATGGCGTTCGTTCTAATGTTGAGTTCTTGAATCAAAATTTCAACTTGGGATATTTTGTTGCAGGTTTGGAATATTTCCTTCATGGGGACTGTCTCAAAAGCTTCCACGGATTATAGGAGCTGGAAGGGCGCGTGAAGCATCACTAACTGCCATGCCAATAAGCGCAGAGCAGGGAGAGAAATGGGGATTGGTTAATTATGTAGTTGAAGGGAGTGAATTATTAAAGAAATGCCGTGAAATTGCAGAGGCTATTATAAAAAATAATCAAGACTTGGTGTTGCGATACAAAGCTGTTATTAATGATGGATTGAAGCTGGACTTGAATCATGCTCTTTCTTTAGAGAAGGTAGATACCTTCTTAAACCTTTTATTTCTGTAATTTGATTTGCCAAATTGAATTAATTGTAAATGGTGTTTGTTTGGTGGTATTTAGGAAAGGGCACACGATTACTACAATGGAATGACAAAGGAGCAGTTTAAGAAGATGCAGGAGTTCATAGCTGGTCGTGGAGCTAAGAAAGCTTCTTCTAAATTATAGTTTTGATTGATTAGTTGCCGTTTTTATGGCAGAAATAAACAAGTTTGCTGGCCCTTGAAAGTCTGAAAATGACCTGTAGATTTTTGTGTTCTTGCATTATGAATTTGTGATGATTTTGGGCTCAGATACAATGTTTGGGAGATTCCACCAATAATCCTTGAAAATTAATGATCCTTGAAAATTAACAAATAATCCTTGAACATTAATGATTGTATAAATATCAAAATTGGGATTCCAATCTACTCTACTATTGGATTTAGGTTTGAACCAACATGAACTCAGGTTAACAATATAATGGAGCAGTGGGAAAATTTCCAAGCCTAATGCTTTACAAATTTAATTTAGGTTTAAGGTTAAGAATATATTTTCTATTATGCTTCAAAGATTGCTCATAGAGCTTGAGCATGTGGATACTAAATGTTCACAGTGTCTTTATGTCCTAAATCCATGCTCTTTGTTATACCTATGTATGATGCTGAGGAAAAGAAGTATCTTCGACACAGGAAATTTGAGTTAGAATATATTTATGAATCCAGATGAGATTTTTCAAGGTTGGCTGACTAGCCAAGTATATTTGGTGAGATGAATAGCCGTGAAGTCCAGATTTAATTAAATTTAGTATAGTCTGTAAGATGCAGTAAAAAAGGATCAATTTTGATAGAACCCAAGTCAAAGTAGTACATGTCCTACATGATAAGAAGTGGAATAGAAAATAGGCATTTTCCCTGAAGAATATGGGCTGATTTATGCTGTGGAAAGCAGGTTTTGCTTACCTAACTTTAGCTGTAATGGTTATCTAAAATAGAAATTCATTGTTTGGTGATTTAATAAACAAGGAAATAGAGAAAATGGATTTCTGATTTATATCATGTGACTAATCAGTTATCACATGAGATATTAAGTTTAATATTTGGGAGGACTGTACAAAAGTCAGAGAAATATAATACTCAATTCAGGATCACATGAGAAGCTGCTTCCAAGTTCTAACCTATTAAAGAACAAAAGCCACATTACTAAGTACTGATAAAAATAAAGAATAAAATCACCATAATATATCTGCTAAAGATAATATGATCAGGACAGAGACAAGTTAAATTATGTTTCTACTAGTTTAAACTCGAATTATAAGTGGATTCCTACCGTGTACATTTTTGTGACGTCATTGTTACTTCACCTTAGTATATGCCTTAAGATATATTTTAGTTTTATTGTATCCTTGGTCCAACTAATACTGATCTTCTTTGGAAGTGATTTAGATCTACTCCTTTTAACCTAAGAAGCTTGATTATAGCAAAGTCTCTGTCCGTTATCTTGGTTATTTCTCTGTAGTTCGGCTTAAGTAACTTAAAAACACCTGATGCATGGTTAGAGATGGGAGTCTTTTAAGTACCAAACATCAATTATACTGTCACCACCTTTCTTGAAAAGATAGTCAGATTTGAGAGTAAAACTCGTACACTGCTTCCTTTCTTGAAAAGATATCATCATATGTCCTACCTTCAAGACATCATTTCTTGTTTCATCTTCTTTCCTGGAGAATAACATGAGAACCAGTAGAATTTTGGCTGTTCTATTTGCCTTGATTATTATTCACGTTCTCATGTCTTCTCTACTGTTCTTCCACCATGATAGAGAGATCCGTCCAGAAGACAGAAATATAAGGAGACTGCTAGTGTCTGTCTCTTCATTTTCATCGAACATAAGCAATTTAAGTGGAGCCATTAAAGATCCCCAGAAAACTCTGGAGACAAGTCAGAGGAAGGCACCACCAAGCCTTTCAAATCCTACTCAGAACAAGTAAACTCAGCAGTATTCATGTAGAGATCTCTAAAAGAAAGAGAAACTCAACTCTCGTTTAAAATTTTCGCAGCTTCTATTTCCTCCGTAGTTTCAATTTTTAGTAGATAGACGAATTGGATCCCTATACAGTCTTTAAATGCTAGGGATTTGTAATTTATTTGTCTTTCCCCAGGTTCTTGTTTTCATAGTACATTTTGAAAGATGTAAGGTTGAACTGTGTTAATTGGAACACTGTTTATTCCAAAACAAATGTCGGGTTCTTGTTTTTTGTGAGTTAGTTATTTCAAAACTAACAGTCTGACTGATTATTCTGCTACTAATTGGCTCAATCCATGTGTTTTACATCCTTCTTTCTACTCATATCGATTAATTTTCCTTCATTTTTATTCTAAAATTTTGCAGAATATGGAACTTGATGAAATTTGCACATGAACTGGCTTCTGTCATGTTGTTGTTTACCAGTTCTTCATGTAGCTTCATGTGATGTGTAGGGATGGATGCTTAAATTCTTTTTGCAAGAAGCCAATGCAAAATGGATGCACATGTTAAATCTTCCATATAGCACTTTGCTGTTAGAATTTGCAAATCCTTTTAGATAGAGGATAAATCTTACAGCCAAAACGGTATGATGATTCTGTCTCTCTCTCTCTCTCTCTCTCTCTTTCCCTTTCTCAACTCTGTTGCCCCCAGCATAATATAACTTTTGCCCTGGTTTACCACGCATGCTTCTTGGAATGCTCATGTACTTAAGTTCATCATCTTAATTTTCTCTGGTTTCAGTAATCTGCTAGTTAATACCTGGAGCCTTGACAGCTTGACTGCTTGTAGGAACTGCTGCAGTTCTAATATTTAAGCTGATAGAGACACTGAGACACGCTGTGGTTTTAGCTGTTGCAGAGTTAAATATGGGCATGACATTAATGCCAGAGAAAGAGAATCTTGGTGAACGTGATAGTTCTTAGAGGAGACCATTACTGGAAGAAGCGGCGACTCTCAAATTGGGAGACAAGATTAGGTAGTCAATGGGAGAGCTTTTATAAGAGTAAGCAAAGGTAATTATACAGCAAGTGGACCTCCTCTCCGTTCCCCTGTGCAAAGGACCAAGACAGTTCGCTTATTGCAGTGTCTGTCCTTCCTTTGTTTCAATTTCACGATTTTTCCAGCTTTACTAGCTGAATTGTATTCAACGGCCAGTCGTCGATATCTTAATTTACTAATATCTTTATATTTATATTGCATTTGAACTATATTGATCTTATAAAAATATTTACTAATATATTTTTATGTGACCATTTATTATAATTATAATAATTATTCAATAGTTAATAAATATTATTATAAAAAAATTTGATTAATCATCAGCTATTTTCTATTACTGAATAACTATTCATGAGTTATTAACTACTAACTATTAGCAAGCAAGTGCAAGCAAGCGCTACCAGCTAATGCATGCATTGTTCTCAAAATGGTTTGCAGCTCCAACAAGTACTTCCCCTGCAAATTAAAATCAAATTGTCCGAGCATTGAAATAATGTGTAACTGGTTTTCACTTCGACGAAATACTTCCTCAGCAAATTAATTAATGTCCAAGCGTTGGAATAGTTTCTAAAGTGCACTTATGTCCGAGCTGACTTGTGTATCACTTTCATCACCTGAGTCTCCAATATGGATTTCATTTAAGTGACCAATGATATAAGCTACAACAACTTTCTTCACCTTCTTATGCAAAATCGTCCAAAATTCAATTTTCTAACTTGTTAAATATTTGCCAAACTATATCATTCTTGTCCCCTTCTAGCCTGAAATTTCTCAGTCGTTTACCTTATTTTGACATAATTCAACTAAGCAGTGAGCATCTACACGAAGTTTCATACACTTCTTTCCTTGCCGAATAATGTTTTTTCTTACATAAGACAAAAGAGTATCTTCTTCATTGATGAATCACCCGAGTGCAGGCTATATATGTCGACAATTTCAAGAATTAAATTCTTTCTGTTCTGGTTAGTCTATTCTCTAGAAAATTCTTATCATCTTCCTCATTCTTCATCAAATATATATATTTCTGGTTAGTCTATTCTCTAGAAAAATTCTTATATCTTCCTCATCTCTTCATCAAATATATATATATATATATATAACTATAATATATATATATATATATATAATATATATGGAATTGGTAAGCACTTCTCTAGTAACAAATAGATTCTGGAACTGGGCAGGCTGTCGGAAGTGCCGTCACTAAATAAAAGCAAGTGTATGCATTTCAAAGTTCACAACAAAGAAAACAAGTATATGCCAAGAAAATGTCCTCGCGTTCCAAAGATTATCAACGGGACAGGTCATGAGGATAGCCAGAGAAAGGTTCAATCCGAATTTCCTTCCAAACAACAAATTGACCCCTCTCCACACTCCACATTTTTTCGAAATGCTGCCAAGTTTGATCTCTGTTGGCGAGGAGACCAAAAGATGTGGAACTGCAATATTCTAAGCCTTCTAGCTGCAGCTCAACAAAGCTGCACAACAAATATATATGGAATTGTAAGCACTTCTCTAGTACAAATATCTGGACACTGGGCAGGCTGTGGAATGCCGTCCTAAATAAAGCAAGTGTATGCATTTCAAGTTCACAACAAAGAGAAACAAGTATATGCCAAGAAAATGTCTCGCGTCCAAAGATTATCAACGGGACAGGTCATGAGGATAGCCAGAGAAAGGTTCATCCGAATTTCTTCCAAACAACAAATTGACCTCTCCACACTCCAACATTTTTTCGATGCTGCCAAGTTTGATCTCTGTTGCGAGGAGACCAAAGATGTGGAACTTGCAATTCTACTTCTAGCTGCAGCTCACAAGCTGCACAACAAACAATTTGCTGAAGCAGGCAAATTCCTCAACTTATGTGATTTCTTGTCTTCCATTACAGGAAACTCAGTTCAGAGAATTGTTCATTATTTCACCAAAGCTCTTCGAGAGAGACTTGCTCGAGAAACTGGGACAGTCACAACAATAGAATCAGAAAATAAAGAAGGAAAGTTAATTCATCCACAACAGACAACAGCCTGTTTGATTCCTTCCCTGATTGCAACTTATCTCCAACTTCCCTATACAGTCACTCAATTTGCTGGAATTCAAACAGTTCTGGAACACTTGGAATCAGCAAGAAAAGTTCATTTTATTGACCTGGCAATCAAAACTGGGGGGCACTGCACTATATTAATGCAAGCTCTTGCAAATCAAAACAAATGCCCAATTGAGCTTCTAAAGATAACTGCTGTCGGGAAAACAACGTCAAAGCTGCAAATGGAAGAAGTAGGTGAAAGGTTGGCCTGTTTTGCCAAGACTTTAAATTTACCATTTACATTCAAAACTGCTATAGTTTATAACATTAAAGATCTCAAAGAAGAAATGTTCGACTTAAGTCATGGTGAAGTTGTTGCCATATACTCAAGGACTATTCTCAGAAACATAATAACACAGACTGATTGCTTGGAATGTCTAATGAGAGTACTAAGAAAAACCCATCCATGCATATTCGTAGTCCATGAGATTGAGGCAAACCATAATTCGCTGGTATTCATCGACCGATTTTTAGAAGCACTACTTCATTACTATAGTGCTCATTTTGATTGCCTTGATGTTTGTTTGGAAAGGTGTGATCCAAATAGGATTGTTTGGGAAACATGCCTAGCACAGGAGATTCAAGACATTGTTGCAGTTGAGGATGATGCAAGGATTTTCAGGGACATGAAGATTGATGAATGGAGGGCTTATTTTACCAGGCTTAAAATGGTGGAGACCGAAATTAGTGTGTCATCTTTAAGTCAAGCACAGATGGCACTTAAGAATTTTGCTTCAGGAAAATCTTGTACGCTTGACAGGAATGATAAATCCATTATTACTAGATGGAAGGGAACTCCACTTCTTTCTCTTTCTGCTTGGAAGTTTCATCAACAAGACCAGTCGAAGAAGAGTTGCGCTAAGAAATCTAAGACGTCTAATTGTGGGATGTTATCTTAATTCGATTGCCAACTTTGATTAATCATATATTAATGGCTCTGCCTTCCGACGACCAGCCGTGGTCGTTGCTTGGAAATTCTCTAGATAACAGGGGAAAAAAGAATTCCCCGGCCGAACAAGTTTCCTGCTGGACGGAAAACTTTCTCTGCCTGACGAAAAAATGGGAGAAAAGTTTCCGCCCATTCTTTATTTTTATTTTTTAAGGCTGCATACCAATTCGGTTTTTGCGGTCCAATGTTAGCAAACAATGGGCCATCGGCCTATGAATTATAACGATGACCCAATAATATATTTTCGTGTGCTTGCTAGTAAATTAAAAAGGCCGTTGCTACGAAACCGACGACGTAGATATGAACAATTCCGCTAAAACTAACTTAACCACCTTTGTATTCCCTTTGCTGCCTAGCAGAGAAGCTTGTGCTAGATATGAGCGTATCTTCCGCTCCCTTTCTCTTTTCAATACCTGACAAATTCACACCAAATTCTCAGTCAAGGAAACCTGATCCTGCCGTTTCACTTCTCCAGCTTTGTAAAAACGTAGAAGAGCTAAAACAAGCACATACCGTTCTCGTCAAGACCTCTCTTATTGGAGAAAAACATGCCTTTGGCCGTCTCCTTTTATCATTTGCCTCCTTTGGGAACCCAGATACTCTTGATTATGCTCAAAAATTGTTCGATAGTATCAATATTCCAAGAAACTCGTTCATGTATAATACCATGATAAGGGGCTATTTGAATTGCGGTAATCCAAGAGAAGCATTTGTTGTTTATTCAAAAATGGTGCATGAGTGTTCTTTGTATCCTGATGATTTCACTTTTACTTTTGTATTTTCTGCTTGCTCCAAGTTCAATGCTGTTTTTGAAGGCAAGCAGGCTCATGCCCAGATGATAAAATGCCCTGTTAAGTTTGGTTCTCATTCTTGGAACTCTTTGATGGATTATTATGTGAAAATTGGAGAGCAGGGATTTTTAATTCAACGTTTGTTTAATAAAATTGAGAGTCCAGATATAGTTTCCTGGAATTGTTTGATTGATGGGTATGTAAAATCAGGGGAGTTAGGTGATGCGCGGAGGGTTTTTGACGAAATGCCCGAAAGAGATGTGGTGTCTTGGACTACAATGCTTGTTGGCTATGTTAACGCTGGTTTTCTGAGTGAGGCTTCTTATCTATTCAATGAGATGCCAGAAAGGAACTTGGTTTCTTGGACTGCGTTAATTAATGGTTACTTGCAAATGGGTTGTTACAGCAAGGCTTTCGAGCTTTTCAAAGAGATGCAAATTGCCAAGGTTGGGATGGACAAAATCACCATAACAACTTTACTCTCTGCTTGTGCCAGGTTGGGGGCTTTGGATCAAGGCCGTTGGCTCCATACGTACCTCAATAAGAGGGGGATTGAAGTTGATGCCCTTTTGTCAACGGCTTTGATTGATATGTATAGTAAATGTGGGCAAATAGACTTGGCTAGGGAAGCTTTTAGAGAAGCACTGGATAAGAAGGTATTTGTTTGGAATTCTATGTTAGGAGGACTAGCAATGAATTCATTTGGAGAGGAAGCTATTGAACTGTTTTACAAAATGATAGAGTGTGGAGTAGAACCTAATGAAATCACATACGTCAATATTTTAGCAGCGTGTCATCATTCAGGTCTTGTTGATGTCGGGTTACATCTCTTCAATAGACTGGTGAAAGATAAAAAACTACAACCTGCAATGGAGCACTATGGATGCCTGGTGGACCTATTGGGTCGTGCAGGTTTGTTACATGATGCATTTCGGGTGGTTGAGACTATGCCTGTGGTGGCTGATGGAACTATATGGAGAGCGCTGCTTGGCTCTTGTAAACTACACGGAAATGTTAAGTTGGGAGAGCAGGTTGGGAGAATTTTAATCAAGATGGAGCCTCTAAATCACGTGAATTATGTGCTTCTTTCAAATATAAATGCAATGGTTAATAGATGGGAAATTGTTCGAGAGTTGAGGGAAGATATGAAAATGAAAGGTTTGACGAAAATGCCTGGTTGCAGCTCGATTGAGCTGCACGGTGTAGTCCATGAATTTGCAGCTAGAGATATTTCTCACCCTAGGAGTAGAGATATTTACGAGCTGTTGGATATAATGGCTAACCACGTGGCACAAGATGTCCATGGACTGTCGTAACAACCTCTGTGCAATGAATCAAGGCACTTGGTAAAATTAATGGATAACTGCAGTCAATATGGTTGATTTCAGTGATCATGCTGATAAACATCAAGTTGTGGGGCTAATATGTAGAATTTGTGATCATCCTGAGGACACTCTTGCCACTGAGCCGCTCAGAATTTTGTGGATGTTCATGACCAACCATATGCTGGATGAATCTGTTGAGACAAAATGGCTGGTTGATACAGGGTAATTATGAGATGCATCGGTCTCGGTAATTGGTATTTACGTGTGATTCATATCTTCATGGGAGGTATACTCACGATCTTAAAGAAAGACCACAAAAAGTAGAGTTTCAGAAAGATAGACCATGATAAACCTAGTGCTTATTTATGCATATTACCTATCATATAGAGTTTGGAGAGCTCGGCATAAATGAGGTCAGATTTCTAGGTCTGTGTATTACTATAAAAACTTTTTGTTAAGCTATATGCATCATCATTGTATATTTTTGTATTTTTGTTGTATCATCTTGAGTTTTTATGTTTTATATCGTGATAATCCTTGATGTGTGCACATTTTTGCTGATAATATTAGTTCTTTTCTCAAGTTAAAAAAAAAAATGCTTAGCAAAGACTAAACCTTTTATTTAAGGAAAGACTGCATTGGAGCATATGAGAATAAAAAAAACAAAAATAAAATTCAAGAGATCCCTTTTGCATATGAATTATCTCATAGAGAGGAAATATGGATCAGGGCGGGAAAAGCAGAGGATTCTTGGCAGTGAAGTGGTTTAGACTCACGACAGTTGCTTATCAATGGTCAATTCTCCAATTATGTTGCTATAAGTTTTGTGATTGAAGCCTTGAATGTCAGAACATTTGCTAGACAATAAGGCAGAACTAAGCCCTTGATTCAATGAATGGATTGGCCTTGAAAATTTGCGTGCAATAATAACTGAATTTATGACCTCATCGGTAGGATGAAAGACTGAAAGAACTTCAAAGCCTTGAAGATCTTGAGGATCAACGACAGGATACATGAATGCTCGGGCACCATGTGCACTCCTTAGCAATAGAATAGCTCCTGGAGCCATATGTTCAGCCAAGTGGTTAATGACCTGAACCTTCTCTTCCTTGTCCATGCCCACTAGAGCTGCCAGGAAAATGACTTCATATTCTTTTAAGCTGCTTGAAACATTCATAATGTCAGCATTGTGGAAAAACATTCGTTTGGACAAATTGGGATCTGATGAAACCAACTGGAGGGCTTTGGAATTTGCTGATGGGTCAATATCATAGTTATGGAAGTAGGTTGTCCTCAAGTGATCAGTGGCTAGGATGATTGAGGTGAGAGGAAGTGGACCAGAACCCACAAAGGCAACGTGATTAGGAATTTGAGTGCAATTTTTGCTAAGCATGGAAAACTCTAATTGGCTAAGTTTGAGGTAATTGGAATAGTAAGGAAAGAGTCTGACATGGTGAAGTGGGTTCTCATGAGATCCTATGATGGTAGAAAAATGGCTTTCTAAGAGTCCCTCAGCTTGGCCACAAAGTTTAATTAGCTCAGACCTAATTTCTTGAACTTTTTCACTCAATTTAGTTACATCTATTTGACACTGGGGAATGCATATGTGTACAAGCTGGGTGAAAAGGTAGTTGACATTCTTGGAGGGAGTAAGGCTTTCTAACCCTGAAATTTTTTCATAGATCTCACAAACCTTTTCTATCACGAGTTGTTCTTGACAGCCCATGGAGACACTAATATGAGAAAGTGGTTAAGCAAGAGCAGCACCCCTTGTTAAGCCAAGAGATATCCTCTATGCCTGCAGGGGGTGCATTTTTATATAGGTATGCCTGAGACAGAAGTGCTTCTCTCATAGGTGTATTGCTCAATTATAGTAATGACCACTTGCTCTATAAGAGCAGCAAAATTAGTATTTTACTCAAGGATAGGAGCACAGTAAATATTTTCTTTTTTAGTGCAAAGAACTGCAATAGACCCATCCTGAAACTATAAAAGCCATTACTGGTCACGCCAGAGAACTTAGTGGTCACTGGATGCAATAGATTATTGCCCGAGTGAAGCTGGATAAAAAACCAAAAGGCATAAACCCACAATCCCAGTCATAAGGCACTTGAGCATGAATCATGATTACTAAAAGACACGACTTCTGCAGATGGTGCCTTTTAATTTTTTGACTGTTATTACCACTACTTAACAGATTACCATGCCATACTATGATGCAGGAAATTGGCTAGGTTAAAGATTCTTACATCTACTGGCACTAAAGTTTTGTCATCGATCTCCGCATGATTGACACCTCATTAATCCATAGCCCTTAATGGAAACACTTTATTCTTCTATTGGTGAACAGGAGAACATGGAAGGAATCATTAACCATTCTAGGCCTATAAATGAGCTCATTATGTCGACATTTCGTGCTGTCACAGGAGGTTAGGTTACTCTTTCAATTTAAATATTATATTCACTGGATGGCCAAATTAATAACGTGGATCATACGTGGGAAATAACTCTCGTTTGACTTACTAAATAAGTGAAAACTCTTGTGGTCGAGAAAATTTGAACTCAATAGTTTTCATTCTTCATATTAGTGAGAAGATCAATTAAATCACATTTAATTAACATTTAAATATTAATTTTAATGTATACTAGAATTCAATCTTGCACTTGCACATGCTTTCACTTGAAGTTTATTTTAATTTGAATATAGTATAAATCAGATGTAATTCTTCTCTACATGGCCATTATAGGTTTTTTAGATGCTCTTTCAGCACATTCTAGTCATCCATATTTGCAGTGGTAAGCCAGCTTGTTTGCTTTACTAATAATAATTAATTAGAGGCACATAATTGTGATCTCACAAAAATTATAAAGGTCACTTTGTTTTTATCAAGTTTTATTTAAAGAAGTAATAAAATTTTCTTTCTAAAAGTATTATCCCTTTTTTTAATCTTTTGTTGGGCCCAACCTTGAAAGGTTTAATGCCTAAAGATATTTTATGGGTTAATGAGTAGCCCAAAAAAACATCTTGCATGTGAATGTGTAGCCCGAAAGTAGCCCATTCCTCAAACAGGCAAGAAGTGATGCGGTGGGCTAGGACGTGTGTTGAATTGCTTGTAGAGGCTTATACCAAACTCGCCACATATGAACAGCGAGAGGTACTGCAAGTTTGCCACTTGTTGAAGCCCAATAAAACAAAGTCGACTATAATTACAATTTACAACAACAGGGATTAAAGGCGCGGCAGATACTGTGGGCGGAAGCGAAGCAGTCGAGCACAGAAAAACAGTAAATGGAGGGAAAAACCAAGGAAGAAGGGATAATTGAGAGGTGGGTCATGAAACACCTTCTGCTATACACTGGAGCCACCAGACACCCTTTTATTCTCAGCATTCGAGATGGGTCTGTCGATATCTCCTCTTTCAAAAGATGGCTGGTACTATACTATTCCTTGAATTCATATTCATATTCTTATTCTCTTTCTCTGTAAATTAGTAATTCCTTCAATTCTTCGAATTTATTTTCCATAATCTGTTTAATAACTGGATTTGGTTGCAAGATTTTTAAAGGATAATAAGCTAGCTAGGGCCAGATTATTGCAAGAAAGGAAGTGACTATAGCAAATATGAAAATTGCAGGAGCAGGATTATATATTTGTAAGAGAATTTGTCCCTTTTGTGGCAAGTGTATTGCTTAAAGCTTGTAAGAATTCTGAGGATGGTAATGATATGGAAGTCATACTGGGTGGTTTGGCTTCTTTAAATGATGAGATTGCTTGGTTCAAGTCAGAGGCCTCAAAGTGGGATGTTTCTCTTTCTAACACTGTTGTCCATAAGGCAAACCAAACTTACTGCAGGTACAATGCATTTCAGCCAGTTAATATTATCTTGGTATTCTTGATCTTGAATTGTGAGCATGCTTATCTCTACAAGATATGCTTAATGTTGCAGAAAGCGTTTTGTTTGGTTCTCCATCGATTATGATTGATCACCCATATATATATATATATATATATAGGTTAGGTTTGGTGGTACAAGACTTTCTTCTTTTGATTTAAATACATTTTATATGCTGTCTTTACAGATTTCTGGAGAGTTTGATGTCACGAGAAGTTGAATATGCACTGGCCCTTACAGCCTTATGGGCCATCGAAGCTACATACCAAGAGAGCTTTGCTCACTGCTTGGAAGATGGCAGCAAAACCCCACCAGAATTACAGGAAACTTGCCGAAGATGGGGCAATGAAGGTTTTGGGGAATATTGTCGTTCTCTGAAGAAAATTGCAAATCGATACCTTGAGAAGGCTTCAGCTGATGTGATTGCAAAAGCTGAAGTAACTTTACTGCATGTTCTTGAACATGAAGTTGAGTTCTGGAACATGAGCCATAGGGGTACCTGAGATTTCCCTTCAAAACCTGAGAGTTTCTAGAGGTTTTTCTCTGCATTTTCAGTGATGTGGTGATGTGAACACTATAGCCAATTAGACTTGTTGTGTTTATAAGTTGTGCAATTTCCTATATTAACATCATTTTGTGAGATTATGATCAAAGAGCTATTCCAACCCTCAGTTCTCTTGTTTCTAAAGGTAGTTTATAGTGGTCAGTGGTGATCAATTTCACGTTTCTCTGATTCAAATGTAAAAACTGCATTTGGAGGGCAAAAGTTCTTTTGCCCTTGTAGCGTGCGCTTCTCCTTGTGTTCTCAACTCAACTTTTGGATTGAGGTTACTTAGCACTCCTCTTAATAGTTTGTTGGTTCAAAGTTTATATATTATTTAAGATGTATTATAACCAAATGCACGATGATGAATAAGTTCGACATTATTCTTTCTAAATACAATTATGATTTTTTAATTATTAAAGTAAATTTTGAATTTTACTTTACAAAACTGTAGAATATGGTGTTTAGGAAATTGAAGTATCATGAATATTTATTTACATAAGATACAATATTTATTGGTAAAATAATAATAAATAAGTTTTAATTTCAAACTAACAGGGATGGATTGTATATGTATATCCATGACTTTTATACATCTTTTAATTGCATGATGTCTAAATGGTTTCTTTTTTTTTTTTTTTTAAATTGTCCTTTATGGAAAAAAAAAAAAAACATGAGAATAAACATTTTGAAAATATTCAGTAGAGTTGGAACTTCAGAGTTTAGACAGACCAAAATTAGAGTACGGATTACAGAACCTGTTGCAGCATGGGCAGGTCCACCCCGTGCTTAAAGTTAATTAACACGAACGGATCACACGAATCAGATGAATTAGAACTCTAGAAGAACACACAAAAAGTTATAATACGTTAGACGGCAAATCATACGACGTCGTTTGCCCCGCATCGAGGACACACGAGTAACCGACGCGCGTGGTCTAGTACCGCCGGATAAACCCAAATAATTTATTCAGTTTTCTTTTTTTTTGTTTTACTTTTTTTCTTCTCAAGGCATCTTTAGAGGAAGACTAGCAGGATAGAAAACGCTACGTTTCAATCCTCTCGTCTCTCTTCGTCTTCTCTTTTCTATACACACTTTCTCCAATCGCTTCCTGCAGAAAACCAACGAACAACAATTCCACATACGAATACAGAGCTCCCTCAGAGAACCTAAACTCCTATTCTCGCGAGTATTGGGCACTCGCTAATATCTCTTAAACTCAAATTTTATTTAATTCTGCAATTGTTGTGCTTTTGGATCCCGTTTACTGGTGCCTTTCAATCCAAGAACGCAAAGACGCACCGAGGCTTTACTCGTTTTTTTTGCTTCGAAATTAAACTCCATTTGAGGTACTCATCCAAACGACGCTTCCGTTCTGACACATGTATTCATTGCTTGTATAATTTTCTGTTGATAAGCTGGATAGGGCTTGTGCCTATGTTGCATTAGATCGCAACTAGGGTCTTTTTTTGCTTCTTTTAATGAAAAATTGATTATACTATGGTAGCATTAGTGACCAGAATTTGAATTTAGGGTTTTTTGGTGGTACAGAGTAATGCATTTGGATTTTTGCTGGTCAGGCTTTCAAAATTATATGAGAGAGTTGAAGGTCTATCAGGAGTATCCATCTGGTTGATTTGTTTGGCACATTACACAAGGTTATAATTCATTCTCAATTTTCTAATTTCTCCTCGTTTGTTAGTTTGATACTTGTTTACTAGACCAGTAAATGTAAAATGTAAAATGCATATGATTGTTGTGAATATGCATGATTGAATGTCTGGTTACAGGGGAGAAGTTGTTTTGGTTAGGGGCGCATATTAGTTTGTGAATTTGGAGAATGAAATTTAGGAAAAGTCTTCTGGTGAATCTTCACTATCTTAACTCTTCTTGAACTTGTATAGGACTGCTTGGATGGCTATCTGTCATAGTGTGTAGAATTTAAATTTTAAAGTACTAGAGGGGGGGGGGATTGAAAAGGACTGTAGTGGGTTCTGTTAATCATACCATGGTTAGTCTTAAACAATAACTGATTTGGGAGCCATCTTCCTACAACATGGGAAAATGACTAGAGGATATGGCTTTGATGCAAAAGTAGAGAGGCAGAAACTGGATTTCCATTTGGCCAAGGGAGCTAGGGAGGTTGACTTTTACTGCGTTCTCCTTAAGAGTGAGATTGCTGCTGTAAACTTCATTTTTCTCTTTCTCGATCGCAATACATTCACTTGTTGTAAGTTTGCAGAGACGATGACCTCATGTGGGTGCCTGCACAGCTTTGATTGTTTGAAGTTGATATTTCATTAGGGTTCTTGGGGAAATAGTGTATTTTGAAGGTTCTATAATTCACTTTTTCTTTAAAGATTTTCAGTCTAGATTGGACTATGGAACACATTTTAAATTGATCAAATCCTTTTGACTTTTAAAATGGCTGTGCAAAGTGGAATACTTATTTATTGATGAACATCTGTTTGTCAAAGGATCATACTTGCCAACTATTAAACTGACAGGTCATGAAGTTATTCTTTGAGAATGTTGGGCCTTGGTTGTGATGTGAGTTCTTCTCCGTTCAGCCCGAGGATATTCAACATTCTTTTGGTTTCTTTCACACTTCTTTTAGGGCTTTCTTTATTTTGAGGATAGGCTGGATTTTTCCTGTTGGATGATTGGAAGAGTTTAATGTTGCTTTTGATACTTGGTTTGATGCAAGAGAGAGAGAGAGAGAGATATCGGAATTTTGGTTTGTTTGTACGCATAAATTTGTGTCTAATGGCTTGTGCTAACGAATTTCGACAGCAAATGGATACCTGCACTGGAAACTAACATAGTGAGCTAAGATGCTCTTTTTATTTATTATGGTTGATTAATGATTTTTTATGTATTTATTTTTTTTGTTATTGTACAAAATAGATTTAAACGACTTATTCTATATTAATTTGCTTGTGTTCATCATCATAGGTAATATGGCTCTCCGGAAGTATATTCCTTCAGCTGATGCACCTTCTGTTGGTATGAAGCCTTTGAATTTTTTTAGTAAGGTGCATGAGAATGCTCAACATGCAGATCCAGAGACAACAGTGGAGCCTGATGTGGATGTTGACCTCAGAGAAGTTTATTTCTTAATTATGCATTTCCTTTCAGCTGGACCATGTCATAGAACATATGGACAATTTTGGAATGAACTTCTCGAACATCAACTACTACCTAGAAGATATCATGCTTGGTATTCAAGGAATGGAGATGAAAATGATGATGGTCTATCATTCCCATTAAGTTACACTAAGTTGGTGGAAAGGTATGAAACATGCTTAGTGCTCTGACCTTTTTCTTGAAGAATATTTTTAGTGAGGTGCATGAATAATATAGCGCAAAATTTTTGTGCTATATTTTTCTCCCAGACTTTGATGTGCCATTTTATCAATTTTATCTGTCAGGTACCCGCACATTGAGAAGGATCACTTGGTAAAGCTTTTGAAGCAATTATTACTTAATGCAGCCTCTAAATCACAAGGCTTGATTGGTGTAAATGCTCTAAATGCTGCTGTTGTTCCTACACTTATGGGAACAGGATCATTTTCACTTTTGAGCAGTAGGTGACATGTTTTTAAGCCTTTAATATTAAAAATCTATTTGTTTTTCATATTAATGTGAGGTTTTTCATTCTGTTGTGTGTATCATCTATTTGTAAGGAAATAATAAAATCCTCATTGTCGTTCCTTCCTCTCTCCTCCTTTATGGAATTTGGTAAAGGTGTAATTTCCAATTTGTCTGATTTTGTAAATCACCTTCTGCTTCAGATGATAGAGATGCGGAAAAAGCCCAAGTAAATCATCCCCCTCTTCATATGCGATGGCCTCATATGCGCGCTGACCAGGTCCGTGGACTGGGTTTGAGAGAAATTGGGGGTGGTTTTTCAAGACACCATCGTGCACCATCTGTCCGTGCAGCATGCTACACTATTGCAAAGCCTTCAACTATGGTGCAAAAAATGCAAAATATCAAGAGGCTAAGAGGACACCGGAATGCTGTCTATTGTGGTATGAATTTTAAGATTAAACTGTTCAATATTCACCATCTGCAGTAAGGTTCCATGTCTCCCTAAATTCTTAACTGAAATATGTCTATCAAGTTGAATCCTTGAAATTACTGTTCGTATTCTTTTTTTGAAGTTCACTGAAAAATATCGGACCTGTTTCTGACACTTCTCTTGATGTGAATCCTGCAGCTATTTTTGATCGCTCAGGGAGATATGTCATTACAGGTTCAGATGATCGCCTTGTTAAAATCTGGTCCATGGAAACTGCATTTTGCTTGGCCAGCTGTCGTGGACATGAAGTGGGTTTGAATGTCTTAAAATCCTGTATCTGCCTTCTATTTTCATTTATTTATTTAGCATTTCATTCTGTGCATGAAAGGGTGACATTACTGACTTGGCTGTGAGTTCAAACAATGCCTTGGTGGCTTCTGCTTCAAATGATTGTATAATTCGAGTGGTAAGCTTCTGTCCAATGTCTCAAGTTTTTTCCCCTTCTGTACATTTTCTATAACTTGATCCTGTGTATTTTCTTTAACTTGATCCTTGAATAATCCTTCTGGATATCAACAGTGGCGTTTGCCAGATGGGCTTCCAATATCTATTTTACGTGGACATACTGGAGCTGTCACTGCCATTGCGTTTAGTCCAAGGCCTGGATCTGTATACCAGCTTCTTTCGTAAGGCTGATTTTTGTGTTCTTAGTTTTATCCTTTTCTGAATTGCTTGGTCATTGTCGATGAGATTGCTTTCTAGTTGATTTTGTTGATCTATATTATAAATATTTGTAAATCTGTTATTGCTGGATAATCTGTTGGAACCTAGACCTATCTCATTCCTCACTTCTTCCTCTGTGAGCTAGGCAGAAGTCTTGGGAACATTAATATAAGTTGAGTTGTATTATTTTAGGATTAGGACATGGCTGAGTTGAGTTGTGCTGAGCTGGTCTGAGTGAGATATAGCATCTCAATGCGATATCTTTAGATTTCAGTTTTTTTGTTTTCATTAAGTTGTACCCATGTGATACTTGATGTTTCATATAATTGTTTGTTGATCTATGCACTTTGCAGATCATCTGATGATGGAACATGTAGGATCTGGGATGCTAGATATTCCAACTTCAGTCCACGGATATATATTCCTAGGCCTTCAGATTCATTAGCTGGTTGGTTACCTTTTTATGCGAATTTGTAATTGATCCACCGATACATTTGTTGGAAGAACTTACAAGGACATTTGAATGGCTGCAGGGAAGAACAGTGGTCTATCCTCAAGTAGTGGTCTGCAGAGCCATCAAATATTTTGTTGTGCATTTAATGCTAATGGAACTGTGTTTGTCACTGGTAGCTCTGACAATCTTGCTAGGGTATATTTGTTGTCCCTTTCTTGAGTTTGTGCATGCACGCTCTGCATACTGTTTATTTTTTTTATTTCTTTTTGAGGTAAAAGATGGTTTCTCTTTATTGGTATGTAAATAAGTTAATAGCTAGTTAATTGCAGGTATGGAATGCTTGTAAGCCAAACAGTGATGATTCGGACCAACCTAATCATGAGATAGACGTGCTATCCGGTCATGAGAATGACGTCAACTATGTTCAGTTTAGGTTGGTGTGTCATGGTCTGGTCACCATGTTCTTGGAAAAATTTTGAATGCTAAGACATGGTTGTCATATTTTGCAGTGGATGTGCTGTGGCACCTAGGTTTTCTCTCACTGATAGCTCAAAGGAAGAGAATGCTCCAAAATTTAGAAATTCATGGTGCGTTTGTGGGTCCCTCAGTTATATTTGCATGCTTACCCTTGCGAGCTGTATCATTCACCCTTATTATAGTTTTATTAGATGGATTAGAGATGAATGAGTACAACTATTTTTGTGTTAAGGTTTTCTCACGACAACATAGTTACCTGCTCTCGAGATGGCAGTGCAATTATTTGGATTCCAAGACCACGTAGATCACATGTAAGCTGATAATCTCTCATATACTGTCACTTTAGTCCTCTCTTCTGTATTAGATTTCGTGTGAAGCAGCGGTATTCAGCCCATCGCTGTTTGTGAGGTTCAATTCAGTTCAATCTATCACAGGTTTTTATCATTGATTTTTGAAAAAAGAAATCACGTATTCTTTCTTAGGGGAAAGTAGGCCGTTGGACTCGACATTACCACCTGAAAGTTCCTCCACCACCAATGCCTCCCCAACCTCCCCGAGGAGGTCCGCGTCAAAGAATTCTACCAACTCCTCGTGGTGTGAATATGATCGTGTGGAGCTTGGATAATCGTTTTGTCCTGGCTGCTATTATGGGTAATGTTTGCACTGTGTGTATGCCCACATGCTTGAACACTTCTATTTTTCCTTACACTTGAGAATGTATTCATGGATGTATAAACTCATCTTTCACCAATCCTTTGATAGCTCCGTTTCTCCCTTTTTTTTTCTTTTTCCTGCAAGATAAATGGCTAAGCTAATGACAATTTCCTCTTCATTTCATATTGAGATTTAACTCCTCTATTGAACAAATGTTTCTTTATTAATTCTTTTTAATCACCGGACATGGAGAATCCCTTGTGGCAACCATATTCTACTCGCTTCTCTTTTATCATTATATAAATGTGATTTAAGTGGATTTAGTGCTTTAAATGCATGTCTAGCATGATAAATTACATCTATCTCTGTCTCATATATAAATAAAAATTTTCCAACTATGAGCAAAAGCATTGTTCTTTATTTTTTCTTGGTAATATGTAGATCAAATTGACCAAACAGCATATACTGTTGTGCAGATTGTAGAATTTGTGTTTGGAATGCTGCTGATGGTAGCATAGTACATTCTTTGACCGGCCACACTAATTCTGTGAGTAGTTCTTCCTAATATCTAGCCCCAACGAAATTCCCTCTCCTATACCTCTTTTTCTCATGATTAGAGAAGTGATGATGAATGTTGTTTTGCATACATGCCTGTCTTGATATACCTCACTTGGATTCTTTAACTTCTCACAAGCTTGTATGTGATGAATCAAATGTTTCTGACTATAATTTTTGCGTTATTGGCAGACATATGTTCTGGACGTTCATCCTTTCAACCCACGGATTGCTATGAGTGCTGGCTATGATGGAAGAACAATAGTGTGGGATGTGAGTTCTAGTTTATTCAAGCATATCCTAGTTTCTAAGTTGTTTCTTCATTTATTGAATAATTTCATATCATCTTCCTTTAGATATGGGAGGGCACACCCATCCGGATCTACGAGATTTCCCGTTTCAAGTTAGTTGATGGCAAGTTTTCACCGTAAGTGCAAGATAGAAATTATTGTTATAGAAATTCTTTTCTTTTTTGTTTCTGTCGGTTATTATTCTTCCTTCAGATCATACCACCAAATTCGTTGATTCCTGTAGCTTTTTAGTACTTTGTCACGTTAAATTGAAGAAATTGCAAGCACTTTTAGCATTGAAGATATTCCAAATTTCTATTCTTTTGAGAGGAAATTATGAGTGAGCCTCGAGGCACACGTTCTTTGAAGTGGATTTTAAATTGTGTTTTGCATTTTTCAGTACACTATGCTGTTATTAGGTTACTGGTGGATATTTCTTTAAAGCTGGTGGGAATATTGCAACTGATGTCATTATATCTATATCCTGCTTTTTGTGATAGGGATGGGACATCCATTATACTTTCAGATGATGTTGGTCAATTATATATATTGAACACAGGCCAAGGTGAATCCCAACAAGATGCTAAATATGACCAGGTACCTTAATATTATCAGTAACTGGTTTTGCTTTTGTTATGCTTTACACAGGACAAGGTTTCTCGATAACTTGTGATACTTACAATTGACACACTTCTTCACAGTTCTTCCTTGGTGATTATCGGCCCCTTATGCAAGACACCTACGGAAACATAATTGACCAAGTTAGTTATCTATGAACTACTAAACTTCAGTGAGCTATTTTTTTTTTTTTTTTTTTTAGGTTAGTTATCTATGAACTACTAAACTCAGTGAGGCTATTTTTTTTTTTTTTTTTTTTTTCCATCATGTGCTAATATGAATCATAACTTGCAAAGGACTTACAATAAATTTTATTCATTTTTTGGGGTATTTGTATTGAAGTTTGTTTTTTTTTTTTTTTTTTTTTTCATCATGTGCTAATATGAATCATAAACTTGCAAAGGACTTACAATAAAATTTATCATTTTTGGGGTATTTGTATTGAAGTTGTGCTTCTTATTGACTTCAACCATGTGAACATGCAATTCAGGAAACTCAGCTTGTACCATACCGACGAAATATGCAAGATCTTCTTTGTGACTCGGGTAATCTCTCACCTGGGAAACTCTAAGCATTATAATGTCTTATTGCATATTCTTTGTGATGGTATCATACTCGTTCTTACGTTCCTTTTGGGGCCACTAGGAATGAATCCCTATCCAGAGCCTTATCAGAGTATGTACCAAAAGAGACGCTTAGGAGCTCTGAATATGGAGTGGAAGCCACCTTCTATAAAACTCACTGTGGTGCCTGACTTCAGCTTAGACCCAGATTTCCAAATGTTGCCGTTGGCAGACTTGGATGTTCTGGTTGAGCCACTGCCTGAGTTTGTAGATGCAATGGATTGGGAGCCAGAAAATGAAGTGCAAAGCGAAGATTCAGATTCAGAGTACAATGTCCCTGAAGAGTATTCTACTGGAGGTGAGCAAGGGAGTTTGAATTCTAGCTCCTCTGTTGATCGGGAGTGCAGTGCAGAAGACAGTGAAGTTGAGGGCAGGAATGGTTTTCATAGATCTAAAAGGAAAAAATCAAAGGCTGAAGTAAGTGTTTTCTAATCAATTCTGTTTCAAAGTTATACTCATGGTACATTATTGACACTGTTCTCTCTCTCTCTCTCTCTCTCTCTCAGATTGAGATAATGACTTCTTCAGGAAGGCGTGTTAAGAGGAGGAATTTGGACGAATGTGATGGCAATACATTGAGAACTAACCGAACTAGGAAATCAAGGATTGGCTGTAAAGCTTCAAAAAGGAAGTCTTCTACATCAAAGGGTTTTAGACCTCAAAGAGCTGCTGCCCGCAATGCTCTTACATTGTTTTCAAAAATAACAGGAGCAGCTACAGATGGAGAAGATGAAGATAGCTCAGAGGCCGATTCATCAGAAAGTGAATCCTCACTGCAAAATTCAGATATCCAGAGTGATGAATCAGAGAAATCTTTGCAAAATGAACGGAACAAGCATTTGAAAGGGAAAGAAGTTCCATTGGAAGATAATGAAGATTTTGTTAAATCTCATGAACAATCTCATTTGAATGCTGGAAACAGGGGAAAATTGGTCCTCAAACTGCCAGTTCGGAATTCAAACAAGTTTGTTGTGTCAGAGACTAAAACAACTAACCATCAGATTGATGTAGGCCCATCATCCTGCAAGGCTCCAACAGAAGCCAGCAATGTAAATAGGGTTCATATTAGATCAGTAGATTTGGAACGCTCCTCTAGTTATACAAATGGCACCGCAGTGAAAGCGAAGGAAAGAGGACAAACAGATAGCTATATGTCTGAAGGATATAGAAATGAGGATATCAAATGGGGAGGTGTTAAGGCTCGAACATCTAAGCGTCAGAGATTTGGAGAAGCCATGTCATCAGCTGCATATGCAAGATTTGGTTTATGTTTTAGTGATCGCAGGGAGAGAGAGAGTAATCTGAACGGACATGTAAAATCTCAGAATACTTGTGGCACATCCTCTTCTGCAGAAGTTCAAGATTACGCAGCAGATAACACAAATGAAGTGGGAGCAACAGGTAGGGAAGATACGGCAGCTGATACATCTGATGTTGTGAATACCATGACCAACGGTAAAGAGCACCTGAACTTCAATGAATGCATGGATTCTGATGAATTGCCTATGGTGGGTCACACTGCTAATGGAAATGACAGCTCTCTTGAATTCAAAGAAAGCAATATACCCATCTCAACAAAGTTAAGGATAAAATCAAGGATGATTTCAAGAGAGTCCTCAGAAAATCAGGGAAATGAGGGGTCTTGTATATTACCTGCCAGTCTTGCTGAAAACACAGATACTCCAGTTTTAGAAGTGCCTAAAAATGAAAGAACCAATAGAACCACTCCAGTTAATGAAGGCGATGAATTTCAGGAACCAAATGCTCAAGTTGACAAAATTTCCATGCCCTTATTGAATGACACAATTGGTTCCAATACACATCCAAAAAAGATGTTCAATGTTGTTTACCGAAGATCAAAGTTGAGTAAAGATAGAGCTAACTCAGAAGGTGATAGTGGCACAAGAGAAGGTGTTTCACATGCTAGTGCAGACGAACAATACACTGGATGTATCTTGCATGAAGACATCACTGATGGACCTCATAGAACTGATATCACAGGTTCAAAGGCAACTACAGATGATCTTATGAATTGTAATATCAAGTTGGGACAGGAACATGACTCTGATGATGTATGTAGAAATGCCGATAATGGCTCCATAAGCAGCAGATGTCAACTTCCTAGTGAAGAATGGGGATCAAGCTCAAGGATGACAGTTGGATTAAGATCATCTAGAAATAGGAGAACTAGTTACCATTTCCGTGATGCAAGTCCAGTAGATAGAAGAAAGGCAAATCAATCAGGAAAAAAAGTGTCGTGGCTAATGTTGTCGAAGCATGAGGAGGGTTCTCGTTATATTCCCCAGCAGGGGGATGAAGTAGTATATTTTAGACAGGTTAGTCATAAGAGATATTAAAGATTTATTGTTGCTGACTTGTAACTCAATCTTTGTTTAGATTTTTGTGATTTAGGTTTGATACTTGCAATGGTTCATTTGGAGTTTGCTGTTTTTCAGGGGCATCAGGAGTACATAGACTACATTGGATCAAGGGAAACAGGCCCTTGGAAGTCTGTTAAGGGACATATAAGGGCAGTGGAATTCTGTAAACTTGAAGCCCTCGAGTATTCCACATTACCAGGATCTGGAGATAGTTGCTGCAAAATGACTCTTAAATTTGTAGATTCTACTTCTGACGTATGCCAAAAATCATTTAAATTAACTCTACCTGAAGTGACAGGGTTCCCAGATTTTCTCGTTGAGAGAACTCGGTTTGATGCTGCTATGCGAAGAAATTGGACATGCAGGGATAAATGTAGAGTCTATTGGAAAAATGACGGTGAAGGAGATGGTAGTTGGTGGGAAGGCCGGATTCTTTCTGTAAAGGCTAAAACTTCTGAATTTCCAGACAGTCCATGGGAAAGGTATACTATTCAGTACAGGAGTGACCCCAGAGAAACACACCAACACAGTCCTTGGGAGCTTTTTGATTTTGATTCCCAATGGGAGCAGCCTCATATTGATGATGAGATCAGAAACAAGCTAATATCTGCCTTTGCCAAACTGGAGCAGTCAGGCAATACAGAACAGGTAGTCACAGAATTTAGGGGATTCTTCTTTAATAAAATTTCATTAATGTTGAAGCACATAGCTGCTGAATAAATGGGATATGTCTCTGAATTTTGTCCTGAATATTCTCAGGATCGCTATGGGATTCAGAAGTTGAGGCAAGTATCACAGAAGACTAATTTTACAAACAGGTACACGTCTATTTCACCTTTATTTTGCATGTCTCTTCTACTGGCATGAACTGTCTTAACTGGTCGAATGCATGTATGCATGTGCAATGTGCGTCTAAAATTGGAATACAGATAATGAAAATTGGAGCATGAACCATTGTATGAATATATGCTGTTTTTCTCAGGTACCCCGTTCCTTTGTCTCTTGAAGTCATCCAGTCAAGGTTGGAGAACTACTACTATCGAACTTTGGAGGCGGTGAAACATGACATTGAAGTCATGCTAACAAATTCAGAATCATACTTTATAAAGAACTTAGAGCTTTCCGGGAAAATGAAACGGTTGTCAGGCTGGTTTAAAAAAACGTTATCATCCTTGTAGCCCCAAAATTGAGTTTTGTAGAGGATAGCAGCTGGCCCATCTGGGTTTTTCCGTTTCTTTTCTTTATCCTTTTTATTCTGTAGATATGATTTTACATTTTTTTAATTAGAATTTAATATTTTTTTTTCCACATGGTATATTCATCATTGTATAGACATGCTTATCCGCATCATCATTAATAATAACAAGAAATACACATGTCAAGCGTTTAGTCTCAATGTTGCTGTTGAATGTAATTGCTATTCTCTATTTTAGAAAAATGCGGTTTAATGATGGGACAGAAAAATTTGTACTCATGCATGATTAAGTCTTTGAACCTTGTCTCTCCACCAATCTCCACAATCCAAAATTGAGGATAGTCTCCCTCAAATCAGAAGAAAAAAAAAGGTCTTGTGACTGGAGCCCTTTAGAAGTCCCATAATGATACGGATTGTCAAAATTCAGAACTCATTCTAACAACGACAATGGTGGCAAAATAAGAACAATTCCCTTCCGAAGGGACTCCTATATAGAGCCCCGACTTACGGCAAGTTACAAGAGTTAACCAGTAAATATGGAAATGTATATAATATGGATAGACTTGGCCATCAACATAAAACATCTAAATCTATCATCATTAGAGCCTTGTTGATTGATATGCAGATGCATCTCATTCCCTCCACCGATGCCCACAATTTGGATTGCAGCAGACGAAGAACAGTGTCATACCCTCCTCTCCCCTGGCAGTTGCCTGAGTATTCCAAGAAAAAAAAAAAAAAAAAAAAAAAAAAAAAAAAAAAAAAAAAAAAAAAAAAAAAAAAAAAAAAAAAAAAAAAAAATAAAAAAACGCTTGAAGCTACTGAAATGGTGACTTAATTTGTTGCAAGCATCCCGTAATTTCCTATTTTTCCCCTTTTGGGGGTTAAAAAAAAAAAAAAAAAAAAAAAAAAAAAAAAAAAAAAAAAAAAAAAAAACCTTGAAGCACTGAAATGGTGAACTTAATTTGTTCAAGCATCCCTATTTCCTATTTTCCCATTTTGGGGTTGCTTTAGAAGATTAGTTAAGCTACATTACAAATTTAAGGGCATGGAATTAATTCTCCAGATAAACACACAACCAAGACCAGAAATCAAATTGCATTGGTCCAGATTTACACTAATTAAAATTCCAAAAGTTACATTTTTAATAGGTACAAGGTTAAATATAATGGCCTGAAATACTGTACCTTAGAGCTGCTGCAAATGACAAATAAGCAAAAATTAAAAGTAAAACTCCTTATATGAGGACTGGATATACTTTCAACTCTTGCACACTTAATAACATAAATCAATGTGAAATGTGTGTGCGTGTACAACTGCGTCCTTGTCTGGATTGGAAACTAATTCTATGTTCCCTAATATGATATTATATAAGCAGAAAAAAATTTTGAAATTCACCTGAAGAAGTAAACATAAAATCATGTAGAATTTAGAAATAAGTATGATCCCCTAAGAAAAACTATTATCTGATGTACCGTTTTCTTTTCAATACTTTCGAAGAAACTAGACATCAATCCTTCACTCTGCCCCATATCCATCAATCCAGAAATCATACAGCCAGTGCTCATATTTGTTTTAGAATGTTATCAGTATATCCTTCAAAAACTTTTTGCAGGTCAATAGCTTAATACCAGGGTATGGTATTAAAGGCATACTTATCCTATCTAATAGTGAACATCTCATCTTATTCCACATCAACAACATACCCAGTCTACCATATTTACCCCTAAATAAGAATACAACTTTCCTCTGATTCTATTTGGTTTCCCAGCAAATTTTGCAAAATTTTTTACAAAGGACCACAGCTGGTCACAAGAAGAATCATATTTTGCAATTTATGTCTGCAATAAAAACCATTAAAAATTAACATGAATGTAAAGAGACTTTCTTTTGACCAGGAAAAGAAACAGTAAGTGCCTATTACTTTAACATGCCAAAACCGATGGATTTTACTTGATATTGGCTCATGATAGAGAATATCAACAATTTTCTGAATGGCATCCTATGATGCATAGTTTCATAGACAGGATAAGAGCTAACCTGGAAGAAGACAGCTTCTTGATGTTTGCAAACCTGGCATGATACAGCTTTAGTGCGAGGAAGCGTTGGATCTGCAGCTACATCCTGCAATACCTGAGTGCGCTCAGCCACCGAATGATGCACTTCATTTCTGTAGACACAGTTGTTGTCGGCAGCCTCCTGCAATGAGTTAGAAAAGAAAAATGATAAAACAGAGGCAAGAATATAGATATTGTGTTCATGTAAGCCTGTACCAAAAAAAAAAAAAAAGAAAAAAGATAACAGCATTCCTCTTCACTTCTGTGAGTACAATTTATTAAAAACTATTCCCTGAACAATATAACAGTAAATACAAAGTCATTCCTCTTCACTGAAAATCATCACTGCAAGCAGCATTCTTTTCGAAAAATCAAACGATACTCCACATCCTGATGCAACCCCAAAAAGAAACACAAACTTTGATGCAGAGATCTTTTTATTCACTCATTAACATTTAAGCAACAAAAGAACTGGAAAATTGAGGCCCAGTTTGCCTCTTATGCGTGTAAGTGCATATAATGAACATTAAAAAACTTAAATAAAAGGCAACAGAATCAGTTCCTAAGTCCCCTTCTACCAAACCTGGTTTATAGTAGTAATATTTGCGTCTAGAAAAACAGAACAGGAACCCTAAACAAAAATCGAAGAGAAAGAGACCTGATGTTCGCAGTTGCGGCAAGCAAAGAGCAAGACCTTGTGATCCCTATCCTCCTTAGGGTAGAGAATATTGTTGCTACAATCAATTTAAAAAACAAAATAAAATTAAGATTAAATGCCAAAAAGGAAGAATGCCGGTTGATAATCGATCACAGTTACCATTCGCGGCAAAATTTCATAGTACTCATCTTGCGATTGGAGAAGAAGAAACCAGAGCTGGCAAGTAGTAGCGTAGGCGAGAGAGGGTTTTTCTGGCGCGCGGGGTTTTTGCTTCTTGCTACACTGTCAACACAATTGGAGAATATGGGCTTGTTCACTTTAAAGCCCGTGGAATTTGGACTACAGAACCCAGCATTGAATCATCAAATGGGCCTCACTGTATAATGTGTAATAGAACCCAAAAGAAGCAGAATGAGGGTAAATTTGGGCTAAAGGTAGGTGACATTCCATAATTATTCTGAACTTTTGGCCCAAATCTAATACTGGTAAGTGGTAACGAAGATTTCAAAAATATCAGAAGAGAACATCTTACAGCCTATAGCACCATTGAAAATCAATCATCAGGAATGCAGCAGAAAAGGGTCAAACCATGCAGTAAATATCTCACATTTACACTCCAAAAATGAGTATCATATACTGCTGAAATCACAAATCCTTAAATCAGAAATAAAACGATTTAACAAAATTTTAAATATTCGGTTGGACTATCAGGTGTTAGCTTGAGTTAGTTGCTTTGGATTCATGGCTTCACTTCAAAATGAACTGGCTAATAGTTACATTCATGAAAAGGGGAAAAAAAAAGGTTAACACCTATGGAGATATCAGTTTTCTTATGCTGCATATGACTAACTAAAACATAAGATTTCTTTCAGTGGTCAAAACTATACAAACTATATACAGAGCCAGCATTAAGAGCTTCAAATTCGTTTGCAAATAGCTCTGAATTCATGTGCAGATGTGATCTTAATCTCTCCACCGATTTCCACAATTTGGATTGCAGCAGACATAGAACAGTGTGAATCCTTCCTCTCTAGAAGTTGCCTGCAATTTTTTACACACATAAAATAACAATAATGTCCAAAAAATTTCAATAAGTCCCTGCATTAACCCCGCAAACTCACACTTCCATGTCAAATTGGTATTACCAGTATGAGGAAGAGAATTTACCTGTAAAAAGACAGCTTCGCCATGGCCACATGCACTGCAGCGAACCGATTTAGTTCGAGGTAGAGTTGGATCTGAGGCTACATCCTGCAATATTTGTGTGAATTCTGTAACGGAGTGCTGTACTTCATTTCTATAAACACGATTATTATCTGCAACCTCCTGCAAGATTTTTGGTAACTAACTTAATACTTGATAACTAGGATAATATTTCACGATTCCTGTACATTAGGTTCCATTACAAGTCACCAATGTAGCCTTAGTTCTCATTAATTCCTTCGAATGAATCTTTCCTGCCGTATAAATGATGACAACAATTTTACATATTACAGAAGAAATATAATAAAATGCTGTCAGAAATTGTCAAATGACAAGAGAAGAGAGAGGGACACCTGGTGATCACAGTTTCGACATGCGTAGAGGAGGATCCTCTGCTTCTTGTCTTCCTTGGGGTAGAGAATGTTGTTACTGAAATTGTTTGAAAAACATAGCCATATATCAATACATGTCAACAAAACTGAAAAATGAAAACCAACAAGTAGCTCACAATTTCTTCTTTGTTCATTCTGATTTTCTTGCCCCAGTGAAAGAAGATATATCCAGAAAACACTCACAATTTCTTCTTTGTTCATTCTGATTTTCTTGCCCCAGTGAAAGAAGATATATCCAGAAAACACTCACAATTTCTTCTTTGTTCATTCTGATTTTCTTGCCCCAGTGAAAGAAGATATATCCAGAAAACACTCACAATTTCTTCTTTGTTCATTCTGATTTTCTTGCCCCAGTGAAAGAAGATATATCCAGAAAACACTCACAATTTCTTCTTTGTTCATTCTGATTTTCTTGCCCCAGTGAAAGAAGATATATCCAGAAAACACTCACAATTTCTTCTTTGTTCATTCTGATTTTCTTGCCCCAGTGAAAGAAGATATATCCAGAAAACACTCACAATTTCTTCTTTGTTCATTCTGATTTTCTTGCCCCAGCGAAAGAAGACATATCCAGAAAACACTCGTCATCGAAGTGTCAAATCAACTTTCACTGTTTCACTATATATAGTACGACAAAAATTAACTAGAAATGAAGAGGGGGGTAGAGATAGAGAGTTCTTGTATGTTCTACAGGGAACAAAGCTCGCCGCTTGGATGACGTGGAAATACAAAGAATATGTAAAACAAATATCAGTACAAATACAGCATCCGCCCTAGAGAAATATATTTAAGAAAAAAAAAAAACAGAATGAGAGAACCGCTTCGATTTGCAAAATCAAGTTTCTTTTACATAGAAAACTCAAGAACATACTAACAAGTTTCACATGCTACAAAAAACTACTTTTGACTGGCGATTATTACATCACAAAGCAAGAACAGAAGAAAAGAAATGATCAGCAACAAATCTACTAGACTTATATTTGCTTCCCTCCTGTAAGAGGGTCAGTTGCTTAACGTAATAGCAACACGGATATAAGCGAAGCTGATATGAAATATTCATCTGCCTTTCTGCTTGACCACCTAATTTTAGCGTCTTCTGCTGTGCCTCTTTTTCCTCCTGCTGCTCCTATCATCAGAGTCAGATTCTGAACCGGAGTCAGAATCGGAGGATTCAGAACTCGAGCTGTGCCTCCCCCTCCTCCCCTTCTTCTTCTGCTTTTTCTTCCTGCGACGACGCCTCTCTTCCTCTGAACCAGAGGAAGAGCTGTAATCTGAACTCTCTTCCTCGGAAGAAGATTCTGTTTCTGTAACGGATGACCCCCCACTATCACTTTCAAAAACTGAAGCCTCGCTATCACTGCCAGAATCAGAATCTGATCTATGCTTCCTCTTGCTTTTCTTAGATGATTTACCTTTCTCCTCCTTAGGATCTGGATTATCCAGATCGTATGAGATGGAAAGCTTCATCCTCAATTTAGGGTTCTTAAGCTGCTGTGTCCTTGAGGGACGTGCCATGTAAACCCTTTCATTCTTGCACTCAAAAGTCCAATGTCCGGTTTGAAAACATTTCTGGCACTGAGCACTGCCACCAGCAGTGGACATAGTAGACTTAAGGTCTTTTCTTTCACCCAATCTCACTTGTTTTTCTGTACTCATCAAGTACATCTGCCGTTTAGCTTCCCTTTTCTCTTGCCATCGGCTAGGCCCTTCTTCCTTTTGCCCATAAGCATTAACATTGCGGGCAGCTGCAGCCGCAGCCCTTTCGGCTTGGGCACGACTAAGGCCTTTTGCAGCACTCAATGCGGCAGCCTTGATCCTCTCAGCTGCTGCCTGAGCTTTCTCTTCCTTCTTGCTGGACATTATTTAGAACCTCGATATCCACAATCTTCAACCACGGTAGCAAGTCAAGCTACAAAAATTAATTTAATCAGTTGATTTAGTAGGATTGTTCATGTTTCTCCAAATTGCAGTAGCTGATTTATAATATACCCATAGATATTTCAATAAACAAATCTTTACCCTAAAAGATAAACATAACAGCACCAAACAAATTCGGAAAAAGAAACGGCAGAGTATGTAAGCGGAAATAGCAATAGCGAGTAAATAAAACCCTAATACATGAAAAATTAGAAACCAATATTTCCAAGCGTCATACAAAGGAAGCTTTCTCCTCCCCTACTCCTCTGAATGCACATTTAATTTATGCCCTAACTATGTATAAACATAAAACGAGATCAAACCACCAAACGAGATCAACCCATAAAAGGTAAACAGAGAAAAAAGCCAGCGTACCTTCAAGTACTCAAGACAGCGAGGTAAAACCAATTTGCGGATCTAAGAGGCGACAAGAGCTTGAGCCACCGTTCCAAGGCGGTCGATCCTCGCTCGACGGAATTCTCCAAATTCTCCTGTATATACCGCGTCGACTCTTTGGGTTTGGATATTTGTGCGGGCTCTATTTATAATGGGCTCATTATGACCGTTGTTCTAATTCACCATATTATAGCCGACTTATTCAACGACGAAGTCGTCGAGATTAATTCCGCCTAGCCAACTGCACGATAGGAGCGTAAGAAAACCACACGACAGACTTTCCAAACGACAAAAGTAATACTCGTCGGTCTGACGTGTAAAATAAGGACATTATCAAACGACCATACAGCTTACGAGGGACTTCATCATCAAACGATAGAATTTCTTTTTTCCTCGGTCTTTTTCCCAAACTACTTTGGGATCAAGATATTGTTGTTTTTGTCGTTTTGAAATATTTCACTATAATTACGGATAGTTTTTAACATTTTAGATGGATTTTTCAATATCAATAATTTAACAATATAAAAAACTAAAGTGAAATCAAAATCTCTGAATTACTTCCATACTAAAAAATATTACGTTGTCGTTTTTTCTTACTGACCCTTATTAATGATTCCATACGCCAGTTTTTTCTCACTGACTTATTAATGATTCCATACACCAATGATATTACCAACCCTTATTTGAATCATTAACGGTTCCATGCGCCAAAAATATTGCCAACCTTTATTTGAATCAAAGGTTATTTATGATTGGTATATATATGCATTTGTTGTTATTTATGATTGGTATATATATACACATCAAACGTTGTTTATGATTAATTTGACATATACATCAAACATTGTTTATAATTTGGCGTATAATATGCTCACACACCGATGTAGATAAATTTGTTCCTATTTATCATGAATGCATTCATTTACCCAAAAAAAAAAAAAATTTGGTTTGATTTTAAACATTTTGATTTGATTTATAAATGAAACTCATTTACTGGATATAGATATATCTTTCCTATTATATGGACCAAAAAAAAAAAAAAAACAATGGATATAGATATATCTTTCCTATTATATGACCAAAAAAAAAAAAAACGAGGAATAAAGAGAGATAAAAGAGGCCAAGGGGCTAGATTAAGGGTAAGCTGTAACATATTTAAAAATATATATATTCTAGAATCACTAGAAAAGTTTTGAAAAAAAAAAAAAAAAAAACGAGGATAAGAGAGATAAAAGAGGCCAAGGGCTAGATTAAGGGAAGCTGTAACATATTAAAAATATATACTATTCTAGATCACTAGAAAGTTTGATGTTCATTAGCTCCATTAGAGTTGCTAGGTATATTTCTAAACTTTGATGTCATCTACTAGGCAACATATCATGTATCAGAAATTTAGAATATCCCAGTGAGGAGATTTGCAGCAGCGGAAATGGCAGCTCCAGTGATGGCACATTGCACAAGTTGCTCATGGGAAACATCATCTGTTGTAAGCCCCAATGCCAACCCTGTTAAAGCCCCAGCAACTGCGCTATTTTTCTGCGTCAAACCGAAGCAATAGGAATCAGATAACAGAAAGAGAGAGAGAGAGAGAACACAATTAGCAAGGTCTCGTAATTGCACAAGATCAATGCCAAAATCCCTTAAAAGACACTGCAAATCTTCACTTAGCACACTAATTCTACATTACCCAATCATGTGCTCCACGAGCCTCTCTCAGTCCATAAGTAAGACCTGAATAAACCCCTGCAGCCAGTCCTGCACCATCAAACACAGTTCTGTCATACTAACACAATTATCCGAATTCTTAACTTGTCAGTTTCAATTATGCAATTATCATCCAGATCACAAGATACTCTATACTCCCCTTTATAGAGTGCACTATACATATCACAAAATACTCACCCCACTGTAAGGATTCTTCTCCTGTTCTCTTCACCTATAAAAGACAAAGACAATACAGCAGGGGAAATGTTAGGTGTCTTTTCCTGTCCTTCGTCCAACGAATTAGCAAAGTAAATTTCACATACTGAACTTCTAAGGCAAGAGTTCTTTAATACTAGTTTATTGCAATTCATTCATTGTGATATAATTAACTGATGGAAAAGATATGAAAGAAATACAAACGAAGTTATGAGTTCAAATTTCCCTTCTTGAATTTTTCATAATATATTCCACCACTCTCTATTGTTTACCAAATAAATCAAGTAAGTTTGAATATTGAAATAAATTAACAGTTCGAAACTCACCAATGCTTCAAGAGATTTGACGCTGGTTTCTCCTGCAAAGCAAAAAGAAAGAAAAAAAGAATGACATCAAGAAGCAACATAGTTCAATACAATTTGCAACAATCACCAATATACAGCTACCTTTGAGGTTAGGGAAACGTCGTTTCTTTGCAGCACCAGAGAGCTCCGGCGGCAGACCACTACTTGAATCAAGTCCATTACCTATATACAATTAGAACCAAATTGAGACCAAATATATTCAGTTGAAAAATAATGATGCAGATGATGATAACCATAGCAAAAATGTTGTTATTACGATCACACCTTGACTGGCTGTCAAATAAGCCTCCCGTGACACCGCCTGAATTGCTCCAATCTGAAACCACCAATACATCTCTCTTATTAGATGATTAATATGAAGACTTTTAAACCTGATGATGAATTTAAAAAAAAAAAAAAAGTTCCGTATGTAATGTACCCCAGCAGCTTTGACAAAGCTCTCAGCGATGCGGTTGAGGAGAGGATGGCCAAGATCAAAGGACCAACCTTTTTCCAAGTTACGGAATTCATCCATCAATGACCTTGTCTCCAAATTACTGCTCATCTTTGTTACAGCTGACAACGAGCACGACAAAGTGGCTATGGAATCAGAAAGATGCTATGTAACCGGTGGCAGAAGAGAGAAAATGGGACTCGGAAACAATTTACAAAGTGAAGAGAGGACACGTCTTCATTACGTGTCCGCTTGCCATAACAAGATTGCTGAATTCGTGGCGTTGCTGGGATCTATTTCGACCATCATGTGTCAGTCATACATTGATTTTGTTTTGTTTACAGCAGTGGTAGCGCAGCTTTGCGAAATTGTAGATTATAAATTTCCACTTCTAATTGCAAATTTGGAACCTGAAGAATCTGAAATCTTATTCGTCCAATAATATTATTTTTCTTAGAATAACTTCGTAATTCTCACCACAAGGAAATGCAGCTATGCATTCAAACATAAATCAATGCTGCAATCTAATAAGCACCATTGAAAGAAGAATCAACAACCCATTATATTATGATATTAGATACACATACTACACTTGCCAGAGAAATGAAAGTCATAAATGACTGCAATTAGTAAATTCAGTATCTCAGGAAAAATGTGAAACCGCTTCACACTAATGCACATTGATGGAAACAAATTTTGCCTGACAAATAATGTAACAGAAAGTTCGAATTCTAATATACAAGGGTCTATAAATGAGATTTCTACTACAATTGAGAAAATTTGGCATCTAAACAACTCACTAAAACCCTTCACTCTATTACAACCACACCCGCCACCACAAAACTGAACAACAAAGAGACCTATGCAGGGCATATATTGATGCCCTCTCCTGGCATAGTTCACGCAGCTATCAACCAACTAAACAAAAAGGTCATATATAGAAAGACACGGGGAAACAGTGTGAGAGAGAGAGAGAGAGAGAAGAGACTGTAAGAAAGAAAATTAATGCTGATGATTGTTTTACAAAGCAATAATTACTTGGCTCAACATCAGAAAAGCTAATGAAGGGGTCACTGGCCCCACATTATGAGTATTCCTCCTTACCCAGGGTGGCACTATACAGTATCCTCTCCTACCATCAACTGAAAGCTATAAACTGCGTTCACCCACCTTCTCTTGATTCAATTCTTTTTTCTTTTTTCAAGGATATTGCTCCTTCAGCTGCCCAGGACCGACTTATGCCATCCTCGAGTCAAATAGAACAGTCATCCAAACATGCCAACTGCTGTAACTTGATTCTCAAAAATCATTTAAGATCCATTCACAGCCATTTCAGGTGAGGATTTTTGTGGTATCAAGGGACCATCCTCTCCACTTAACTGCCTATTTTCTGATGTGTTGTGCAAGCAATCAGAACAGCTTCTAGCAGCAACAGGTTCCTTCTCCCGGTGGTTCTCCTCTCCCGGGTTACTGCTATTATCGCAGCTGCTTTTCGAAATAGCAGGTTCCTTCTCTTGATGATTATCTTCACCTAGGCCCTTGTTTCCGTCCGCCGTGCGAGAAGTTGTGTGCACTGAGCTTCCCGTTTTCTTACTAGGAAGCACTGCCTGGCTCAATGTTGAACACAAAGCCGCAAATACACTCTCTTTTGATTTTGAGTGTTTACCTAATCTCTGCTTCTTTGCTGGATCAGGCTCTTTATCCCTAGAAGACAACTTGCGCTTCAACTTAAGGCACTCCATAGTTCCTTCATCTCCTTCCAAGTTTTCTGGCTGTTTCTTCGGCGGTGGTCTATAGTCTTCATCATCCTCATCATCATCATAGTCGACCAGTCCACCAGATCTTGGACTAGAACATCAATCCAAAATATCAATCACACCATCTCAAAATCTCTCTAGTTTTCTAGGAGGATAACAAGTACCTTAATGACGTGTAGTTTGCAGAAACTCCATTTGATATCACAGGTTGAGGCTGAACTTTTTTGGCATGTGATGCAGATGCCGTATCTTCTTCATCACTGTTTTATGTATTGAAACTCAATAGACATATGAGAAAAGTTCACAGCTTAGCTAATAATATAAGAGCAAAACATACCTGTCCCCATTGAAGTATTCCTCCTCTTCTTTCTCCAGAGCACGCTCATCAACTCGCTTTCGTGGATCCAAAGTGCTGCCACTATTTTTCGTTACGCAATCCTCTAGGCACTGCAACTATACTGGTCCAAATTAGGAAACAATAAACCCAAATACTAAGCAAAGAAAAAAGAAGAGGGAGTTAAGATGATAATACCTGCTCATATTTAACTTTAAAAGACTGAATGGCGGCCAAATGCTCAAATTTGACCAAGTCATTCCAGAATGAATCAACTATATACTTAATCAACAATTTCAGGTTTTCCTGCATGAAACAATCATTCAAATATCAGAACTTCTGAAGCTATCCAAGAAGGAAAAAACAACATATGCAATACAAATGGTTCACCTTGCGAATATACTCAAAAAGATCTAGAACAGCAGAGTGCAGAAGATTATATCGGTTGCCGTTAACAACAAAGGCATCTACTATTGGTTTGAGGATGTTGTGCTTGACAAAATGATGTATCAGATGCTCATCCTGTGATTGAGACTACAACAAAGTAAACAAAGACGTTGCCACAGGCATTTTAATTTGAGTCTAGTCATATCAAAAAAGACGATGAAAATAAAAATAACCACACTGATATATCAAGGTTCAGTTGAGAAATTATCATTTATGTGAGAACACAAATTTACACGTCCCCTCAAGTTCATTATGTTTTATGTCCATAATTAATTCCATCAGTTACATGTTTACTACCCCCTCCATCTCATTATTTCGTTAGTTATCAATTTTATCTTTTAATAAAAGCTGGCACAAAAATTAATGAGTTATTTGGGGGATGTTATTGACAGAATACCTATTAACTTGTGAACTTCTCAACTAAAATAGGAAAGTGGACAATTAATTAAGGACATTCAAAATTAGCAATGTGGACTATTATTTTGAAATAGAGGGAGTGTTTCGCTTTAAACTGTGCCATATCCAGATGCGCAATTCCATATCACCCACATAGGAATCATGACAAAAGCATAGTAATGCAATATAAGAAAACAAAGAATAGCCTAACTTACATTGGAGTAACTTACATGGCGAGTAAGAATAGTGCGAACGAATCGAATGGCAGCAACCACAAGGTATTTTTCCCTTCTTCGTGTCAGTGCTATAATTTTATCTATAAAATTATTAAGGAGAAAGTTACACCTACACAAAAAAAAAAAAAAAAAAAAAAAAAAAAAAAAAAAAAAGAGTAAGAATAGTGCGAACGAATCCGAATGGCAGCAAACCACAAGGTATTTTTTTCCCCTTCTTTCGTGTCAGTGCTATATATTTTTATCTATAAAATTATTAGGAGAAAGTTACACCTTAGCACAAAAAAAAAAAAAAAAAAAAAAAAAAAAAAAAAAAAAAAAAAAAAAAAAAAAAAAACATGTCAGTGGGGTGGCAACAGGAAGTAGATTATGTAAGAACATCAATAAGTTATCAAAAATTTACTTTATTCTATAAGGATGGTGCACAACACAGAAGCATAGCAGTTCACAGATGTTTGAGAGTATTTCAGGCTTCACGCCATTCTGATTTTCAACTCCTCCACTGGATCCTGAAGATTTACCACTTGATTGAGCAATGTTTTCCACCGGACATGATGCCGTTATAACATCAATTAATTGGCCCAAATGCTTTTCATAGAAGATCTCAATAATACTATCCCTCTGCTGTGAATAATATAAAGAATACTGTTAACAAAATGAAAAGCAAAGTAGCACCCAAATTGATAACATGCCAGAAGGCTGAATGAAATTCTAGTGACCACTTTTCTTCGCAACCAAGCAGAAATATACGAATTAAAAAGCTACATATTCATAATGAAATAAGCATGCAATGAAAAGTTTGAAACAGAGTTTATTAAATACAATTTTGAAAGCATGATGCAATTTTCAGTTCATAGTATGTCATTCAGAGTAACACCAAAGTGCATCTGATAGAGATACAAAATGTAGAATTATGCTATGATATCACATGCATCAGTCCAGAGAAAATTTCAAAAATCAAATTGGAAGTAGAAGAAACAGGTATAAAATTTTATAATTTAAAAGCAAATTAACAAAGAGAAGAACCAGGCTAAAAGCCACCATACCTATATTTATAAGCACAACCACCACCACCACCACATCAATGAAACCCACGAACAAAATATAGCCAGTTGAAAAGCATCATATATTTTTTTTCCTTGCATAAAATAATTCTCATACATCACCCAACCAAAAATAAATAAACTTAAAATAAACACCAAGAGTCAATCTCAGTTCTGATCGTTTCACAATCATTTTTATCTCAATAAAGTACATGACTAGAGCCAATAGATTAATTAAACGCTTTTAGGTGGATTTTAGTTCCCACAAATATCACTTGATTTCACAGCTGCTTACACTTTCTAATAGAATAATAGAAGACCAGAAAATGCAGTCTCATTGATCCCATGACAGTAAGAACCAAGGCCAAGCTGCCAAACCCAAAGAGACTACATTCAGTGAACAAGATCCCACATAGATATCAAAAAGCCACATAGGTTGAACTCTACAGGTTCAAGCAAGCCAGGCCAGTTTATCGACCTGTTATACACGCATACAGCAGAATTGTACCGCAAATAGAGAGAAGCAGCAAAATAGAAAGTGGCACAAATTTGGGAAACTTGTAAAAGTGCTTTTTCACCATGCAGCACACTTAATTGACCAAAAATTGACAGCATAAAATTTGGAACGATTTATCATTACCGGCACTTGGGCATTGGCTCCTGACAATGTATAGGAATCTAGTAAACTACGAAGAATTTCAAGAAACTGGCAGTGCATATCCTCTCCAAAATCAGTTATCATCCCCTTAACCTGCATGTGGATGACATTTAGTTAATTGAATTGATAATATATGTGTACACACATCACAAGGCAATGGAACAAAATACGAAATAAAAATGACACTGAAGGCAAGATGAAGACATACTGAATTATAAAAATACTGTTGCATCCATACCAACAGCTTATCCGAAGCTGGGAGCCAGGAAGCATTTCACATCAATGTTAATACCTTAAAATCTATGAGAACAAATGCATTCACTACATATGGAAGCAATAGGCAAGAGGACGGCTGTGATGTAACAGTAAGTTACCCCACTTGTGACCTGGAGGTCATGGGTTTGAGCGAGGGAAATAGCCTCTCTACAAAAAAGAAAGGGGGAAGGCTGCACAGATCAAACCTCCCCAAAGCCCATATGTGGGATGCTTTGTGCATTTGGTCGCTTTTTTTTCTATAGAGGCAATAGGCAATGCCTCATGGCAAGATACCAAATTGAAAACACATTGTGCATAGAGTACATTTCCTTAACATTGGCATTGGCATGGGCAAGCATTAATTCTTCTCTACACTTATCTTTAGTGATATAACAGGAAGATCAATCAAATGAACAAAGAATTAATGATCAATATAACAAAGAATGGACATAAGAGTTAAAGTATACCATATATGTGATGATGGTAAAAGTAAAACAAAATGATCAATATCAATCTCAAGAGGGTTAAAGCAGCTAGCTGGAAACTTAGTATGAACAGCAACACATCACCACGATTTGCATAGAATAATAAAGGCTAAACATCAAATAAACCAGTCTCCATTATTGAATTTAGCTTTTGATAATTGATTTTTTTTCTCACTTAGAAGGCACTCCAATTCCCATCCAATTTCAAACTCTTAATAAAAAAATCAACTTTTACTAAAAGGAGTTAAGGAAGGGTATGCTTATGCATTAATTTGGGTGCATCTGAAACTCAAGCCATCAGTATCATAACGAACTCAGTACATACCAGTAATCCTAGAAGCGGAATTCCCTCCTGCCTAACAACATAAGTTCGCAGAAGGTTTGGATCCTGATTCAAGAAAAGAATAAGGATATCTGTCCTGCATCCATAAGAATCACTTGCAGTTAGGTTTAAGCTACTGAACAGGAAAAGAAAAGGAAGAAAATTCACATGCAAAGAAAACAAAGAAAAAAATAGCAAGATGATACATTAAAGACAAAGCATATAGTCCCTATTACCCAGTTAACACAAGTTTCTTGTCTTGATTCTGCAAAGCTTCTATGATGATTTCAAAAATACCTTCATTCATGAGGTCCCTACAAGAATCAAGAAAGAATTAACACAAAAAAAATAAATAAATAAATAAATAAACTGCCTTTACTGAGAAGAACTATTCCCAACAACATAAACATACCTAAACAGCCTGAGTTGCTGGACCATCTGTAGGCTCTTGCTTAAACTGCAAAACTCGTGCAGGAAATACACCTATTTTAATGAAAAAGCAGCAAATACATCAAAAAAAAGGCCACCAAAATATATTACTAGGTATTAGAATACTCTCTAACCTTAACAGCTAGCTTTTTGAAGTATGGCTCTCCCAAGGTTCATATAACTCACACATAAATGAGAAAGTCCCCATTTTGATAATCAAAAAAATTAAATAGATACAAATGAAGAAAAGGAAAACAGTTTTATCAATTAATGGTTCCCTACCCTTCCCAATTCCTGTTATAATTTAGTAATAGAAGGAGGGTATAAGTACTAATTTGGACAAGGATTTCTCAAATCTCATTTCTCAAGCTTGAGGATATGAAAACCAGTTCCCAGAATTTGGTCAAATATGTTTGAATAGTTAATACACACCACAGTAAAATGAAGTAGCCATTGTGCATATACCCAGATCAATATTTAACTGGTTAATAATCTAAGCAATCCAGAACTCAAGTATCTTTAATACATCCAAAGAAAACTTCAGAAGAGGAGAAGAGAAGGTTTTGGGCAGGCCCGCAGGGGGTGTTAGGATAGAGAAAGTGAGCATATGGATATGACAATCTCATAATTAACATGGTATCACTATTATGCTGGCAGATACAAAGCAAAGAATTCCTTTACTCCACAATTACCAAATTTTTCTTTGATTCTGAAGATGAAGCAGGTGATCTCAACCTCGCAAATAATTCCTGAATAAAAGTGCTATCATCCTTCAGCAAAGAGACGACCTACACGAGAAAACAAAGTTGGCAATGCAAATAACATTAAATAGAACGTGTGTCCTAAGAAGAAGTGGATATAGACCTAAATGTACAGACTATCAGTTTTCATTATCTTACAACTGCATTATTTGCATGAATTATGGAATTGAGATTTGCAACAGTAGCCTCATCCAAAACCCGAGCCAAAACAACATCCTAAAACAGACATCAGAAGAAAAGGGTTTCAGGTTAAAGAGAAAAACAAAGTACTATAAATTACAGCAGGCAAAATTCAAACCTTCAGATAGCCAACTCTATATGTCTGGTGTATCTTCGACAAGACAAGAGGGTCTTTGATTGGTATGGCCTTAAACAATAAAAAATAAATGTCAGAAAAAGATAACGGCCTCTTTCACTAAATACTACCAACAGAACCTAAAAGGAAATGAGAAACCAGCTAACAGGAAGTTACCTCTTTGAAAACAACATGCTCTTTCAGGAAATTACGGTGGTGTTGGACATGTGAAACCTCAGGATCATCTGAAAATAAGATTTAAGGCATGTAACCATTATCATCAAAAAATAATAATGATGCCATTGCTAAATGTTCATGAACTATCAAGTATTAGCAAGCTGTCCTAAACTCTGCACTGCGTAGTGCATATGAATTACAGGACAAAAAAGGAACCACCATAATATGTCCCAGAAGATGCGATTAAACAAAGCATGCACATCATATAAATTAAAATATTCATAAGTAAGAAATCTGAAGTTTTTAGTTTTAGGACTACTAAAATAATCCAAGATATAAGTAGAAACACTAAAACTAGTTCATAATTCAAGCCAGAACAACTTGAAGCTCAAAAAATTTACAGAACACAAATGCAAAAGAAATTTTATCATTCAAGTGAAGCATGCTAACAATTGAAAAACAATATGATCTAACTATATGCATCAGTTGTGATTAATGTCTGACTACCAAAACATCAACCACGAAATAATTTACATGCCGATAACATAAACACAGGACATGATCTTTATCATGTGTATTCCAAAGGACATTCCGGACAAAAAATCCCATGCAAATTGACCTGAATCAGAAGGAAAACTGGAAGAATAAATGCAAAGAACCCAAGACCATCAATGCAAAAAAAGAAAGGAGAAAACATTGAAAAAAAAAAAAAAACTAGTTCCAAATGAATAAATAAAATAATAAATCAATGGCATAACACGGAACAATAATGACAAAAATCGATCAGACTCACCACAAGATATCACATTTACTGTAATCACTAAGAGTATTCATGTAACCAATCATAATAGGTAAAATCTGCATATATGTTCAAATTTTCATTCAAATACAATCATACAGAATGCAAAAACAAAATATTGCAAATAAACAACTAGAAGAGCTCTTACACTCAAGTGAACCAATAATATCCATGATCAACTCATCCCCAAATATTTTCTCAAAGATTTGAGGACTATTAAGTAAAACTGCAGGAAACAAGAAAATTTCAGAAAAAATTGATGGAGGGTAAAAAAACTATTAGGCGATGGAAGACCACAAGAAATAGGATTAAAGCAGATACTCACTGATCCCTCTGACTATTTTGAATATCATGTGAAGGCCATCAATATTTTCCAGATCTTCACATATTCTAAATAGGTCCATCAGCTTGCGGAAGAAATCTTGCTGCATCAGCATAAGAAATTTTACTCAGAAAGTCCACAGAATTATCAACTGTTCAAAAACTACCAACAAAAAAAAATCAATATCAAGTGAAGTTATTATTTAGACTAGAGGACAATAAAAAACAAAATCAAATAATAAAAATAAATAGGATATCATGCTAAAGGAAAAGAACTAGTAGTCACAAAACCAAGAATCACACATCTAGGACCAACTATAAATTGATTAACAGTTGGTCATGAAACCAAATCTAATAAGGGAAAACACCAGTCAGTTCAACAAACTAAGGAGAAACAGAATTCACATGAAGCTTACATCATTCAAAATAAGTTCTGTCAATCTCATCTGATCAGCAATGCCACTTTCAGACACAGTCTGCAAGATAAAATTATTCAAGTTGATTAAAATAGTTGTAACAAATACAGAATTAAGCAAGCTCAAGGATATCAAAAAAAGAGGAAAACTTATGCACTGAATGAAATATAAAAAGAGAAGTGGTGCACCCATCAAACCTTAAGTATTAAAGGAAGTGTGGAAAGTTCAACTGCAGGTAACTCCCGTAATTCACTATTTATACTGTGAAATGTCTCATCTGCAAAAATATTAAACAAAATAATGCTTATAGTGCTATGACGAAATAACAAATGTACATAGCAATGATCACACTAAATATAATCTAGTCAATGTGAACAAACATCAAAGAGAATATTTTTTGTGGGAGAGGCTGAGGATAGTCAATGATAAGTGCCTTTTGTGGAGACCACCAAATGCATACACAGAGAACAAGTTTAATGTTCAATTGCCAGGGAAACTTTACCGGACTCTCAAGCATTACAGAAGTCTATCTCTATCTCAAAAAGGGGGGGAAAACAGCATGTTAGGATAAAAATGTAACAGTGGATGCAAGACTAAGACTTTTGTTAAATCATAAGAGGTGTTTATATATGCGAACTCTTGCCAAATCTACATTGGCCAGAATCTGTTCTTTTTTTCCATTGCAGACAAATATATAGGGATTATAAAAAAAGATGCTAACAGAAGAAAATCAGAATGTAGTGTGCATTTGGATCTTTTAGTGAGGTAAGAATCTAAGTGGACATATATGCACAAACAAGTTCCCTCACAATCCAGATCAGGAGTTAATTGTATAGGAGCCAAGTATTTCACATGCTTGGAACGAGGTGTGACTCAACAGGCGTTCATGAAGATGATTTACCACGTAGTCGACAAATATCATATGACGTAAGTTTAAAACTCTTCATTTCTGAACTAATCAATCCATTTCCAGGAGTTTGCTGACACATCAAGATATCCCATTATAATCACACTTTACCATGTTAAAACATAGGTTCACACGTAAAAAAGGGGAAGCGAAAAATAAGTAGAATCTGAAACATTTATTGATCTGATCTACGGCAAACATCTTGCTCAACATTCAGGACCCAATAATTGTGAATTACATTAAAAAAATGATGGCTTTGAAATGAATTTCAGTACTTACTGTTAAGGCTACTAAACTGCAGACTTCTTTGTACATTACAGATATGATCCCTACAAAAACAGAAGTGTTCAGCATCATGTGATATTGAGTGAAAAAATCAAAGAAAACAAGAATTCATGCAAACACAAGTTGCTACCATATGTAAGAGCACCCAGCGTTCTCTTGAAAGCTTAGTGCTAATTCTGTAGAATATTCAGGATCTCTCCATGAGATTATAGTATCTGAGAACATTAACACAAAAAAAATCATTAATCAAACTCAACAAATTAAGAGAGCCTGACGTATGCTGTTAGCAAACAATCAGTTAATATATGTGCTTGCAACAAGCCATTTATGAAACTCTAAAATACCTTCTTGCTTCCTGTAAATGTCATCTGGTATGATACGATGCAAAAGTAACGTTTCATTATCCTCTTCATCAATAACAAACAAGCCCAGCTCTTCTGACCTCTGCTTCATAACATTCGCATTCAATCAAAATGCAGAGCACATTTTCATTAAATGTACGACTTTATACAATTCTTTTAATTAGATCAATACTAAAATTCTGTAGAGGTATTAGCAAAATACAAAATGTCCAATCAAGGATTTGAACAGACCTCCAAATAGTCAACAGTAACATGTCCAGTTCCTTGGTCATCCCATTTACCATCTTCATTCAAACGGTAGACCTTCACCCTCTGCAATTTGATAAAAGAAGCTCAGATGGGCCACTTGTATGGGTCATCATGCCATTATTACTGAAACTATTGCTAAACATTAAGGAAATGAGAGAAAAAAAAATACTCATGCATTCTACACCTCCACATCATTAAAAGAAAATTAATCACTGTGAAAAAGCATACTAACTAATGTAGATGTGTGATTCAACATGTGTGATAATAGAAAATGCCAACAAAGAAACAAAAGTAACAAAAGTAAGTCAATAAAAAGACTGAATAACAACAATACGTATTCATCATCAAATTGCCATCTTACGCAGAACTTGCTTAAAAAGGGACCAACATCTTGATCAACAACAAAATCATAATAAGGACTCTCCAAAGTCATTGTCCATCAAGATATATCCGACTAGGTATAACCAAGGAAAGCCAAGTTCCCCACCCAACATGCCCGGTAACTAAATCCAAAATGGGTATGATACTCCCGCAAGTCTGCACCTAAATGCTTCCCAACTCAAGGCCCAACGTTTCATCATGAGATATTAATTTTTTTGCAACTAATTGCACAATCTTACCCTCCATCATAAATCAGAATAAAAACCCAGCTATTACATATTTCTCCACACATAGGAGGCAAGGCGACCTGTACCCTTTGGTAAACATGTACTACCATCAAACACCTGGACTACATAGATTGCTTCTGGGGAATATGATACCATCTCTGAAAAATCTCCATACCAATTGTGTTTAAATGGAATTCATAATGGCATCGGTATGCATAATAAAATCAGTATAGCCCACTGAAAACTACTCCATACATACCAGCCTCACAGTACCACACAGCAAGACAACTCCTAACACCAGTTTTTTTTTTTTTAAAAGAAAAAAAGAAGAAAAAAAGACAACTACAGACGATATTTTACTTTTGAGACACTTGACACATAAGCAATTTCAACAAATACCCCATCTATGCCAGGAAATAACTAAAACCACTCCAACGAGTTACACCAGTCACACTTAAGCTCTCCTAAAGAGCAGAATTAGTTTAGACATTAGACAGTAGATTCAACAACAACGTGAAAGGAACCTTAATTAGAAGTGAACTTGCACTTCAAAACCAATAGCTTGCACCATATCCAATTCTAGGGCAAAAAGAAGGAAACTAAAGCACAGGTATGCAAAAGAACTTACCTGCATCGAATTGGAATTCGCTTGCGATTTTTCTTGCGCGCCCATATCAACAGCTCGTTTCACGACTCAAATTGGAAACCCCAAAATCCCCAAAGATAGTAATTGAACTGATAATTATCTAAACAACGTTGAAATTAGGGTTTTACAAAAAGGAGAGAGATAAGAGAGTACAAACAAAAAGCAGGAGATTGAGGTCCGGGATCAATAGAAAACCCTAACCGCCATTGACGTAGCGACGTAAACCTTCGATTTCTCTTTCTCCCCCTCTCTCTCTTTCTCTCTCTTTCCTTTTTTATTCTTTTCTGTGGAAGTGCTGTCCTCGCCCGTCGATAAGAGAAAGAAAAAACTGAGAAAAGAAAGGGAAAAAAAAAAACACTCTTCGAAAGTATACTAATGGTATATACATGTACACAATTGTTAGAAAATTTAACTCATTAAATGCCCTCAAGTTCTCCTCAAATTACGAAACTACCTTTTTACAAATTTATTGAAGTCTGCGCATTCTCATAGGCGTGGGTCCCTTACCCGACTGTGCCTGAAAGACAAACAGATTCCTCTAATTGGAGGATTAATACAACACGTGCAGCGGTGATAAGTCTTTCACACTCAATTAATTAATCTTTAAAGAAGATGCAGACACGTGGCCAGCAGGAGTAAGAAACGTTATTTAACGGGACTGGTAAGATTAGTCCGTCGACTGTTATTTACCTGGATAAATGAGCTTTAACACTCTGTTTGTTTTGGTGCATAATAAGGTGAGTGTAAAATGAAGGATGAAAATTTGTTAGAGTTTGCAAAATACACTGTTTGGGAAGAGTGAAAAATAATGGGTGAAAGTAAAATATAACTTATTTTAGTCTCTCATTTTTCTCTCCAAAACGGGAGGAAAATAAATGAAGAAAGGTGTAAAAGTTTATTATTTGGTGTGAAATTACAATATTAACTATCCATTCCACTTTCCCAAATTACTTCATCCACTGCGCTTACTCCTCTCCTCTCCTCTCTCAAGCTCCACTTCCATCTCAAATCAGTATCCCTTCTCAATCTTCAAAATTATGAACTATGAAGAATTCTTTTTAGAGAAGGAGTGAGTTGTCAAGTTTATTACACTTGAATTTTCGAATTTGCGTTGTTGAGGTAAGCATTTTCTTTCTCTTTTTTTTTTTTTTTTTTGATAGATAAGCACTATCTTGTCTTTATTGTTTTGTCTGAGTGAAAATGCAAATTGTTAAATTTTTTGATTTAAAGCATTCACCCTTTACGAGCCAAAAAGAAAAAAAAAAAAAAAAGTTAATTAAGTTAATTAATCAGGGTTAATTAAAGGAAAAAGCTAATTAAGTTGCTTACCATATTTCCATGGATGCTTTTGAGAATGGAACTATGAACACACCCAAGACTATTAGTGCTTCCAGAAATTTGCTCAGAAGTTCATCAACTAAAACTACAGTTGGCCTGAAACCAAAAAAGCTTATATCCAAATTCCTGTTATTAAAAGGTATATATTTTTGAGGGTCCTATTGTTTCTGTGATGTAAATTTGCGCATAAACACTGAAATTCTATAATACATGTAACCTAATATGTTTGTGTACTCTTTGCAAGTATAAGAATCTCACATTTTGGAAGTTTAGACTCTTTGAAAATCTGCATTTTAAAATTTAATTTTATCTGTTAATTACTACACTTTGTGAAAAATGGTACCAGCTTGGGCCACTTGACCTATTATTAATGTCAGATTATTGATTTATTTCTCAGTCTTTCTTCAATTGGATTGATTGCCATCGTATTTATATTATTCACTGCATTTGTTCATGTTTTTTTTTTTTTTTTTTTTTGTTTTAAATAATTACGCAAGTCAATTCTTAATTTTTCGACTTATTATTTGTTGTATTTGTTTTACATTCCCCACATATGATAGGGTATTGAACTTTTTGTGCCTTTCGTTGAATCGATTCTTAAATATTTAATCTCTCAGCAAATTATTACATTTTATAATATAGATATAACTATTTGAAATAGAAATATGAAAAACATAATATAGAATCATATTTTTATTTACTATCTATAATTATAAATGCAGCTTTTTTTTTTTTTTTTTTTGATATTTCTTTCTTTTATGTTTTAAATAATTACGCAAGTTTCAATTCTAATTTTTCGACTTATTTATTTGTTTGTATTTGTTGTTTACATTCCCCACATATGATTAGGGTATTGAACTTTTTGTGCCTTTTCTGTTGTATCGATTCTTAAATATTATATCTCAGCTATAATTTATTACATTTTAAATATAGATATAACTATTTGATAATAGAAATATGAAAAATTAATAGTAGTAATCATATTTTTTTATTACTATATAATTATAAATGGCAGCAGGGAATGCTATTGCTAAAGAATCCACTATAACTGGTTAGGAATCTAATGAAATTGCAAAGCAGTCTCTTTCACCTTCAATGTGGTAGACCAGATTATTACCGACAAGATGAGGTATATTCAGAGTCGGAAGTGATAGGGTTGCATCAAGATCATTTGATGGATGCATATTTCTATATGTCTAATGTCCGATAACAATTCGATCTTTCTTTGGTGTCCCTCGATCAAGGCGTTTAGAATGGTTAATGAGGGCTATGAGTTCGAGTACATGAAAGTAAGAAGCCATTATAATAATGACAAACTTGGCATTAATAGGTTAGTTTTTAAATTAGATTTGTGTTTGAATCGAATATTAATTAATTTTCATGTATTTATGCAGATGTGATATGTTTTAAACTATTAATTGCTCTATTTAGGTGGATAGTTAATTGTTTAATGAGACTTTTAGTTGAATTGCAAATTTTATCATCATAGAAAATATGGATAGAACAACGGGTATGATTTTAAAATTAGTTCGAGTTTTCCTATTTGGTGTGTATGGTGAAATGAGTGTATCCCTTTTAACTATATTAATTTTGTAGAATACGAACCAAGTTTCAATACTTGCTGAAAATATTTGAATTAAATTAATAAATAAATTATAAATAAATTACTTCATACGAAGTATGTTTATAGATGGAATATTGTGTATTTATACCGTGAAAAAATAAAAGCAACTAATTATAATAATTAATTAAATAAATTTACTAAAAATCTTTATATAATAAATTTATATGGTATATTTCATAATAATAATGATATTTCATAATTTATGTTATAGATTGAATAAAATATAATTTATATTAAATTAAGTTCGAAACAATGTGTCACACACATATATATATATATAAGGTAAAAATATAAATTTATAAAAATAGTTTCCTTTCATCCATTATCCCAAACAAAGTAAAATAAATTTATTTGACTTTATTTCTCTTATTTTCCCCCAAAGCAAACAATGACTATAAAATAAAGAGATAAAATGAATCATACCATTTTACATCCTTCTGTTACATCCTCCCTTTATTCTACGCCCTCCCCTGTCCAAACATAAGAGTTAAGGACTAGTGTAGACAATACAAGTCAAAACGCGAATTTGCACGTGGCAATAATTGATTGAATAGAGTTGTACAGATTCTTGGTTTGGTTAGTCCTTTCACACAGTGACACCAAACAGTGACGTGAGTCTGTTTTAGCAGCTGGACGGAAAATTGTAAAACTGATTAGGGGAAAAAAAGCACATGATTTAGAAAATAAGAAACCTGAAGCAGTTATTCATTCCATCAACGGTCTTAAAAAAATAACCCTTACTTTTTCCTAATCACCACTAGTATTTTTTATGATAAAACAAAAATAATAATATTATTCTTAATAGAGAAAAATACATTTAGGCTATATTTGTATGTAGTGATATAATGAAATTTATTTTCATTTTTAAATTTGATCACTTTATTATTTTTATATACGCACCGGCGATATTAAATAAAACACACATACTATGGTAATTATTAATCTTATTTATATATCATATTTGTTATGTTATTATAAAGGATAGGAAATAATTAAGGTAATAAAATGAGGAAAATATGTTTGGCTACTAAAATGAAAATAAATTAAGGAGAAAAAAATAAGAGACATTTTTTGGAAAAAAAAAATTCATTTATATTCATTATGTTAGGATGTACAGGAAAAATCAAATTATGTTCCCTCTGCTGGGTTGTTTTTATAGTTTTTTTTTTCATTTTTTTTATTCTAAAAGAACATAAGTATTATTATTTTCCTTTCTTCTTTTGTTTTCTTGCTTTTTCAAACAAGTTAATATATTTTTCTTTTTGATTATCTCTTTACCACTTATGTTCTATTTGTTTTCGTAAAATGATTTGTAGGAAAATAACTTATTGAAAAATATTTTTCAAATGACTTATTTTTTGTTATTTGGTTATAATATTGAAATTGATTAAAAATATTAAAGTCTTTATCTCATAATACCATAAAAATATTAATAATAATATTTGTATATTTGGTGATTAATATTGAAATTGCATTAAAAATATTAAATCTTATCTCATTAATACATTAAAAATAATTAAAAATAATATAAATTTTATAATTTAAAAATTTATTGTTAAAATATCGAGAACTAAGTGTGTAAAAAAAATATATTATTTTTTTTTAAATTTGTATAAAAAGCCACTGCGGTGTAGTAGTGTTGGCGGTGTCGATAGTAATTTGTGGAAATGTGATGTCGTGGGGTGGCGGGTGGGGGGTGGTAGAAATCTACGATGATTAATAATTAAAAGAAATATTAAAATTTTAAAGATTTGTCAAATGTTCGGAAAAACATTTTTACTTCTCTCGAAAGATTGGGGAAAGTTTATTTTCCTTTAAAAACTATGACCAACATACAACGAATCTAAACTTAAGTTTCCTCTTGATCAACATAATACCATAAAAATATTAATAATAATATAAATTTTATAATTTAAAAATTTTATTGTTAAATACGAGAATAATGTAAAAAAAATGTAAATTGTAAAAAAGCCACTGGCGGTGGTAGTTGTGGCCGGTGGCGATAGTTGGTGGTAAATGGTGAGTGGTGGTAGAGACTACGATGATTAATAAATTAAAAGAATATAAATTTATAAGATTTGTCAATGTTCGGAAAATGTTTTACTCTCTCGAAAATTGAAAGTTATTTTCCTTAAAAAATGACTTAATTTTCCTTTGATCAAAAAAATATTTTCCTTTGACTTGTTTTCTGAGCATCCCAAACAAAGGAAAATTGTGAATAATATTTTCTTGCAAATTATTTTACGGAAACAAACGAATTTCATTCATTTTTTAATTTTCTTCCTTTTATAAACAAGTAAAAAAATAGTTTTTTAATTATTCTGTTTTCTTTCATATTTACTTTTCCGATTTTTTTAATTACCGCGAGTATTCTCCTATCTATATAATAAGAGAATAACTACTCTTAACAACAAAATATAAGAAAACGAAGCATAAAATTAATAACCATATAATATATAAAAGTAAAAATCTCAAATATTGTTGTTTTTAATGTGAGGAACCGTTACACGATTATTAAAAAAATAAAATTTATGGTCTCACAAGATTAATTTTGAAAATTGAAAATTGAGAGGTTGTACAATTTTTATGATGTCGTGGATTTAGCTAATTACATGCAAAGGCAAAATTTATTAAATCACATCACATGTGAATTAAATATTTTTCTTTAAATAATTTACAAATTTTAATTATTAGTATTAATTTTTTTTCACTTAAAAGTCAAATCTAAAAGAAATACTTCAAATGTAAGTTACTTACCAATGAATTTAATTAAGTTCACACATGGTAGAATTACAAGAAACGAGGTCACAAATTTTAATTCGTATTTTCAAGAGGGAGGCAAGTAGAAAAAGCACGCGCCATGCGTACAATAGCAAAACAAGACAACTATATCAAAAAGCGAGATAGTAAAGACCGAAAAAGAGGTTGTTCATCAGCCGCACCTTGTTAACTCCGCCCATTCTAACTCTCAACGGACTTCTCAAGGCTTCCCAAACTCATTAAACCCCACATTGCTTCTCCATTATATCAATTTCCTCTTCAGATCTTTCCTCTCTGTATCAACCTCTCAAATTTCAACTAAACAAAATGCAATCCTCGTTATCTCTCTCCCTCTGTCAACCCACTACGGTTCCCAGATCAAACTATACCTTCGATTCCCTCGCTTTAGCTCCCTCTAAGCCTATCAATCTCCGCTTCTGTGGCCTTAGAAGAGAGGCCTTGGGGTTCTCTTCTCTTGTTCAGTCTCAACAAGCTCACTCTCGCCGCGGACTTCAGCTTCACTGTCCAAGTCGTTCTAAGACGATTTCAGCTTCTCTCGGTGATAACGGAAGCCTTCCAAAGTCGTTTGATTATGATTTGATCATTATCGGAGCTGGCGTTGGTGGTCATGGAGCTGCGCTGCATGCAGTTGAGAAGGTAAATTGTTCCTGCTTAGCTCAGCCGGAGCCTTCTAGTGAAATACTCGTTTTAGTTTGATTGGCAAAAAACCGTGTTTAAAAGAATTAAGCAGGTATAAATGGAAGTTGAATTTCTGAAATTTCGATTTTCATTGTTTGAAATCTCTAATTAACGAATCTGCTAAATTGTGTGAATTAGTGATGGAAATATGTTATGATACTTGGGTAGGCAATAAAAGCCAGTTTTTAGTGTTGTTTCCCCTTTGGAAAGGAGTATGAATTTCGAATACTACAAATGCAGGGTCTGAAGACGGCTATCATCGAGGGAGATGTGGTGGGTGGCACATGTGTAAACAGGGGCTGTGTTCCTTCAAAAGCTCTTCTGGCTGTCAGTGGTAGGATGCGTGAACTTCAGAGTGAGCATCACTTGAAAGCTTTAGGTCTGCAGGTAATGGGATTTATTTATGGCGTTTCACTTCTTTTAAAAGTCTATGTTGATAAACACGCATAACCTTAAAGATAAAAGAAGGCAGCAATATATCAAGTATAGATTAATAGAGCAGACTAGCCTACAGTTGCCTTATCTCATGTTTTCCCTTCTTCCATGAGGAAATTCATAGTGAACATGTTTTCCTCCTTCCCTGCTCATCTTCTGATGAAAAAGAAATATGTATCTGCTCTCCATGTCAAAACACTTTTATATGAACTTTTACGTCGGCATTTGTCAAAGCTTACAGCGGCTTTTTTTTTTTTTTTTTTTTTTTTTATGAACTTTACGTCGGGCATTTCTGTCAAAGCTTACAGCGGCCCTTTTTTTTTTTTTTTTTATTTTTTTTTTTTTTTTTGAAAAAGATCCTCATTAATAGGTTTCAGCAGCTGGCGTATTTGACAGACAGCGGCAGGTTGCTGATTTCCATGCAAACAATCTTGCTTCGAAAAAAGAGACCTAATAATTTTTAAACAAATTCATGAAGAGGCACTAGGTGTGGAACAATTGACAGTCAGTGCTGGCATCAATTTTGGTGGAGTGAAACGTTGGCGTATGGAACTGTGGCTACTAATACAATGTCATAATTTCTTCCAGTTCAAAATTATGAAGTAAAAATCACTTCGAAATTTTGAATACTTGTGGAAAATGATATGTCATATCTGTTTTCATCCCCCATGTTTCTGTCTAGCGATTATTCCTTTCCTTAATTTATTTCAGGGACCACAAAAGGTGAAATATGGAAAAGCTGGCTTTCCTGACAACATTAGTGACTGGAAAAATAATATTAATCATAGCCCACTTGCGGTTCTGTTCCCTTTGCCCAAGGGCATCGAAAGTCACCCGACGAAACCGCCTCGAAAAGTCGGCCCCGACTCCCGACCTGCGATCGCGAACCGGAAGTTGGTACTGGCGTTTATCTATCACGCCTCTGTCTTTTTTTTTTTTTTTTTTTTTTTTTGAAAACTCATAATAGGTTTCAGCAGCTGGCTATGACAGACAGGGAGTTGCTGATCATGCAAACAATCTTGCTTCAAAGATCCGTAATAATTTAACAAATTCAATGAAGGCACTAGGTGTGGACATATTGACAGGTGCTGGCACAATTTTGGTGAGTGAACGTTTTTGTCGTATGGACTTGGTGGTACTACAATTCATAATTTCTTCCATTCAATTGAAGTAAAATCACTCGAAATTTTGAATACTTGTGGAAAATGATATGTCATATCTGTTTCATCCCATGGTTTCGTTAGCATTTCTTTCGTTAATTTATTCAGGGACCACAAAAGGTGAAATATGGAAAAGCTGGCTTTCCTGACAACATAGTGACTGGAAAAAATATAATCATAGCCACTGGTTCTGTTCCCTTTGTCCCCAAGGGCATCGAAGTTGATGGTAAGAATTTACTCTCTTTTCTCATAATTACACTGGAGGTATGCTGCTCCTTCACCATTTTGATTCTCGATGAATGGCTGAGAATGCAAAATGTTCTGAAATTCAGGAAATTGCTATAAGAAATTGTTCATTTCCTTAGTATCTTAGGAGGATATACATATGAATTTAGACTTTTTTATTTGTATCAGATTTGTTGCAACTGCCCGAGTTAGATCTTATACTGTGGAGAGGCTGAATAACAGAGCAAAAATTGGGATACTTCTTGTTTGATTGATTATATTTAGGTTTTTTCTCAAGAAATGAAATACTATGAACAAAACCTTGAAGTCTTTTGAGCTTATGTTTGGGCAATTTCAGCACCCAATATTGTGGTGCACTGGGCTATAAACTTAAATATTTAGAAGGTTTTAGCTTTGATAAAATTATTCATAAGCAGCCTAGAGGAATCCAACTTGAGGACATCTTGTTTCTGTCTGATTTTACTAGAGGTTAAATTCAAGTAGACATTCTATACCATTATCTGCAATGTTTGTTTTCTTGTGCTTGTATAATTATAATTCCAACAAAATGGCCTGCAGGGAAGACTGTAATTACAAGTGACCATGCACTTAAACTGGAGTTTGTTCCTGACTGGATTGCAATTGTAGGAAGTGGTTATATTGGGCTAGAATTCAGTGATGTATATACTGCACTTGGAAGTGAGGTAGCATCTATTAACTCATTCATTTTCTTCATTTTATTATTGGGAAGAATGATCTATGGATAATCAGTCTCAGAAAAATTAGCATGTTAACTTGGAATGAATTAACTTGGCTTTTTGATATACAATATTTCCCTATCTGATATCTATGGTGCCTAACTTGGCATGAAAGCTGCTTGCAGTTCCTTTTATCATGTTCTTGATTGTCTTGAATGATTATAGCCTAAGATTAATTTATATTTGAAATGAATTTTCTTGGCTCTTCCTATGCTTGTCTGCCATCTTATCTGGAAAGCTTTCATCATAAACATCTTAATTTAGTTAAAGGTTCATATTTTAAAACTTCGAAGTACTTTGTTCTTTGAACAATTCAAGGTAAATGATTAAGCTCATATCATAGACTTCCAATGTATTTTCTCCAAGTTGTTCCATTTACTAGTTGTTGAGAACAATATTCGAGTATATATAATCAAGATGCTGAATTAAGGAATATTATCTGTTATTGACATGCACAATGGTTTAAATATGTACTTGTTGCTCGAGTGGACTTTGCCAATTCATAACTTGTCTATATGGATAAATACCACTTGTTAGCATGGATTTGTTAGTATTATTGGATTTTCTGAACTTTTTCCAAAACGCAATCAAGGTCATCAAGTGGTTTTTCACAGGTTACATTCATTGAAGCTCTAGATCAGCTTATGCCTGGTTTTGATCCTGAAATTGGGAAGTTGGCTCAAAGAGTACTAATAAATCCAAGGAAAATTGACTATCATACTGGAGTATTTGCAAGCAAGGTAAGGAACTTTAGATTCATGTGTTTCCTGTAGTGGTACCAATTTATTGCATTCGTATTTTACTTTTCCTATTCTTCTCTTTTCTTAACACATTGCATTCATTTTTTTCGCGGCATTATTTATATAGATCACTCCAGCAAAGGATGGGAAACCAGTCACTATTGAGCTTATTGATGCCAAGACCAAGGAACTAAAAGATACTTTGGAGGTAATTAGATTTGTGTACAATCAAGAAATTTGGGCGTCAAGCACTAATAAGAATTTCCATTGGCGTCTTATAAAGGAAAAGCAGACTACTTAAGTCCTTCTACTTCTAATAATATAAAAGGATTGCAAGTGCTTGAAATTGTTAATCTATAATTGAATGTTTTGAATTGGTCTCATTCATTTGGGAAAAAAAAAATTGGCCAATGGACTTACATATCCTGTTTTTAGGAACTTGAGTGATTTAATATACAGATGGACCTTTTTATATTCAGTTACTATTGCACATTGGATGATACCTGAGTTGTAGGACTATCTAAACTGTGGCTTTGCTTTGGCAGGTAGATGCTGCATTAATTGCAACTGGAAGGGCTCCATTCACGAATGGTCTTGGCTTAGAGAATGTATGTGTCCTTGGATAATAGTTTGGGGGTGATTATATGGAGTTATTATGTAGCAGGAGAAATGATTTTGATTCTTTTTCTCTTGCACAGATTAATGTGGTGACACAGCGTGGTTTTGTCCCAGTCGACGAACGTATGCGTGTTATTGATGCTGATGGAAATCTGGTTTGTTCAGTGATTTCTTTATGAGAACATTTTGGTGCATGGCTGTTGCTTTTTATTATTGACATGTGATTTTGTAATACCAACCTCAAGGTACCTCACTTATACTGTATTGGCGATGCGAATGGTAAAATGATGCTTGCACATGCAGCCAGCGCACAAGGAATTTCAGGTTAGTAGTAAACGGGTTTGGTTGCTTGAGGCTTCAAACCTGGTACTTACTTTTAACCCGCATTACCTTTTTGTGTGTATACAGTGGTTGAACAAGTCACTGGAAGAGATCATGTGCTAAATCATTTAAGCATTCCAGCTGCTTGTTTCACTCATCCTGAAATCAGTATGGTTGGATTGACAGAGGTAGAAAATTTTTGAGGTCTATTTCATCTGTTTATTTCCTTTTGGTTGTCAAATTTAATCAATTTCTCATTTTGTGTTCTTTTTATATTTGATGGCCTGTTAACTAAATGCTTACACTCTTAGCCTCAAGCGAGGGAGAAAGGTGAAACGGAGGGATTTGAAGTAAGTGTTGCTAAGACAAGTTTTAAGGCCAACACAAAGGCCCTTGCAGAAAATGAAGGAGAGGGACTTGCTAAGGTAAATATTTCTCAAGTTTAGTAAAAACATAATGCAAATAGTCAATTGATTCTCTTCCTGATGTTGTCCTCTTTCAGTAGAAACCTAGTGATTTTCTTTCTAAAGCTTTCCCTTCGTAGTTTATTGATACCTAAATTTTATATAGTTAGTTACATCTGTTGGATCCCATGTTATCCCTCACATAGGTGCCGATTATCAATTTATCATGAAGTGAAATATGTTTGCCTTAGATCCAAATGCACCATAGATTAAAATCAATTTAACTATTAACAGAATAAGGAGTTAGTTTTGGTTATGATCTTTTGATATGAATTGCATGATCTATTGTATTCACATATTGCTGTAGTGGAGATATGGAGTTTGTTGAGTGCTTCATGTCTCCTAAAATTTGTTATTTAATCTAACCTGACTAACTTCTGTAGTCACTGATCTTCTATTCTTGTGCAGTTGATATACAGACCTGACACTGGAGAGATACTTGGAGTCCATATTTTTGGATTGCATGCTGCTGATCTCATTCACGAAGCATCCAATGCTATAGCTTTGGGGACCCGGATTCAGGTATGTGTTCTTGACTAAAACCACCATGTGTTAATTACTGCACTGCTAATTACCTCATAGCCTTTAGAATGAACTGCCCGAACAGTTCGAAGTTTATCCTAAGGCTGCAACTTTCATTCCTTCTAAACTTCTGACCTTTTTCTTTTTCCCCTCCATTCTTCACACGGTTAAAGTTCTCTCAGCAGTTCAAATTTTACTTAAAAAAATAGTGCTTAAATCCCATTCTTTTTAAGTAAAAATGTAGTGCATGCCATGTTGTTACTGATTATGTTTTGTGCAATGCAGGACATAAAATTTGCAGTTCATGCACATCCAACTCTGTCAGAAGTCCTTGATGAGCTTTTTAAATCAGCAAAGGTGGGTGTCTGAGCTGCTATTTATTTATAATCACAATCACCGTGAAAGGTTGGTGAGTTTTATAGTTATACCCATGCACTTGGGAACATATTAGCTAGTGCAGTATGACACATGTCACTTATACGATCTAATTGGATTGAACTATTTTACAAATAAGACAATAATTTCTTTCCAAATAATGCATTTTGGTAATGGTTCCATAAGAGTCATATGATTTCCTGATACGTATTCATGCGTATTTGGTGGTTGCATATATTTGTTAAGCTGAAGACGACACCATCCATCTTCAAGCTAGTGACAGAAGTTTTTAATTTATGGGGCAGGTTGAATCTCATGTTTCAAGCCAAGTGAGTGAACCAGTTGCAGTTTAGGAGTTTTATACACAAAAATAGTAAAAAATTTTGAAGAAATTTGCTTGCTTTAGGGAGTGGCAAGGAACGAGGCAAGAGAAGTTGACAAATTCCGGTGAGGTATTAGAAGAACATCATCAAAAGTTCCACCATTTTCTTGGTGCTTATTGGAATGAGAATCGCTTTCAAGTTATTGGTTTGTTTCTCGAGTTTGTTGTTACTGCAAAGTTAAGTCAACTTGTAGTTTTTCCAATTATAATATCCTTTTTGTGCTAATAATTTTGAACATATAACTTATATACAGGACCTGTGATGATATTTTATTTATACATTCCTCTTATTTGTATGTTCTTTTCTTTGCTCCTCTGGAGCCACCTATGCTCGATACCTTTACTCTCATGGCTGCATAGGGATTTATGTACCACGATGTAAAATTTAATTAGTGTGAAGTCAGTTGAGAATGGTCCATTTTGAGACTCTAATTATTTTTCTCTACATTACGATACTTTTGATAAAAAAAAATACAAACATAATGATAATTCGGCTTTAAAGACAAATTCCTACCAGACATCTTGAGTTAATACTCCCGGCACGAAAGCTCATTTATTAGTACTCAATATCTGTCAAAAACAATCCATTATAACCATGACAACTGTCTGATTAATCAATGTGGTTCTGAGCATTTGGAGGACTCAAACATAGGTTTTTTTCCAGGTTCTACATGCATGAGCGCATGTTAAGTTTTTTTTTTTTTTTTTTTTTTTTTTTTTTTTTTTTGCATGAGCGCCATGTTAAGTTTTTTTTTTTTTTTTTTTTTTTTTTTTTTTTTTTTTTTTTTTTTTTTTTTTTTTTAAATATGGGAAAAAGTAAATGCTCAGATCATATATGCACTAAACACTGGATTATGTCTTGGTATACATGTTAATACTAAGTTAAACTTGAATGAAAAAATTGCAAAGACTTCCAACTCCTTTTAAAGGATTCCTTTCTTTTTGTAAGCATCAATAAAATTCCAAGAAATATCAAGGCGGCAGATCAAAAGCTACGGAGGGGACGAGCCACAGAATATGAAACTACTTCCAAGTTACTTTCAAATGAAAGCCATCAAAAATAGAACTTTGCCCGTGAACAGAGCAGAGAAAGCTCAAGTCCATAGACAAGAGACTGCTTAAGAAACAGAACCAGACCCAATTGTCATAGTCTGCAGAGATGTATAAAACCATTGCCAAAACTTACAGAGGACCAACCAACTTTACTATTTATATTTGAAGGTGGAAATATAAATAAAAAAGGTCCAAAGAATCAACATAAGCGCCGTCCTGGGCTACTACTCAAGCAAGCAAAATTTAACAGGTAAACAAAAAGGAAAACGCAAAGATAATAACTTTTTTTTTTTTTATCTAAATCACAACATTACCAAAATGTATAATGATGGATAATGATTCATATTAGCAACAGCAAAATGCATAAAAGCAATTAAAGCATTCAATCGACCAAGTAAACAACTAATATCAGAGCCATGAAATTAGAAAATCTTAAGCAAAATATTTAAGTAACAATTATCCAAAACATAAATGGCTTAACAGTACAGTACAGCCACTATTCAAAAATTGCAACTTGAAATAAAGCCAATACACTATTAAAGTAAATCCCTAACATGGAAATAGGAAACCATAACTCAATAAGAAGGTAGTTCTACTCTTGTTCGGAGGCTGAATCCCCGCTCTTGTTGTTATGCTTCCTGGCATACCTCTGGTTCCTCAAGAACTTGGGATCCATCTAAACACAAAATCAACACCAGAACAAGTTAATAAAACAAATGACAATGTATTTGAATTCAATCACTCAAAAGAGGAGAAGAAAAAAAGTAGTAAATGAAATTACCCCCTTGGTGGAGGTGTGACGATGCCTCTTTGGTTTCTTGATGCCATTCTTGTGAGCCTTGTAGGACTGGTTGTGAGCTGTATGGTTCTTTGACTTGGCCATCTCTGCAATACAATTATCAAACAAAAACTCTAAAAGCAATCAGATAGAAAAATAGAGGCTTTCAATTGTAGGGTTATAGCAATCAGAGGATTCACCGAACAGACCTGAGAGCAAAGGAGATAGAAGCGGCTCTGTCGCAGTGAGTGAGATCGTCCGGCCTCTTAAGAACGAAAACCCTAATTCTCTTTGCTTTATATAAGTTCTTAGTTACTAAACTGCCCTTAGACTCCTCTTCGGGCTTGGCTGCTTGAGGGTTGAGACCTTTTTGAGATGGGCCTATTGGGCTTCTTTTTCGTACTAAACTCTAAAATGGGCCTTAATGAACTCGCTTCATCAGGAGCTTGAGTTCACAAATGGCAAAAGTTCGTAAATTTGCATCCTTTGCTAAATACCTTGATAGCTATATGAAAATTAATCCACAACTAGTTGTCCACCGGTGTAATTTAATTCCCTCCAAAAAAAAAAAAAAAATTTAAGTATTTCTATAAATAATGGTAATATTATATTTTTAAATATAAATAATGATAAAATTTAAAAAAATTTATTTATTATTTCTTAAAATATTAAAAACGATTTATATCTTAAGATAAATAATCACTTTAGAGTTATTTATATTTTGAGACCAGCGAATATTTCTACTACGAATTTATACATGTGTAAATTTTTGTATAACCCCACATCCACCTCCTACCTACTTACTATTGAGCTAATAAAAATACAGGTACAAGCTGAAAATGCAAAACCAGCTATGACCGAACTTTCCTATCCTCATCAAAATAAAATTTCCTGTTGTAAAATGCGAGTCAAGGGCCAAGGCAGCTGGAAAATACAAAAAACGACATGGTACAGTCAATAAAAAAATACTAATAAATAACCTAAATTTTCATTTTTCAACCCCGTGCTCTTATGGTCCCTTTCCTTAGCCCTTCTTGTTTCTAGATCCCCAATACCTCCAATATCAAATATATATTCTTGAATCTGGGACTCAATTGGATCCCAGCCTGGGCGTTTGAAACTGAGTCTGATAAGCCATCATGTTTCTGTTAGATTGGTTTTACGGAGTTCTTGCATCTCTTGGATTATGGCAAAAGGAGGCCAAGATTCTCTTCTTGGGCCTTGATAATGCCGGCAAGACCACTCTCCTTCACATGTTGAAAGATGAGGTCTGCAAAAGATTTTTTTTTTTTTTAATTTTTTTTCTTGACATGGTTTATTGAATCTGAAATAAATCTCCGTTTGCAGAGACTGGTACAGCACCAGCCGACCCAGCACCCAACATCGGAGGAGTTGAGCATAGGCAAAATCAAGTTCAAGGCCTTCGATTTGGGTGGCCATCAGATCGCTCGTCGTGTCTGGAAAGATTACTATGCTAAGGTGTTGTTCACGATTTCCTAATTTGTTTCAATGATTTATTGTCTATTAATAATCACTTAAGAATACGCTTTTATATGTTTATTACTTGGTTCCTGAAGGTAGATTCCCATTTAACTTTGCATGCACAGTGGAATTGCTCATGATTTGACATCTTTTGAATCAAAGGTTTTCTTATGTGGGTCTGGTCTGTGCTACCTATTGATTGAAGAGCTCCATAAATCTTTTATGTTGGAAATTTATTTTATTCATTTCATGGCTTTAGATTTCTTGTAATTGTAATATGGTGTAACTTCTGAGGTGTTAAGCTAGTAGATTTGTAGTTCATTGATTTCATTTTCTTCTATTTACCTCATCTGAATGGTCTTGGTTACTTCATTTCTAATAGGAAGTTTTCTGCTTATTGATCCCATGAAATTTTGCATTACTTTGAATCTCGACTAGAATAAAGGCAATTGGGCCATGTGGCTGTCTTCTTTTCCAATTATGGTGCAATGTTGACGTCGGTTAGATCTGGTTCTTAGCTGGATTTGCAAAATGTTATGTGTGTACGTGTCTGTTTATTTCTTGTATGATGTGGCCAAGGGTGAAAAACTTCAGTGCTAGCTCGAGAAGTTATAGGTAGAAACTGGGTTTTGTGTATTTGCAAAAATATATGTGCAGTTTTGGTTTCTTGTCTATGCATATCTCAGAATCTAATTTTCAATTTGTTGAGTTGCATTGGAATAAAACTTGTCTGTTTTTCCCTCTCTAAGCATACGTTGTGCCTTCATAATCCGAGGCAAGCTTTCCAATGCGTTTGCTGGATTCATAGGAGGCCAACATGGATGATGAAAGTTCCACTGACAGCACCTTTTTTGTTTTTAGTAAGGTTTTTTTTGGTACTACTAGCTTTAAATGCAGAGCTTATTTCATGGCTTCTATGAAAGTCTTTGAAATTTGTTTTCTTGAAAGAAATACTACTTCATGTTTGAGGATTATTAAAACTCTTCTGAAAACTTTCTGGCTGGGACGAATTTCTGAGATATTTTGAAAATTTTGAAGATTGTATTGAAGTTTATTTTGTGTGAATGGTGACCAAAAGACAGGATTTCCATTTATAACTAAACAATAGAATTGGTTCTGAAATGCTGTTGGTTACCATTTTGCATTTGTGTTGCTTTTTGATTCATTTGCTAGGTTTCTACTGGTCCATGTGTTTCGAGTTGTTTCTTTCACCTGATGATTGTTAAATCCCATATTAATAGCTAGTTGCTTCTGCTGTGTGAACCTCTTCTTGCATTAGCACTATGACTTGGTTTTCAAATAAATACTTGATTCAGGTAGGTAATCTGTGATTTTGGGGAGTAAGAATTCAATCTATATCTTCTTTCTCTCTATGAATAGGTGGATGCAGTGGTTTACCTGGTGGATGCATATGACAAGGAGAGGTTTGCAGAATCGAAAAAGGAATTGGACGCCCTTCTTTCGGATGAGGCCCTTGCCAATGTTCCTTTTCTCATTCTTGGCAACAAGATTGACATTCCGTATGCAGCTTCTGAGGATGAGCTTCGTTATCATCTAGGACTTACCAATTTCACAACTGGCAAGGGGAAGGTGAATCTTACAGACTCCAATGTTCGCCCCCTCGAAGTTTTCATGTGCAGTATTGTCCGCAAGATGGGTTATGGCGATGGCTTCAAGTGGCTCTCGCAATACATCAAATAGAATGTGGGAAAACATCTGGCCTTGTATTCTTTTGGAGCTTGTCCTGTCATTTTTGCAGTGTCTTACTACAATTAGATTGGAAATGGAATTCTTGTTTGTCTTCGATAGATTGGTTCGAGGATTAACATCAGTAGAAACATTTGATTGATAACTGAAAGCCATTGTGAAATTGCTGTTATTGAAGAACAAAGTTGTTGTGCAACTATTTTGTGATGGATTATATCTATTTTGTGGATTAATAAGGTGTGATCGTGGTTGAACTCGCAATAATGTCTGCTTTTGGATCTTGTAGCTCCCAAATTTTAGATCCTGGTCTGATGAAAGGTGATCCATTCATTCAATCTAATGGGAGTTTGATTGATCAGTTAGCTTGGTCATCTTCATAGCTTAGCTTTCACTTGTGGGTTTTCTGATAACATTAACTGTTGCTTGTCAAAGCCATCAACCATTAACTTCAGAGGAGTCTAGAAAGCACGTGCATCACATTCCTCTACAAAATTCTCATCTACTCTTAAAGTCATAGAAATAATTAAATATGGTTGGGTACTGAAAGTCAAGATTGAACTAAAAGTATATCTGTTGAAGTTTGCTTTTCTTTCATTTCTTTTGAGATGGGAATATGCTTATTGAAGTTTCAGAGGAAGAAAGGCACTTAATTTTATACTTACGAATTTTCATTTTAAATACAAATAAATACTTTTATTTTAAAGGAAAAAAAATAATATTTTAACTTTCAATTCTTATATGCTTTTAATTTTTTAGAAATCCTTTTTCCTCTTTTTTTTTTTTTTTTCTTTTCAAAATCAAGTGTGCATGATAACAACGCCATGTGATTGACGGGGATTATGACGTGGTCAGTTTTTCTAAAATAGACGGCTGCAGAACTCCAGGTGACACATCTCATCCAACCACCACCGTCCACGTGGAATTCGAACGCGAAGCTGTTGATTCGTCCTCGCCCGTCACACTGTCCCTTTTTAATTGCTTTTGGTCCACGTGGAATTCTGACGCGAAGGAGACAGACGCCCTTCTTGCTGATGAGATTGAAGATGCCCTCCTTGCTTGGTATATGCAGCCCCTAAAGAATAATTGCTCCACCACTTGGGCCTCACTCATATCACTACCGGCGAGGGAAAAGTTGATCCGTCCGCCGCGACTATTCGCCCTCTTGAAGTGCTCGTGTGCAGCATTGCACGCAAAGTAGGATATGGCGAAGGTTTTAGGTGGCTTTCTCAGTACGTATAATAAAATAGCTGAAACTTAAAAAACTTTGCTTTAGAGGGTCTCCATTACAGAATTAAAGAGCAAATTGTTTCAGGTAATCCATGTAGTAATGAAAAAGATGGTCCTACCTTTGACTCTCTGGTGGCAACATCTTACCTATTTTTGATATTGAACTTGGTTAGGTTGCAACAAAGTTTACAAATCATTCCAGTGTATTTTATGTACAGAGTTCAAGATAAGAGAATTTGAACCTTCAACTGGTGGTTCGGACAAATAATGAACCTCCCAAGATATTAACATAGTACAAAAGGGTAAAACGGGCAAGACCAGATTACACTAGAAATTAACCTAAAGATAATGAACCTACACTACAAGCATTTTATGCATATATGCATGTCATTAATATTAATAATGGCGAAACTACCAAGTCAATCTGCATTTGCAATCAACTTAGTTAAAAGTTCATATCATGGTCCCGGAGCTCTTCATAGTCCAGCTGCAACAAAACAGACATGATTATTAGTTGGTCTCCAAAATGGAACTATCAGACTATCGACTTCCACACAAATCACTCACCTCTGCTTGGTTATGGGCCAATTTCATCCTCCGATATTCCTCTTGTGCCTTCTTTGAACGAAACATGGCTTGAACCCGTACAACGGATCTTTCAACCCGCTCTTCAGCTTGTTTCCGGCTGGCTTTATAGAAGTCTTCCTCTGGATCGCTTTCCTGCCTCCCATATTCAACTGTTTCAACAGGATTAACATGGAGTCCACGAAAGCCTTTTCTCTTCAAACGCCATCGCAGAATTGCCTTTTCAACCACTCCCACTGACCAGACTATCTTACGGTACTGTCTTCTCACTTGGAAGCCCCGGAAAGCAGCCTGCAGTAGAATAATATTAATAAATTATTCATATCCCCATAAATGACAACTGATTCTCAGGCACGACACAATCACAAACTAGAAAAATAATTGGGGTGTTTTATATAAAGTAAATGACCAAGGAGATGGCAAAAAGTGCTTACTTGAATTCTAACAGCTTGACGACGCATATTAAGGAATTCCTTCCTCATTTTCCATGTACGAAACCTAAACTGGATGCGGGCAGCAGCTGCCATCTTTTTCCGTGTATCAAAGTTGCGAAAGGCATGTTGAATCTTCATTGCTGCAATTATATTTCGTGCTTCATCCTCTGGATTTGCAAACTCAACTGCTTTGGTCCGTATTTTGAAGGAGTGTTCTCTGAATGCAGCCTGTATGCGTGCAGCTGCATCAGCGGCTGTTTGATAAGCTGCCAAAGTATCCTTCAGATATAGATCCTCCTCATTCAGGTTCTCAGAGTTTACTGTTTCAGCTGCACTTAATTGCAGCATGCCACTGGCATTGCCGGCTATAGACATATCCTTGAAGTGTGCTACTAAAGACTTTTCTGACAGATAAGCTGCTAAGCCATCATAACCATTTTCATAAGCAAGATCAGCAGCAGTGCGTCCCCCAGGGTTTTCTGAAGTGGGGTCTGTGACCAAGTTTGGCTTTGCCCCTGCAGATAAGAGAACTGCGACCATCTTCTCCCTAAACATGGAGGTATTTCAGAAACAGAGATATAGAGAAAAGCTATCAATGCATTCAGAGGTATGCATACGATCAACATTGGTGTCAATGGAACACAATGTGGATGTAAAAGTAGCAGAAAAGAGTGAAGATGTCCCAAGTTAGGAGAAGACAAGGGGAAAAATCCAAAGGATGTCCCAAGATGTTAACTTCAAGAGTCAGAAAGAAATGCAGCTTAGCTGAACAGTCACATAGAAGACTTAAAAATAAAGCAAGATACAAACGACGCATATTACATACCTTCCATAATATGCTGCCCAATGAAGAGCTGTCCATCCACGTTTATCCCGAAAATCCAATGATAAGCCTGACCATGAAAATAAATAAATAGCCCAAGTATACCCAAGAATAGCACACAAATGGATTACTCCTCGACCTTGAGCATCATATTCAGTGGATTTACAGCCCTGAATAACTCTTTCCAACAACCATTCTTTTAGCATATTCTTCAAAGTAAGTTCAAATAGAACATCTTTTGCTTGTGGAAATGGAACTCTGTTGTCCTCAATGGACTTCATCAAATATGCCCAAGTATTGGAAATGTCAGAAATTTTGTGGGCAAACTTCTTAGCTTCCTTCAGGGCAGTTGGTGATACCTTACTAGTTAGAACGTCAAGGCTCTTGGATGTAGAGGAAAGCAAAAAAGCAAGACTCATCTTAAGTTTGAACTCTTCCCAGTTGGGTTTGTCTTCTGAAGAAACCAGAGGATCAGCTTTGTCTTTAGAAGAATCCACAGGATGATGGAGCGGAGAACGATACTCAAAATTTAAAACTTGGCTTATGGGTTTATGGCCATCCAAACTCAAAAACAGGTTTGATAATCCTGGGGAATGTGGTGGGACCAAACATCGATATGCCCCAGCCTGAATAATTTCTGCAGGAATGCATGTATCTCCACACACACAAACCAGATTAGACTTGGTTAGGTGTAGATACTGTTCGTGGAAGTATCCAGTTACTAGGATCTGCATTAAAAAAAAGAAAAAAGAATGTAAGAAGTATCCAGTTACTAGGATCTGCACACACACACACACACACACACACACACACACATATATATATATTTGTTGTTCATGAACACACTGACCAATTTTTGTTATTCCAAGCAAGGAATTTGCAAGAAAATATTAACACGTCTAGAACTATTTTGAAACTTTGGACCACCTATTTGCAAGATAACTTTTAAACCACAAGTAACAAACGACTCTGTCTAAAAATGATAAAATAGTGATAGAGGGAAAGGGAAACAAACCTTTGTTGTTTCCGTTGAAAAGGACCACGTGTGGGAGATATCAGTGATGACAAACATTTGTTCAGGAACAAAAGATTGAAGTTGATCGATGGCAGTGAATGAATCATGACCAGATGAAATTGACGATTCAAGCAAAGGATTATCTACAGAACCCGAAGACTCAGCTATAATGGAGTTTATCCACCTTCCAAAACTATCCTGACTTTGCAAACCGTCATTAACCAACAAGTCCAAAGAATCACCAGTCCCTGGGACAATAGAATCCTTGTTCTGTGCATTTGAATTTATTTGGACACTCGTTGACTTACTGTAGGTATCACCTGGACTATTGAAGTGAGCATTGTTGCTCCTTGAAATAACCTCAGTTAAGTTATCCAAAGAAGAAATTTCTGCAGACAAATTGTAGATTGGAAGAGAACTACCCTGCAAAGATGAACATTAATTAGTTGCTCTATGCCATATTGCCAATAATTATAATCAAGCAAGTAAATGGAAAGCAATCTGGTTCAATTTAACTGTATTCGTCGGTTCACTCTAGGTTTTTCCAGTTTTAGGGCCTTTTTAATTGTCCCTGCCATCTAACACAGTATCAGAATGGAAAAACATATCAGATAGGGAAACTAAATCCATGGATCAATTAATATGCAGTTCAGTTACAGTTCTATGAACATGTAGATTGCCAAACTGCAAATGCTTCCCACAAAACAGAATGTATGGACTTCTGCTCAAACATATTGGCACTACAAATGTGAGAAAAATCAAACTCGCAAACACAAGGAGAATAAAAAGCTGCTGGGAAAAAGAAGCTTGAAACTGTGAATGATTCTGCTTACATCACTCACGGACCCATTCACTGCAATTTGATTCTGTCGGTCAAAGCCCACAATCCCATCTGTAAATTAAGGAAAGAAAATAAAAGGTTAATTAATATAGAGATCAAAAAAATATTCATGATATTTTAAACTATACAGATTGCAGCAAATGAAATATAGACCTTCAACTCCTTTAGGCATGGGCGAATTGTTAGGATCATTCATCACAAGCTCATCCCAATCAAGTGTATTAATCTCATGAAGCTTCATTTCATGATTTCTGACAGTTAAATTGTCAGTAGGCCCTGTTGCCTCTCCAAAATAGCAAAGAGTGAGAAAACATTACATGCATTTCTAAAAAGCAACAGTTGAATATTTGTTTATCATGGTAAAGTAAAAAACAAAAAGCTCTTATGTAAAGTTTGCCAAACTGAAAATCCCTGATAGCCCTATCAAGAAGGAAGCTGAGTTCAAGTCTGTCTAAGGGATAGCCCCATGTAGTGGCCTCCATGGTTTTAAATAATGGCCATTAGATGGAATCCTAGCCAAGTATTACATGATTTTCCATTTCTCTATGAGTGATTCACCAATTGAGATGAAATATGAGAAGCAACCATTTCTCATATTTCATCCAATTATCAAATTAATATCTTGCATATTTCATTAATTCCATTTTTTAACTTATATTTGATTGAATTTTTCTTTATTGTTGATTTTGAGTTATCTTGCAAATGGCTATAAAAGTTCATGGCAGCAGTGGTGATTTGGAACTATTCAATCTTATTCAGACTGTTTCCATGACACCATTTTTCTTTCTACTACTATTTCTGGCCCAACTGAAGTTTCTAGCATAGCTTCCCAAAGCTTGCATTCCATGCCAAACAAGCAAGTCATAATTCTATTTGTTGAAAAAACAAGTAAAATCACCTAGATGCTCTTTTTCGCCAGTATGATATGCATTACCAGCTCCAGAATCAAATTCTTCTGATATAAGCCAAGGAGACTGGTCAGAGATTGAACTAGAATTTGAATTCATAGGTGTGACTGGAGAACCCTGAAACTGTTACCACAAGTCAAACCACAACCCATAATAAGGATTGGACAATCATTTCTTTATCAGAATCAATGATGATAAAAGCATGCAACTTTATTTCCAATAATATACCAGAATGTCTAACACTAGAGAACTGTTTGTAGGCATAGCTCAAAACTTCTCTTTATAAAATTAGGATTTTCCTTGAGTATAGATCTTGGAAAAATGTTAAAAGAATAAAAAGGACAGAAAAAAATATATGTTTACATATAATTTGTAGAATGACATTTTGAGGCAACACCCTCACCAAATGGAAAAACTATATAACTAACCTCCTGAGTTTCACGATAGTGGACAAGAACTATGTGTTCCAGAGTCCTAAAAAAAAGAAAACAACAAAACAAACAGTCAAAATGTGAAACAGAGACCAAAGATCATCTTTTATGGAAAATTATAGCAAACTAAAGACCATTTAAGATAAATAAGCATGACTTATTTGTAGATCCAGATTAACTTTAGCCACACATACTTATCCAGTAGCCAATAACACCTGCGAACAAAGGTTTGGTTATCTTCACCATGTGCATAGTACACATGAATCCTTTCTTCATTACCAACCTGAACAATGGAACACAGTGAAAAATTCCTTAGAACAGTTGATGATGGATTATTTGGATTATATATATATATAAAACAAATTTGATGAAGAAAAATAGGGACTTGAGTTATGCAGACATATTATCCATAGTACCATTAACTCAGCTATTAGTGGGGGAAGCGGGAGAAAAGGACAGCAAGCATATTGTGGCACACATAAGTCTAAACATGCATATCTATACAGTTAATGTATAGGTATATCCATACAAATGGAATTGCATGCCTATATATATCTATACAGTTATATGACGAAGAAATAGAATTGAAACTCAGTGCTTGCTTCACCAATTCATTCATAAAAGACTTTCCCACAACATCCATGTAACATGTTGAAAATTTAGAATCTACATGTTGCTGTCAGCATCTATCTGATGAATGTAATATTATGTTAGAAATTTGTAAAACTCGGGTATATAGAAAGAATTAATGCTGTCAGTTGAATTGGGAAAAAAAGAACAGTTAATGCCACATGTAAAATTTTAGAAAGCAAGAAAACTCACTTTTAAATGTTCATGAGCTTCTTTCACGGTCTTGCCGTCTTTCTTCTTCTTCCAATTATGGCCATCTTTTCGGAAGTTCCTGAGCTTCTTACGGTCAAATAACACAATAGTACCACCTGTTACATCATAAGACATCCAAAATTAGATAACAAAATACTATAGAAAAAGTTCACTGACACTCCATATCATCCTGCAGGATAGGCTAGCTTCACCTATTAAAATGCAATAAGACTCAAAAACACAGAGAATTTTCTATTTGATATTTGTGAAGTGGTGAACAATAGCATATGAGTTACAAGCACAAACCAACCATATTGACCATTTTCAACACCATATTCACTCAACAGAGACTATCCAATAGCTCCTATTCCCATCCTTTGCTCATAAATGGTATATAGGCTGCCAAAGCCCACCGAGCAAACAACTCTATGACATTTAAATAGAAGGAAACCTGCTTGGGCCAGGAGGCTTAAACAATAACAAGTTTCATCATGAAAAAATTCAACCAGACAAAAGATAGTAAAATTAGATGGAGATGAACAGAGATTATTGATGTTTGTCGAAATAGCAAAACTGGAAAAAATGATAAAGGGTTCATATTTTAAACCTCTCGTATCAATCAGGAGATCTCAAACTGGAAAATCAGACACCATAACGCTTATACAAGAACAAGATTCCAAAGTTGCAATAGTTTTTCTTCATGGGAGCCCAATAGAGTTGAAAATAATAAGGACTTACTTTTGGGTAAGTGTACTGGCTTCACATTAATGACGAAATACTTGTAGTTACAGAGTATTGCATGAATTTCATTTGGGCGGAGCCATCTTGTTCTAGCTTCCTCCATTATGTTTCCAAAATCTAAATCTGCCATGTAACAAGGTCCCGTTGCTGTATTAGCACAACTATTCATATAATCTCAATAGAAAGGGAGCAGAGGGATTCAAAAATTTAAGAAAGCAAATCAGAGTACCATAATCATCTTTAAAAAATGATTCCCATTGCAGTTTCTTAGATAGCATGAATTTCAGTTTTTCTATTTCTCTCTCACAGTAATCAACACTTTTTCCCTCATGCTCCTTGGCCTTTACCTCATGCTCATGCCACGTTCATTCTAACTCTGTTGCCTCATTTTAACTGTTCTATAAATAAGAGAAATTATGTAGCATTCTCTAGACACTATTGCTCCTGAAAAAATGCATCCATTTCCAAATCTACCCTTCTTGTCTACTTCAATCACAAGTTCCTATTCAGCAACATTCACCTAAACACCCAAATAAATTAATAATAAAAGAATTTCATCCACTTATGCAAACAACTTGGATTCTCCAACAAAGATGTTTACTGTTTGGCAGCAAGCAACGATTTTAACTAATATAAGAGTTGCGTAAAGCAATTCAAGACCATATACTTATTTGTCACCAAAAATAAATAAATAAACAATAGTAACTCGCAAAAAAAGACTTGAAGCCGACTTTTCTCATTTTCGTTATCTTTCAAATTCTGATCACATAGAAGTACTGCTAATATGCTCTCATCAAGCAAAAGCACTAATTTCGTCCGTCAAATTCAAAATTACCAACAGTTTTGCTTTCAAAATCAAACAAAAGTCCTGGAGAAAAGAAAAACTAGTTATCATAAAAATGTCTAGCATGCCATGCATAAGCTTAGCTACCTAGCTTCCACTGATCAAATGCTAAAGTCAAAGTCAAAAAGAGAACAAAAATAGAAAACAGCATAGCTAAAAACCTTGCAGCGTATGGAATCCATGAATCTCCGAGCTCACAAGCCGCCCCAACATAGCGCTGTCCATTGAGAAACTGAGCGCATAAAGCAAAACCCAAAATCCCCAAATTCAACCAATCTGCAAGTCAGCGAGTAAAAAACTTATCAATTAAGGATTGTAAATGAAAACAAAGCCAAAATAGCAAAAAACAGCTCGTAATTAGAGTTGTGAAATAGAGAGAGAAAAAAGAGAAGGTACTCTTTCTGTTTGTTGGAAATGACGGGGAGTGTCTGTTTGCTATCTCTAATCAAACTAAAGTGGCGACAAGAGCTGTTTCAAGGAGCAATGTACTGTAGATGAAAATGCTCGCTCCTTCAGTCCTCTCTGTGTAAAATAATATATACACTATTTCTTTTTATTTGTCCCATATTATTTTCTGTTTCTTTTTTAAAAATTAATAATTTATTTAATTCTCTATTTTGCCTCCCTATTAATGGTTTGTATACCAATAAATGTATTGTCTTGCCTTAATACTTTATAATTATTCCATCAAAAGAATTACTTTATAATTATTAACTTTCAAATAAACTACCCTCTACCGTTTATTTTAATAGCAAATATTTTACTTTGTTCTATTTTTACGTAGAATTTTAAAAGTATATTAATATTAATAATTTCTTTCAATTTTATCTATTCATTAAGTGTAATTTATTGTTATATTTGTTTTTCTCCTTTTTATCATTACTTTAATTATAGTTAAATTACAAATTTGACTACACTTGTAATTAGAAGTTTTTCGTTATATTAAGGTATGAAAAAATAAAATTGAAATACTACTCTGATGGTGATGCTTTAATATGAGATAAAATTAGCATTTGTTTTGTAGCAGAATTAAATGGGAGTTTTTAATTTTAAAAAGGGTAATTTAGACATTATATAATGTATTTTTAGAAAATCAATGTATTTCGATCATTTTTTTAATTTTTATAAAAATATAAAATTTTCCATAACAGAGGAAGTAGTATATATGTAAACAGCTTTATACCTTGATTATTATACTATAACTTTAAATTTTGGATATCTACCGGTATAGATTAGCATACTATAAAAGAAATTGTGAAGTAATCATATTACACAGAAACTCTCTTTATTTTTTCTTTTGTCCTAAAATGTAATTTTACTTTAAAAAAAAGTCATTTTACTATTATTTAATTTTTTAATACATCACTATTTAATGTGGATCTATATTCCTATTGTATACATAAATATAATTTTATATGGACAGAAAATGTTAATTATGTAAATTATTTTTTTTTATGTTGAATACAATATTTACAACGAAAATTGCATGCCTTAAAGAAAGTCCAATCTAATTGGCAGGAATAGACATTAAAATTAATTATTATTATTATAAACACCGAAAGGTTCCAGAACAGCAATTAATTAAGCAATTAATAAGTTGTTTAATGCAAAATAATCAGTACTAAAAAACAACAAGGGTCAGATCAGGACGTTTTTTTTTTTTGTTTGTTTGTTTTTCGATGTCTCTAGTGTTTCTATCTTTTTTGATGGCCTCAAGCCTGAGAGCACATGGGCTGAGAAAAAGCCCATCCAAAACCCCATAGTCAAATGTCGAGCCTTCCTGATGAACATATTGGTCCATTACAGCTTGGTCATTCCGTTAGTCCAATGTATGGCCTTCAATTGTTATTACTTTGCTTGCAATTGAAGAAGAAGACAAAGCAAGCAAACTCTGCTGCCACCTCAGCTCTGAAAAATCTCTCTCTCCTAATGCGTTAGGCCTTCACTTTCTATTCCTTTCACTCTGGCAAAGCAATCTCCAACCACCCTTTTCTTCTTTTAAATTACCACACTCAATTCCCTCACCACAACAACCAAGAGAGAATCTAATTACCAAGATGGAGTCCAGAAAGAGTGTTCATGCCATAATGGCATTGTTAATGTTAGTAGTAGTAGTAAATGGAGCAGATCAGCCATCTCCAGAAAAGCCATTGGTGAAGATAGTGAAGGGGAAGAAGCTGTGTGACAAGGGATGGGAGTGCAAAGGCTTGTCCGTATATTGCTGCAACCAGACTATTTCTGATTATTTCCAGACCTACCAATTCGAGAACTTGTTTTCAAAGCGCAACACACCTGTGGCTCATGCAGTAGGGTTTTGGGACTACCATTCTTTCATCACAGCAGCTGCAATTTACCAGCCTCATGGGTTTGGTACCACCGGAGGAAAGCTCATGGGCCAGAAGGAGGTTGCTGCTTTTCTTGGCCATGTGGGCAGCAAAACTTCATGTAAGTAAAATAGGTTTTATATATATAGATTTAATCTTACTCGTTCTTGATCTATAGATTAATAAGTGCAATGGGTGATGATATTTTCAGGTGGCTATGGAGTGGCTACAGGAGGACCAATGGCTTGGGGTTTATGCTACAACAAGGAAATGAGTCCCAGCCAATTTTACTGTGATGATTACTATAAGTACACCTATCCATGCACTCCTGGCGTTTCATATCATGGTCGTGGTGCCCTGCCTATTTACTGGTATGCATCTTTCCACCTTTCATCTCATTTACCCACTTAATTTAATCATACTAGATTTATTTTCAGAAAAGATTACTCGTTACAAAAGAAAAGCAAGTAATGCAAATTAATGTGTTGTATGCTTAAAGCAAATTTTCTGTTACCAGTCTTTTTCTCTGAAAAGGAGGTGCCACCCACCCATTTTTAGCAGAAAGTTGGTAGAATATATATTTTCTTTACTGGTTGCCATATTCCAATAAGCATTCCCTTTCTCACTAATTAATGATTCAACTACAGGAACTATAACTATGGTAAAACTGGAAAAGCTCTGAAGATTGATTTGTTGAATCATCCAGAATACATTGAAAACAACGCCACACTAGCCTTCCAGGCTGCAATCTGGAAGTGGATGACTCCGGAGAAGAAACATCTGCCATCAGCTCATGATGTATTTGTCGGCAAATGGAAACCTACCAAGAATGACACTTTGTCCAAGAGGGTACCTGGTTTTGGCACCACCATGAATGTCCTTTATGGAGATCAAGTTTGTGGGAAAGGCGACGACGAATCTATGAACAATATAGTTTCTCACTACCTATATTACCTTGACCTGATGGGCATCGGGAGAGAGGAGGCAGGACCTCATGAAGTGCTGAGCTGTGCTGAGCAGGTTCCTTTCAACCAAGCTGCTTCCTCTTCATCATCTTCTTGAGCCTTGTTTAATATCGGTAAATAGTCTGTCCATTGTTGAACTGTTCCTCTGTGAAGGAAAAATTTTAATAAGGGACAGGCAAGTATAGTTTTGAATACTTAATGCAGCTTCTGAGAAGAAGAAGAAAAAGAATTTCTATTCAACTTTTGTTTTTGGTATGAATCTGCTGTATAGGGAGTTTATATTAATTGAACCGCTTATGCCTTTCCTTGTTTATGTGTAAATCTTTGGTATAATTTGATTATTATGTTTACAAGCTGTATAATTTTTGTTTTTGATCATGGATTTATTCGCAGTAATGCATACTATCATTACAAATTCATTATAATTTTTATCTAATTTTCCACTGTCAGTAAGATTATAATAAAAATAAAATTTATTATCTACACGTATTGTTAATATTCTATTTTTTTCTCATGAATAATAAAAAATACATTTACTACAATTAAAAAATTATTTTCGATTGATTTAGTGTATAAAGTGAGCCGCTGTCGGTCCATGGATTTTCCTTCCTTTTGCCGCATTTCGCTAAAGGGTTGAAGGGAGATAGTGCATTAAGCTGTTTGCAAGGGCCAACTCGATCCTCTTCCCCAGGGATCCCAGATTAGGGAACCCTAGGAGAGCCGCCGACTCCGACTATCGTCCATGTACGATCCATACTAGATCTGACCAACTGCCCATCTTACCTCCTCTACGTTCTTGACAGCCCATCTTTGTCTCAGTAGAGTTTTTCAGTGGCATGTTTCAGTCCTCTTCCCCAATATTTAGAAAAAGCGAGTCACCGATTCAGGTACAAGATACTATCATTACCGCCTGGACAATTAGACATCCAACCCGTAATCGCAATGACCCAATTGCAAGAGCGGAGCTCTACCAACTGAGCTATATCCCCCCCCGAGGCAAGTGGAGCATGCATGAAGGAGTCAGATGCTTATTCTATTCTTTTCTTTGGCGCAGCTGGGCCATCCTGGACTTGAACCAGAGACCTCGTCAGTGAGTAAATATTTTCTTTAATAATATATATACATTATTATTCACACATATTACTATATTACTTTATACATTCATTATTATTCATTGATATTACTGTAATACGTTTGCGGGCGGCAATGTCAGTAATGACTAATGAGGCTTGTGAGAGGACATAATTGATTTTAAAATTTGGCATTATTATCATATAAAAAACATTCAGCTTGCAGGACGTAGTCATTATCTGTTGATTCATGCAAACGGTAATCTAAAATCTAAATTATTGAATAGTGATTAACTATTTAATTAGTTTCTGTATTTTAGTCAAGATGATATTTATTATATTATAGTTTTGCAAAATCATTTATTCATTCGTGATGATTACCTGTGTTTAACAAAAAAAATGTAATTTTTATTCTTAAAAAAAACAATTAAGTCTTTTCATAAAAAAAATGTAATTTTTATTGTTAGGTGGTGAAGCACTAAACAAATAAATGATATGAATTTAAACAGTAACACTATATTAAATGTGAATAATCAATTGAATAATATAAAGTATTTAAAAAATAAAAAATATTTTTTTAAATAAAATGAGTAAGATTTTTTATAAAATTTTAATTTTAATTCGATAAATAATAAAAATATGATAGTAATTTCGATCAAAACTGAGAGACTTTATAGGTAATTTTCCATTATCAAATAAGTAAAGTGTCTGATGAATATCCCTAAACGAACCCGACATTTCAAGCACTTGAGAGTAGAGTAGAGAAACTTCGCGTTTCGGTGGATTTTTTCGAATTCAATATTCTATCAGATAAGGGATGATCATAGAGTTTAGCTACAAAGTCAAACTCGGTGACTTGATGATGTGCGTAATTTAACCAAGCAGTAAAATATTACTATGGACTGAAAAATAGAGAATTTGTGTTGTAATTCTTTTTTTTTAATATATTTATATTGGAATGCTTGAAAATGATTTACATAAAAAAAAGGAGAATTGTTTTATTATATGACTTATTTAATAATAAAATTATTAAACTTAAATTTAAAAAAAAAATAATTCCTTCCCATCTTTAATTAAAAATAAAATTATAAATAAACAAAAGAAGTGTCTTTGTTTGAATCAAGATTCTCCTGGACCTTCAGGCATTTGGCAATTTCCCAGAACTTGGGCCAATTTTTTATCAGCTGACATTAACTTTTTTGTCTTATATCATATAAATTTAGTTGCATTACTATCGTTTATCATGCTGTTAAAATTAATAAGCTAAATCACCTTTTATTTATAAATTTAAATAATTTCACCTTTTTTTTGAATTAAATAAATAATTTTTTAATGCCTTAGATAAAGTACCATAGCGTAAATGAATTTTTCTGCTCAGATTTTAATTTAAATGAAATGATTTCTTTTATCTTTTATGTAGAATAACACATCCTAGCAAGTTTCTAATGCAGGAAAAATATTTAATTATTTTCACTTATGGTGGGACCGTATCCATGTATATTATGTAGTAAGTTCTGTCACTTGGTACCTTATCCAGCAAAAGTGAGGTGTCAATTGAATAAAAATACATAAAAAAAACAAATTAGGAAGAAAAATATTAAAAATGCCAGGATTAAATTTCTTAATTAGGTTAATAAATTTTTAAGTCCTTTTTTATTTTTATTAAGAGAATCTCTAATTGCGCTGATTTTTTTAAAACAAATGAGCTGTTCGTTAACCAGGGGGCCACAGTGGCTTTTGAAAAAAACCAAAAAAAAAAAAAAAAAAAAAAATAAATTATTGTAGTAAGTTCTGTCACTTGGGTAACCTTATCCAGCAAAAAGTGAGGTGTCAATTGAAATAAAAATACATAAAAAAAACCAAATTAGGAAAGAAAAATATTAAAATGCCAAGGATTAAATTTCTTAAGTTTGAGTTTAATAATTTATTAAGTCCTTTTTTATTTTTATTAAGAGAATCCTCTAATTGCGCTGATTTTTTTTAAAAAACAAATGAGCGTTCGTTAACCAGGGGCCACAGTGGCTTTTTGAAAAAACCAAAAAAAAAAAAAAAAAAAAAAAAACAAAAAAAAAAAAAAAAAAAAAAAAACACTCTTCCAAATCGAAATGGATGGCACAGCGTTTTTACGAATAAACATTTCACTTGTAATTCAAAAAAAAAAAAAAAAAGTTTTTATGAATAGGAATTCTCTACATCCGGTACATGGATATCCTTGTTTTAGATTGGTTTAATACATGGAGGTCCATGTGGTGGCGAAAAATAATAATATAAAAAGAACTCCTCCCTTGTCATCAGACCTATAAATACCCTGACGAAGAGAATTTCATTTCACTCACTCATCATTTCAAAGCTGAAAGAGAGAACGAGAGAGACTCTAACAGGAGAATTAGAGAGAGAAAAGGAGAGATGGCTAAAGACATAGATGATCTACCTAAGATTGAAGCTAACTACACAGCCTTGACGCCTTTGTGGTTTCTGGACAGAGCAGCTACTGTACACCCCAACAGAAAATCTCTGGTCCATGGATCTCTGCACTACACATGGCACCAGACCTATCAACGATGCCGTCAGCTGGCCTCCGCTCTCGTCAAGAATAACATCGGCGTCGGTAGCACGGTAATTCTGAGAACTTCTTCTTCGTCTTTTTGTTTTTCCTGTTTGTTCTTTGTTCGATAAGAAAGCAGAGCAGAGTCAGCCGTTGGCCTCACAAGCCACAAAACGACATAATTATAAGAGTTTTAAAAAGATCGAAATTAAAGATATAAAAAGAGATTATTTTCTGTGCTTTTACTTTGAGTTTTCCTTTTTTTTTTTTCAACACTATTTTATTTTAATTATTGCTACTTTTAGTAAAACTTTTTGAATTAGAATTCCTTACTGTGTTTTTAATTATTTGATTATTCCATATTAAGCTCTCATATATATATTAAGGCTCTCATATATATATATAATATATATATAAATAGCTTTTTTTTAATAGGCAAAAAATTATACTACTGAGTAATTTGTTCAATGAAGATTTTAAAACCACAAAAAAAAAAAAACTCTATTTTCACCATTAAGAATTGTTGAAGTTAAAGGAAAAAGAAAAAAATATTTAATATATATATATATATATATAAATAGGACTTTTTTTAATAGCAAAAATTATACTACTGAGTAATTTGTCAATGAAGATTTAAAACACAAAAAAAAAAAAACTCTATTTTTCACCATAAGAATTGTTGAAGTTAAAGGAAAAGAAAAAATATTTATCTGTGTACTTCTTTTTTTATTTATATTGTCGGTTAAAGAACTTATCATTGTGAATTTTATTTTTCTATTAAAAGAATTCTCGATTTTATTATGGAGCAACAAGTCAACATATACAAAACGAAAAATTTCATAGTTCCAGCCTTCCGGGATTTGCTTTCCCTAAATAATGATTGAGGTTGGGTATATAATTTATTTGCGCTAATTTGTAAAATATAATTTGTTGAAAACATATTTATATTTTGCATTTATTTTCTGTTTTTTATATTATTTATTTATATCCACTACAACGGCTTTGTTTTATTTTATCTTTTTTAGAACACAGAGCATCAAAACAATTTTCTTTTGTCCTTCTTTTTAAGATGAGAACTTTGGAAAACTTGCAACCACCATGTTGGTGGCTTAGTTTTGTTTATAGTATAATAATAATTAATAAATAACAAGTGGTAGCAATAATGGGACAAAATGTATTGACTGTTCCAAATTTTTTGCTGTTATTATCCAATCACTACAGTCTAACAATTTAGGATAATGATTCAGCATGTGCATCTTTAAATGCGCAAAGTCTTTAGCAATTGGATTAGGGATCAAAAGTTAAATATATTTATTAAAAGTCAGAGAAGTCTTGAACATATTAGTCATAAAAAATTTAGTATGTTCCAAATTCAATTTGGTTGATTAAGACAATTGGGTTTTTTAAGTTATAGAAGTCCTTACTTGATTGATGTAGTTATGCTGACAAAGTCATAAATTGGCGAATATGTATAATGGTTAATTTCTCGAATTTTATGTAATTAAATCTGCTTAAGGCTATGACTTCAGAATCTTGAAACCAGTTTCGCGGCTTAATTAGTTGCATTTCTGTGATTAATATTTGCAGGTAGCAATAATTGCACCGAATATCCCCGCCATGTATGAAGCTCATTTTGGTGTTCCCATGGCTGGAGCTGTGGTAAATGCTGTCAACATTCGTTTAAATGCTTCAACCATCGCTTTCCTTTTAGGCCATTCAAAATCTGCAGTACTAATGGTGGACCAAGAGTATTTTACCTTAGCAGAGGAAGCTTTAAAAATCTTGCGAGAAAAAGAGATTAATTTTAGCCCCCCATTACTAATTGTTATAGCTGATGAAAGCTGTGACCCCAAGGCCCTGAAATATGCTCTGGACAAAGGAGCCATTGAATATAACAAATTCTTAGAAAGTGGTGACCCCAACTTTGCTTGGAAACCACCAGCAGATGAGTGGCAGAGTATTGCTTTGGGTTATACTTCTGGTACAACCGCCAGTCCCAAAGGAGTAGTTCTTAGTCACCGAGGGGCATATCTCATGGCTCTGAGTTGTGCTATGATTTGGGGTTTATATGAAGGGGTTATTTATCTTTGGACTTTGCCTATGTTTCATTGCAACGGTTGGTGTTATACCTGGTCTCTTGCAGCTTTTTGTGGGACTAATATATGCTTGAGGCAGGTAATTATTCATCTTAATAATAAAATTCTAAACTTTCCTGATTATGTGTGAGATTTTTCTTTCTTTTCTGATTGATTTCCACTTATAAGTAACTGTAATGAAATCAATTCTTCCATGGCAGAATTTGGTAGTTATGGAAGAAAATTACAATTGATCTCTTGATTGTTTGCTCTGTTTTCTGCAGGTCACAGCTAAAGCAGTATATTCTGCTATTGCAAACCAAGGTGTAACTCACTTCTGTGCTGCACCTGTGGTGTTGAATAGCATAGTAAATGCTCCAAAAGAAGATACTATCCTCCCCTTACCCAGAGTAGTCCATGTAAATACAGCTGGTGCTGCTCCCCCTCCTTCTGTTCTCTTTGCCATGTCAGAAAAAGGCTTTCGGGTCACACATACCTATGGTCTTTCAGAAACTTATGGTCCATCCGTTGTATGTGCATGGAAACCTGAGTGGGACACACTGCCTCCTATAACACAAGCTCGCCTGAATGCACGCCAAGGCGTGCGATACACTGGCTTGGAATGTCTAGAAGTAGTTGATACTAAAACTATGAAACCTGTCCCTGCAGATGGAAAAACTATGGGAGAAATAGTGATGAGAGGAAATCTTGTAATGAAGGGTTACTTAAAGAATCCAAAAGCTAATGAAGAAGCCTTCGCCGGTGGATGGTTTCATTCCGGTGATCTTGCAGTAAAACATCCAGATGGGTATATAGAAATTAAGGATAGAAGCAAGGATATTATCATTTCAGGAGGCGAAAACATCAGTAGCTTGGAAGTTGAAAATGTGCTGTACACTCACCCTGCAGTATATGAAGTCTCTGTAGTAGCAAGAGAAGATGAGAGATGGGGAGAGTCCCCATGTGCTTTTGTGACATTGAAACCAGATGTAGATAAATCTGATGAAGGCCGTTTAGCAGAGGATATAATCAAGTTTTGCCGTTCCAAGATGCCTGCTTATTGGGTTCCAAAATCTGTTGTCTTTGGACCATTGCCAAAAACTGCTACTGGGAAGATTCAGAAACATATTTTGAGGGCCAAGGCAAAAGAGATGGGACCTGTCAAAGTGAGCAAGTTATAGAGGATTATCTGTTTGTGTCATGATTAAACTGTCAATTTAAATAAATTATTAGCAAATCATACGCTTTTTTTATTTTTTGAAGAAGAAGCAAATCATATGCTTTTTAGTCTATTGTTTATCACATGGAAATAAACTTGATGAAATTTTCATTTAAAGGCCTTTTTCCTTTTGTATTTCTATTTTCTACCGAGTTAGTTGTTTGCTATGTGAATTACAACGTGCACCCACCTCGAAAAGAAACATTAAAAAGAAAAAAAAAATGTGATTTCTGTTGTTTTTTCTTTATTTGTTTTTTTCAATAAAGAAAGTCAAAGTGTTTTTTTTTCCATTTTTAAATAACTTACCTAACTATATTATACACGTCACTAGTCACCATCCCTCCATATAACCACGTTAGCAGTGGCAGCTGAAAAATGCTTAAACGGACACTCAGAGTGACTAGTGAGTAAGGTCATAAGTGGCTGTCGGGATGGCGAGAGATACAGATGACCTGCCAAAAAATGCGGCCAACTACACTGCCTTAACGCCGCTGTGGTTCCTGGACAGAGCAGCCACCGTTCATCCAAATAGAACATCGGTTGTGCATGGATCTCTCAGCTACACTTGGCTACAGACGTACAAGCGGTGCCGTCGATTGGCTTCCGCTTTATCCAAGCACTCCATCGGCCTCGGTAGCACGGTATTTCTCATTTTTCATGTTACCATTTCTGTTGTCTGGTTGTCTTTTTTTATGGCTCAAAAAATGATTTCCTATTCGGAATTGTTAAATTGATAACTAAATAAATTGGGAAGATTTCAATTTGTAGTCTTGTTTTATTTCTAATTTCTATAACTAGACGATTGTAGGGTTTGTTGGCTAGTTAAAGTGACTCGTAAAGATAATAAATTAGTCTTCTATCTCAATTTGTGTTCCTAGGTTCTTATAATTGAATTGTGAGTTCCAACAAGGCTCGTCAAGTAACCACAGGTCACCTCTTTGCTAATAAGCTCCTGCTTAATGAGCTTGTGCAAAAAAAATTAATTTAAAAAAAAATGGAAAATGCTTGTAACAATATCAACAAAACCATGTGTTATGACTTGTGAAAGTAAGGCAACTTTGAACACTTTTTTATTGTATTCTATCTTCATATTTGTAATTTTGTTGATTTTTGGTGCGCTTTTAATTTTGTCTCTACGGTATCTGTCCCCAATTTTTATGTGTCTATGGTATCTATAGGCTTTACAATTGAAATTTGAAATTTATGTTTAACTGCTATGAAATTTGATTATGATTTTATGTTTTGCATGTTATACCTTAAATGAAAGATGCTTCCATGAAACTATCATGTTTGCTCTTTCTGGATTTGACCTATTGGACATATTTTATGCTTCTTTAGGCTGCATTATTTCATGTTGACAGCTTAATCATATCTTTCTGACTTGTGGTATCAGGTAGCAATAATTGCACCAAATATCCCTGCCATGTATGAGGCACACTTTGGAGTTCCAATGGCTGGAGCTGTGGTAAATTGTGTCAATATACGTCTAAATGCATCAACTGTTGCTTTCCTTCTAGGTCATTCAAAATCTGAAGTTGTGATGGTCGACCAAGAGTTTTTTTCATTGGCTGAGGAAGCTTTAAAACTCCTAGTAGAAAGTGGAAGTTCTTTTAAGCCTTCACTGTTAATTGTCATAGCTGATAAAAGCTGTGATCCTAAGGCTGTGAAGCATGCTTTGGGAAGGGGGGCTATTGAATATGAGACGTTCCTGGAAACTGGTGACCCTGACTTTACTTGGAAACCACCAATGGATGAGTGGCAGAGCATTGCGCTAGGTTATACTTCTGGCACAACAGCCAGCCCTAAAGGTGTGGTATTGAGCCACCGAGGAGCATATTTAATGTCCTTGAGTAATCCTCTAAATTGGGGGATGAGTGAAGGAGTTGTATACTTGTGGACTCTACCTATGTTCCACTGCAATGGTTGGTGTTTCACTTGGGCGCTTGCAGCTCTTTGTGGGACAAGCATATGCCTTCGACAGGTAATTTTTATTGATCTGGGTCATTATTGTATAATTACTTACGAATATGGAAGAAAATCTTCTGATTCTACTTGTTTCTGTTGGTATTGATTTAAGCATAGCTATGTTTTGTTGCAATCACATTTAATTGGCTGGCTTATGGTATGCAAGGAACTTCTAGACCTTCTAGATTGACTTTATGGATTGGTAAAGTTGGTGTAGTCTAGGAATTATTTGACTGGGGATGTAAAGAACTTGAAGGTGTTGCGTGGGATAGAGTCTACCTCCGTACAAGGTGAATGAATTTGCTGATTGATGCAGCAGCTAGTGTTGTTCATAGTATGTAATAACTGATGATTGTTAAGGACTAGGCTAAATTTGCTACAGATAAGTTTGGGTATTGAACATGAAGAAATGCTATTTCTTTGATGTTCTCCCTCTTCCATTCTTTGGTTTTCCTTAAGGTTGGAGCAATTGAATTACAAATTATATTTTTTGTTTATTTTGGCAAAATGCAATTAGAATTTAGAGGAGCAAGGTCTTGAGGAATTGCTATGCCAATCTCCTTTTACAATGAATTTGGTAGGCATTATAGAAAATAGTAAGACTTTGCTCATAGTCGCATTATAGAAAATAGTGGAAAAGGGTAAACTTATATTCTTCTTGTTTGAATGAGAAATAGGTACTTGCTTTTTCAATGCGGCCTCCCTGTATGTTAATTGACTTTATCAAAGTTGTGCTGGCAAAGCTGTTTTAGTTGATGACATAATTTGTTTAATGCAATGGCTGACTGGTTTTGAACCATGTTGAAGCATGGCACAATTAACCTATTTACAAGATTATTGAGCTGCATTTCTTTCCTCTTTCCTGACTCTACAGGTAACAGCAAAGGCAGTCTATTCAGCTATAGCAAACAATGGTGTCAGTCACTTTTGTGCTGCACCAGTTGTGCTCAACACTATAGTGAATGCTTCTAAGGAAGAAACTATCCTTCCCCTACCCCGAGTCATACATGTGATGACTGCTGGTGCTGCACCACCCCCTTCTGTACTCTTTGCAATGTTGGAAAAAGGTTTCCGTGTTATGCATACTTATGGTCTCTCAGAAACGTATGGCCCCTCTACAGTGTGTGCATGGAAGCCTGAGTGGGATTCACTTCCTCCTATCAAACAAGCCCGCCTCAATGCACGCCAAGGCGTGAGATACATTGCCTTGGAAGGCCTAGATGTTCTTGATCCTAAAACCATGAAACCTGTCCCTTCAGATGGAACCACAATTGGAGAAATAATGATGAGAGGCAATGTTGTCATGAAGGGCTACTTAAAGAACCCAAAAGCCAATGAAGAAGTTTTTGCGAATGGATGGTTTCACTCTGGGGATCTTGCAGTGAAGCATCCAGATAATTACATAGAAATTAAAGACAGGTCAAAGGACATTATCATTTCTGGAGGAGAAAACATAAGTAGCCTGGAGGTAGAAAATGTACTATACACGCATCCAGCAATATATGAGGTATCAGTAGTAGCAAGGCCAGATGAGCAGTGGGGGGAGTCCCCCTGTGCTTTTGTAACATTGAGGCCTGAAGTCGACCAATTGAATACACAAAGCTTGGCTGAAGATATAATAAAGTTTTCCCGGTCAAAGATGCCTGGTTACTGGGTTCCAAAATCTGTAGTTTTTGGAGCATTGCCAAAGACAGCTACTGGGAAGATTCAGAAGCATGTGCTGAGGGCTAAGGCAAAAGAGATGGGACATGTCAAGATGAGCAAACTCTAATAATAAGGATGGATTTCCTTGTGTTGCTGAAGATGGTATGATCAAAACTTGTACTTAAAGAAATACTATAAAGCTTTTTAATCCTTGGAAATTATTCGTGAATGCAAAGTTGTGCCTTTGAATGATTAATTACACCGTGGAAGTTAATTGTAAGGATTCATGAGAGCACTAGTAAAATAGCAGCTTGAACAGAGTGAAAGAGAATTGATGTCCGTTTCTGTTATGCCCAGCTAGCCTGCAGTAGAGTTGGAATGCTGGCTATGTCTTAGGCCTATTGGGTCATAATTTGGATCTTAGTTCTTAATCTGACAGTTTGAACCGGGGGCCCGAAGCTTAGTGTCTACACCATTAAAGTCCTGATCTTTGGAAATCGGACCCATGGCCACATGGTTCTGACTTGTCATTTTTGGACTAGAATCTGATGAACAGTCCCAATTAACGCAGAACCATATAATTAAGGCAGCGACAAAGACAGACAGGATTGAGGATTTTGCCTGCAAGGAAAAAAAACCTTTAAAGAACCGGGAGAAGTTGCAAGAGACAAAGAAAGTATAGTATAGGAAGTTAAAGAAGAGGATAAAGAAAGCAACCAGTTGCTTGGTTGGCAAAGGATATCCAACAACGTCAATCTCAGTAATGGTGTTTTTTTAAGGATAAGAATGTTATATCCAATCAATATCTGCCTCATATTGCAACTGTTACAGTTTTAAAGCTACTTTATCAATACAGATATGTTCCATGCATTTCCTTTTTCTTCTTTCTTATATAATAATATTATTATTATTTGCCATTTGACAGATAGAACTATGGACATATGTGTGCTTATCTCCTACGAGTATTGGATTGGGATTATCGTATTATATGGATGTGTGGCTGTGGGTCCGTTTTATTTATAATCCAGTTAGGCCAAATTTGGGCCTCTGTTAGGCACTTCTCCAACCAATCATAATCTCCAACCAATCCAACAAATCACATTCTAAGATAGCAATTAGGATTTTAAGAACAAGTATCGTAATTGAGATGTCTCTAACTCTATTCCAACCAATGTAATAAAGTTATAATTTATATATAAATATTAATATCTCACAAAACCCATATGAAAATTAACTTGAGAAATTAATTTTGATGTATATCCTCAATAGACGGGCAAGTGAAGTGATGGTTGCTGCTTTAGTGATTTTGTCAAGGCATGCAAAGGGAATTCGTTATCAACTATAAATCCCAAGTTCCCAACCGTATCAGAGAATGATGTAACATGATGGATCGACACTTCATAACGAATTTTTAACTTGAGAAGAAAAAAAAAAACTAACCAGTCGTATTGCTTATCTAACCACAATTAATGCATGTCCCATTTGTTAGGTCCTTTCTCTTTTAGTCCTTCTCTTATACAACTTGTGCAGAGAAGGCCATAGCTGTGTTTATAATATATCTTGACAATGGAAGTCAAATCTAAGGATTAGCCTGAAAATACTCGATTCTGATCAAATTAACACTTTAAATCTCAATAAATTAATGAAAACTCTTATAATAGAATGAACTCGAATGCATATTTTTGATATTTGATATATGATTCATGTAGTAATCATGTAACATCAAAATTGCATGCAATTTACCAAGAGTCATCAGAAGTCTGTGAGGTACCTGATAGACCTTTTTTTTTTTTTTTTTTTTTTTATTGCCATGCAATTAGCCAAAGATTCATCAGACAGTCTGTGAGGGTAACCTGATTAGACCCTTTTTTTTTTTTTTTTTTTCTCTGTCCTTTTTTTTTTTTTTTTTTTTTCTCTTGTTACTTCTTTATTACTCAATTGGTAGGTAGACAATGCTAATTGTAAGGAAATAATTGTAAGTCATAAGTTCTATATTGTTATAATTATGATATTATAGATAACTTACAATCTCTGTAACCAATTATTCTTTTGGGTCCAAAGAAGCAATCATCCATTAATAATTCCTTAAAAAAGTGGGAAAAATTATCAAATCATTGGTGGTGCTATACATACATATATAAATGGATCTCATTATCATATATAAAAATATTTGAATTTCATAATTGGGGTTTTGAATAAGACAGTCTTTTCTTTTCTTTTTTTTTCATATTAAAAAAACTAAGAATGAGATTATAATATAAGCTCTTTCTGTAAATTAATTGTAAAACTTTATAACCCTTAGACATGTAAAATAATTGATGTCATGTCAGTAACAAGACAAAACGGTTTAACTGTTTTTGTTTTTCTGTAGCTACGAGAAAAAACTGTGGTCTGGGTCACGAGAGTTACTTTTTTTTTACTCCAAGCTGTTTAACCCAAAGTAATATCACGTGTTTGAAATTTGAAAGTTAGGTTTATTACACCCTACTTGGTTCTATTAACCAACACGATTCTTTGTATGTATATCTTATATAATATTTGACCTATCAGTATCAATACTAGTCAGAAATTTAAACTTCCTTTTCTTTCTAATTTTTAATTTTAATTTTCCAGAGAGAGAGAAAGTTTAAATGGGTATTTGTATACACTACCCATCTGTATTGGGAGACTACACATGTGAAAAAGGAAAATTAAAAAAAATATGCTGCTAGATGATATATAGTCATAGTTATAAGTTTCTACATTTAGTGCGACTAACGTGGTATTATTTAGAAATAATTAAAAGATTTTAACTGCTGAAGAAAAAGATTCGCCGGTCCGTGACAACAGCTACCTAATCTATCTGGGCTTTTTTTTTTTTTTTTTTTTATATCGCCGGTCCGCCTGACAACAAGCACCTAATCCTATCTGGGCTTTTTTTTTTTTTTTTTCCTTCTTACTTTCTTGTTTCAGGCCTAGCGAGTAGCGCTTTGGCTTATACATTTGATTATTACCTATTAATCCGAATCTAACTTTGGGTCTTTTTAACACTGTTTTTTTTTTTTTTTTTTTTCCTTCTTACTTTCTTGTTCAGGCTAGGCTAGTAGGCTTTGGCTTATACATTTGATTATTTTACCTATTAGATCCGATCTAATTGGTCTTTTCACTGGCGTGAGAAGTGAAAAATATCGAGTTTGAATTTTATTAAAGCGAGAATCCTATTAATTCTATTATTTTACCAACGATAAAGAAGAGAGTTGATTTAGGGGAAGAGAATTAAGTTAGGTTAACTAAAAATAAAACGGTGCGTTGAAGCTTAACTAATTGCTTGAGTTAAGCTGACTACAGAAAAGAGAGTGAGTCCCACAAAAATTGAATAAAATGGATTTAATTTCAAATGTATTAGTAGTAGAAGAAAATTGCATTTGGGATATAATTAAAACAATCTACCAAGTTTAAGGTTTTTTAACGGTTTGACCAAAGTGAGAGGTATCGTGTTCAAATCGTCCCGACTATAAAGTTTTCATTCAGTGAATTAAAGATGTATATCCTAATTACGTGATAATTCAGTTCATTGGACTTCCTAACCAATAAAAAATATTTTTTTTTACTAATACGCATATAGTGACCATCAAGTGCCGAGTGCGTGCTCTACTCACCAACCTCTCTTTGATTTTATGGCTTCATGAAATTAATGGATATTTTATTTTTATATTACATGCGTGACGTGGAAATTTAATCATGAAAGGAATTCTTTTACGTTTAAACGCAACCTTCCACTATAAAAAAAAAACCTTACCATTATATCTTATACGCAATACTCCAAAACAGAGAATAACTAATAAGCCCAAAATGGCTTTCAAGAATCACCCTCCACTGTTTCTTTCACTCTGTTTCTTCTTCTTCTTCTTTCTTTGCATACCCATTTGCAGAGTAGAATCTCGAGTACCTTTCGCTTGTGACCCGAGAAATGGGCTGACCCGAAACCTGATATTCTGCAGGGTTAATGTACCGATACATGTGAGAGTGAGGGATTTGTTGGGGAGATTGACATTGCAGGAGAAGATTAGGTTGCTAGTGAACAATGCAGCTGCTGTTCCAAGACTTGGTATTCAAGGTTATGAGTGGTGGTCTGAGGCTCTACATGGTGTTTCCAATGTGGGTCCAGGTGTCAAGTTCGGTGGGGCCTTCCCTGGGGCGACTAGCTTCCCTCAAGTAATCACCACCGCTGCCTCTTTCAACGAGTCTCTTTGGGAGCAAATCGGACGGGTCAGTTTGATAATTAATTAATTTCATTATTGACTTAATTTAGTTGGTTTTGATTGGAAAGTTTCACCTTTCTTTTACGTTTACTGTACCTCTTTTTAATGGTACAGTACTCATGTGACAAATGGAGCAAGTTAGAATAAAAAAACATTCTTATATTGGAAAAATCAATATGTAAAAATTTAAGCCTTCCATTTGGAAAGTGAGAGTTTCAATTTTTCAATTAAAAAAACTCAAATCACTTTGTTTTTTATTGATCGAGAGCCGTAAAAATATCGGATCAATCGAGAGTCCGAAACCTCCCATTCTCCATATAAATAAGAAAACCAATCAGACCGTAATTAATGGACAAATTCAAATCACTTCTAAAAATTGTTGAATCCAATCATAAATTCTAAGAAACAAGATGGTTTGTATATTCATATACCATTCTGGTAAACTTTTAGGGTGAAAGTAAAAACATTTGGTAACTTTCTATATTCATATACCATTCTTGTTTTGCAACTATGATTTTAAAAACTATAAGAATGATCAAAAATGGAAAATAAAAATGGAATCCGTGAAGGGTTGTTGTCTTGGTTATGATTGTTCAAGGCAATTGCCTGCCTGCCCTTGTAGCCGCCCATACCTAGCATGCACCACTGTTTTATGGTCCACACCTTCAACTTTTAGGGCATTCCCCATTTCCTATTGTCCCTTCTGCACCTTTGCTCTTTTAGTTACCCTTTAATTAAAGGGAGTGGTTGCTTTAGTCCAAAGTGGTTAGCGAAATCTACTTATAATAATTATAAATTTAAAAAAATAATCCAAATTAAGTATCCATTTATTGTAATTAATATTTTGTTGGGAAAAATGCAAATAAGTTGCCTCTTTTCTTGCTGTATTAATTACTGATAGCTTTCCCTTAAGTAATCAATATGAAAACTCCATTACAACTACCTTGCTACCCTACAAGTTAATTACAAATTTTACATTCGTATCTTTTTTTTTTTTTTTCCCTAAGTAATCAACTATGAAAAACTCCATTACCAACTACCCTTGCTACCCCTACAAGTTAAGATTACAAATTTTACATTCGTATCTTTCTTTTTTTTTTTTTTCCCTCTTATGAATCGGCTTAAACTTTCGGTTTTCAGATCAGTATGATGTTACTATTTAAGTGGGAGAGCCATAAATAACAATCTTAATTAAATTTTCTTTAACAAAAAACCCCGTATAAAAAAATAAAAGCCGGCGGATATTTACTCCCAAGATCATACACGCATAAAAAATATATTAATTTATACTTCTTCTAAAATTATTAAAAAAATTTATCGCTATCATCTCTAGACTGGTTTAAAATTATTTTCTTTTGTTGTTAGTCAATTCATATATTAACATTATACCTTTTTTTTTTTTTTTTCCCTCTATGATCGTTAAATTTTCGGTTTCAGATAGTCATGATGTTACTATTAAAGTGGAGAGCATAAATAACAATCTTAATTAATTTTTTTTAACAAAAAACCCGTATAAAAATAAAAGCGCATTATTTATCAAGATCATAAACGATAAAAAAATATATTAATTTTATACTTTTTCTAAAATTATTAAAATATCGCTATCATTCTAGATGGTAAAATTTATTTTCTTTTGTTTGTTAGTCAATTCATATATATTAATATATACCTACAGATTGTACAAATTACAAATATTGTTAAACTTAATCATTGCAAATCAAACAAATAATAACAATTTATCATAATTGTATTATCCAAAGAAGGAATTTAAATAATTTGTTGGGTGACTGAATATTTTTGGCAACTCCATCAAGTGGCTGGCCAACAGAACAGCTGATAGATATATGAAATGTGAGGCACATGGCCAAGGCCAAGGGCAACTTGCAAGATATTTGCGTGTAAAATCATAGTTCACCTATGTTTTTTTTTTGTCCATATGCCATTTAAAAGGAATGGATTTCAATTACTGAGGAGTAAGGGCTAACTCCTGTCATTTTCTTAGAATATTTGGGACCGATTCTTTTTTTTTTTTTTTTTCATAACTATCAATATCCGAAATCCATTGAACTTTAATTACGTCCCGCTCAAGTATTGCAGAACCGATAGAGTATCTTTAAATAAAAAAATTACCCGTTTATAATTTATGTTTTTACGATGAATAGGTAGTATCAGACGAAGCAAGGGCAATGTACAATGGAGGACTGGCTGGATTGACATATTGGAGCCCTAATGTGAACATATTTCGAGATCCCCGGTGGGGTAGAGGACAAGAAACTCCGGGCGAAGACCCTGTTTTAGCCGGAAAATATGCTGCCAGCTATGTCAGGGGACTTCAGAGTATCACAGGTAACAGATTAAAGGTTGCCGCATGCTGCAAGCATTACACAGCCTACGATCTTGATAATTGGAATGGGGTGGATCGGTTCCATTTTAATGCTAAGGTAAGAAAAAATTTTCTAAAATTGTCTTAATCATAGGATTACAAAATTCTATATACGCGTATGAAATTAATTAATTGTAATTAAGGATCTATCCTCTCAACTTTACCATATTTTTCCCAATTTAAGATAAGTTTAAATTAGTAATTGTCCAATTTGTTTAGCTAATTGTTTCCACGTAGGCATTGAATACGACATATAGTAGATAATATATTTTGAATTGACACATCCTTTTTTCATTCCTTGGAATCAGTTTCTGTCTTGGGGAAGAAATTTTCCCTGGCAAATTAATGTCAGGCGTCACATGCGAAACTTAGTTGTGAGCCCGTGAAAATGGGTCTCAGACCCTCTGTTTCAATAATTACTTCAGGGCACCCAAAAGGGGTACCCATAAGTTTATGTATTTTGCTGAATTTAATTTAAGCAAAAATGGAAGATAGTAATCTAAGTTTTGAATAATGGTAATCCGTACAGGTAAGCAAGCAAGACTTGGAAGACACCTACGACGTGCCGTTCAAGGCCTGTGTGGTGGAAGGGAAGGTTGCTAGTGTAATGTGCTCATACAATCAAGTCAATGGAAAACCCACTTGTGCTGATCCTGATCTACTCAAAAACACCATCAGAGGTGAATGGCGTCTTAATGGGTGAGTTCTATAAGTCAAATAGGTATTCATTATAGTTTAGATAAGTCAAATAATCTAAACGCTCCTGTTGATGGGTCCATCTCAGATACATTGTTTCAGACTGTGACTCTGTTGGGGTTTTATATGATAATCAACACTACACTTCAACACCTGAAGAGGCAGCTGCAGCCACTGTTAAAGCAGGTCAGAAATGATGAAACCTATTTTTGTTTCTTTCGCCTTTTTTGGTTCGGACACGTGTTTAAAATTTCTAACCTTAGTTATTGTGAACTCTTGCAGGCCTTGATTTGGACTGTGGCCCATTCTTGGCAATCCACACAGAAAATGCTGTAAGAAAAGGATTACTTACCGAGGAAGATGTAAATATGGCCTTAGCCAATACAATAACCGTCCAGATGAGATTGGGCATGTTCGATGGAGAGCCATCGGCCCAACCATATGGTAACTTAGGCCCAAGAGATGTTTGTACTCCGGCCCATCAGGAGTTAGCTCTAGAGGCGGCCCGACAAGGCATAGTTCTGCTCGAGAATCGTGGGGGAGCCCTTCCATTGTCCGGTGCCCGTCACCATACCGTAGCAGTCGTTGGACCGAATTCTGATGTTACCGTTACCATGATAGGGAATTATGCTGGTATATCTTGTGTCTATCTTCACTCCATATACAATTGTTAATCGAAGTTAATCTTTCAATTTCTTGATTTAATGCATGCAGGTATTGCATGTGGTTACACTAGTCCATTGCAAGGAATCGGCAGATATGCAAAGACAATTCACCAACCCGGGTGTGAAAATGTGGCCTGCACTGGCAATCAAAATTTTGCAAGAGCTGAGGTTGCAGCTCGCCATGCTGATGCTACTGTCCTTGTAATGGGTCTTGACCAATCCATAGAAGCAGAATTCAGGGATAGGGTAAGCCTTCTCTTGCCTGGAAACCAACAAGAACTTGTATCAAGGGTAGCTAAAGCCTCTAGAGGTCCAACTATATTGGTGTTGATGAGTGGGAGTCCTATTGATGTCTCCTTTGCTAAGAATGATCCTCGCATTGGTGCCATTTTATGGGTTGGGTATCCGGGACAAGCCGGAGGCGCTGCCATTGCTGATGTTTTGTTTGGCACTACAAATCCAGGTACATGTAATGATTTTTGAATTGAACTGCCAAATTATTTATTATAACCAAGAAAAAAAAGTGACGCTCATAATACATGAATTTTAGTGCTCCAAATAGTGTTTGGTCGATTTGATTGGTTGATTGATTGATTGAACTTGAATTCTAAAAAAACTAATGATATCTTCTGTTTGTTTCTTCAGGTGGGAAGCTGCCAATGACATGGTATCCACAAAGCTATATTGCAAAAGTACCAATGACAAATATGGGAATGAGGGCTGACCCTTCAACAGGCTATCCTGGTAGAACCTACAGATTCTACAAAGGCCCTGTCGTTTTCCCTTTTGGCCATGGAATGAGTTACACTTCCTTTTCTCACTCTCTATCACAAGCTCCAAAACAGCTCTCATTACCCATTACAAGTCTTTCTGCCTTGAAAAACACTACTGGTTTAAACAATGCAATTAGGGTTTCTCACACAAACTGTGAGTCCCTTTTATTAGGACTTGATCTTGATGTGAAAAACACAGGATCCGTGGATGGAACTCAAACTCTTCTTGTTTTCTCTAGCCCTCCTGAAGGAAAATGGTCCTCTAACAAGCAATTAATTGGTTTTGAGAAGATCCATTTAGTTGCTGGATCACAGAAACAAGTCAGAATTAACATTCATGTGTGCAAGCACTTGAGTGTAGTTGATCGATTCGGAATTCGAAGAATTCCCATTGGTAAACATCATCTCCACATTGGAGATCTCAAACATTCTATTTCTCTCCAAACAAACCTGGAAGGAATCAAATATTAGTAGCTTTGTAGGAAAGTGAAATTGATTAATCCACAATTGTAACATAGATTAATACACAGAAGAATGTTTAATTAGAGTTTTCAATAAGAAAGTTTGTTATAGAACAGGTTCCTGAGTCCCAACATTCCATTCACTTAATGCAAGAAACAGAATTAAGTGAAAGAAATAGGTTAATGTATGAAGCAAATAAACCAGTACCAGGTCAGGTATGCTGGTTGCCATTCTTGTTTCTACTTTATATGCAAGGAAAATGTAACTATATCTTTGAGAATTGGTGGTTGTAATTGTAAACTTTTGCCTCATAAATATGAGGTGCTATTGGAAAAGGAATATAGTTTGAATTATTTCAGTCCGTTGCTTTCTTTTCTTCTTCCTTCTCAAATTGCACAATTTTCCTAGACATGGGAATATTACGTCACTGTTTAGTATCCTCTGTTTCGACAACTTGCTGGACAGTTATATATATGGCATAGCAGAACTGCAGAAGACTCTTATCTTCTCAAAATGGATGAGATTAATTAAATTAAAATAAGCGCACATATGCACAGAAAGCGTCCACAATAGGAAGTGAGTCACACGTGAGAAACGTACGGTATGTGAATATGAAGCCAAACATAACATAGTAACAGAAACACTCAAGTACCTTTCTTTATCTGTTGTCCAAGAATGAATTGAATAAATTTCTTCATCTATTTAATTTTATATTAATGAGAAAAATTATTAATATTGTCAGCCGTTTCAGGTTTTCTATATATATATAATTAGAAGTATGAAATGCATTGCATAATAAAATATATATACTAAATTAATTGTTTATAGCAAAAATATAGAACAGTAATTTCATTATATATAAAAAATTTTCCTAAAAAAGTTAAAATATATAAGTAGTAGCCCACCAGACTTCGACCTTAATCTCACCCACCCTTCCTCACATTTTGGTGTAATTGTGAATATATATTAAATTCAATCTGTTTAGTAGCAAAAATATAGAACATTAATTCATTATATATAAAAAATTTGCCTAAAAAAGTTTTTTAAAATATATTAAGTAGTAGCCCCACCAGACTCGGACCTTAATCTCAACCCACCCTTCCTCACCCACTTTTGCGCCTTTGTTATAATTGTGAATATATATATATATATTATATATATATATATTAGTAAAGCTTCTTTTGGTTTCCAAATTCACTTCTATATATATTAGTAAGCTTTTTGTTTCCAAATTCACTTCTACATTTCTTATAAATATACTCTTTCCCTTTAAAATCATATTTTATCTTACATTTTTTTTTTTGCATATTCTTATCTCCCTTCTTCACTCCAAACCATTCTGTCTCTCTCTCTCTCTCTCTGTTTCTTGCATCTTCTTCTTTTCTCTATTGCAAGGTAAGATAAAGATCCACTTTTCTTTCTCTCTTTCTTTTCTTTTTTCACTGTATATGAATGGTTCTTGACATGTTATCGCCATTTCATTGCTGAGTTACTCTGGTATACATATAACTTTTTCTTTCTGTTTCAGAGTCTGAATTTTCTTGAATATTTTGGTAATTTTTGAAAAATATGGATTAATTCAGTGTTTTTATGATTAATTATCGTTAATGATGATAATTAACAGGGGAAGCAAAGATGGCAGATTGCAACAGAAACCAAGACTTTTATGCTTCTCAAGACCTTGAGGTACAAAATATAAATAAACCCCATTTGGTTAATAATGCCTTTTCTTCTTCTATTTCTCTTTTAGGGAATCAGTAACTCAGAAAACAGAGACATAAACATAAAACAGTGACCAAAATCTTGGAATGAAATTCTTTTCTCTTTCTTTTGTTGTTTTTTTTTTTTTTTTTTTTTTTTTTTTTTTTTTTTTTAATTTTCTCGAATAGAAAATTTAGGACTACATATCGTGTTGATACAAGCCATAGAAATTCTTCGTGGTGCTCTTTGCATATAGGGGCGCCAGTCAGACTTAAATACCATCATCAATTTTTTTTTTTTTTTTTTTTTTTTAAATTTCTTCGAATAGAAAATTAGGACTACATATCGTGTGAGACAGCCATAGAAATTCTGTGGTGCTTTGCATATAGGGGCCAGTCAACTAAATACATCATCAATGACATATCTTCTGCTGATGGGAGATTGGACGGTCCTGATTGCATGACTACATGCACGTTTGATACTCTCTATAACACGTGATTTTTCTTGAATGGAAGTCAATGTTTTTAATTTCCTTCATTTAACGGCTTAATACCGGATTTTGTATCCATTTAATTTCTGTTTAATTATTAATTATATATAATAATAAAACTTACCAAGCATGAGCCCAGAATAACGGCGATAATTTCAAATTTGGGCCTAAATGTAAAAAGGAAAGAAATCTGTAATTTTGTAGATTTTTTTTTTTTTTCAAAAAAATCATGTGCTGATCACCGATCGTGGAAATAATCCTGGTCCCCACATCCAACGGCTATAACTAAGAATTCGGAGATAGGTTTTGTGTTTGCGTGTACAAAATGGTGAGAATCAGACAATTTCTTGGAGATGTCGGCAGTGTACGATTGTACATACTAGTTCAACCGTACCATACGGTATAATGTCAGTAGAGGACCCAACTGGTGGTTGAGTTGTCAAATTATCACGTGCAATTTTTCTTTCTTTTTTTTTTTCTTTTTAAAGGATAAGTTTGATTTGTCTTTTCTTTTTTTTTTTTTCTTTTTATAAATTCTTGTGATATATAAGCTCAAGAAAAAAAAAAAGATGTGGTCCTTCGTGCCTAACTGTGTTTGTAGTTTGACATCTTAATCCAATTTACGATATGCTTCATTTTGCAAAAAATATAGAAAAGCCCAATTAAGCCCAACTTGAAATTTTCGAACTTTAGCCAACCCAAATGCAGGCCTTATTGGCGGTCCAAATTTTAAAAAATAGGTTATTATTCTTTTCGATTCTAATAACAGGCAACGTCCATGAGCAAGAAATATGGAGGACTAGTGCCCAAGAAGAAGCCCTTGATTTCAAAGGTAAGTTTAAAGATTTTGAAAAACGAGATTAAAACAATATAGGCTACTACTACTTTTTATTTTCTTTTATATATTAGTAGTAAATATGCTAAAAAAAAAAATTGGTAATGGGTGCAGGACCATGAACGTGCTTTCTTTGACTCAGCAGATTGGCAATTAGGAAAGGTAATTGTCACAGTAAAATAAAAAAAATAATATCATCTTAATTATTTTTGGTTAATTGACCTTAAATTTAATAATTAATGGAGGAACAGCAAGGAGCTGGAATGAATCAAAAATCAACTGTGGCAATAGAATCTTTGCGACCTAAATTGCAGGTAAAAATCAATTAATTATAATAATTTTATGGACTATTAGAGAGATTTTGGTTTTTTGGTTACAAGATCAAATTTATATTTGATAATTTGCAGAGAACGCCTCATCAACAACTGCCACCTAGAAGACCGACCTGTACATCTGGTACTCATGTGAGTAATCTTGTTAATGTGGTTTTTTTTTTTTTTTTAAACAAATCTTTTTATTCTTGAATCTTGATGATGCGGTTGGTTGCAGGAGAGTTGATTGAATGTGTGACTTCATGTGTTCAGAGCTTTTTAATTTATAATCATGAAATTGTAAACACGTAATGCACGCCTGATGTTAATTACTGTTTAATAAAGGAAGAGCCTTTTCGTATTCCAGATTAAAAATGTTTTTTTCCCTTGTAATTGTATTTAAAACGTTATTTCACTGCATCGTTTTCGAAACAACTTTTTAAATAGTTTTTAGAGTTTTTTTCATATAAATGTTATTGATTAATATAACATTTAAATTTATTTTTAAAAATTATGATAACATTTAGTTTTTAGTATTTTATGAAAAATTAATAAAATAACACAGTTATCAAAATTGCTAATTTTGCCGAACATACGGTGATGTTGTGTTTTTGTTCCTATCATAGATAGTCAAAAAGTAAAAAGTGATTTAAATGGAAAAAAAAAATTGAAATATTATTTGAATATATTTTAGTGTGTGCTAATACATTATACATGTACTAATAGAAAAAAATACAATAATTAAGAAATACATAAATAATATTATTGTTTTAAAAATGTAAATTTACATAGAGCTTTAACAGATATAAAATTCATTAGTGCTTGGTATTTCTCTGTGGCATAGTTGAAATGAGGTATAAATAAATAAAAACTCACCACGATGTCCTCCTTACAGTGTTCTTGTTTATATCTATGGCATTGGCTAATGGGCTCATAAACACCAGTCCTTTCAAAACACCGAAATTCGGCCCACTTGTCTTTGACAAACGATGCGACAAATTTTTATTCGGCCCAACAATAATAATACAGCGACATAATAATAATTTTCTCTAACAGCAATCAGGTTGTGACTCGTGGACCGCGCGTTAGAAAACCTAACTGAACGAACGACGGAAATTAGAAGCTGCAAAACCGTTATTTCGACGGTGCGATGTATAAGATAACTATATGAAAAACGGCGGAACGACATAAAATAGGAGATATCATAGACGCTCTTCCTCAGTGGCGGGTGTGGCGTTGGGCTGCGAAAAGAGATTGACTTACCCATTCCGACTCTGCACCTGAGCACTCGAAGGAGAAGAGCCGCGAAGCTTTCTCTTACCTGGGGATTTTGCCAAGGAACGATTTCTCTCCAACTGTTTGTTTAATATCAAGAGCAAATTACGTCTTAGTCCGTAACTTCTAATTCTGTTCCATCGAAACGACAGTGCAATTCTTAAATCGGACTGTATGCATCTGGTGTAGGGTACCTGGCATTGCTAAGGGACATGAGAGGCTTTGCTTTGGCTTCTTCTAGGGCATCATCATCATCTGCAATCAAGAATCTTTCCCAATTTCAAGAGCCATTCGATCAGCTTCAGTCAAAAGTAGAAAACCATTCAAAGCTGCCCATAGTTTATCCAAATCGCACTACCATTATTGAAGCTTCTTCAAGAGGTAATAGTCCCTATTCACTCAACTTTCAAGTTAAAAGGCACAACTCAGTTCCAACCTCAAACAGCTCCATTTCAGCTAATAACTATAGTAAACCAATTGATCACGATTTCTTTTCTCGAATTCTCTCAAGAAATGACTGGTTTTTGTTGTTGAACCATGAGTTCAAGGCAAAAAGGATAATCTTGAATCCTCAATTTGTTGTTAGTGTCTTGCAAAATCAAGAGAACCCGCTGTACCCTTTGAAATTTTATATCTGGGTCTCGAATATCGATCCTTTATTTGCCAAGAATCAATCCGTTAAAAGTGTTTTAGCGAATTGCTTTTATAGGAATGGTCCTGTGGTGTTGTCTGTTCAATTGCTTAAAGATATTAGAAACTCGGGTTATCGAGTCAACGAAGATTTGCTTTGCATTTTGATTGGTAGTTGGGGCAGATTGGGATTGGCAAATTATTGTGGTGAAATATTTGGGCAGATATCGTTTCTGGATATCAGTCCTAGTACAAGGCTGTATAATGCGGCTATTGATGCCTTGGTGAAATCCAATTCTCTTGACTTGGCTTATTTGAAATTCCAACAGATGTCAGCTGATAATTGCAAACCAGATAGGTTTACTTATAATATACTTATTCATGGAGTTTGTAAGATTGGAGTAGTGGATGAGGCACTCCGGTTGGTTAAGCAAATGGAGGATATGGGATATTCACCTAACGTGTTCACATATACAATCTTAATTGATGGATTTCTTACTGCAAAGAGGATTGGTGAAGCCTTTAGGATTTTAGAGACTATGAAGGCTCGGAACGTGAGTCCCACTGAAGCCACAATTAGATCATTCATTCACGGTTTGTTCCGTTCCATGGCCCCAAGTAAGGCATTTGAACTTGCAATAGGATTTATCGAAAAAGAGCCTGTCTTGCGGAGATTGGCTTGTGACACACTACTCTGTTGTTTGTCCGATAATAATATGGCAAGAGAAGCTGGTGCATTGTTGGTGAAACTTGGGAAGAGAGGCTACTTACCTGACAGTTCAACATTTAATATCATAATGAATTGTTTGATAAAGGGTTTTGATCTCAACGAAACATGTTGCATATTAGATAGATTTGTTAAGCAAGGCATGAAGTTGGCTTTTAATACTTATCTTGCACTAATTGAAGCTTTATACAAGGCTGGTCGAGGTTTGGAAGGGGACCGCTATTTCACTCAGATGGTTAAGGAAGGGCTTGTATCAAGTGTCTTCTCATATAACATGGTGATAAATTGCTTCTGCAAAACAAGTATGATGGAGAAAGCAGCAAAGGCTTTTGAAGAAATGCAGTATAAAGGCATTGCTCCTAACCTTGTTACTTTCAATACCCTTATTAGTGGGCATTGCAAGGGTGGAGAGGTTCGCAAGGCACAACAACTGCTGCTGATGCTTTTAGAACATGGATTTAAACCAGACATCGTCACTTTTAGTTCAATGATTGATGGCCTTTGTCGAGCAAAACAGGTCGAAGATGCTTTAGGTTGTTTCACTGAAATGGAAGAGTGGGGTGTCTCTCCCAATGCGGTCACGTACAATATATTAATTCGTTCTTTATGTCTCATAGGGGATGTTCCTAGATCCATGAAACTCTTGAGGAAGATGCGAGTTGATGGAATAAGCCCAGATGTTTTTTCTTTTAATGCTCTTATTCAAAGTTTTTGTAGAATGGGAAAGGTGGAGAATGCAAAGAAGCTATTTGTTTCAATGTTGTCACTGGGCTTGGTTCCTGACAATTATACCTATGGTGCTTTTATCAAGGTATTTTGTGAATCAGGGAAACCTGATGAAGCTAAGGAGATATTTCGCTCAATGGAAGCAAATGGTTGTGTGCCTGATTCTTTAACATGCAATCTAATCTTGGGCATTCTTGTCAAGCAAGGTCAGTTTGAGGAGGCCCAGAAAATTGCAAGAACATGTAGCGGAAGGGGTATTTTAGTTGATTGTATTACTACCTCACATGAGCATGCTCTTAGTGGTTCATAAGCTGGTTCTGCTTTGTTGAGTTTTCACTTTGACAGCAGATCTCTGGAACAATGTATATCAGAGAATTGCACTGCTGAACTGTCTCGTTGCCATCATTTTGACCAGTGTTATCAGGCATAAAATATTTATGGCTGTTCTTGATTGGATATGCTTGTTGAGGCGCTAGACTTGGATTGAAGGAAGTAGATCATCCTATGCATGTGTGACTGCAGGATGTATTTACTATCTAGGACACTCAGCTGGAAAGCTTTCCAAGAATGAGAAGAAACTTAGCTTTAGTGTTACTTGAGTTGACTTGAAGACACCTTTATTATGAGAAAAACTAAAAAATAAATCAAATATTTTCAGCCTCAGTTTACATCATCAAAAATGCTTGTTGAAAGCCAGGGGGGCCTGTATTATAGAGTCTCCTTTCTAGAACTTTGAACTGATAACTTTATAGATGAACTTTCACATTTTGAATGTATAAGTTCATTAACTTGTAATCGGAATTCGTTAGTTTTGTTGGATGATATCTTTATTGAATTTGCTGATCATTTAATTCTTATGCAATTATTTTCATAAAAGTAAGAATTTCAAATGATTTTCAATTTGTATTGAACACATAAGAAGTCATTTTGAATAGAAAAAGAAAAAAGAAAAGAAAAAAAGTTGAATGATGGGATTTTAATATTTCGTAGATTTGTCATATTCAGTATATGGAATTGATAAATCCTATTGTAGTCTTAATTTCAACATTTTATAATGCAAAGGAATCCCACCCAACATTTTGCAGCGTGCTCATACCAGCATTTTGCTTATGCTTCTGTACATGGAGTAATTTACTAATTGCCTCCTTAAGAAAATTGAGAAGCAAGAAAGACTTGTAAAGAAGGGTATTATAAACCAAAAAACCCCTTTTTAGGTTTGATCTGTTGGAAGTTATTGTATAAAGTAGGTGACTTCCACTCCAACTGCTCTCTCTATTTTAGTCTCTATGCCATCTTCCAAATTATACCCAAAAAATGGGGCAAACTGCCATCTTGATTTCTTTTTCCTAAGAAACTCAAAATACTATATTTCATCACCTAATATAATAATATTTTCCTGCTCATGAAATTCCATTTCTAGACTATGCCTAATAAATTAGTAAAAAGATTACTAATTACTAATTAGAGAAACTCAAAAATTCTGACATGAGTTAAGCAACTAAACCATACTACTATACATTTTCAAGGTTGGTGACCCTGCTTTGCTATATAAAATTACTCTAAGCTCTTCCCTTTCTGTTCTACCAGTTGTATTTTCTGCGTTCATTAAGAAAAATCATTCACCATGATTAGACCATTGGTTTTAGCTGTAGCTCTTGTCTGCATCTCTATATTCTGCTGCAACTTAGGTATATCTGTGAAAGGAAAATTATGATGTTATTTTCATTTAAGCATATTTGTAATTAACTTTGCACTAACCTTTGACAGGGAAAGCATATTATGAGGAGGAACCTGAGACAGGTGGCACAGGTGTTGTAGGATATGATCCTTACACAGGCTCAGGGATCATAGGACATGTCCCTGAAACAGGTGAAGGTGTTGCAGGAGATGATCATGATCATGATCATGATCATCATGATCCAGTCCAAATTGTTGACAAAGCGTTGCTATGTTTTCATGATAAACATGTGAGTTTATATATCCTAAGTATAAACTAATCTGTTCTGTTATTATTCATATGCTCGCGCGTTTCAAGTTATTTTGTGCATCAGATCTATAGCAGCTGTGAAGAGGCTTACAGATTGAGTGAGAGTGGGTATCTGCACGTGCCTCCTGAGTACGTTGATGAATACTGCAATGGACCGTGCCTTGCAGAGACGCATTTAGTGCTTAATTGTTTAGAAAACATTATGGAACACTTTGTGTTCTTCAATAAGGCCACCATAGGAGCCATTAGAGAGACAATCAAGGCAGGATGTGGCCATGGCCCGGAAAGAGGTAACTTGCTATAGCTTATGAAGATATTTTCTTGGTCTGGTAATTATTGAAATTGTTAAATATATTCCAACCCTGTCTTGCAGGTGATTTCAATGTGGCCGAGCACCTTGAAGCTGAAGAAGACAGTGCATACAAGAAAGAAATCCAGATTCCTTTTGGAATTGGTTTGGCAATGATAGTAAATGCTTTATTGCTTTGATATTTCTATTGTGATGCTCTCTCATTCAAAGTAATAATAACCTATCTATTACCACCTGATAAGTTCAATGATTTACTGAGTCCATGTTAATGTACACGTATAGCGTTCTTAAACTGCTCATCAGCTTGTATGTACAATAATGAAATTCCTTATGAATTGTCTCTACTTATAAGGATTACATGCTGTCGTTTTGGAGTTACATGAATGTGTTTTCTTTATATTTAAGACTCATACCAGGTCCTTTCAATTTGTTGATCGTTGTGAATTTGATTATATTTAAACTTTAAGAATCTCATTATTAAATCCGTGAACGTGCATGAGTTTAAATTCAAATATAATAACTTAAACACAAATCATTCATATGCGTCTTAAATATAAAGAAAGGCAAAATAATTTTTGTTGACTAAATGTTTAATATATATATTTTGTGAAACCATGCAAACAAAATGAGACAAAAGAATTATTTTTTAAAAAAATTTAATTTATAAAAATCCGAATTTGAGCTAATTTATAATTTAAACAAATCAAAATATCATTCTTGTCGACGGTCATGAGGGCCCATTTAACTACAAAAGAACCCATAACCTTTCCCTCCAAAATTCGTTTTCCCTTCATTGAACATAATCGGAAACGGCAACAAAACCATAAACCAGAGACCCCTTTCAATTCCATTTTTCTTTTCCTTCAATCTTTCAATGGCACCTTTCAAGAACCCTTTCACAGCTTTCTTGACTGTCTCAACAACTCTCTCTTGTCCTTTCTCAAAATCAAGAACCCACCTTTTAGCCACTTCTCTTCTCCTTCTCTCTTTCCTCTTCCTCTCCACTTCATTAACCAACCACTCTTCTTCTTTCTCCGCTTCTGCTCTCGCTTCTCGTCTTTTCTTCGCAGCACTTTACATCTCTCCCTTCTCTTCAGTTAAATCATCAAACACTTGTCTCGTCTCGGACTTGCACGATAATTGCACCCTCTCCTCTGTCACTGCAATGGAAAGAAGTCGCAGGAATTCAAGAAAAGAAGAAACTGATCAGAATTCAAGGCTTAGTTCTTGTGATATCTTTAATGGTGATTGGGTTGTTGATGATTATGGTCCAATTTACAAACCTGGGTCTTGCCCATATGTGGATGATGCCTTCAACTGCTTCAAGAATGGAAGGCCTGATCAAGGTTATCTTGGATTCCGATGGAAGCCACATGGGTGCAGAATCCCAAGGTCTTAAAATTGATTCTGTTTTATTCAATTTTCTCTTTGAGTTGATTTTAGGGTTTTTTTTTTTTTAAATTATGTTCTTGTGATTAATTGTGTAGGTTTGATGGGAGAAAGATGTTGGAGATGCTGAAAGAGAAGAGATTGGTGTTTGTGGGAGACTCATTAAATAGGAATATGTGGGAATCTTTGGTCTGTGCATTGAGAGAATCATTGAAGAATAAGAGCAGAATTTTTGAAGTTTCTGATAGAAGAGAGTTCAAGACTCAAGGATTCTACTCTTTCAAATTCATAGTGAGTTCAAATCATTTTCAGGCATTATTATATTTCTCGATTATATCTATTAATGTAAAATTTTCAGTTATAAATAGTTAATAGTCTGCATAATTGGAGGCTTTTACATAATATTGATCACTATAGTTTTGCAATGATAATGTAGGATTATAATTGCTCAATAGATTTTGTAAAATCACCATTCCTTGTTCAAGAATGGAAAGCCTCAGACAGAAATGGCACCAAAAGAGAAACATTGAGGCTCGACATGATCCAAGGTACTTCCACCAAGTACAATGATGCTGATATAATTATCTTCAACACAGGTCACTGGTGGACTCACCAAAAGACCTTTAAGGGGTAAATTGTGCTTTCCACTACTAAAAATTAACCTTTTCAATCTTCATCTTAATTAGTTATGATCCAACCAACTCTTTTTATCATTTGTTATTTCAGCAAAGATTACTTCCAAGAAGGCAATCATGTCTATAACAGGCTACAAGTGACTGAAGCATATACTAAAGCTTTGGGGACATGGGCACAATGGGTTGATGCTAAAATTGACACTAGCCATACCAGAGTCTTCTTTCGCGGATACTCAGCTTCTCACTTCAGGTAAACGAAAGTAGATATTAATTTTTTCTGTTCTTGTCCTGATATTTTACGTTCTTGTTTTCTGGGCATTTGCAGGAAAGGGCAATGGAATTCAGGAGGGCATTGTGATGGTGAGAAGCAACCTATAACAAATGGAAGTGACCTTGCTCCATATCCATGGATGATGAGCATTCTTGAATCTGTTATATCAGAGATGAAGACACCTGTGTTTTATCTCAACATTACTAAAATGACAGATTACAGAAAAGATGGGCATCCTTCTATTTACCGGCAACCTGAGACAAAAAGAACTAAGGAAATTATTCAAGACTGCAGCCACTGGTGCCTTCCTGGTGTCCCAGATTCCTGGAACGAGCTTCTCTATGCAACTCTTCTGTTATCACACCGTAATTTGTCAAATCATCACTAGAAAGTAGATATTACATATAGTTCTATACTTGTACTTACATTTTCAGTTTGCATCAAATTTTCTCTGTTTTTCTTAGAAATCCACTTTTATTTTTCCCTCCAAACTAGGAGATTCTTTCTACTGACAAATATTATTCTGGAATGTGTATGTTCTTGTGTGACTTGATGCGTTGTAGAAATTGACAATTATTATACTAAAATAATAAAAACTATATTGATAATATAAAATCAATGTAAAGAAAGTAGATGGACTATATTATTTTGGTGCAAAAAAAAAAAAAAATGGAAAGAGGGATTGACGAATTTTTTTTTTAAAAGTTTCTTTACATTAATATGCTACCTGTTTTAGAATAATTAATTAATGTAACATCAATATTGTATTCCTTAATTTAAAAATATTATATAGAACAATTTTCATATGATTTATTTCAATTTTCAAAATTAATTTAGAATAATAATCTCCATCATCCACAATTTAGAAAGCAAATCGAGGGTGTTGGTGGACTCGCAAAGAGACGAGATTGACTTTATTGTTGTTTCTAGGGATAGATGGCGAATGAAAGAATGCCACGACATTTGATTTAGGTGATCGCTACCGCATCTAATCGAAACTCTTCGGCACTCACAATGTCGACATAAAAACTAACAGAAGATTTTCTACTCTAGCAAACGACGAGCTTCCTTTTCCCTTTCCTCTCCGTTTCCTTAGCTCGCACGTAGAGACATTGATACCTCCTTCCTTCTTAAAGCCCGCGCTCTAAAGGGAGGCTGGACACGTGGCATATCGGGAATCGGCTTTCAATCGCCGGCGAAGAAGACGAAGACGAAGATGAAGATCAACGTCAATAAAATCGCTCGGAAAGTTGAGGTCGATAATCGGATTCCTCTCCGTTACTATTACAGGATCGCCGATAATCTCCTCAGACAGGTCGGATCGTTTTCTTATAATTCCCTCTTTAGTTGCATTTTTCTCGGTAATTAAACTGGCTGATGTTTACTTCTCAGCTACCTTAGCAATGGATTTAAATTTGTTTTTATGAAATGTTTATTGGCAATGGGGCTTGAATTGGAGGTTATAAATGTTGTCCATGCGTAACTAACTAATTGAACGCATCTTGATGAATTTAGTTTTTGATTTTCTTTTGTGTTGTACAGGCGACTATACACAGGGAGGAGAAGAATATTGTAGATTTGTATATAATACTTCTTAGGTTTTCTAGGTAAATTAAGCGATATTTTGCAGGTTTATTTCCATTTTGCTTAATCTATTTTGCAATTTGATTTCCTAACCTTTCTTTCTCCTATTTCATAGTTTGGTGTCTGAAACTATTCCATTTCACCGAGATTATCTGGTTTTGCATTCAAAGGAAAGGGTAACTTATAGGAAGGTGAGCATTTAACATTTCTTTGAGTTGCTGAATGCTCTCTGTTTGCAATATGGTGGCACGGTATTATTATCGCTTATTATTTTGTTACAGAGATTGTTAGCTGTATTAGATGAGCTTGAAGCTTTGAAGCCAGAATTCCAACGCCAAGTGCAGGAGCTGAACAAAGCTTATGCAAGAAGTCAACTCCATAAACTTGATGCCCCAGAGAGGACTTTGTATGGTTCTGAGCCATCTTCTTCGGAAAGCCCTTCTGTTACCAAAATTTCTCATTCAAGCATCAATGTTAAGCGGGTACTAACTTAAACACATGCCTTATTAATATGAGCATGGCATCTCAATTGTCGACTTATTGTGTATTGATGTCTTCTTCAAATTTTTATTTCTGCAAATCCCGTTGGATTTACTACTGACTCTTTTTTGTTAATTTATGCTTGTGATTTTAGCCCTCTGGTGTGGCCTCTCAGTCTTGTCGAAATTATGATAACAACCATACTCAAGCTTCATCTTCAAACTCTTCAGAAATTGACAAGCAGTTGCACAAGCTGTGAGTATATCATTCCAAGAATACATTTGGCATTTATAGACACGATAGCTATTCATGATTTCTTCTTTTTGAATTTGGACCGATATTCTTTCTGGATGCGTAGAATTGGGGACACTTACAGCCTCTAGTTTATTTAGCTATTAGCTTGTGGCAAGTGCATTGGAGATGCAAGACCATTCTTTATGATATTTCAAGTGCATTTTATTTACTTCACTTTTTATTTTTATTTTGAAGTTTGAACTATTGATCCGTTATATGTTATTCGTAGAACCCAAACCTCAAGTAGCTTAAGAGAAAACTCTTAGTTTTCAATTTGGTGACCTGTAAGAGAAAACTCTTAGGAACCCAAACCTCAAATGCATATCTAGTTAGTGTAATGTTTACGCTAGAAATGCATTTGATTACATTATATTACACTTCAGTATGATTAACCAAATCGAGCTTATCTGTATTTCATAAGCAGTTAAAACCATATGAGACATATCAGTACTAAGTCAATACAATCGCAAAAAGTATGAGGGGTTTATTTGCACTTCTGTACTTATTCTTGGCTTGTGAAATAGATTTTATCTATGGTAATGACAAGTATGTTGTCAAATGTATTGCATAGAAGTCAAAAAGTTTCTTCTCCTGGCCGTTGGTTTTGCAATTTGCCTATCTAAGCCCGTTTCATCTCTTTTGAGATTGGTCCTTTAGACTGTTTGTTTAGACCACGACAAATTGGAACACCCAAATAGATTCTAAACTTGTCATCCCTTTTAAAAATTAGGTCAAATGATCCATTATTAACTGGGACTGCCTGTGGAATATTATATAACGTACCATTTTTTAGCATGCAAGATTCTGTTAGAACAATACTTTAATTTCTCAATACCTGCAGGTCTATCAGTTTACCGCTTCCCAAGCAAGAGACTTTGTCTAGACACTCATTCTTAGGCCCTAATGGTCTTCAGGGCCAATGGCAAGGGCCTAGCACAGAGATAAAGGTAAAATTATTGGCTGGTTTTTTGCCTTTTTGTGAGTATCTATGTATGGTTTGTGCAATTAAAACATGTAAATTGATCCATGAATTGTTTAATACAGGTTCAGTATCCGAGTTATACCGACTTAACCTCTGCTGAAGATTCAAAGTGAGTGCTTTTGTGAGACTGGTTTCTTTATGTTTGCGTTGTTTTTTTAATTATGTGTTGTAAAGAAATTCAACTATTGATGCTTCTTTTGATACTTTCCAAGTTTCCTTCTATACATGGTGCCTGCGTGTAATGTTTATATCGTATGTCGTCTGTGGTATGACAGCCTGGATCAGGCTGGACAATATGGTAGTGGAGCCATGAAAGATGGTGATTCTGGGGGGCTGGGCTCTACAATGGAATCAGTGCTCTCCTTAGATGATGGAAGATGGTCAAGTAAAACAGAAGAGTTATGCCCTGCACGAGTTAATGAGGCAAGGGATGATCCTTTTCAGTTTGTTGGTATTAGGCAACCGCTTCCACCACCTGTTCTTGCTCAAGTGCAGGACATCTCTCCTATTCCTCCATCTAAAGTTGCAGATCCAAGACCTGGACCGGCAAAACCTTCTCAGGATGGAATTCCAAGCTCAAATTCATATCAACATTTACATGTTGTAGGTGTCATATGCTGATTTTCATGCTGTACAAAATTTGTTGTTTTACTTCTTTTTTTCCCTGTTTGACTGGCATTTGGTCATCGTGACTATTTGTTTTGATGGCTGTATGCTCAAAATTCTCGATCATTATTCTGTCAATTTCTCATTTCCTTTATTGCAGCCTGTGAATTTGATGGAAGACTTCTTGAGATTAGCCAGTGCAAACACACAGAAAAATTTGGAAACATGTGGCATTCTTGCTGGTTCTCTGGTAAGAGAGAAAAATTTTAACAGGAAAACCAAACACATATTATCTTGTTATCCAACCGAGGCGGTTCCTTACATTTTTCATTTTTTATGGTGTAGAGAAACAGGGTGTTTCACATCACCACACTTATAATCCCAAAACAAGAGTCAACTTCAGATTTGGTATGATAGCTATCTTCCAAATCAATATATTTGTGTTGTTTCTTATTTTAAGTTCCTTGTTTTTATAATAACTTTATGCAGCTTCCTTGTTCATCTACATAGTTCTTGAGAAACTTTGGATTTAGATCATCTCCAAAGGCAATGAGAACAAATGCCACCATAACAAACTATAGCTCTGAAAGAATACAACTAACTGAAAATGTATGCCAAGGATTTTATTACCACCTCTCTTGCAGGCTCCACTTGTTTTGAGATAACATTTTAATATCGAAATATGAGCACTAAACATATATTATATTCTGCAATCCAAGTTAACTGTAACTTCATATGGCTGAATGACTGAATGAAACTTTGTGAATTATCTATTTAACTCTGAGATACTTTATATGTAGGCATTCTTGGTTTGTATTTTTATTTTCTTGAAAATCTATTTTTGATTTTCAGTGTCAGACATTGAATGAAGAAGAAATATTTGAAGTTCAAGACAGACTGTCACTTTTCCCTCTTGGGTGGATTCATGTAAGTTCCTAATAGGCATCATATGGCCTATCATTGTCAAATTTTCTGCTGATTGGTCATATTGCTTTTTGTAGTGCTATATTTTTTCTATCCTTATAGTAAGCAAATCAATTCTAATTGTTATCTTCTTTATGGATACAATTAGGTCTTCTGTAACTGCATATGCTTTTCTATTAGTTTTAGCTTATTATTTGTTTCTTGCAATTGTTTTTCAGACACACCCATCACAGACATGTTTTATGTCGTCTGTTGATCTGCACACTCATTACTCATATCAGGTAAGGATAACTAATAATTTATCTATTTCTTTTCTTATGGCATCGACTAAGTTTTTTCTGCTGTTTTTGGAGTTCTGAATGGTACATTCATTGTGTTCTTCTGAGAGCATGCAGCAATTGCAGTGCACGCTTATGTTTTCTTTCATCTAATGATATTTGTAGTTGATTCCATATAGTTAGTACTTTAAAAGCATGAAGTTCCAGTCATCTGTCCTGTCTATGTGATTACCATTAATCATGCTGATTTGCCTGTTCTCCATTTTTAAACCGATGAAATATTTTGTATTCCCATCTATTTTCTTCTTTATTAAAGCACTGATTCTTCATTTGTTAACTAATGTAATTGTTATTACGGATAAGTTCAACATGGTAGCTCAACTATCAATATTCATTTGTGACTATCTTAACAGTTACTCTAGCAAGACCATATATTATTTGTTCTTCTGCTTCCTCTACTCTCTCATCACATCCATGATGCAATGTATATATGGCTGAAAGACCTTGCTCTATCCTGCTTTCAGATCATGTTACCTGAAGCAATTGCAATTGTCATGGCCCCAACTGATACATCAAGGTAGATATTTCCTTTTTGCCCAAATGGTTATTTCATTAGCTTCAGTTTTATAGTATATGATAAGAATTAAAGTGAAGCATATAAATGCTTCAGTATGATGCTTGCCTTTGGGGCTGTCAACATCATTAGGGAAAGTGTGGGTCGTGGGATAAAATCCAGCTTGATCCACTTGGGACAGACTGTTGTCAGTAAAATCAATTAGTTCAATTGTCTAGCTGGTTGTCTAAAAAAAGGAAGTCTTTTTGAATGTGATGCCATTAATAATTTAGCTGGTGATTAGAGAAAACCTTTTATGGAAGATATGGAAATATCTTTTTGTAGAGGGGAGAAGAGAGACAAAGAAAGAGATAAATATCAGTTATTTTTATACTGCCAAAAATCTTTCTTTATAATTATTTTCACTGAACTGGTATACTAACTTATCTATTCAACTAATGCCAGCCCACATGGTATATTTCACCTGTCTGATCCAAGTGGTGTCTCTGTAATTCGGAATTGCCAGCAGCGAGGTTTTCATCCCCACGAGGAACCTTTGGATGGAAGCCCAATTTATGAACACTGTTCCCATGTCTACATGAATTCAAAATTGAAGTTTGATATTGTTGATCTTCGTTAATCTTGGAATTTTTTTTAGCAAGATCTTTTGAAGAAAGTAATTTTCGCCCAGTATATATCACTTCATATTGTAAATCAGCGGATTTTCCGAATAGGAATTTGTGAGAATGTAGCATTTTCTATTCTTTTTTTTTTTTTTTTTTTTTTTTTTTTTTTTTTTTTTTTTTTTCATTTTTCTATCTTTTTTTTTTTTTTTTTTTTTTTTTTTTTTTTTTTTTTTTTCGTAAATTGATAGAAGCTGTCTGGTAAGCTCCTTTATTATTTGATATCTCATGTTAATAAGGGAATTGTCTATAGGTTCGAGTGCCGATGATTTCAGTTTAAATCTGGATAATATCGAACACGTTGGTCCAACCAACATTGGTTCTAAATGCCAAGGATTTTCCATTGAAATTAATGTGTTTACACTGGGTGATTTTTAAGATCACATTTCACTTCCGTGCCTCTCTACTGGACGAGAGATGTGCGTTGGTGTGAATGTTGATAGGATGAACAGGAGCAAACCCGAGGTCTCTATGTTCTGTCATTCAGTAGAGTGAGTAACTTTTTTTTTTTTTTTTTTTTTTTTTTTTTTTTTTTTTTTTTTTCTAAATTGATAGAACTTCTGGGTAACCTTTATTAGTTGTATTCTCATGTTAATAAGGGAATTGTCTATAGTTAGTGCGATGATTTCAGTTTATCTGGATAGATATCGAACAGTTGGTCCAACCAACATTGGTTCTAAATGCAAGGTTTTCCATGAATTAATGTGTTTTAACACTGGTTGTGATTTTTAAGATCACATTTTCACTCCGTGCCTCTCTAGCTGGACGAGGAGATGTGCGGTGGTGTTGAATGTTGATAGAGAACAGGAAACCCGAGTCTCTATGTCTGTCATTCAGTGGAGTGAGTAATAAGGTTTGAGTGATAGAAAGTGGGTTATTCACATTTTTATTGTAATTGCCAGGGGTTTGAGTCGGCTGTGGTGTGAAGGACCACCTAGCTTTGCTTGTCATGAAGATGATATGAACCTAGTTGCAGCTGCCATGCTGGAAGTTGCTAACCAATTCTAGAGGTGGTCTTTAATTATTGGTAACCTCTCTCTCATTATTCCTTCGATATTCTGGGATACGCATTCACTGACTCCTATTGAAGAAACGAATATAATTTCAGTGAGCATGTCTTGCCACTTGAGTTAGATAAATTACCTATTTTTAACATATAAAATGAGTGCTAGTAAGGTTGAATTGAAAGGCAAAAGCAAGTAACTTTTAAATCAAATCTGTCTCCTGTAATCACATGCAACTTTCAAATCTAGAGGTGGTGACAATTTTTTGATTGTCGGAAGTTAAAAACACTATAAAATTTCACGAAATGTAGAAGTAAAAAAGAGGGATGAGCATTTAAAATGAAGAGTGAAGAGAGTTATTGGTACGTGGACCATTCACGGCGCTTTGTATTTTGCGTTTGTAACCCTTGCTTTATGGTACAGTAAGGCGACCTACCACGTGAGGACTCAACCTCAAACATGTATACAATCCAACCGTTTCATTATTCTCATTTATTTCTCAACAAATTCAACTGCCATCGGGCGGCCAGCTAGTTCCTTTTCTTCTCTTTTACCACCGGTGACTGAGACATTTGATGATGTTTGAAAAGTATGTGATCCGTCTTTTTAGTAATTAAAAAATGAAAAGAATGACCCACAGCTAATGGCTGGCCGGTTTTATGAATCAGAACCGCTTTCTAGACTTAGAATTGGAATCAACATGAATTTAGAGTACAATTAGGAGGTGTAAAAGTATAAAAAATTTTAGCTTTTTTAGTAAAATATATTTTTCCAAAATCGAATTATGTTATCGCCCTTATAAGAATTTACCACTCCAATCAATTATCTTGATGTTCGAATTTAATTGATTTTGACTCTGATTCAAACATGATTTTAGATATTCCAAGCTTTTTTTTTTGTTCCTTTGCTCTTTCTAGTCGATTTCGATATCAAAGGTAAGAACCAAGACTGGCTTGTAAGTAACCGGGTCTGGGTCGGTCTACTTCTCAGGATTAAACTATGAGACCTTAAATGACACACGTGGCACGTTTTATCACCGCTTGCATGGTGAATCAGAGCCATCATTCTTCTCCCGACCAAATATTTATATACTAAAAAGGTACAACAGAAAACCTACACAATCCTCACTTGTCAATTAACAGCTTCTCTCTTTCAAAGAAAGCAGAAGACAAGTCAGCGTTATGTATACCTTAACTATACTGTACTAAAGAGAGCGAGAAAGAGAGAGCTAACTAACATATACATAGTCTAGCTACATTAATCTGCAGAGATGGGAAGAGCTCCTTGCTGCGAGAAAGTGGGATTAAAAAAAGGCAGATGGACAGCTGAAGAAGATGAACTCTTGACCAAGTACATTCTTGCCAATGGAGAAGGTTCTTGGAGATCACTACCGAAGAATGCAGGTAAACTACCTCTACTTAAGAATCTACATTAGATTAAAAGCTTCAAAATGCAGATGATCATTTTATGTAGTCATTTTTGTGAAGGGTTGTTGAGATGTGGTAAGAGTTGCAGACTGAGATGGATTAATTACTTAAGAGCAGACTTGAAGAGAGGCAACATCACTAAAGAAGAAGAAGAAATTATCGTTCAGTTGCGCTCAACTTTCGGCAACAGGTACGTCTCTACCAGCCTGTTCGACATTGTGATTAACATTAATTATTTTTTTTAGGAAAAAACACCATTTTAAGATTTTACTTTACTATATATTCTACTTTTCCAATCAATGTTTTCATTAGCATTAATTATTTATACTGGAAACGAGGTTTTTTACTATCATGTCAATGGCTGATCCAGCGAGCATATATTATGATGATGGTGGCGAAAGCATGTGGTAATGAATAACTGTTTATTTAAAGCAATAGGTCCCTTTGCAACTAGCATGTTTCGAAACAGCAGAAAGCTTCAATTTATGAAGTGACATGAAATATTGCTGTAAGAAAAGTATACAGTGACACAAACACCTAATACTAAACAAAATACATATTTCCTTTTCTTTTAATTAATTTGTTGGGTCAATCTCATTAATTTTTGGTAATACCTTTCCAATAAAAAAGATATTTGCGCTAGACTGGATTCATGACTCTACCTATAAATAATACCGATGATAATAATAATTTAAATCTTATTGCTTTCTTTTTCTCAGTATGTAATCAAAAATACTCTATTTCAATAAAAAATACATATTTTTATCGATTTGATCTCTTGAGTCGTAGAGTTGTTCAGGCGAATTATCCTTCTACACTAATAAGGAAAAAAAAAAAAAAGGAGATGTGGATCTACTTTTATATATGTATTTTTTTTTTCTTGAAGAAAATACTAATCAGACGTATATAAAGATAGGAGCAAGATATATATTTTATCAAAACTATGATAATTTTGACAAAATATGCTAATTGGTAAGCCTTTTATTCATATGTACGCATTGCAATTTTCTATGTTTAATTAATATGTTGTCTTAAAAGTTGTTTTTCCAACACTAAAATTTAAAATTTAGAGAACATTAGTTTATGAATCAAATTAATTCTCTTGAAGAACCGCTCTGGTTAACATTTTTGGAATAAATTATGTCGGTGACTTGAGTACTCTGATCTGCTCATATCATTCAACATTTGAGTAGAAAAGTTTAACTGTCTCTGCCATTCGGTAGACACTACCGATCTAGGGTAAACTAAAACTAAGCCTAGATGCTATATAATTGGATTCTGTTTGTGATAGGTGGTCTTTGATAGCTACTCATCTACCGGGAAGAACTGATAACGAGATCAAGAATTATTGGAATTCTCATTTGAGCAGAAAAATTTATACCTTCTGCAAGAATAACGATTCCCTACCCACCACCGCCATAAAGATAACTAATATCGCCGGAACATGCAAATATAGAGGTGGCAAAGTGAGCCAATCAGCAGTGAAAAAACACAAGGGCAACGCGTTAATGTTAGTGGCAAGGAGGCCGCCTAAGACTAAGAGTGGTCAAACCCTAAAAGAAACAGTAGTTGAAGAAGCAACAAAACCCAATAACGACAAAGGCTGTCCAGTTCAAATCGATGAGAATGGACAAATAATGGGTTTGGTCCCAACAGAAGGCCCTACGAATACTATAAGAGACGTTAGAGATGATTCTTGCATAGGTAGTGGCGAAAGATCATTAATTAATGCAGCTGGAGTCTTCCCTAGAAATGGAGATGATGAAGAAGAAGAGGATTGGGGACCATATGAATGGCTAGACAGTGAAATAAATCGCCTTAAATACGCTCTGGAAGGTGAAACTGCAGTTCTAAATGAAAATAATGCCCTCAATAAAGAGAAAGAAGAGGAAGAAGACAATGGCAGTAGGGTTGGTATGGGTCCAGACAGAGTGGCTAGTATTGATCAAGAAAGAGAAAGCAGTTCTTGTGCTACTGCTTGGAGCTCATCAAATGCAGAAAGCGGGGAGTTTTATATTTGTGGGCCATCGCCTGTGAATTTAGGGTTTGATGAGGAATGGTATAATTTGAGCTTTGATTGGGACGGTACAGTAGGAGAAGGTATAAGTGATGATAATAGAAGGGAATTTTGGGATGAAGGGGACAAGATTCTTCTTCCATGGTTGTGGAGCTAATAATAGACAACAATAATATATAACATTAGTTTTAACTTTGCTCATAATTAAATGTGTTTAGGAAAGGAATTATTATGAGCTGAACTGTGTTTTGTCGTATTTGATGTAGTGGTTTAGGAATTTTTGATTTGAAGATTGGTTGGCATTGTAATGGTTGAAGTTTAGGAATTATTTCAGTTAACTTTTTTTTTAAACCAAAAAATAAAAATAATAATAAATGATTGAATTGTATCTTCTGTCTCATTCTCAGAAAGTGATATGTCGTTTGTAAATGCAATCATTTTCCATGAAAAGGGTAAGGAAGGACCATCGGGTAGTTGTGTTAATCAACTCGCTCAAAGTTCCATACTCAAGTGTTTGTCACGCAGAAATATTTTTTTCTTTTCAAATATATATATATATATAAGGAAACCTCAGAAAATACTGGTAATAATATATAGCTCCATTGCCATGCCTCAAAACTTTCTTTTTTCCATATCAGCAAAGCAATCAAGTCCAGAATATTGAGCAAAAGGACTGGCAATATAAGTTGCTAAAATCAGATAATAGTCCTTTGAAAGTGGCTTCTCCGGCCTTTCATTATAGTGATTTCACTGATAAATCCTATGAACATTTCCCTGATTCACAATGTAACAAATGTTGAAGCAATAACTTGAGCAATGAGAATAAATATATCACAAGTACAAGAAACCCCAATAACAAATTTCAGGGGACCTAACAAGTATTGGAGGTGGAAAAATAGCCATGCTCAAAGAATGAAACTGAAAGATATTTGATCCTCGACCTCCAATCCCTGCATGAAAGCATCAATTTCGGCATTCCTTCGCACCCCTAAAATCACCGCACAAACTCCATCAGCAGTAGGCATCAACAACCAAATATATCAGCCACCACTTCATCAAGCAGACTACTGTATATTTGGCCCTCTATTTCTGCTCCAAGTGAAAATGCATCAACTTCGAAGTCCAGCCATCTTCCATATGGACTGCTCATATCCTTGTCTACTAGCTCATCTACCATGCAATCTCCCATGCCTTTCCATGCTGAGATCTCCTTCAGCACTTCTTCTGCTAGCCACCCTTTTCTTCGCACCATTGTGACTCCTTTTGTCCATGTTTCATAGCCACAGCCAACATACCGTCTACATCTTATGTCCAAGCATTCATTTACGCAATCAAATAGTACCTTCCTTTCCAGCCTAGCCTCAATGCTATCATGAACAAGTCCATTTTTCTGAGTTTCCAACTGGTTGAAGAGATTAGGTTTAATGATCTCAGAAACCCGACCCACTGCAAAGTCCTGAAACATAAATTCCAGATTGTAGAGCATCATCTGCACATATGCTATTTCCCACCTGTTTGATCTTAGATCCATCATAGGTAATGCATTTGCAGACTTTCCAGCTGCAGTGCCGGTAGATGTTGAAGAAGCAGAATCTGATAAATCTGTATCTGCATCAATGTAGTGAAATTTCTTTGAAGAAATCAAACCAGGAATTTCCTGAGCTTGAATAGATGAGCACTGTTTGATTCCTGCAAGCACATTGTAAGCAATTTTAAGTTCTTGACTTGACAGCATATGATGTGCAGATAAATAACTAAGACCTGAGGTTTAAGAATAACAAAACAAACATCCGTTACCTTCAGAACTGCTACAGTCTGTGCTGTCTAATGAGCTGCAACTTTCAGTAGAAAAGGACGGTTCAAGAACAGAGATTGGGCTAGGACGCCTACAGTCAATCTGCTTTCTGGAATCAATCGATTTGGTACTGCATTCTTCCATCTCATCAACATCCTAAGAGTTTTACAGTTACATCAATTACTTAAGACGAAATAAGGCTCAAGTAGGGAAGCTTAACTTTGGATACTGCAAGAAAAGGAAAGGATGTGGAAAAGAGCTAAGGGGAGAATAGGGTTGAGGAAAGGATCCAAAACCAAAAGGCTATCAAATTGATCAGATTGATTCGTTAAGTTAAAAAGCTGCATTAATTACAAAAATGAAAGAAAGAAAAGGGAAGCCAACTATATTGGAGGCCTTAATTCAGAATACAACAGGAACGGCGGCGGATTTTTCTCTAACATGATCCCTGATTAAACAATATGGATAGATTTATACAAACAGAATTTGTAAAACATGAAATTTACGATCATTTATCAATATGAATTTAAGACCCTGCACAATCAATTCGCAGCAAGTCCTACTAGAGAGTGAAATGGATTGCATAAGAAGTCAGAGAGAAAACACTAAATAGGCTTATTTCAGACTTGTACTCATAAAGGTGAAAGCAAAGACTTTACAGGTTTTCGTGTGTTACTTGTTAAATAGGTGGGGTTTTGAACAACCCAGTTAAGACCCTCCTGCAATTGAGTTTACTTATCTCTAGATTGAGAGCGTTGACATTTGTAAGCACAAAACTGTGTATGCCTAGAAACATGCAACATTAATATATCCAGAGACAGAAATGTTAATGATGAAACAAACTTTTTTCTTAATGGTCGAAAATCCAAAGTTCTGTACCTGAAACATGTGTTTAAATCTGAATGCTCCAGGATCAGTTGAGAATACATCAGAAGATCTGCTATCCAAGTTATCTACCAGCAGCATATTCTGATCCTTGTTATCATGCAATCTGGGAGTAGAGCTTGTGTTAAGAGTGGGTGCCAGATCTTGCAAAAACGATGAGGAAGTCAAAGCAGATCCTGTTTTGATAGTATTGCGGCTAGAAGACTCTACGCTATTGGTTAATTCTCTCAACTTCTGCTCCAAAAGAGTACTCAAAGCATCTCCCCCTATCACATTGTATCCCACTGTAGACAGCTTAATACTATCTGTGTCAAGCAACAACCTCTTGCCCCGATTATCCATGCAAGCACCACTTTTTTTATGTACCACCTGACCAGATGCTTCGTAACCATGCATAGACCTCATCAAGGGAGCTGTAAATGTAAATGAAACAACATCCGTGCCTTTCCTCTTGCTTTCTTCTGCCCAATTAACGTGCCTGTCAATGGATGGACCGGTTTCAATTTCCTTCAGATTGTTGTCAATTAACATATTATCAACCCGATTTTTCTCAATATGTAAGTTCCCATCAATTGATCTCTTCTTCCTGGGAGTATGCTTTGTACTGTAATTTGAATGTCCCTTCTCACTCTCTTTTACATCTGAGCCTAACTTCCTAGTTCCAGCTTTTGAGCCAATATTTTTGCCTGAAGTTTTTTGCCGCACAGAAGAAGAATTCCCAGATAATGTCTTTCTACCTTGCAAGTTGGAAACTGATGACTTTGGAGACTTGTCTTTATCCATAAGGCAATTTTGTTTCTGATTGTTCTGCCTCAGCACACCAGAAGCATTATGCATAGAAGGTTTTTTGGGCATACTCTTTTGAGTATTAGGTTGGCTCTTGAAGGTCTGGGTAGACATGACCTCACCTTGGTCTTTCTGGCTAACCAAGCTTCGAGTGCTGCTTGAATTCAAATTTTCTCTTCTCTGAACATTGACTTTTGCTTGGATTGCAAGTGAAATGGACTTTCCTTTGTTTTTCAAACCAGAAGAACCTTCTTCTGTCTCAGGCAAAGCCCTGAAAGATGTTGTATCAACTGAACCATTCCAGCTTTTGTTCAAAGACTGACCCTTGAGATACTTGGCAGCGTTTGATTCGACTGGTCTCCGAGAAGCTTCAGCAAGCCTGGGTGTTTTATTAGTAGCTTCCACTTTCTCTCTTAAGTCTCGAGTTCTCTGAGGTGCTGAAGAGGACCCAACCAGTGGCATTTTCTGTGCAACCTCCAGTCTTTCTTTAATATCACGAACTTTCAAGGGCACTGAAGAAGATCCAACCCCAGAAATTTTGGCCCTTGCAGTAGCTTGTGGGCTAGGCTCGATAATTCTTGCAGCTGCTTCCATTATGTGAGCAGCAGTTTTACTTGGAATGAAGCCAGGACTCTTGATAGGAGACAAGAGTTTATGGTGAGTGATTGGAATTGTTTTAGCTGACTTTGGAGGCAAAACTTCACTTTGGAATTTTTCAATAGGTCTGCTTGACACCTTCTGAGGCTTTGAGTCCAGAAAGTTCCGGGGAGGGCCATCCTCCTTATTGAGTAGATTTTCAGAATACATGATCTGAGGGTCATGATAATATTCAAAATTTTTCCTCTGTTGAGAAGACTCCCTATGAGATTGGGTGTCCAAAAATGGGGTCGAGCTAGGGTCAGAAAAACTGGATGTTGGCATAGAATCTAATCCCATAAGCCTGGCTACTACCCCAGGAGCCCTTGCCCCACATCCGTCATCATCTGTTACTGATGAAGCACAACTATAATCACTGCCTCCTCTAATACTCGATCCCACTCCAATTTCATCATCATCCATCTGCAAATGTTCTCACAGCTCTCTTAGATGCATAATCTAACAAAAATTGAATAACAACATAAACAGTAACAGTTAACAAAATGGCTGACCAGATGAAACCGAGTCATTGGCAAGTTCCCATCACTTCTCTTTCCTTGTTTTGAACGAGCTAAAAAAATGAGAAATCAAACCCATTATTGATCATAAAGAGGCTAATCATGCACAATACTTCTTTTTATTAAAAACAAATAGAAGAACTTATACCTGGTAAATCTGACTTGCTTGAGAACAATTTCTTCCTGGATTTTGCTTTCCAGTCAAATAGCTGGAAGAAACCACCTACATAACCTCCTCCATTTTTTGAGCCTTCTTTCTCAACCCCCATTTTCTGGAGAAAAAGGTTTATACTTCTTCTATAAATCGATAAAATGAGACAAATGGGGAACTCTGTCCATCTGCAACTTAATTAACCAAAAGATAAGTTCATTCCAACTGAATTGCATTCCTTTATGCATTGCTATAGAGATTCCAAATCGTTGTAAGAAATCAAATGACATTTAAATTAATTTTCACTGACTATGACCCTGTTTTGGATTGAGAATCATACAAACAGAAAACAAGTCTTAAAAATCACTTTTTGAAGACAAAATTTAGCCCAATTTTTAAAACAAGTTATATAAGGTAAGACAATTTTTAAAGCAAGTGGCATCAATGCACTAGCCCAATTACAGATACCAATTTTCTCGATCAGCTCCAGCATATTCTCAACAACCAAACAGATGCTCCAAAAGACAAAATTTAGGATAACCAACTATAACCCAGAAAGCATTTGAAGTCAACAAACAAAACAGTATAGAGATCGCTAAATAACACCTTCAGTTCACCAATAAGAAACAGAACTTAGACGTTCAATCTAATCGCATTTAAAAGTAATTAGAATGAAAATATAAAATAAAAAAAAATTAAAACTTACACGTAATCAATGAGAGTGAAAACAGGATCCTCTCCTCTGCTCCCTTCTCTCTTGCTCTCCAATAAATGCAAGCAATTTCGAAGGGCTACGGCTTTCACAGTAAGATAAAGCGAGAAAAGCAAATTAATTAAGATTTTGCAGAGATTGATGAGAGAAATTGCAGATTTCAGAGTCAGATAGAAGTAGAGAAATGGAAGAGTGAGGGAGAGACAGATACAGAGATGGTGTCGTCTGAACGAGTGTAGTTCAAATGCATTAATTGAGAGACAGACAGTTGTTTTTTAAAAAACATAAAAAAGAATTATTATTTTGAACAAAACATTTGGTATTATTAAAAGGTAAAAGTTATAACGTCTCTTTGGAAGAGGGAGGGATTTCAAATTTCCAAACGAGGACTTCGACAGAGGCTCGGCACTGGGCAGTTCATGATAAAGTTACGTGCTGGTGCACATAGGAGCATCACCATTGGTGCAGTCAAATAACAAAACGACGTAGTCGGATATACGTGTCGATAAATATATTGGGAAGTATGTAGTCCTACATGCACCTATTAAATTAAAAAGAAGCTGTGAACGTTTTGAAAATGTTGAATGCTAGAAGGCAAATCAGCAAACGGTAAGAATCCAGATCCAAGCCTTGTAGTTTTCTGTTGCGGTCAGATTCTCAATTACATTAACGACATCATAACAAATATATCACTGTTTATATTTTTTTAAAATAACTTATTTTTAAAATTCATTGCAAAGATAAATTATTTTCAAATGTCCCCTTCTCTTCTATTAAATTGATCCGTACTTGGCTCTGCTGTCTGAAAATGATCATATTTCCTTACTACTATATACAGTGTTCAATTTGAAATTCATCCTTTTTATGTTCTTCCTTCGAACAGAATTTAAAAAAAAAAAATTATTGTTGAGAAATCTAATAATCAAAATTAAACAGAATTATTGTAGCACTGCTGAATTTCCTCTATTCAATTATACGAAATCCAGATTCTCGTTTATTCTTTGTAATCCAGATTCTCAGTTTCTGTCTCTCCTTCCCATGGCTGAAATTGAAGGAAAGAAAGGGTAAGAAAATGAAATGGAAAATAATCTTTTTGCCTAAATTGGCTCTGTACACTTTGCAAATCCAATAATGACAAATTATGCGAAAGAGGGTACCAATAATTGAAAATTTTTTTGAATGATCACCGATCGATCATTGATCACCCAGAACCAGAACATAGTTTTTTTCCAGCTTGAAACTATAAAACGACATGCATGGTAGTTTAATAGCCATACACAATCGAACAGTACTTGTCCTTAACCCAGCGGAAGCTATTCCTTAAAGATGTCTTAAGTTGGCCTTCGACTTGGTAGGCCTTGTACTTAACGACACGCCGTTGCCTCTTTATTTCAGCCTCGGTATAAGTATACGGCGATTCATATGGGGTGCTACTGCTGATCTTCTTTTTATTACAGGAAGATCCCGTTGATTTTGTATGTCTATGGGATCGAGGATATTCAATATTTTGGCTTTTCTTCTCTCCCGGCGGTGTTTTGAATTTCCAATCTTCACTGTAATGCCTCCGGTGCCGGTGAGGCTTCCGGTAATCATTCATTTCTTTCTTATTTCCTGCCTTCATATTTCAAAAAAACAAAAAGAAAAAGAAAGAAAGAATGCAGAGAGATTGTGGAAGTCCAACTATGTCTCTGGTATTGGGTCAACGAATTTTGTGAATGAGACGATTATTGATCTGTTTCGTATGATAATTAATTGATTAATTAATTAATTTAATTAAGAAACACTTAATTAGAAGGAGTTCAAATTAAGACTCCGGATTCTTGGGAGATAGCATTCGCATTTTATTAGCCAACAGCTCAAAATTGCCTAATTATGTTTAATGGAGACTCCAATAGCTTTTGACGTTTGACCAAAGAATTGATCTTTTACTAATTTTCTTCAATTGGATTTTTTTACTTATCTTTTGATAAGTGAATTCACTTTTCATTTTATTAATAAGAGCTTAATTTTTTAGATAGGAACGTAAATTCTCATGTATTAATCTTCTAATAAGTGAATTTACTTTTTATTTTATTAACATGAGCTCAATTCTTGATATAAAAATGTAAATTCTCATATATTAATCTCCTAATAATCTTGATATGAATTATCAATATCAAGACATATTAGATAATTAAAAAATTAATCATACTTCAAAAATAAATTATTTTTATAATCTAAAATAAATGAAAAAGAAAAACAATCTTATAATCTTTCTTGGAGGGAAGGAATACTTTTTTTTTTTTTTTTCAAAATTTAGTAATATTTGTAGTGGCTATATCTTATAGTACTATAAAAAATTAAAGAATTAATTAGAAAAAAAAGGCTTTTTTGGGGAAAATGAAATTCAACTTAATTAATTCATAATTGATCCAATGTCCATTTGAGAATTTCATGATAGAACCTTTTATGCAATGTTTATTTTTTTTATTCAAATGTATATCTAATGACACTCATTTAAAATAATACAGGCTTTAACTAATTAATTAATTAATAATACTTAATTGATCAAGCATGCAAATTAATGATAATTGGACAAACTAGCTTTCTTTTACTACAAAATAAAACACATTAATCTTCTCTTGTATCTTGTAACTAGATAACACGTACGGATATAGTATTACTACACGGTACCGTTTTCCCTCTGGCTTGTCCCGTCCAACCTCATATTATTACTATATCCGCCATGGAATTACCAGCAGCAGGTCAATCGTCTCTCATGAATACGGCGCTAGCCGCAAGTGTAGATCAACGTCATCATCTGCTCCGTTGTTAACTTGTGCAATCAACGGAGGAGCTGATCTAAGCCCTACACCACTCGGGCCTACAACCTGAGGAGCGCCTCCCGTACTTGGTGGTGCCGGTGCACACAACGACACCGTAGCTATACCAGCACCTGTACTACCACAAATGGACGACGGTCTTGATCCTGTTGAATCCTTTGTAATGATGGGAATAGCTGTTATGAGCCTTTGAACTTTTGTGAACTGGGCTCGCTTTGCACGTCCACGTTCTCTCTTATGTGCATTTTGATGGCCGCCCAATGCTTGAGAATTTGCAAACCCTCGGTGACAATACTGGCATTCAAATCGTTTGCTATATGCTGTTACTGAGGATTTCTCACAGTCTGTCACCGTAAAACCAAACAGTCTCAAATCTGAAGATGGTTTTTCCTCAAGGTCAGCATCTTTTCTTGATGCACTCATGCTAAACTATGTAGAATAGAAGCTTTCTTCATATGTTATTTTATAATCTCAGTTGTTATCTATAGGTATAGATTTATAGGAAATTACTTCCTTACTCCCTGTGTATAGAACCATCCATAGTAACTTCGTTATTTTATCTCTTTTTTTAGATAATCACCAATAATATTTCCGGCTCTTTCACTTATTATTATTTAATCACCGTTAAATTATCTATGATTGATTTATCTAATACACCTAGTGTAGGTAAGTCTTATCCAGATTTTTATAATTCAATTTTTTTTTGTCATTGTTTAGAGTTGTAAGGTGTTAGTTATTGATTTGTCTTAATATGATTGGACTTGCTTATATATCGTATCAGTCTCTGCGGTATACTCACCAAACTAATAAAAATTAGAAATTTTTTTGAAATTATTCATAAATTATCATTTTTTTCTTTCATATGTTTAGAAATATTCTCGCTACAGCTAATAAATCATTTTAATGCTAATAAATCATTTTAATTTTCATTAACCGATATAAGTTATTTCGTAAAATAATTAAATAGAATTTAAAAATAAATTCAAAAATTAACTGTCTTTTAAGATAAAATTCAGGTTAGTTAACTGTAAATATCATAAAACATTAAGTTCCTTATAAAATAAACAAAACGAAATATTGCATGTTATTTACGGTTCATGGTAAACCAAATCATAATTTTATTGTCATTAAGTTCAAATCTTCATTGAAACAAAATCATAATTAAAATTCATTATCATTTTCGGAAAAAACATTTATGAGAACGATAATAATTTCATAATCAAAATTTTTTTTAATAAATTAGTTTGACATATGAGTGAGCTCAGACACTATATTAAAAAAAAGTGAATATTGTCTGCCACTATAAACCTAGGATGGCGTTAATTGCACGTCTGGTAGAAGAACTTATGATTGTTCCCCGCAAAGCATACGAGCTTAATTAATTTTGTCTTCTCATTATACTCGACTCTTCCTCGATGACAGACCACTAAAAGTGTTCGACGAAATGTCTAAAGTTGGTATTATTAGCCTTTACTTATCACTTCCCATCAAACTGCTGTATGTTATCACGCCATATATCTATATATCTTCCGTCCTGAAAATGACTCTAATGGCTCATTTTTTTTATTAATATTTTATTAAACTTTCAGCTTATTCGACAATAACTGTAAAATAAACTTATTTGTTTGAGATGAATCAATAACTACTTATTTAAATTAGTAAGTTAAAATTTTATTTTAACGAATAAATTTCATTTTAAGTGACTTACTTAGATATGGTATACGAGTCAAACTACGAAGCACATAGACAGAAACTATTTTTTTTGAGAAATAAGGGTATTTTTCAAGTACCCTGTTAAAGTTTGATATGTTTCTCTATCGTGAGTCTTTTGTTATCTCGCTTGATAGAAACAACAAATCAATCGTATAAAATTTGAAGTATAACTTATACAGATCCCTAATCTCCATTCGTTTGATCTGTAGGAAAAGTTATTGGAAAAGGTTGAAACTTTTTCAAGGACGCTTGAAAATTGGCCGACCGAGCTTGGTTTCTTCCATGGTTTTTCCTACAGTTATATAATAAATCTAGACTGCACACATTTCGTCGGTTTAACCCATGACATAACATCAGAAAGGAATTGTGTTGTACAGTAAGTTGGTGGAGAAAGACTTGTCGCAGGATAAGAAAGAAAGAAAGACAAGCTTCAAGTTATTTTTCTATTTCAGATTACTCGCATTTGGTCGACGAAGCAAAGCCATTCAATTTTTATTGCCATGTTAAATCACGACCCTTTAGTGTACTTTTCACTCAGGATCCAGTGCTGCCTTTTTTTTTTTTTTTTTTTTTTCGCTTTGAAAATTGGCCGACCCCGAGCTTGGTTTCTTCCATGGTTTCCTACGTATATAATAACATCTAGACTGCACACATTCGTCGAGGTTTAACCCATTGACATAACATCAGAAAAGGAATTGTGTTGTACAGTAAGTTGGTGCGGAGACAAGACTTGTCGCAGGATAAGAAAGAAAGAAAGACAAGACTTCAAGTTATTTTCTATTTCAAGATTAGCTCCATTTGGGTAACGACGAGCCAAAGCCATTCAATTTATTGCCATGTTAAATCCACGACCCTTTTAGTGTACTTTTCACTCAGATCCAGTGCATGCCTTTTTTTTTTTTTTTTTTTTTACAAATTATAGAGTAAAATAGCGTTTATTTAATTGATTCACGTAGTTATAAATTTCAATGTATTTAAAATGTGTTTTGTTAAAGAATTTTTTTTTTTTTTTTTTTTTTTACAATTTATAGAGTAAAAGTAGCGTTTGATTTAATTATTCACGTAGTTCATAATTCATTTGTATTTAATGTGTTTTGTTAAAGAATTTAATTCCTGATGAATAGTTTATAAAAGTTCCAATTTTGTAATTTTTTTTTATTTAGCAGCTCGCTGATTTGTGTTATTTGATAATATTGACTATATAAAAATAAATAATTTTATAATTTTTGTTTCAGAAAAATTAATATGAGACATGCAAGAAAAGACAGAATTGAGAGAGAGGAGACAAGAATCTAGCATAAGACACAGAGAAAATCAAAATATATCCAAGGTTGTATTATTGAATATTCACAACAATCCAAAATCACACACAGTAATTATACTATTGGGCTTCTATTTACAATTACATGTCAGGCCCAATTACAAATTACAACACTATTAAAAATATTATATACATGTCAAGCACTATTCACAATTCTCCACTAGAAGCCCAACATACGAACTCAATTACGATTCAGAATTATTATTTGCAAATATAATTACTAACGTAATATTTTTATTTCATTTATAACTATTTAAATAATAAATAACAATTAAATATTATTATAAAAAATTTACTTCACATTTTTTTTTATTTTTAATATATTAACACATTTATCTTAAAAAATAAAAAATAAAAATATATATTACATGATAATTTATTAACCAATGAAATTATTAAATATAATATTTGGAGATTTATTATTACACACAAAAGCAGAGACTCAGGCTCCGTTTGTTTCCCTAAAATAACTTGCAGAAAAATATTTTTCATAATTTTGCATTGTTCGAAGGGCTCAGAAAAATAAGTCAACAGAAAATATTTTCTTGGTCAAATGAAAATTAAGTCGTTTTTTAAGAAAAATAACTTTCCATTTTCGAGAGATTAAAACATTTTTCAGACATTGGCAAATCTTATAATCCATATTTTCAATTTATTAATCATCGTAATTACTAGTCACCATTTATCACCGATCGCCACTACAGGCTATCGGCGGCTTTCATAATTTATATATATATTTATTTGAATTCTTTTCATATTTAACAATAAAATTTTTAAATTATAAAATTTTTATTAATAATAATATTTTTTATGGTCATATGAGATAAAGACTTTAATATTTTTAATTAATTTTTAATATTATAATCAAACAACGGAAAATATTTTTCAAGAATGTTATTTTTCTATAAATTATTTTACGGAAACAAACGGAGCCTCAATTTCAAATTAAGAGTTCAATTTTTGGCATAGCCACATCCTAACCATCACAGCATCACTACTGTTTAAAGATTCTCTATAAATTGATAAATAATTTTCACATAATTTATAATAATGGATTCACAATTATTCTCTCTCAACTAATTTAGACCTAAACAATTTTCTAAGAGGCCCATTAGAGAATCATTAGGCCCATAACCCATGCAAAGCTCGCGCCCAGTGGGCATTGATTTAATGCAATCCTTGCGCCTCCTGCGCACGTAAGAACTCATCCAAACACAATCCTCCCCAAATCACGGACCCACTGGAATTAGAAAAGGCCCCACGTTTTGATCCAACGGTCAATAGTTTCGGTGTGCGCTCAATAATTCCATGCATCTATAAGGCGCACGATAGCTTTTCTCCGCTGTGAACAGTTATCGTTCTCATCAGGATGCGCGTTGCTCCCCCTTCCACATGGTATTTCTCTCTCTAATATCCCCGCCATTTTCATGTTTCCTCGTCCTTTCTTTAAAACTTGAGTTAGTTATTGACCGTTAAACACAACGTCTCAGGTATGTTTGAGTACTCTTTACGTGAGCCTTTCTATTTTGATAAAATGTTCATTTTGACTCTTATGCTATTAGTAACTGCAAATTTGTATAAATTTCTGGTTTTTCCCCTTGCTGGTTTGTGTATGGAGGTGGGTGCCTTGATTAATTTGAGGGTTTTGAAGATTTCATTAATGAATGTGAGATTGGTAGTTTCGATGGGATTAGGTAATTTTAAGATAAGTACATTTATAAATCAAGTCACCAATTCAGTGCTTTTGGGTTCATTTTGACTTGTTTTCTTGCTAATTTCGTCCCAAATAATATCGTCTTTCTTTTGGTTTTATGTGTAATGGGTATTAGAAAAGCATCGGTTATTGGATGTGGAAAGGACTTTGGCTGGCCTTTCTTGGATTATAAATGATAATTCTTGAGTGCTGAATGAAATCATCACTTTTTTTTTTTTTTGCTTGTGGTTTTACTGAAGCTTTTTCCTGTCTGTGTACTTGTGATCACTCGTCCATATTTGGATTTGGTACTGTAACTTTTCGCTGGATGTTTCTGTGTTGATTCAAACTGTAAATTTGGGATTATAGGCGTTTAAGGAGAGGCTGACACGGTTAAAAGAACGGCTTATTTTTTAAACTGAAGAAGAAAAGCAATCCGAAACTGCATTCGATATTTCTTTACACGTCCAAATGAAAACATTATTGTGAAACTTATAGAATTGAGCATCGTGAAGCATTATGAATTCTGATAATGTGTCAATAACTGACCTTGATCAGCAATAATGAAACACAGTTATGGATGATGAAGTTACTAAGATCTGATTTGTGCGGTAATAGATGGATATTATCCTGTGTCGTCAGACTGTCCTCTTCTCAAAATACTTGCTGTTCACTTCCATTCACCATTCTGTTTCAGTTTTGCATTGTCTGCATGCTTTATGTTTCAATTAGATTATGCAAAGTGCTTCCTGGTATTTTCAATTTGCATATTTGTAATTCAAACATAACATTATCAACTGTTTTGTGCAGGTTTATTTTCTGAATTTTATCAATTGGCGAAAGAATGTCTGAAGGAACAAGTTTGATGATGGAGTCTTCTGAAAATGGGACAGATATATCTCAAGATGATACTGGAAACATGGAAGAAATACCTGAGGACACAATATTGTCACGACAAACTTCTGTGAACCTTGTTCCATTTATTGGCCAACGATTTGTCTCTCAAGATGCTGCTTATGAATTTTACTGCAGTTTTGCAAAGCAATGTGGTTTTTCAATTAGACGCCATCGAACTCGTGGAAAGGATGGTGTTGGTAGAGGAGTCACCAGAAGAGATTTCACCTGCCACCGTGGTGGTTATCCACAGATGAAACCCTCTGAAGATGGAAAGATGCAAAGGAATCGTAAGTCATCACGTTGTGGCTGTCAGGCATACATGCGTATTGTGAAGCGGGCAGATTTTGATGTCCCTGAATGGCGTGTTACTGGCTTTAGCAACATCCACAACCATGAATTGTTAAAATCAAGTGAAGTGCATCTCCTTCCGGCCTATTGCACCATATCTCCAGATGACAAGAGTCGAATTTGCATGTTTGCAAAAGCTGGAATGTCAGTCAGACAGATGTTACGATTGATGGAGCTGGAGAAAGGTGTGAAGCTAGGCTGTTTACCATTTACTGAAATAGATGTGAGAAACCTACTACAGTCTTTTAGAAATGTTAACCGAGATAATGATGCTATTGATCTTATTGCAATGTGCAAGAAACTGAAGGATGAAGATTCCAACTTCAAATATGACTTCAAAATAGACGGCAACAATAGGTTAGAGCATATTGCATGGTCTTATGCCTCATCTGTTCAATTATATGAGGTATTTGGTGATGCGGTGGTTTTTGACACAACACATCGTCTGGATGCCTATGATATGATATTAGGCATCTGGCTTGGGCTGGACAATCATGGGATGACTTGTTTCTTCAGTTGTGTATTGCTACGTGATGAAAATATGCAATCATTTTCATGGGCATTGAAGGTAAGAATCTTATGAGAATGTAACTGGCAAGTTGAGGAGTAAAATTATATCATGTTTTCTGTAAGCTGCGAGAATGTGAATTGACCTATAACCTGCTTAAGCTTTTTACCTGCCAATTTGATGCTAGTATACAGTACAAAACTTCAGTCACAAGAAAGAATAGTTATATATAGTTCTGTTTTGGATTTACTCCCACATTATTTCTTTTGCATAATGTACTTTCCAAAGGTGCAATGAAGCCATGAATGGTCTAAATTCAATGATAATTTACTCTGCTATCCTTATTTTCATAAATTTTTTTGTTTATCTGGTCAGAACTCAGTATCTACTGTTTATACAAATCTTCCTAATATGTTTTATAATATCTATGCAGGCATTTTTAGATTTCATGAACAAAAAGGCTCCACAAACAATTATGACTGACCAAAATATGTGGTTGAAGGAGGCCATTGCTATGGAAATGCCAGAAACTAAACATGCCTTTTGCATTTGGCACATCATTGCAAAATTCTCAGATTGGTTTTCTGCACTGCTGGGGTCATGTTATGATGAATGGAAAACTGAGTTTCTCCGAGTCTATAATCTTGAATTTGTGAATGATTTTGAGGAAGGTTGGAAGGAAATGGTCATCAAATATGGGCTCCATGCCAATAAGCATGTTGCTAGCTTGTATGCATTGCGGACATTTTGGGGCTTGCCATATTTGAGGCATTATTTTTTCGCAGGAATGATGAACACATGTCAGTCTGAATCAGTTAATGCTATCATTCAACGATTTTTGAGTGCACAGTCACAATTAGATCGTTTTGTTGAGCGAGTGTGTTTCCTTCCTACTATTTCTTTTGATTCTCTTATGAATGTTAACAACCTAAATTTCGAATTCCCTTTTTCAGGTGGCTGATATTGTTGATTTTAATAATTATGCTGGTGTGAAGGCAGAGACTCAGCGAAAACTTCAGAAAGTTTACCTTAAAACGGGCTCACCTATTGAATCACATGCAGCCTCTGTTCTTACTCCATATGCCTTTAATAAGCTCCAAGAGGAGCTTGTGTTAGCTCCACAGTATGCATCACTTCCAATAGATGAATATTGTTACCAAGTCAGACATCATACTCAGATGTCTGGTGGCTGCAAAGTCATTTGGGATCCCTGTCAAGAGCACATCAGTTGTAGCTGCAATCGATTTGAATTTTTAGGCATCCTTTGTCGGCATGTTCTCCGTGTCTTATCAACTAACAACTGTTTTCACATTCCAGACCAATATTTGCCTAACCGATGGCGTGATGTTAGCTCATCTTCCACTACAAGAGCGCATTCTGAGAGGATTCAGTTTCTAGAGTCCATGGCTTCTACACTCGTGACAGAATCAATTGAAACAGAGGAACGCCTTGCTGTTGCATGTGATCAAATTGCTATGGTGTTATCACGCATTAAGGAACTCCCTAGGCAGACGCATGACGAGAATGCCTACAATTGCCCATCTGACCCATTGATTCTACCGGATGTTGAAGATGCTGATGGAATAGTTCAGGCTCTTGCAATTGGGAATTCTCATGACTCAATCAATCTGGGAAAGCTAAAAGAGCGGAGGCCCAGAGATGGAAATGATGTGTCTAGAAAGCGAAGGCACTGTTCTGGACCTTGCTGTGGGCAGTTTGGACATGATGCGTCAGATTGTCCAATTATGGGAAGCGATCATTTGAATGGTGCAGCCCTGGGGTATTTATAGGTTAGGATATTGGCAGTGTAGTTGGTACGAGGAGCAATCAAATTAGAGTCGTGGTCTTTGCTTATTCAAGTGGTGCATTTTTCTGCCCTTCCAGATCTACTCCATACAAAAAATTCACTCTTTGCTACAGCAGAAACATCATGGTACACACGGCACCCATTGATTTAAGGGTTCTTTCAGCGTTGGAGTTATAGCATGAAATTATTGATTGTAACCTTGCAAATGAATTAGTTTCCTTACATATGTCATTTTTGGATTGTAGCATTGACAACTGGGTTGATCTTAAGATTTGGCGTACAGTGAACTTTTGTAAACTTGGAAGTTGCAATTAGATGCTCCCATGTCAAGAACTCACCATATAGTAGAAGAACCCTCTATTGGCCTTACCTCTGACGTTAATTTTCTTATATTATTCTCGGTTCAGTGGTTTTGTCATGCTTTACTTAAACTATAAATTCTAGACTAGCTGTGAATTAGGAAATCAGTATGTCTGTTGGTTCTTAATACTTGAGAACAGGTATGGATTTGCCACCTGTGTCACCTGCAAAAGACCTGACGTTTCATTGCACTATCTCTATCTCTCTATATTGCCGTAATTATTGTGGATCACTTGCTTGCCAATTTTTGCTGTTTGATTCTCATGAGCATGCTGTTGTTTTCCATTTGTCACCTTGTTAGCAGAAATTCTTGAGCATGATACAAGGATGTTGTGTCTGTTTCCCATTTTAGTGACAGCTGCATCTTAGAAAATGGAAACTAAGCACATGGATAGAACTTGACTCCATAAGGCCTTCGCAGAACTTGAAGAGGAAATGAACTCTACTTTTCCAACATGCATCATGCAGTTGATATTTTAATCAAATTGTTGTTTAAATGGTTTCAATGCAAATACTTCTTGTTCTTTAGACACACTTAGGATATCGTTACATTCACTTACTTATAATAGTAATTTTCACTTGCTAAATTATACAAAGGTTATACCTCGGCATACTTAATCGTCAGCCAACGAGACCTTGCTGAGCCTGCTTGGTAATGATCGAGAGCTACTTTTTACAACTTTTCTGCCCTTCACCCGATGATTTTGTGACCCAAAAAGAGCTCTCTGTGCAAGTACTTTCTCAAAATTATTGTTGCCTGTGCCTTTCATGTTAGGCTTTTTATCTGCTGCAGTAGCTATTTTGTTGCTGGTGCAAGCATCCAGATCCACAACGTTGGCCTTTTCAGAAGCCATGTATGACAGAATGCAGATCGTGGGAATGTGAGAAAGGAATGTGGTGAATGTTTTAAGTTTTATAGAATTATGCTATGGGGTTATTAATTATGCATGAAGCCTTGGCAAGCTACCTTGGGAATATGTTGGAAGCAAGTGGGTATTAGGGTTGAAGCCATATTTGTGGTTGCAGCAAGAATCAACTAGTAAAATTCTTACCCATGGAATAAGTTTCCTAATCTTCATGATTAAGCAACAAAATATGCACCAAGGCAATCATCTCTATCCGTTGTTTGTTGGTTCTTAGAGTTCTCAAAGAATATTGACCCTTTCTACATGTATTTTAGTTGATTGTGAGAATATTAAGTGCCATGTTTAATTCTACTGTTTGTACAACCGTGAAGTAACGTTAAGAGAAACATAGGGCCATATGGGAAGTGCGTGAATTGACTAGTTGAATGTGATTTACACTATCTTTTTCATGAATTTCTTCCTTTTTTTTTTTTTATTCACTATAGGAGTCCAATAGAAAAAAGTAAAAGATTTGATGCACTCACATCACAGGTAGGTCAACCCTGCTCAACTTCATCCTTTTTCATGTATGCATATGCATTTTAAGAGGTGTTTGACAGGGAAGTAGACACTGTACTACTGTTTTCTCTTTGTATGTGCATGCAGCTCAATGGATAATGTGTTTCTGGGGCATCTTGAACACTCCTAAAATCACTTGCATTATAGTGCTTGATTATGAAAGAAACTGAACAGAATATTTTACCTTTTTTATGTACAGTAGCTTGAAGGGCTACCTGGTGAACTCACCACCACCAGTGTCCTTTCCATTATTATAGTGTTTCAACTTTCAAGGGATTTGACCCATACAATGCAAAAGGGTATTCAATATTCTTTTTGTGTCAACTTTGGTGTTTATAATGGCTTAATGTCAATTCTTGATTGCTTAATAATATAATGGTAGTGTTTCCAAGAATAATCAACCGTCCATTCCTTTAGTTTCTTTTTTCCCCTGCAGGCTAGGCCGTCCATTCTCGTATTAAAATGCATTACACTCAATCCATAAGATTTGGTCAACCTGTTCATTCTTTATTGCACCCAGATGGAATCTTATCTCCCTCTCCACCTGGAATCACACTTTTGCCTTCTGTTGTGCTTATACCAGGCAATTTACAACTTTGTTGAGGAATTGTTCCAAGCTACGCTGTCCTATTCTCCGTTTTGTTTGCAGAAGGAGCATTTCTCTCTGATATAATTTTGTGTCTGAGGCATCTAATGAACAAATATAGCTCATTGTTCGTTTCCGAAGTTCTTAAATAGTATGAGTTTCAACTTTCAAATTGTTGGATTAATACGAACATTAAATAGGTGGATTACGTGAAAATCGAATGTTCCATAGCCTCCTATCTGAAACTCAAAGCAGGGAGAATTGTTCCTATGCATATGCTTTACCAGAAAGCCAAAAAATAAAACAAATAAATAAGTTAGCAAAATGATACTTGAGAAATTACCTTGTGCGTCATCTTAATTTAACAAGAATAATTTAAAGCGAAAACCTAAGAGCCAGATGCCAATAGCATCCTTGTGTGAATACTTGACTCTAAAGACCAGAACCTGAGAATCTTTAGCCTTTAAGTAACCTTTCCTCGAAGCAATTCTGCATCTGTTTTTATGAACGGATTTTAAGCCTATAGCCACATTTTGTCCTCTTCCTCCTATTTCCGTGCCTGACCCAATTGCGAAGTCTTTTTAGGACTCAGCCATGCCACCAAGAAAAGCAATCACGCATGCCGATCTTGCACCAGGTCCTCGAAGCACCGATTTGAGTAGCAAAACGGCTGTCTTCCTTATGGTTCTAACCATTCTTTCTGGCCTTTTTTGCTTTGTTCTTTGTCTTATCGCAGAAGCCACCCATTCCCAGGTAAAATTGGATATTGCAGAACCCATTTGAGGCACAAGAACGGTCATTTAGCCATTTAATTTTTCTTGCAGGTGACGTGGGTTGCTGCTGCTGCCAATGCTAAACGAAATGGTGAGAATTATGAATGTGTGTATAGCGGAAGTGGCAAGACACCATTGTTATGTGCAGCTATTGCGTTTGTGGGAATTGCAGTTGCTATGGTAGTAGAGCACATGTACATGTTGATTGCAATCAGTAAAGCACCTCCTCCAGCTTTACTTTCATGGGACTCCAATTGTCCTGTTGCCAAGAACATTACCTGGCAAGCTGGATTTTTCTTTGTTGCAACTTGGTATTTACTATCTGGGTTCAAAATTCAAACTCTTTCATCTCCATCCCCTTCAAATATTTTCTATATTCCAAGAATAATTACAGTTCTGTGATTTCTTCTAGGTTGTGCTTTGCCGTTGGGGAAATCTTGTTGTTAATTGGACTGAGTGTGGAATCAGGACATTTGAAGAATTGGTCTAAACCAAGACCAAGTTGCCTCATTATCAAACAAGGGTTGTTCTCTGCAGCTGGAGTTTTATCTTTGCTGACAGTTTTCTTTGCTGCTGGGCTATACATAACTGCATTGCGTGCACAAAGAATATCCCAAGAGCAAGAAAACTTGAGGCGGCAGATTCTTGAAGCCTCTGCTCTTTATGCGACTCCGCCACCGTCACCACCACCTCAAATCATTGCCACTGCTAGGGAAAATCCTATTGCAAGAGAAAGACAGACTATGCAACCGCCATTCATAGACCCACCAGCTTTTAGCAAGAACTTGAATTTAGTATAAATAATCGAGAATGCATTTTGGTGCCATTAGCAAAGCTAAAGACACCACAAGACACAGCTCCATTTCGTGCAAGCAATGCTTGAGAGAAGTATATATGCACGTATCTGAAATTGTAATTCATTTATTTTTTTGTAAATAGATTCTTTTAATTTTTTGATTGCTGGAAATTGAGCGTTGGCGAACAAAACGACAATTCTTAATATATAAAACGAGTTAGGTTTATTCTAACCGTCCCGTCGGTTGTAACGTTGGACGAATTCTACGTTTTTGTCCAAGGAAGATGGGCCGTCAAGAGAAGCCCATCAAAAGAAATCAATTCTGTGGACTAATTGAGACATGTCTGTACAGATTTGGGCTCATTTTCATTTTTCAGTCGGTGGGTTCTTCTTCTAAGTTCAAACCCTACCGCCAGCCTCAATTGCAACGCCGAGCTTTATACCCGACCACAATGATCGCATAAATAAAAATTTTAATTTATTGATATTGGAATCATTTTTTCAGAATTTACACCAGCTTAAACCTGGGTGAAATGAAAACTAAATTAATTAATATAATAAAAAAAGAATTGGACCGAACCATGGCTACTGCAGAATAATCAGCTTCGAGTTAACTTGCCTATTCTTCCCGGCTTTGAGCATATCAGGGTTTCAGACCTTATTTTAGCACAAGGGGAACGTGCTTGGAATTTGCCATTGATACATGGTCTCTTCAACCCTTCAATTGCTGAAATTATCACTTCCATTCCTTTAGCTACCAATATTCAAGATGACATTCTTATATGGCATTGGACAGACTCAGGGATATATTCTGTGAAATCTGGATACAAAATAGTAGCATCCCAATATGTGGATACCGAAGATACTTGGCGGTCAGGTTTTTGGAAAGCTCTTTGGTCACTGAAAATTTCACCGAAAGTGAAACATTTTCTCTGGAGATGTTGTCGAGACATTCTACCAGTTAAAACAGTTTTGGAAAGACGGGGACTAGAGCTCGATACAGGATGTGATTATTGTGGTGCTGCTGAAACATCAGTCCATGCCCTTGTTGAGTGTCCAAAAGCAAGATTTTGCTGGCAATTTTTTGGTGCTCAGCTTAATATTGGAAATTTTCCAAATCTTTTACAGATGCTGGAACATCTGCACAAGGTGTGGGAAACTGCATTCTTTGAGAGTTTTACTATGGTCTTATGGAGTGTTTGGCTGAGTCGTAATGAGCTGAAATGGAATCAAGTGGAAGAATCAAGTGGAGAAGGGACCGTATATGTGCGACTCGCGCTGAGTATAGTTCGCATCTTGGAACTCGCATCTTGGAAGAAAGCCCAGTTGAAGTTACCAGACCCCAGTACAGACACAAGTGTTTCTCCAGGTAGCCAATGGTCTCTGCCACCTGCTGGCACCTTTAAAATAAACTTTGATGCAGCCCTCCTCCCCTTTGTCGGACACGAAGCTGTTGGTGCTGTAATCTCAAACTGTCATGGTGGGTTTGTTTCAGCCGCAACGTTTTCATTACAAGGTTGTTCTTCTCCAGCAGTAGCAGAAGCTCAGGCACTGCGAAGGGTGTTGTCCTGGTTGCTGTCAGGCTACCCTAATTGGAAGATTCAAATTGAGACCGATTGCCTGCAAGTTTACTATGCTATGAGGAGTTCCTCTCAAGACTGGTCTGAGTTTGGAGTCGTCATTTCCGAATGTAAACTACTCTTAGTCCAATTGCTTAATGTCACATTGGCTTGGATTAGAAGACAAGCAAATGATATAGCTCATGTGTTGGCTAAATCAATTCCTAGTAAGGCTTGTTTTCGAACTTGGGATATTGTTCCCTCTTGTATTGCTCATTTCTTCTATAATAATTGAACCACATTCAAATGTCAAAAAAAAAAAAAAAAAAAAAAAAAAAAATCGCTAAAAAAAAAAAAAAAAAAAAAAAAATCGCATAAAATTCAGAAAAAATAAAATTACCGCTGTATTTGTGGACACGATGATGATCGTCTTCGAAATCAAAATTCAAAGTTACTGAAAAAACACGGCAGCTTTTAGTTAAAACTAAAAAGAATAAAAGAAAATGGAAATGGAAAACAGTATATAGAGCCACTCTTTCTAATGTTTCCAAACCTCAATCTACGCTCTCTACCAACTCTTCGGCCTTCACTTCCAATCAAATTTCACTCAAAAAACTAGGGTTTTACTACTCGTTGGCCTTCACACCCTGCTTGTTAGGTTTCAGATTCTAGGAGTAATTATGTCGTTGAGACCCAACGCCAGAACTGAGGCTCGCAGGAACCGTTACAAGGTTGCTGTCGATGCCGATGAAGGTCGACGGAGGAGAGAGGACAACATGGTGGAGATCCGGAAGAACAAGCGCGAAGAGAGCTTGCAGAAGAAGCGCCGCGAAGGTCTCCAGGCTCAGCAATTTCCTGCCACTGCACTTTCTTCTGCTGCGGAAAAGAAGGTATCTATGCATTCGCAACTGCAGAGAAAATGTATTTGTCCAATATCTATCGTCTGGGTTCATTGGGTTGGGCTTTGGGAGATTATTATAGACTGGTGATTTTAGTGCTTTTGCATATGTAGGTTTTGTGGCAATCGGTTTTTGACGGTTAATATTTTTTTCTAAGTTTCAGTTAGAAAGCTTGCCTTCGATGGTTGCTGGCGTTTGGTCTGATGATAATAACTTGCAATTGGAAGCCACCACTCAATTCAGAAAACTGCTTTCAATCGGTATTTTGCTCATTTGCTCATGTATATGTAGATTCTGTTTTTCAATTTTTATATTTACATATATATTATGCCTTTCTTGGCTGTGACTAAATTTATAAAATATTGCTGGCAGAAAGAAGCCCGCCTATTGAGGAAGTTATACAATCTGGGGTTGTTCCTAGATTTATTGAGTTTCTTGTGAGGGAAGATTTTCCTCAACTTCAGGTTCGTATAATAGTAATGCACTTTATTAATCGTTATTTTACGGATTGCTAATATTTATGTGTCATAACTCATATGTACATAGTTTGAGGCTGCTTGGGCGCTCACAAATATTGCCTCTGGAACCTCAGAGCACACAAGGGTAGTAATTGATCATGGTGCAGTTCCAATATTCGTGAAGCTTCTTGCCTCCCCCAGTGATGATGTTCGGGAGCAGGTATGTGGTATTTTAGTTACCTCACTAGTTCTTGTAATAGATGTGTTTGTTTATAGTTAGCCAAGGAGTTGAGATTCTTAATTTAAAGCTTGGTGAAACTCTAGGCTGTCTGGGCATTGGGAAATGTTGCTGGTGACTCCCCAAAATGCCGTGATCTTGTTCTCAGCCATGGAGCACTGCTTCCATTGCTGGCACAGTTGAATGAGCATGCAAAACTTTCAATGTTGAGGAATGCAACCTGGACACTATCAAACTTCTGCAGAGGCAAGCCACAACCTCCATTTGAACAGGTTATTTTCTGCTTTTGACTTTTGTGCATTAATAGGCTTGATTTGAAGCTTTATTATCTGCTCTTGGGAATTGGTCGTGAAATTTAATTGACAGGTGAGGCCTGCAATTCCCGCACTTGAGCGTCTTGTGCATTCTGCTGATGAAGAAGTTCTAACTGATGCCTGCTGGGCACTTTCCTATCTTTCTGATGGTACAAATGACAAAATCCAAGCTGTGATTGAGGCAGGTGTCTGTCCTCGGCTTGTTGAGCTCCTTCTGTGAGTATAACATATTGTTGGCTGGCATTTACTTGTTTGCTATTTTTTCTTTAATAATCATTATATGAACTTCATGATGGTTTATATATTTGTTTATTTCAGCCATCCATCTCCTTCAGTGCTTGTTCCTGCCCTTCGCACAGTTGGAAATATTGTGACAGGGGACGACATACAGACTCAGGTATCAGCTTTTCAATAAAAATGCATTTTATAATTGCATTAATCTGCATTATTTTTCTTTTAGTGTTAACTATTCTTGAAACAAAGGTGCCAATTTATGGCAATTGTAGTCGTCCTTAAGTGATGCCAGTGATGCCAGTATCGCTCTTCTATGGTTATGGGGAGCATTATGGAAAGTAAAGGAACAAAAGAAGTTATTACTTACAAAGAGTAGGTTGCTTTTGTTGTGCATTACAAATATTGTTGGATGGCTTGAATTGAATCTCTTAAGAAAAGTTAGGCTTGAGAAATGTCATTGGTTATTACACGCCATTGGCTTTCTTCCAGTTTAGCATTTGCAACACGTATTGCATTTTATATGATATTATCAGTATGCTTTTTGTGTTAATTCCTTGTTTCCTAAAACTTCCAATCATATTGAAGAGTGTGGTGGAAGTTCAGAAATTTTAAACAAAATAAAAGAAGTATCCTTAATGGAAAAGAATTGTGAGAACTTTGGCTTCACTTGGCAAATTGTGGACCATTAGGAATTCTAAGCCTTTATATGCTGAGGTTATTTCAGTGACAAAGGACTAAGAAATTTGCAAACTTGTGGCTGATAGAGGAAAGATTTTATGGGTTTTTTCCATTATAGATTGTTTTGTGCTATTGTGCAAGAGTATTTGCTTTTATACCTTTTAGCATATAGTGCTACTGCATTTATGCAGGTTTATTATGATGTTCTAATTTTAAATCGGTTGATTGTGTTTGCTTTGTTTCCACTCTAATCACAATCAATCTCACCCTCTCTCTATCTCTACCCCTCCTCTCTGTGGTTATTTTATGTCCTTGCAATCTTTTCCTTCAGAAGTGTGATGGGTAACTTTAATGTGTTTCTTTTTCTCAGTGTGTAATAAGCTATGGTGCACTTCCATACCTTCTAAGTCTATTGACCCATAATCATAAAAAGAGCATTAAGAAAGAAGCTTGCTGGACCATCTCAAACATTACAGCTGGAAACAAAGAACAAATTCAGGTGCGGCTATACCAGCTCATAAAGTTCATGCTTTAAGCTGTGTAATGTGTTTATATGACTACTCTTTATTTCAAGTTTTAGGCTTTTGCAAATTTATTTTGAATTTACTGACTTAATTTGCATGGAAATATCAAGGGGACACTTGATTGAGTTGGTCTGGTCTATTGCTTTTTCCTTGCTCCTATTTCACCTGAGGGGCTTTTGCTCTTTACTCTAGATCTTTTCTGGATGATGTAGGCTGTAATTGAGGCTGGTTTAATTGCCCCGCTGGTTAATTTGCTTCAAAATGCTGAGTTTGATATAAAGAAAGAAGCTGCTTGGGCGATTTCAAATGCTACCTCTGGTGGAACTAATGAGCAAATTAAGTACGTGTTGTTTCACTCGTTTGTTGAACTGTGATATTACTAGCTTTGAACCTCTTTTGTTTACTTCCCTCATTTCCTTTGGTTGACAAATATTTACTTTTCTTTTATAATAGGTACTTGGTGAGTCAAGGGTGCGTAAAACCATTGTGTGATCTCCTTGTCTGTCCTGATCCAAGGATTGTCACTGTATGTCTTGAAGGGTTAGAGAACATTCTGAAAGTTGGGGAAGCCGAAAAGAACTTGGGAAACAGTGGAGATGTTAATATGTATGCCCAGTTGATTGATGATGCTGAAGGATTAGAAAAGATTGAAAATTTACAGAGTCATGACAATACTGAAATTTATGAGAAGGCTGTGAAGGTTCTTGAGACCTATTGGCTGGAGGAAGATGATGAGACATTGCCTACAGGTGATGGCTTCCAACAAGGATTCCACTTTGGTGGAAAAGATCCCTCAGTTCCATCCGGTGGATTCAATTTCAGTTGAAGGTATGTACCATTCACTTCAAGCTACAGAAAATCCACTTGACTGTAACTGTGTTTTTGAATTATTAAATTATTAACCTTAAATTATTAAAAGTTGAGTTTTGGTCTTGCTTATTAACCTTTTAAACTTGAAATGGTCTGGCTGTATTTAGAGTGGAAGAAGAATTGACTAGTTGTGTAATTCTTTTCTTGTGTGATTATCCAGTCAATGATTATTTTATTTTATTTTCATATGATTTGAAGGTATTATTAATACATGTCGTGAATTAGGATTCAAGGACTTTAGTTGGAACTGGATGATCGTAATGAGTTGGAAATTTAATTACTTTACCACTGGAACTGTGTTTTTGTTTTTTTTTTTTTTTTTTTTTTTTTGAAGGTAGTGTAACCATTCACTTTCAAGGCGGGGAGGGTGGGATGACAAAAATCCACTTGACTGTAACTGTGTTTTTTGAATTATTCAAATTTTTGAACCTTTAAATTATAAAGAGGTTTGAGTTTTGGTCTTGCTTATTAAACCCTTTTAGAACTTGAAATGGTCTGCTGTATTTAGAGTGGGAAGAAGAATTGACTAGTTGTGTAGATGCTTTGTCTTGTGTGATTATCCAGTCAGATGATGTATTTGTATTTTATTTCGATATGATTTAAGGATTATTAATACATGTCGTAATTAGGATTCAAGGACTTTAGTATGGAAACTGGATGATCCGTAATGGGTTGGAAATTTAATTACTTACCACTGACTGTGTTTTTGTTTTGGTTTTTCTTTTTTTTTTTTTTTTTTTTTTTTTTTTTTTTTTTTTTTTGAGATGGTAGCGAAGCCATTTACCATACCACCCATTACGTTTGCTAAATTAAAATTTAAGATAGTATACCTAACGATTGTTTTTCTTGATTGGAAATTAAATCTATTGTTAAATTGCAAAAGAAAATTATTTTGATCCAACAATAGACTACTGATTTTTGTGAATGATAGTATAAAAGAAAAAAATAATAATAAATTTCTATAAATCGACTCACTGTTCGCAATTAGAGTCATAACCATCTTTCAAAACCAAGTTAAAAATTTAGAAGCTTCTAGTCATAGACGGTATATAAAAAAAAAATGATTACCTAGTTGTACTTCCCAGATAACATTTTGTCTGATTAAAACCACATTGACTAGTGATTAATTGGAATAGATTACAAAACCTGATCTATTAGGGGGTGGTTCTAATAGAGCAACTTGGATAATCGAATGCCACCCATCTTTCTTTATGAGTTGTGATCCATACTCTCTTTTTCCCTTCCTTTTGGATATACATGTTGATGCATTTTGTCAAGTTCCACCAACTCATATGATTTTGTCTTTAACATAACAAATGTATTTTCATTAATAGTTGCTCCTATCTTGAATGTTCTGAGTAAATAAATGTCAGGTTACAGAACAAACAGCCTTGCCACAACAAGGAACAACAATCTTTATCTCTGACCAATCATTAATTATCATTTTCAGGTAATAAATTTTTAATTTAATTATCATTTGACAACAAACCCACTTGCGCTAACATGAACATTAATTACGGAATGACAATAATTCTGGTTTCAAATTCAATTTTCTTAACCATAAATTAAATCCAAATATTCAATTTTTAACAATATAGTTTAGCAAAATAAAGTTTATAAATAAATTTTATTAATAATTGAAAATATAAAGGCTCAAGTATTTAGATTGGTGCGATTAAGTAAAAAGAGTTACATTATAACCAATTACTATTGCTTTGAGACTAATTATAAATGTTTAATTTAACAATTGGTGAAAAGTAAAAACGCATTGCTAGAGTAAAAAAAATTTTTGATTTTTACCATAGGAAACTATATAGTATTAATTTTTTTTTTTTTATTATTTGAAAGAAATGGAATCCTGATCCTCATCTCATCCTGGTATGTCGACGTACAGTTTGCAATCTTCAAGTACATATGAAAAGTGAGAGAGAAAAATCATTAGTTGACAAACGCAATGGTAAACCAAATAACTATCACAAAAGTCGTTTCTGACCAATCAAACGGTTGAGTTGTAACATCTCTGACTCCCCACTCAATAATGCGAATGTAGTTAACTCCACCCAATCATTCCCTTATTATGATTAGCCCATTAACGGAATAAAATAGTAAAAATTCCATTTGCGAGCCCAAATTCCTATTCGATGGCGCCTTTTTTTCCCTTTCTATCCTTTTTTAATTTCGTTCGGACAAAAAATTGTTGCAAAATGGCGCCCTTTTTGTTCATTTTCAGCTCGCTCTTTTTGGGATTTTGGCGGGTACGTTTCATGGCGGAAAATGTTCCGTAACCAGGGCTATTTTCGTCATTCTATTACTACTAGATGGGCTAGGGTTTCGCGTCCCATTTATAAAGTGTTTTTCAGATCCGCTTGTGCGTGCGGTGTGTGTCTGTGTCGGTTCGATTCCTAATTTTCGCCTCTGCACACACTCTCCTCCTTCGCTGCATGTCCATTTCTCTTTTTTAGGATTTTACAGGGAAAAAAAAAAAAAATTTAATATCTTCACCTTTCTCATTTACTGATTCTGATCCCTCTCTTATTCTTTTAATTAGCTCTTTGATTTCTTTTCTTGATCTCTTCCCTCCATAGCCAGATCTTTTAATCAGTAGACTTTCAGCTTCTGCTATTGCCTCAACCCAATCAGCAATCTTAATCAATACCCAGTTTAGCATACCTACTTATCTCATCTGGGTTTCTTTTAGATCTCAAGTGTATCTGTTAAAATGCTGGATCCAAATGAGAAAGTGAGTGAGCTTCAGTTTATTTCTAGATTTGATCTTCGATCTTCTCCAAATCTTAGCTAATCAAGCTGTCTTGGTTTCTACTATGCAGGGATCAGAGCCTGAAGATATGAGTAGCAAATCAACAGAAGGAGATAACCAGCAGAAGAAGAGCTGTGCCGATTGCGGAACTACAAAGACACCGTTATGGAGAGGCGGTCCAGCTGGCCCGAAGGTACTAATCAGTGACGGATCAGCTATTATTTCCATTGTTTAAGCTTTGATCTGAATCTAATTTCGTGATTTCACTGTTTGATTTGCAGTCTTTATGCAACGCATGTGGAATCAGGAGCAGGAAGAAGAAGAGAGACAGTTTGGGTTTAAGCAGAGCAGCAAGTGAGAAGAAAGCAAGAAAAGCGAGCAGTAATAGTAATAGATTAGGCGATGGGTTAAAGCAGAGACTATTGGCTTTGGGTAGAGAGGTATTGATGCAGAGATCGACGGTGGAGAAACAGAGAAGGAAGCTAGGAGAAGAAGAGCAAGCTGCTGTGCTATTAATGGCATTATCTTATGGCTCTGTTTATGCTTAGCGTTAGGTATAATAAAGGAAATCGACAAATTGTTGTATTAGCTGACCCAATTAAGTTGAAGTGTATGCTGTGATTTTTAGTTTTGGTCTTGATTAGGTATTATTTTTTTCTTTTTTTTCTTTTTTTTTGGGTAGGTGTTCTTTTTTCAAGATTTGGGCTAACTGTATTTGGGATTTTGGATTTGAGTTGAAGAAATGCAAAAGGTGGAAGGTGGAAGTGGATATTTCATATTTGTCATTTTATAAATTTTTCCTAACAAAGCAATTCGATATGTTATGTCCTTTTTAAGGGACATTATCTTTTATTTCTGTGGTCTGGCAAGAAATAGCACCACTTTGGCTCATTGAACAAAGAATTCAATTTTTAAGTTTTTTCTGATTCTCTTGTAGTAAGAGAAGAGAAATATGCATATAAAAGAAGAAATTTTTATAAGCGGGAATATGAATAGCTAATTTTTCCCGGCGAATTGAAAAGCTAGATTCAAACTTTCCAAATTGTCGTTAGTACAGTTATTGACTGAGCTAGGCGCCATCCTATTCCTATTTTCTTAGGAGCCAAACACACTTTTAGACCTTTAACCACCTTTTTCCCTATTAATAGGTCTGACAGAAAATGTACGAATTGTATTCAAAAAATTTATAAAAAATTTTTAGGAGCGGGAACGTGAAATTTAATCCCGTCCCAGCGACATGAAAAAGCTGAATTCGACTTATGCTAGTATTGTACGAGGGACTGAGGGAAGCGCCATCCGGTTTTCTTAGGAGCCAAACACGCCTAATGTAACGGACAGATTTCTTCATTGTAGGTGGGCCCCGGCCTCCTGGTTAAGGCCCAGCTCATAGCTACAGATGCCGAGATATTTTATGGGCCAGCCTAAATATTTGTCAGCATAGCCTTGGGCTCCCTCAAATTTTGCATGATTCGAATTCTCAACTTAACTTTTCTTTTTTTTTTTTTTCTTTCAGCCTAAAACATTTATTTGCATAGGCTTGAGAACCTAATAAAAGAAAAAAAAATTAAATAATAATTAATTCTCTTATTCAGTTTTAAAAAATTATTTAAAATTCATATTTACTTAGTAAAATATTATATAATTTAAATTAATAACTTTTGTAAAATATTTATTTTATATATCCGTATAAATGGCTTTTGAATAATAGACAGTAATGTATTAAACCGTTAATCTTCAAATCTAGAATAAATAATTAATCTTAAACTCATAATTATCTGAAACCAGTTTTAAAATAACCAGTAGTCTAGTCGGATTGGACGGGATGGGATACGATAAGATAAACGAAATCCATTGCCATTATTTAACGGGGGCCACTAGTAGTAATTGATAACAAGTAAAACAGCAACAGTGGATCGAGTTGCTGAACCGCAAGTCCGTAACACTTTGTTGGGTAAAACATGGGCCTTATATATGTCAACCCCAAGCCCACCAGCAAAACTCTCCATGCATACATATAACCCTAAAACTTGCAAGTTTTACCACTTTAGCCTTAGTCATGGTTACTATTTGTATTCATGATGGGATGCCTTTGCATTACTCGATTGACCCTACCACCCATTAGCATAGGTGCCATCCAGCTAATTCTTTCTGTGTTTTTGTCTTTGTCTATTTCATAATATTGGAGGAGGCAAAAAAGGCTTAATTGACCCACATGCCCTTCTCCTCGCCCACATATTATTCTTTTACCATTTCTCAGTCTATTTCTAGTTTCCTCTTTCTCTTCACGTGGAAAACAGGGAAATGGCTAATTTGACGGTAGCTTTTGCACATTTGTCACATTCGCCAATGAGTAGAAGGAATTCTGCTGTCAACCGTCCGTTGAAACCCAAATTATATTACAACTATCAACCACTCAGATTACAGAAATCCTGCCAGAAACTCAGAATAGATTGTTCTAGCACAGCCAACGGAGCAGATTGCATGGAACCATCTATTACCAAAGGCCTACGAAGTACCTGATTCCTGACCACTGACCACGTGTGACGTGTCGCCAGCTCAGCGATGTAAAGTTCCCGCCACCTTTCTTTTAATGGTTTTACTTCGTCTCGTAAAAAGAACAATGATAATTTTATTTTTGATTAACGAAGCTAATTAAGCAGCTTAGTTGATAAGTAAAAGTTTAGCGGGACAGGATTGTAAATGGTGACGTGATTAGAAAAATGTACACCGTATATTAATGGATTCATCCTCATCCACCAACCGTTGAACTGCATTTATATGATTTATATTATAGCGAAGCAAAATTAATTATTTTAATAGCTGAAATTATTTTACTAACCCTAATTAAATGTTACTAATTATAAATCAGATACAACCAAATAACATAACTAACAAATATAAGATACTATAATTTAAAAGTTGTTGCCCTAGAGACTATAATTCAATTTAAAATTTTTATGCATATATAAAAGAAAATATAGAAAAATAAATTAAAAAATATCATTCACTAACTAGAAATAATTAATTATTACACAATCATCCAATCATACTACCTAATATTAAATGTTAAACAATAAAGTAATGTGGTTCATTGTTTAAACATTAATTACAAAGAGACCAAAGTTAATTACTGTTTTAAGCATTGGCTGAACTGTATATATAAAGGGGGAAAAGAAAGATTAAGCAGGCTTAATTGGTGACAAAAATGACTAATTATTATTTTAAATTAATGCAAAGGAAAAGAACAACAAAGATAGGTACAAGTTGTCAACAAATTACAGATCACTCTACAGCAAAAGAGAGAAAAGAGAATTAGAATAGACTAATTACTTCCCAATTGTCATCATTGTTGTCTCCTCCTTGACAAGTTCAGTGCAAGAAGGGCAATCTCGTAAATCGGCAAGCTCCAAGAACAGTCTTTCACTTCTTCAGTTCTTGTCCATTTCTCTTACTTCTCACTGCTTTCAGAGATGAACTTTCAAGACCCTCTCTTTCTGCTGAAAATTAACAGATCTGCCAATCTGACACATTATTTGAATTTCTTTATCCTTCGTTTATAGTTTCTATCAAAACAAAGAAAACACAACGATCAATACAACAACAATGGTGTAACTAACAGAACCCAACAGCTTTAAAGACCCAGAAATGGAAGGAGGAGGTGGGCTATAATAATAGAAAGGGAAGTAAGGAACAATTGGGTTAGGAGGTGGAGGTGTAGGGTAGTTTTTATTATATGGTGGTGGATAATTGTAATAAGAACCGCCACCCTGTGGTGGTGGTGGAGAGGAGTAAGTGTAAGTGGAAGGTGGCGGTGGGGAGTAATAGTAGGAGCCTGATGAGCTAGGCGGAGATGGCGGCGGCGGACAATTAGAGGTAGATGCTGGTGGAGGTGGAGATGGTGATGGCGGCGGAGGCGATGGAACAGGGTTACAACAGGTTGAGCACATTGTGCATGCGATCTGGTACATCATTCTTGATTTTGGGATAGGTGAGGGGCTGGTATAAGGTAGTACCAAGAGAAGAGAGAGTAGAGACAGCGTTATTTTTTGAACTCTTTCCATTCTTGCAACAATTAACATCAGCCTTCAGAATTCAAGAAATGTTCTTTAATGCAGAGCAAGATCAAGAAAATTTTCAGCTTATTTTTTATGAGAAATTGAGAACAAGAAATGAGTACAGCACAGAGAAAAAGAAAGAGTAAGACAGAGAAAGAAAGGGGATAGTAATGAGTATCGAGAGTGCGTTGCACTAGACTATAGTGTCTCTTATCTTTGAAGATACACCATTCACCATCACCTTTTAATATGATGCTTTAAAAAATTAGTAAAAGAAAAAAGGATTAAAAAAAGAGGAGCCTGAAATTCCAAAAGATGACACCGACACGTTTTGCTTTACTAGAAGGAGAGAGAAAGGGTTAGTGTATCCATTTGGATATACACGATCAAAACACGTCGTTCAGGGGTAATTATGTTAAGTCAGTGAATTATAGAGGGTGTAATTGGAATCAAGTAGTTTGTTAATCGTTGGCTTAGCTCTCTACTTTACTGAGTTGGACAGAGTTCGTTTGTCGAGTTATTGCTCACCAGTAAGTTCATGAAAAGTAAAACGGTGACGTTGGAAGAAAGACTGAAAAAGGCGGAGTCGTTAAAGATGGGCTTGACCAAGGGGTGTAAACGTTCATACGTGGAAGAATCTGCAGGGTTTGATTGTGTGGTGACATGGCATATGGACAGAAGACGTAAAGAAGACGCAAGCTCCACGTGGTGCTAGTAACTGTTCACATTGATACTGTGTTACTGCTAAAGGAAATCCAGTTGTTCGTTACTCTTGTTTGGAAATTTCTTCTCCATACAAGAACAGGAAAATAATTGACTCGCAGTACTTGTGTCTAGTAATTTCTGTATCTTTCTTTCTTTGCTACAGAGGAGAATGGCTTACCCAAAATCCATAGTACTATGGATAAAATTATTGAAATATATATATATATATATATACAAAAGGTGCCTAAAAGACTGGAGAAAAGCAATCACAAGTAGTATAGAATTACGTTTAAATACTACTTGTTATACATCTGGAAGCAAAGCATTCTTCTCCAATGAAACAAGAAACAAAAGAAAAGAGAAGAAAGAAAAGATAACAATCTGAGTACGGCTCGCAGTACTTGTGTCTAGTAATTTTCTGTATCTTTCTTTTCTTTGCTAACAGAGGAGAATGGCCTTACCCAAAATCCATATCTATGGAATAAAAACTTATTGTTAGGTTAAAAATATAAATGTAGTACATAGTGGGATTTGGAATAACCATATTAATTATCATCTCAAAAAAAAAAACAATTTCCATTACCAATAAATTTCAAAATAGGTAAAACTATGTTACAATACCTAGGAAAAATAAATAAATAAATGAGAACAATAATTTACCTAAAAATGTTCTATATAATATATATATAATTTAAAAAAAAAAAACAATTCTAACTATTCATTAGGAAAAATAAATAAATAAAATGAGAACAATATTTAAAAAATCTATATCAAGATTTATTGGATCTGTGGATGGACTCAGAGAGCAAGTCTAAGTAAGTTACATCGGTTACAGTGTTGGTGTAACATTACGGAGCCATCTCTTCTGACCAAACATAAACAAGACTATAAAAATGGATGAGAAGATTATAAATTTGATTGCAGGTATTAATCCCACGTAAGAAGTCTGGTAAATAAATATAGTTAACTAGCTTTTAAGATACAGATTGTCATATTCTATAGTGAGAAAAGCTATACGTGGAGGACCTTTCCAGGCTGTTTCAGCGGCAAATGTCCACTGCAAATTCAAAGTCCAACACCAAGTTCATCTTGTGGGTTCCACTTTGTCCTAATAAAACCTAAAGGCTGCAGAACCGTTTTATGTTTATATTTTATTTCTCAAACTTCCTATGAATCATGTACAGGACAATAAGTCTTGCAGTGCATTTCATTTAATTTTATATTTCTTATATTACCAATATAATAAAATTAATGCTTTTATATGAACAAAAGGTGTAAATATTAGTATATAAATAAATAAATGAAAAGCAAAAATCCAGAAACCCAATCTGAAGAATCTTTCACTTTACTAGTTTGCTTTGTTCTAATTTTCTGTTGGAGCTTTTTTCCTCTCATGATATAACCTTTTATAAGTTCTTTCTAGTCATCATTACTCGGTTGAAGAAACTCAAAAGTTTAAACATTATATATATATATATATATATAATATTATACCATATAATATATATGTATCTACTCTAATCCATTTCCTTCGCTTTCTTCTTCTTCTCATCTTCCTTTCTTCTTCCAGGCTCATAAGCATCATGGTTCAACTAGAAAGATCCAGAAGAAGTTTTCTGGGCAAGTTGACCAACCTTTGTTGTATGAAATGGAAACATATATTTTATATAAGTATACGCCGATTAATAGGAGTTATAACGAAAAAACGGAATTTTACTATTTTTAGGTAGCTCCCACAAGTTTTAACAAGCTGTAATCCATAGTAAAAGTTAGTTAAGTGCTAGACTAGCTGGCGAATCAATCAAATTAAGCAAAGATGATTCTAATGACGTTCCCTTGATAAATATGAAGCAAGTAGTAGAAAGTTTTAAAAAGGCTGGCGAGCTTGCCATAATTCTTTGATATTTAAGCAGCATTAATATATATGTATCTACTTCTAATCCATTTCCTTCGCTTTCTTTCTTTTTCTCTCCTTTCTTTTCAGGTCCATATACATATGGTTCAATAGAAAGATCCCAAATTTGAGTTTCTTGGCAAGTTGACAACCTTTGTTGTATGGAAATGGAAACAAAAAAATGTAACGCCGAAATAATGGAGTTATACGGAAAAAACGGAATTTTACATTTTAGGTAATTACAAGTATAAAAGCTGTAATCCATAGTAAAAGTAGTTAGCTAGACAGCGGCATCAAATCAATAATTTCAAGCAAAGATGATTCTATGACGTTCTTGAATAAATATGAAGCAAGTAGTAGAAAGAAAAGGCTGGCGAGCTGCCACCAATTTAAGGCAGCATTAACACGACCACCGTAGGGGAATTGGTTTTGGACACTTTACCAATCAAGCAAATGAATTATGACATTTCGTTGTAATATCATATAAAAAAATTTTGGACCCTAATCTAAGAACAAAGACAAACTCCATGGTTGGTTGACAGTCAGCACCTGCCTTATTTTGAGGGCCCTTTGATGATTCTATGACGAGCGTGCACTTTATTCTCATCCCACATGCTTTCTACAGCGACTCAACTCATTTTCTAATTTCATCACATTCACACCCCAATTATCAATAATTTGCTCATCTTTTTCCCAGAAAACGATCGATTAAGAAAAGACGAGTAGTATATTATTTATTGCAACAAGGGTCAACAGTTGAATAAAAGTTGACTCCTTACATGAAAAAAATAATAATAATAATAATAATTGAGAGAGTAAAAAATTTATATTCTATAAATTTAAATAGAATTACTCCTAATCTGGCTAAATCCAACTCTCTATGTTCGTTGGTTTGGATATTGAGAATGGACCTGTGGTTTGTTTTGGTGTTTAATTATCATCCTCCATCTTTGTTGAAGAGAAGAATGTCTATTTTAGTAATTTACAGCTGCTATTTACGAGTCAAACCCACTGAAGCAGCTCTCAACAAGAGAGAGTTATTTATTTAGACTTTTGAATCTCGTCTCCCAAGTCCCAATAAAATAATAGTTTAGAAAAGGACAGGAAAAGAAAAGCAGGCCCATTCTGTAATCGTATGTCCATTACTATGTTATGGGCTGATTTGATGGGCCATACCGCCAGCTGGTAGGCTCAAACGGGAATTTCGCTGCTTATGAATAAATTAAAGGATCGAGGATAACCTAACATTGCTCCTCATATCATACTCTTCTCTTACCCATCCATTTCTGTCTGCCTATTTCCATTGCTCTCGTTGTTCTTTTCGAACTCTGAAAATTCAAATTTGTTCATCATTTACTAGCCGTTTTCTTTGTCTTATAGTCCATCAAAATCACATAAACTAGCTAAGTCAGCAATGATCCTTTCTTCTTGATTTGGTTAGCTTCAAATTTAGCTTATAATCATACAAAAAAAGCACTTACTAGGCTCACTAATTTGTGTCTCATCTGTTTAGGTGTTATGTGTAGTGACTTTCTTATAATAATCAATATGTAATTATTTAAATTTTAATAATTAATATAATTTATCTGGAGAAAATCATCGCATGTGCATTGCACGTACAATTTAAATCAATAATCTCTCAAATTGTTATTTAATTTTTTAATTTTATATATTGTTTAACTTAGGAACTTAGAGTGAGGAAAGAAAATAAATAATAGCTAGTTATGTCTTTTTTTTTTTTTTCTAAAAAAATGAAAAGAAGAAACACTCAAAGAAAGGGGAGAACTAAAAAAGAAAAAGAAGAAGAAAACCTCTTTTTTTGAGTAACGGCTAGTTGACAGTTTGAAATGCTTCATTTATCCAGCCCACTTCACCAAGTAATGGGCTTTCTTGTTCTTGGTGTTGGGCCAATCCTTCGTGCTCTTTGGATTTTGTTATCGACTTATGGGATCTAGGTAGGTCCCGATACGGTCCCACAGCGCACACGTTTTGGTTCCCGCGCAGACAATGACGTGCCCGCAATATAAGCCAGAGTTGGTGCCCCTCAAGGAAAAGGTATGTTCCCATATCATTTTCCTGTATAAAATCTCACCGTCTAAACCTCAAATCATACAAAATGTCATGGGACCGAGTATGCATTAGTGTTATGCAATGCTGACATGGCCTTGTACCGTTGACAACCTGTATGATTTTATAGTAGTCCCTACCGCACTTGATCTTAGCCGAATCTTAGACCGTAAAGTCGTCTCATTACAAATTCAAAACAGAAAGAGAAGCGAAGACATCTATCTATTTTCCCTTTCCCGTTTTGCGTTGCAACGAAAGTGTTTTTGCGAATTTCTTTTTTTATTTAAATTCCAAAAGGCAAAAATAATTTTAAAAAAAAAACTATATCGTCACTCCCCGAAACCTCGTTTGAATTCCGCCACGACGACAGCTATACTAAGCTGTAGTTCGATTATCCCTAACGCGTTTCTCATTTTTGCATTCTTTCTTCTCAACTAGAAAAACCACTTCATTTTACTTGCTCTGTGCAAAAATCATGGCTTTGAACTTGAATCTGCTCTTTTTGATCCTTTTTAGTACGGTACCCTCCGCGATCTCGCAAACAAGCACCTCAGCCGACGAAGCACCCGCTCCGGCGGCCAGTGCGTGTAATGGGATATTCTTATCGTATCAATATGAAGGAGGAACCCAACTCAAGCCCACCGTTCCCACTAACCAGCCGTACAGGTTTGAGTCCACGCTGAGTATACAAAATAACGGGGTTGATGAGTTGAAATCGTGGAAGGTCTTTGTGGGTTTTGCAAATGATGAGTTGTTAGTCTCTGCATCTAATGCTATTCTTGCTGATGGGACTAGCTTGCCTGCTAAAGTTGGGAATGGTACTGTTTTTGCTGGGTATCCCATGACTGATCTCAAGACGCCAATTGAGACTGCGGGTGATTCGACTCAGACTTCGGTTCAGGTAAAGTTGTTGGGAACGCAGTTTGGTGTGCCGTTGAAGGATGTACCTTGGCCATCCAATATCACTCTGGCTAATGATGGATTTGTTTGTCCTCGGACTACCAAGGAAGGTGAGTTTGCAGTTTGTTTTGGGTTTCAATAAAGTTCTGATTTTGAAGGTTTGGTTTATGGTCTTGGTCACTTATCTATTAATAAAGATGGTAATTTGATCTGGTTGGAAGTGGGAGATGTATGGGGTATAAGATTAAACCTATTTTGTTAGAGGAAAAAAGATTAGTGATCAGAAAAAAAGGTTTCAGATCTTATCCAAAGTGAAACTATAAGGTTTTGCTGTAAGCTATTTTGATGTATAGATTTGATCTATTGGAGCTTCAAACATTTTATCGCTATGTTTGATTATTCTCATTAAACATGTTTTGGCTCTCCGATTCTCGAGGAGAATTTCTTGCATCTCCTTGAGTTCTAATGTTTGGAAAATGAAATTGAACACAAAAAAACTCTTTTCTTCGTTATTTCTTGAAATTATAACTTGGTGTATCAGTTTAGATTTATCAATTATCAGAGAATATCCTTTTGAACTGTGGAGTACTTATTCTCCCATCAATTGCTTTTACTAAAATATCATCGAAAGTAGAAGTATCACATGATATTGCTCTAACTTCGAGTTCTGTTCTGAAGTTATATGTGTTTCTACAACTATTGATGTCCATCTTTTTTGGCTTCCCAGGTAGTGTAATGTATCTTTGTTGTACCAAAGACGAGAAGTTCAAAACAAACATCACAGTGGAGGAGGAGTTCCTGCCTCGCCGGAATGGGGACCTCACGATTATGTATGATGTGATCAGAACATATTCTTCTAATTACTGGGCACAGGTTACTATTGAGAATCACAATCCCCTTGGTCGTCTTGATAACTGGAAATTGAGCTGGGATTGGATGAAAGATGAATTTATCTACACCATGAAAGGGGCTTATCCATATGTTGTCGATTCATCTGACTGCATATTTGGCCCACAAGGTACATATTATAGCGATCTGGATTTTGCAAATGTATTAAACTGCGAAAGAAGGCCAACAATCATTGACCTGCCTCCAACAAAGTTCAACGATACAAGCCTTGGGCTGAAACCCTATTGTTGTCGAAATGGTACTATTTTGCCACCGTGGATGGACCCAAGCAAGTCAACTTCAGCTTTCCAGATGCAGGTTTTTAAAATGCCTCCAGATCTTAATCGGTCTGAGCTCTCACCACCACAGAACTGGAAGATCAATGGCACACTTAACCCTGATTATCAATGTGGTCCTCCAGTTAGAGTAAGCCCTAGCCAATTTCCAGACACAAGTGGTTTACCATCAAATTCAACTGCAGTTGCTAGCTGGCAGGTAGTTTGCAATATCACTCAACCGAAGGGAGCAAGCCCCAGATGCTGTGTATCATTCTCTGCTTACTACAATGATTCAGTCATCCCATGCAACACCTGTGCATGTGGATGCCCCAGTAACACAGCTAGGACTTGTAGTAGAACTGCTCCAGCTGTTCTTCTTCCACCAGAGGCACTCCTAATACCTTTCGATAATCGAAGTGCTATGGCTAGAGCTTGGTCTAGCCTTAAACATCTAACAGTCCCAAACCCTATGCCCTGTGGAGATAATTGTGGGGTTAGCATCAACTGGCATGTTTATACAGATTATACTCGTGGATGGAGTGCAAGGATCACGATATTCAACTGGGATGAAATTTCATTTGCGGATTGGTTTGCTGCAGTACAGTTGGACAATGCAGCTGCTGGTTTCGAAGCAATGTACTCATTAAATGGAAGCAGTTTGGAGGGCGTCAACAATACTATAACAATGCAAGGCCTTTCAGGGTTGAACTATCTTGTGGCCGAAACTGATGCAGCTGATCCAACAAAAAATCCTAGGGTGCCTGGAAAACAACAGTCTGTGATTTCATTTACTAAGAAAGGTATACCTGCAGTCAATGTGGCTGCTGGGGATGGGTTTCCTACTAAAGTATTCTTCAATGGGGAGGAGTGCTCACTTCCTAAAATATTCCCAACAAGCAACAGCAATAGAAAGGGATCGGCTACAATTTTTTCGGTCCTTTTAGCAGCTATCCTATTCATGCTGATGAAGCAGTAGCTGTGAAAGCAGAAAACTTGTAATTCTTTTAATTCTTTCAAGGGTCTGATATATAATTTCTCACTCAGGAAGTTTCGCATACAAGAAAATATGCATACTGAGATTGCTATGCAGCTTCGTGTTGCTAGCACCTAGCAGGTGTGCTGTTGTGCTCTGCACATTCTGAACGGATGATGTATAATAACTGTAATATCATTTTTTGTTTTCAAAGCGAATGCACAATTTGACATGATGTGTAGGCATTGTTGGACAGTAATATTAATATTCATTATTCTCTTCTTTTTAAGGTTGTCTGGTGATGCATATATGTTAGAGCTGGAGGTTCTTGATGTTCATTGTTGATTGAACATTTGAACAGGAAAAACTGGTGCAAGGCTACCAATTTTGAGGGCATTTCTATGATTCTTGGATACCCAATCTAGTCGAATCGTCCTATCCCGACTGATAAATCCTACTTTGGTCTTTCGACTTCTGTGCTTAAACTTCCAATGAGCTGTGAGGATGACATTCGAAACGCCAATCCTAAAAGCAAACCATCGCTTATTGCTAACATCAAGGTTTTGTCGTTTGTATCGGTTGAATCTTGTCATGAAACCAGGCCCAATTGGATATTTCCAGTTGAGTAATCGCGATATTTTGTGTGGTTTTGCAATTTATCGAAAACTAACCATGGGGTACGTGAACGAGAAGTTAGAAGAATGAATAACGACAACTTGCCAGAAAAATGGAAACCGATTAGTTCTCGTTTGGTGGTTTTATAAGAAATAGCAGTGCCGTTTCGTTAAATTCGTTAAAACTAACAAACTAATATACCGAACTTCACAATGGAATTAACAGATAAGAGAAAAAAAATATATCTTTCATGAAGCCATATTCAGCTCGAAGCTCGCTGCTTCCTCAGTTAATGACCATATCTATTTCATGATAAAAGAAAGTGAAGTTTAACGTCTCATTACAAAAATGCCAGAAAAAGAAAAAAAAAATCAAAATTAAAGCACAAGAAAACATCAAGGAAAAAAGAAATTAAAATTACCCAGACTTATGTCTAGAGGTATCAAATGGAATTATATACATCAAGGTCAATTCCTTAAATAAGAAAATATAAATAAAACAAGATGAAAAAAGAAAAAAAAAAAACTTGATGTGTTATTAGAGTTAGAAAATCTCCTAAAATTCTGAAAAAGTCTAAGAAGTTGAAGTTGTCTTCATAACTCAGACCAATGGACAACTCCACAAACACCCTAAAATTAGTTGCTTCTCACTAGATTTCCAACCCAATGCAGCCAAAATTTTGCATGTATGCCCTTGGCATTTCATGCAGTGCTATCGCACAAGATCTGCAAATACCTTCCAGACAGAATATGCAATCTGGACTTCCCATTTGTCTGCTTTTCTTTTGTCCAAACTAAACCAGCTGAACACCATCATATACACAACAAATGCAGCTATGCAAAATCAAGCAATTGTGTCCCCTGATAAGAAAAACACTAATTTGAACTGCATCCCTCTGGTTACAGAAGAGGTAAAATCAAATTCTTCTGTGACAGCAGGTATGTACATCAGAAACTGCAAAGAGAACTGCTACACAGGAATATTATCCATGGGATACCCATCAAAGTCGAACTCATTTTCAGTAGGTCCTACACTTCCTTGCTGCTGCAAAATTGAAGAATTTTGACACAACAGTTAGAAACCAAAAGTCTTAAAGCCAATACAAAGAAATAAAGAGAAGGAACCAACTTGTTTGAGAAGTGCGCTCATGAGATCTTCCTGGCCAAACTGGTCAGGAAAGAGGCCAGCCTGACAGTTTGCATCAGGAACTGTTTCAGACTTGATCCTCACTGAATTATCAGCAAAAAAGTTGTTGACATGTTGTCCTACACTTTGTGGATTTACGTGATCAGTGGCATCCCCAGCAGAAAACATCGGTTTGCCTACAGCAGATATATTCCTGTTCTGGGCAGACCCTTGGCTAGAAGAAAAGCCTTGATGAGATAAAACTGATGGCCCAACGTCAAGGTTGCTTTCTAGAGAGTTGGTTTGATGAGAGGCAATGAAGGTCATGCCCACATTCTGTAGTTCCCAATCATGGGATTTATGCTGATTCAGATCACTAAAAATGTCATAACTTGGAATGAATCCTACTGATCCTTTTATTTCTGAGTTAACATCTTCTTGAAATGCCCCCTTGGATGTGAGACTGGATATCCCAGGAGAATTTCCTAGAGGAAAGCTACTACCAGATAATTCTGCTGTATTGTTCAAGGGGAAATTCAACATTGAAGGTGATTGTGAAACTGGATTATATCCAGTCCCTCTACCATTTTCAGCTAAACCGTTTCTTGCTAAAACTCCACCAGCAATTGTATTAGATATAACAGGCTGCCCTGCAGACGATGGAAGGGTGGAAACAAGGCAGCCGGTCGTTTCATTTAGTATCTGGCCCCTAGACTGTGATTGAGACATCTGCATCAGCAACGAATTACTCTGACCACCATGGTTATTGACTTGTATATTCATGTTACCAAGAGATTGTGCTGAATGGTGCAAATTTGCGAGCTGCTTAGGCTCCATGGTTGTTGGGATTCCATGAAGTAAGTTCATCTGCTTACCACTGTTCAATTGTTGCTGTTGCCCATCGCCAAATCTCAATTTTGGATTCTCAAAACTAAAAAGATTTCTTTGGTCAACAATAGGCATGGGCATTCTAGCTTTTACTGCTGATCGACCAAGTCCTGCTGCTTGAAGTGTGGCAAGGCTTTGTGCTGGTATTTGACCTGTAGCAGCAAGAGTTTGAAGATCGAGTCCATTGAGTGAGGACAGCGGCCCATAAGTTGCTTCTTGGGGGCTGATGAAAGGATTGCTTAAATTATTCTGGTGTTGTGAAACCCCACTCAGTCGTCTAAGATACAATCGATATTTCTGTACCATAAAGGGAGAGAATGAGTCCATACTAACTCCATATCAAAAAAGAATTTTAGCTGAAAAGATTTGCATGGGAATTCGCTTATCATATACCGTTTACCAAGTAGAATAGCATATTACTTGAATTCTATATAAAGATTGGAATATACTATGTTAAACATATCTGTTCCATACCTGAAGGTGGCTAGCAACATTTTCTCTAGTGAGCCCAGGGACATTCATCAACTCTAGAATTTTCTTAGGAACAGCCTCTGTCCACATAAAATGAGAAAATTAAGAGAATCTTATATTGGAATAGGAAATTGACACGGAGACAAACACTGAAAGGTAAATAAAAATTGACTAAGAATCTTGAAATGTGATTCTATCATGTTTGTATGGTTTATAAAAATTCCAAATCTTTTACCAAATATTTCTGTTCAGATTCCTTTAATTTCATTGGAAATGAAATCCAACTTCAAGTGTAATTTTCAATATTATCCTGAGATTCCATTTGATTATCCCAAAAATATGAGCAGATAGGATGAATCAAAAGTTAACTGCCCCAAGACCGCTCCTCACATGCAAAACTCTCACAAGCATGAAGCATATGAAAAATAGGCAGCAAATGAGCACTGCTGAATTGAAAGATACAGGTAAAAAAAAAAATTTAAAAAAAAAAAAAAAAAAAAAAAAAAAAAAAAAACAGAAGAATAAAGACAATGTAAAGATACATACTGTCAATGCCTAGTTTTGATTAACTGGCTGCACAAACTGTTGGTGGAGTTCAACTGACAAACTACACGCGGCTTCAAAAAAAAAAATAAAAAAAAAAAAAAAAAAAAACAGAAGAAATAAAAAGACAATGGTAAAGATACATACTGTCAATGCCTAGTTGATTAACTGCTGCAACAAACTGTTGGTGGAGTTCAACTGACCAAACTACACGCGGCTTCTTTAGTGTGGATGTATCATCCCTCTCATCTGCTTCATCTTCCTCATCTTTCCTCTTCTTTGAGTTTCTCCAATTCCCTTCATTGACTGAAGAAGAATAATCTGCATCCTCAGACTGTCTCTGCTGCCGATCTCCTTCTTCTACGCTTCCTGATTGCTCCAAGTCCTTCATTTCATTCTTTTTCTTCCGAACCACGTGCTGCCATATGTTTTTCAGCGCCTCTATGCGAACTGGCTTAATCAAGTAATCACAAGCACCATGGGTGACCCCCTTCATAACAACATTTTTCCCATCATCTGCTGACATCACTGTGAAGTTCACAAATTATACATGAGACAACAAATCAAATCTAAGCTATTTGAGATATAAATCCATCTGAAGTGACAGCAACTTACTGATAACAGGCAGATCCATCTCCAGACCAATGTATTCAAGGAGTTTAAATCCATCCATGTCTGGCATGTGAACATCACTTATAACAATATCATACCCATTTTTGTTCTCTCGGAGCATGGACAATGCTTGCTCTGCTCGAGTGCATTTAGTAACTGAAAATTCAAATTAACCTAAATTAATCAATCAAATTACACAAGGACCAATCCTCTACTCTCTCATTGACATTCATTCACAGATAAAACTCCAATCCTTTCACAACAAGCAAACAGAGATCAAATTCAAACCAATCTCTAGCAAATAAACAGTAGATTTCAATTTGCCATTAATCTTGCAGAAGACAAGTCAGGTCAAACAAATTAATAAGCTTAACGAAATCCTTGACTTTGGAGCAGAACATAATTGCAGCTCGAAGTAATACAGATGTGACCCAAACCCAAATCTAAAAATGGAAAATCATATCTCCATAGGCAAAATTATTAAAGTGCGATAAGAAAAAAAAAAAACATCATTGACGCGTTATATAGTTAAAAAATACATCCAAATGGAACAAAAGAATTTCTTAAAGCACAGAACTGACACTAGAACAACAAATTTAAGAGAAATTGTACCGAAGAGATAGAGGTACAGTTGCAAATAAAAAAAAAAAAAGTTCTTTATAGTACCTTTATAAAGGCAAGTTTTAAGCATCTTCTCCAAGATCATGAGACATGTTGGATCATCATCAACAACCAATACTCGCAGGCCTATCGGAAACTGATCGGAAACAACATCCCCAGCTTTCCAAGCTACACTAGAGCTGGCCGTTGACATGGATCCCTTTCCGTTACTGAGATTCATAGCTTAGAGAAACCTTTGATCCCAAAGCAAGAATAGAAAAACGAAGTAAAGAAAGCAACTAAAATTTCACATATTTGAAGTTGAACTTAGAACTTGGCATCAAATAGATTGATACCCAGTTCGAAAGAGAAAGAACCCAGTTGAAATACGCAAGAAGGAAGTAATTGGAGAAAAAGCAAAGGAGGAGAGGAGATTTTGGATTATTAGAGAAGAGAATTTATATATATTTATTTGGATTGAAAGTTGAAGAAGACATGGCTTGTATCAGCTTCAAGCTCAATTTCTCTGTTTCTGGGTATTATTTTTATTATTGTTTTATAATTTAATTTTTTTTTAAGGATTATTTTATTCAAAAGTGGGTCAGTCCTGGAAGAGTGGATCCAGCTCACACATGAAGTTAACTAACTCCACCGCATATCTAAATCTACTCCAACAACAGCCCCAACGTTAAACCTTTGTCTCCTGTTTTTTACTGCTATTACCTAGTACTTTAGGTCTTCACTTTTACCCCACTCCGTTTACTACAATTTACTTGGTCATTTTATCTTTTTTTTTTTTTTTTTAATGTTGTTATTTTTAATTAGAATTTATCTCAGATTATCTTATGATAAAAAATAAAAAAACCAAAAATCACAAATTTAATTACGAAGTTTTTGTTTTCAGAATAATAAAATTATTATTGTCACTAAAAAATTTTTATAAACTTATTATCGTAAGCAGTCCATAAAAAATCTAATCCTAAAACCTGTATACTATATATATACTACATATTCCCAGCAGTACAGGTAATGGGTCGCGATCTTCAAAGCATAAATATAGCACCTGATGAAGAAGCTACTTGAGAAATAAAAATTGACAATTAGTTTGAAGTTAAACAATTCATACCCACATGTTCATATTTGTATATCCTAAAAAGGATAATTTCTTGAAAATTTCCAAAATTTATAATTCAAAATGTGAGGGTTTGTAACTATATTTCAAAAATTTATAATTCAAATTTATTGAAAATTGAAAATTTTTTGATTTTTTTTTTGGATTGTTCAATCAAAAACCACCAGCACTATTATATATAGTTGTATGAAAGTAAATGTAGGCTTGGCAAGCACCACTGCAATTGTGGGTTGGTTCAGTTTCTCCACTTTGAAGTTCCAAGAGTGGTCTAAATTCATATATTTATGTATGTATATGAACTCACTTTTTTCTTCTTTAAGTTTCATTGGACAGAAGCTTTCTGCTACTTATTGCCTTTCTTTTCTTTAATTGTCACAAAAGGTGAAAACAACCCAACCATAAGTAACCAGTCCTTACGGATTCCCCGTGACACTTCTAACAAACAAACGGAACTCCAAATGGGTATCCCGTATCCCGTCCCGTCCATCCAAGATCTGTAATCTTCTTCTTCTTTTTTTTTTTAACGCTATGTTTGTCTGTTGATGGTAACCCTTCATCAGTTTTTTCTTTTTTACCTCTCTGTCTGTCTCTGCTTTAATTTCCATACCATTGCCATGCTTTGCTTGCTGACACTTTCTTTATCTTCCCATTCCTACCCAGACCTTCTCCCCCTAGACTGACACGTGTCTTTTGCAGCCGTTCATTTAAGATAAGGTCTCTTTGGCTTATATTGTTCCCACTCCTTCCGCTGCATCTTTTTGGCATTTTTTGTTCTTCCCTTCCCATCAAATTGTAATGTAAAACCATTTTTACAGTGGCGAATGGCGATTTTAAATTTTGACTTACTAATTTTATAAGTAAATTTATCTATAATCCATGTCTAATCATCTTTCTATTAAGCATAATAAAAATCAGTGACTCCATAACCAAGAACCTAGTTTTTACTTTTTAGTTTCATATTTGAGGTTGTTGAATGGATTAACAATAGGGGTTGCTTTTTTCACTGCAACGAAAGCTGTGAAATAGGTAAAGTAGCATGCTGAAAACGTATATTCCCTGATAACTTTTCTCTCTCACGATGAATATATTTTTTTCCACTCAAAACCCGATAAAAAGCAACCTCAGCAGCAACCGTTCTTGATGAATAGTCTAAATTAAAAATATTTATTGGATTTTCACATAATCTTCCAAAGTTATAAAATGATTAAGTAAGTTGAGTGTTTGTGGCTGGTTCTATCTTTTTATGGAAGAAGAAGCAGAGGGAATGCTTTTAAGGGAAATCGAATATGTGTAACTGCGAGAAAATTACTATCACGCGCGCATTAAACTATCATTTGCTTTTGTAAATTGTCATCTCTCTTAGCTTCATTGGACCTTTTGCCACGTGGCGTCTCTTGGAAGTTGTAGAAAAAGTCACAGTAACTTTTCTCATCTTTTCCTTTTTTTTTTTTTTTAAATTTTACATATAAATATTATTTTCTACCCCTTGAGTTGTGCCCTCTTCTATCGTGATTACATATAAATTATAATTTTACATATAATCCGAATATTTATAATTCATAATCTTCCATTTGTGAATACCGAAGACTTATTTAATTATAAAATTGAAAATTAATAATCTAAATCTTTATTCGATTTAAAAAAAAAAATAAATTTTAGTATAGTTGAATTAAATTTGATTTATAAATTTTAATTTTTTACTCTAACTCTATTATTTTCTTTGCTTCTTGTTCCCATCATAAGATTATCACATGCATAACAAGGGTGGTTAAAAAAGGTAAAAAAATATCACCGCGACAGTGAATTTAATTATCTAATTATCCCACAAACAAAAATTGTCCCATCTATTCACTTTGCTATGTAACTTTTTGTTTGGTTGCAGAAATAGAGCGAATGAATACCATATGACAAATATATAATCCTCAAATTTACACCAAATATCCAGCTATATTAACAACACCATTTAACAATTTTGAAAATAAAAAGAAATATAGGGACCCGCTCAGCCCAGATAAGCCAAGCCAAAGGGTTTAAATGGGACCCACAGACCCACTTTCAACGAGTCCACATCAGCTCAGGGAAGAATAGACGTGACGTGTTAGACGATCTTGAACTCACAACCTGACGGACACGTGGTGCTGTCGTTAGTGCGAGTTGGCCCCACTTAAATTAAAAAAAGGCCTATTTGTTATAGAGTTGAGTGGGACCAACGCGGGAAAATTGGTGGGGTTATTTTCGACTGGGCCCAGTTGAGGTGTACGTGCTCACTTGATACCCCATTCTCCGTTCGAGCTAGGGAGGCTAGTGGCGGAGGACGTAGGTGGTGGGTGGCTGAGTACGGTAGGCCTGGGTCCTTGTGGATATGTGGCTTTGCAATTGGTAAAGGTTTTATATTATAAGCCACCGGATTAGTCTGACAAGAAAGCACCGCGCTAGCGAACTATAAACACCTGTGTTATAAAAGAAAAAGATTTTATATTATGGTGATGGACTCACTGTTTTTTCAATGGATTTAAATGTCAATGAAGCACGTGGCTATTTTATTTAATTTCATACAAATACGAAATTGAGTGATTAACAAGTTAATTTTTGAAAAAATAGGTTATAATTAACTTTGAATGATTGGTCACCTAGGCTATATGTGGGTTGCTGTCCAAAATTCAACTCCATTTTTAGTAACATAAGAAGATGAAGAATAATTAACTATAAGAGGAAAGAAAGGAACAATTTGGGCACGTGGCAGTACAACTTCTGAACCAAAACCTCCAACTACATATATTATATATTATATATATGAAATAGGAATCCATACATGTTCCAAAATTTCATTTGGGTCAGAAATAAGAAATTGTTGAAGTGAAGATTGGAGTACCTGTTGCATAAAAGAAGGGATACCCTATGTATAGTACTAGTATGGAATTAGATCCACATCTCTCGTATTACTAGTACACTTTGCCAGCCTAACAAGCAAGTAGGACCTGCTGGCTAGTTTTCATTGCACTTAAATGAGACGAGATGGATTTACACTAAGACATGATGTAGCAGTGAGTGCATGTACGGTCTGACAATAGATCTATATTCGAATTTTCCTTTTATCAAATAACCAGAAAAGAAAGACCGAGATGCCTTTTTGATATTTTTGGCACATCTTCCACTTCCACCCGCTCTTGAGTAATTGTTTATCCAAACTTGCTAATTTAGTTTCAGCTTGCTAAGATAGACACAAGTTTCTTCATTTTACATGCTTGTCTAATGTCTAGTCAGGTTTTGGATTTTATACTATTAAAACTTAGTGCGTTTCAAAGACATAAATTTGATTATGCAACTTTCAACTTTATCTTAAATACATTTTGTAAATTACAATGTTGTACTAGCTAATTATAATATTCTAATTACATGTATGTACTTTATATTGACATTATTTAACTCCCAATTATACAAAGTTCTCTATTAATTATTATCAATTGGTACATTACATCATACACACACACACACAAGAGTAGTGTATTTCACTTACACTATAAAGAACATGTTGGTGGTTTATTAAAAACAAATAATCACCAAGCTGTTTCAAAAATAAGCTACTCCATATCACTTTGTATCTCTTTTGAGTTGCTGCAATGGATTCGATGGACGCAATATTTTCTGTTGTGGCTACGTATTATGAAATAGTCTACTTGCTTGCTTCCAATTTTTATATTAGAATACAAAAAAGAATCATATATATATAACCAAATAATCACCAAGCTGTTTCAACAAATAAGCTACTCCATATCACTTTGTATCTCTTTTGAAGTTTGCTGCAATGGATTCGATGGACGCATATTTTCTTGTTGTGGCTACGGTATTATGAAATAGTCTACATTTGGCTTGCTTCAATTTTTAATATTAAGACATACAAAGAATCATATAATATATACATATATATATATATATATATAAAGTTTAAGTAAAAGAGATAATGGGTTTCTCCAAGTTGTGCAAAATTGGGAAAGCATGTGTATATTTGGATTGCATGATATGCCATGTGGGATAACAGAAAATTTTTCGGGCATCCACATGAATGTCTTTAATGATGCAAGCTTTATAATTTTCAGCAAACGCAAATATTGAAGCTAATTGGAATTTTACTTGCTATATATATAATAATATATATAATAATATACTATAGGGTTTTTATGCATGGCATACCCCCTTAAAAAGAAATAAAATCAGAGAGAGTAAGATATATATATAGGGTTTATGCATGGCATACCCCCCTTAAAAAGAAATAAAAATCAGAGAGAGTAAGATTTGTTGGTAATTGCAATTATGTGGTAGTAAAGCAGCACCGCTGTTGGTTTACCTGAAACATGTAATTAATTGCACATGGAGCGGAAAAAGCGGCTTCTCGATCTTTTTTACCAAAAATGTACATAACATAATCAGGATTAGGTTGGAGTAAGACTGTAAGAGAGATAAAGAGGAAAGAGAGAAGAAGAAGAGAGGGAGGGAGGTGGGCTACTGACAGCATTGAGCCAATATTATTGGCATGATTGGTAAGTCTGTCAACATCCATGATTGGATTGGATGGTAGAGCGTCTTTGTTGATCAATCACTAATCACAACAAAACAGAGTATTATTGTCAGTATAGTCAGTCAATGACATGGTGCTTGTCTCTCAGAAAACACAAATAGGCCCATTCCACCGACATTTCAGGTAGCTTGGACTTGGGCCTTGAGCTTTGAAATGAAGTCCAATTGTGCTTCTGTTTATTTTAGTTTGCGGATTTTGAACGGTTAAAAAACATTAAAAAATGCTCTCGTTGAGAGTCGGACTCAAGACCTCCCGCTTACTAAACGGGTGCTCTAACCAACTGAGCTACGAGAGCTTGATATTATAGCTGCTTGTATAATTATTTTACCGATGTACAGTCATGACGACCTAGTGAAAAAAAATCTTCTTGGCATGTGATGCAAAGTTGGAAACTGCCCCACTCTTTACTCATGGTCTTCTACGGTCTGGTTAGAAGTTGAAGGAGAAAGAAAAGTCTGGTGGTGAGACATTCTGCAATTAAACAAAAATTTAGACCTCTTTTTGCAAACAACAGTTTTAATAAAAAGAATGAGAAAGGGTCTGAACACGTAGCCGGAGTTTGGTGGAGAAGAGTTTCTCTGCTCTTTCTCTCTCTCTCTCTCACTCTCACTCACAATTTCCTCGTCCCTTCCATGCTCTCATTTCTTCCATCTTTCTTCTAGGGTTTTTTTTTTTTTTCTAAAATCTATTTATCATATTACGGTCCATAAGTTCAATAAATTGCACAATCGCCCCTCTACCTAATTTTACTCGTCATCAACAAGGTTAAACATTGTGTAAAAGTTTGCGATCGAAGTACCAAATGGCTTCTGATTCGTGGAGCTCTCGCCTTTCTACTTCCTCAAGGCGCTTCCACTCTCGATCTGGTTCAGTCTCTAGAACTCCTTTTAATTTCCAATAATGCCCTTCTTTCCGATGTAGAAATGTTCTGACGATAGATTAGAGGTCCTTGATTGTCCTCTAATGAAAATTTATATGTTGTTTGTTGGTTTTAGATCTATATGAGGAAACTGATGTAGACGAGGATTTGAAAGCCGAGTTTTTGTGTCCGTTTTGCGCTGAGGATTTTGACGTGGTCGGACTCTGTTGTCACATCGAGGAGGAGCATCCTGTTGAAGCCAAGAATGGGGTACGAGTTTTAATATTTTCTCTTGTAGTGTAGTTATTTTACCAAGCGATGACACTAATTTTTGGGGTTGGAAATGTTTGCTTTAGAATTTTCTTGTTCTAAATAATTTGTCTTTACACTTGGACAATCATTGGCAGCGAAGAAGGATTTTGTTTGTTGAACTATTTTGGGCTGATCACTTGGAAATTGATGCTAAATGAATTTCAAGATTTTAACTATAGATGGATTGTGGAGTATAGTATATTACTTTTTGTTATTTTCTTTGGTCCTGATAATAATGTTATGCGATTGTGTTTTTTACTTTCCCCGAGTTTATGGCTTCATCCCTTATTCGAAATGGAGAATTGCTTGGATTGTCTCTACATTTTCTGACTCTTTGCTTCTAAGGAGATTTAGCTGCCTTCTAAAGTACAATGCTGTCATTTCAGTCTTTAAACACTTGACTGACCTGCTTTTTTGAGTGCTTCTTACACTTAATCATGGTGGTTTAATATGGGTGTTTTTATATTTACTGGTTTAGATAATTCATAATGGCCTTTGCTAAATTTTTGTTGGAATTATCTGTTTCAGGTGTGCCCAGTCTGTGCTAAATGTGTGGGAATGGATATTGTTGGCCACATTACTATGCAACATGGGAACTTCTTTAAGATATCCTTTATATTGAATTTGCTTTCTTTTTATTTTAAGTTTTTGGTCCTGTTGTGTGATTAGCAATTGGAAGAAGGGATGTCTCTAAGAGGATCCTTTCTTTCATAGGATCCTCTTGAAGTTTAAGGAATATCTTTTACCAAGTCTAACCTGCTACTTGTTTTTACTACTGCTTCAAAAGTATTCCCTCCTTTTCATCTGCTTTCTCAGTTACTACTTCGATTTCATGACTTCTTTAGTTGAAGTAGCCTTTGTTTGAAGTTTGCTTTTGAGTTCTGCATGTTGATTATATCACTGAAGTCAAAAGATCTCAAAGGTTTTGTTGTCATGTTTTATTGCTTACTTTAAATGTGGTCTTTTTGTGTTCCTTGATTTGAGATTACGTGCAGCGGAAAAGGAGATTGAGGAAGGGGGGATCTAACTCAACATTTTCCCTATTGAGAAAAGGTCTGCGAGAAGGGAGTTTACAATCCCTTCTTGGTGGATCTTCATGCTTTGTGTCTTCATCCAACTCAGAACCTGATCCCTTGCTTTCATCATTCATATTTAATCCACCTGCTCTTGATGAACCTTTGAGTATACAGCCTCTTTCTTCAGTTGAAGCAGGCTCAGTAAAGGAGAGCACAAACGAGGAGTTTAGAGAAAGGTATAACTTACTGTTGCAGTTTTTAGAATTTCTCTAGTTGGTATTTAGAAGTGAACTGAAGAGCCTACAACCTCCGCATGTCACTTAGCTGTATCTTATCTAAAAGCCACGAGTGACTTGAATGTGTTGTGGATAACTTTTTGATCAATAGAATGAAATGAATTTCTTAGTATCTGAAGTTTTACTAATTCTCCCAAAAGAAAGGGAAAAAAGAATGGAGATTGCATATGGATATGAATTTAGAGTTGAATATTAAAACCTGTCCAAGCTATTTTACTGGTGTATTGTTTGACCAATTATTACTAGAGAAAAAGGAATAGTATACTGAGAGTGAACCTTGTGTTAAGCTCAAGTTTATCATCTACATTCATTGATCTACTGATAGATGGCATTGATCGGTTTATTGTGTATGGGGAGGAATTTTGTTGATTGCAATAAAAAAAAAAAAAAGGTAATAACTGAGAGTGAACCTTTGTGGTTAGTAGCTTCAAGTTTTATCATTAATTCTTGATCTACTGATAGTTATTGGCATTTGATCGGTTTGATTGTGTAATGGGGGAGGAATTTTGTTGATTGCAAATAAAAAAAAAAAAAAAAAAGGTTTGTGGAATTTTTTTTTTGATTGCTAAAAAAAAAAAAAAAAAGGTTTGTGGATTTTTTTTGTTTACATTTCTAACTTGAGTTTTCATGGCAACAGAAATGTCCAACAGTTGCTGCTGTCAGACAAGGACCAAGAGGAGAAGTCTCAGAGGTGTAAGTTTGTCCAGGGTCTCCTGTTGTCCACCATTCTTGATGATGAGCTATAAGAGTAGGGTTGGGTAAATCTAATGGGTTTGTTAATATAATAGTAGGAATGGGAGCAATCCAAGAGGGAAAATGTTCGATTTATAAGTGATAATTAGCTAGGTCAGATGAACTTGTATTATCACTGTATTTATAGCTTATTATTCGCATAATGGAAAGATGGAAGAATACATCTCTACTCGAGTATTTTTGCTCTCTGTGTTTACATTCTAGATCACTTTTATATTTACAAATTACATGTACTTAAAATGACACTATGTCCAGCCATGGAAGTTGTTTTAATAAAAATCAAATCCTTCAATTTCACATTATTGCACTTAGGATAGAAAATTAATTTGGTTTAATGGCTAGGTTTAAATATGGGTGAAAAATAAAAATTTGATATAGGCTTCAAATTAGTTGCAAGGGTCATACTTTAACTTAGGTTGTATAGGCTAAACATGAAGTTTTTAACAAAGAATGTCTAAATCATTTCTTTCTAAATGTAAGCATAAAAAAATTTGTCTTGAAGAAAATTTTAATTTTGTTCTAGGAATGCCAAGGTTAAATAAATTTTGATTAAAATACATGTCACGACCCGATTCCACGGGCCGGACCGACACTAGGGCCCAGGTAAGCTTAAGGCCCCCGAGGCCCGTAGTAAGCCTGAAACCCTAAAATTTGCTATCTTAATATAAATTTCGAATATTCAGCCCATATTAAAAAAATAAGCCTCAAGATTTTATTTCATCTCATTTCTAATATAGGCTCAAAGCATCATTTCGTCTACGATAATACACGACTAAAGGTAAGTAAATTCTACAACTGCGGAGTCACTAACTAAATTGTATACAAATTCTACAACTGCGGAGTCACTAACTAATAGATATACATAGATTTTTATACATCTAGATACATAACAAAATATTTATTGGTCTAGGAAAATTTTCTTTCTAGCTCTACGACGAAGGAACATAGCTTAACCGAATTAAAGAGAAACTTACTTCCTGAAAAATTAAACAAAATATGTGAGCTTTCTAAGGAATAACTATTATTGCACAACACACACATTCACACAAATGTGTAAATATATATCAATCTAGCCATCCGACTAGTTATATGCTCACGCAGCCAGTCACACAAATGGTATGTCACCAGCACTCACAAACAATATCACCTTCAAATAATCACATCACGTGGAAATTAGTCAGTGGAGTCACCGAACCCCGGATGAGCCGTCCTCCCACATGGCTCATCCTCTCACAAGTTCACCAGGGAGCCGATCCCCCATACTGGCCGACCGGTCTAATCCTCACTTGCTTGACCAGCCCTCTCATTTGTGTTTTTTCCCATTTCTCTCTTTTCTTTCCATTACCAACAGGAGGCAACCCGGTCGTCTCCATTTCAAATCTAGATCATCAGGCGCTCCACAAACAGGGAGGCCACCCTGCGGGCTGCGAATTCAAACCTAGATTATCCGGTGCGGCCCAACTAAAGAAGCCAACCTGTGGTTAACCGTAACGGGTAACAGTAGGTGCACACCGGGGCGCCGATCTCATTTACCCGGCCGACGGTCCAGTTTTTACAATTCATCATTAATCAGGACTCCATGCTTTTATCGACCGTTCCCGTCACAACCCATTGGTGACCAACTTTCAATTCCAAATTTCCACACAAGCAAAAGCACAGCAATATCACAACACAAAATAAATTCAAACATTGCATTCCAAATGCAGACATATTATTCAATTAGATCATCGTGATTGCAATGCACATTAACCATTCCAAAATCAATGCAAAATAAATAAATAAATAAATTAGTATTAGAATTAACACAATAATATAATAAATAAACAATATTAACAATTAAATAATGTAAATAATAAATGAATATTAAATTAGTTTAAAATGAATAATAAAGTTTAATAAAACAACCAGAGCACTTCATATTTATTTATGTTCCAAATTATTAGAACTTAATCTAAATAAACCTTTAATTCTTATTAATTATGTTGTTAATTAAAATTTATTCTAATTTCTATCAAAATTTCGGCAGCACCTCCCCTAAAAATTGGACTATCTACCAGCTCAAATATCACAACATATTTATCAACTTAACCATTTTCCAACAAAAGATACTTAATCTCTTCGCAAATCCTACTAATGAGAATCCCATAAAAACAAGTAGTACATCAATTATGTAGAGAGAATTTAAATTCACCATCAAGTCCCTATTTTTGTTATTAACTTCTCTATTCCTCTTTCCAATTTGTTATACCATACCATTTCTTAACTAATTATGACAAGAATTTATTCAACTAGCCAGGTTAGCTGTAAAATTTGCAAACGCCATTCTATTATACTCAACTCCATAAAGAAATTCAACCTACATTTTTTCTTTTTTACAAGCTTAATCAAGATGTAAAATTCTCCAAACCGTAGTTTATGTCCAATTTACCTATTTCTTCTATCTTTAATCAATCTTATAGACCTAAGTTTACGTACCTAGAAATCAAGAATCCTAAACAAGTAGTGTCTTTTGCTCTAGCTAAGTAAGAGATTAAGAATGTTAAACCTATAATCCAATTCCTGATTAAATTATGTCCTTTATTTTATGTTTATTCTCAATCCCATGAATGCCTATGAATATTCAGCACATCAAATCCTGTAACTATACTCAATGAATTCATTAATCAATTAATTCTTTATATAATCAAAAATTTAGAATTGAGTCTTAGAACGTACCAATTGCGAATAGGGCGACGATTCCACGATCAGCGCGAAGGGAAGAGCATTCTGTCTCTCGGGGCCTCGCCGGAGTGTCGCCGGCCGGTCACCGGACCGCCGCCGCCGAAACAGGCTCGGCTACGCTCACCAGAAACTGTGGCGCGAGCTAACTGGGACAGCAGGGGGGTGGTGGGCGAAACAGCGCAGTGGCGCAAACAAATGGCGCTTTGCGTTCGCTTTCTAGTGGCTAGAGACAACGCTGAAGCAATGGCGGGAGTGTGTAGCAAGCAGAGGCCGCTGGATCTGGGGATGGAGCAGGTGGTGGCCCACCGAGACCACCACCTAGGCCCTCCCCGGGGAAAAATTAAAATAAAATAACCTTTTTTTTTTTTTTTTTTTTTTTTTTTTTTTTTTTTTTTTTTTGGGGGGTCTTCTTCGCCAAGAAATGCTTAGACGCAGATGAAAGAGGGTTGAAGAGAAGAAGAAGGGAGAATGAATGGCTCGGTGACAGTGGCTGTTGGTTTGTCCCGGTGATCGGAAAGGCTGCTAAGAATGGGAAAGGGTGAGAGTTGGTGTGGTTAGAAATAAAGAGGAAAAAGAAAATTCTAGATGGATAAATTGAAAGTCTACGGTTCGTTCGGTGCCCCCCCAAACTTTGGTTTTCAATGGTTTTTTTGACTTTTTTCAATCCGGTTTTCGGTTCGATCTTTCACTCAGGTTAATTCACTACTAAAATTGGAATATTAATTCAGGGCCTGTCGGTATACTTAAACTTTAATTTTGGGAAATCTTTGGAAAAATACAATTTAATATATATATATATCATATTTACATAATTAGATTAAATTGCTGGACTTTCATTTATTAGGTCGAAATTTCCGAACGAACTATTTTGTTGCTTAGGCCAAAATTTCGGAAAAATATGGGCATCGGAATTGGGCTATTTGTTACAATTGCAGCCCAAGCGGCCACAAATTTTTGCGATTTATTTTTTGATTTAATAAAAAAATGCAAAAGCGTTTCGCAAAATAAAAAAATTCAGGGTGTTTCAATCTCCCCCCCTTTAAGGACAATCTGCGCCCATCGAATTGAAATCTGTGGTAAAGAGAGATTAAGATGAAACACACAGAGATTTCAAAGCCATAAGAATTTACTTTCCAACACCAAGAGCCCGGCTTCGAGAGTAGATATATGAAACTAGGAAAGAAAAAGGGTCAAGTAATTCTAGTTCGTAATTCTCTCGCCAACCATCATTATTTTTTAGTTTGCCACCCTAACTAACACTCACAAGAGTTTTGAGTCAAAACAATTGGAATCTAATTCATTTATAATACTAAAAATTAACTCTTTTAATTACATATATTAGTACTAAAACTTTTCTTAATCAAAGGTTCAGAAATTACTACTTTAATCCAACACTTTAAGAAAAATCGTCTTGTAACTTTCGTCGTCTATTAGTATCACAGGGCGACTCAAGCTCATTCTCTTAGTTCTTATTTTTAATAACTTTTCATTCCACTAATGTTGCTATTAGTTCATCCTAAGGAGATTAAATATTTCTTAATTATTTGTCCACTTGGTTTCTTTCATACTACTAATCATCATTATTCACGACTTACCTAATCACTAACATTTTAGACTAACATTTATTATGTGCCCTAAATATTCACCTTATACCTAATACTCATCAATACTAAGGTTTTTAATAAAATTTCTTAATTCTTTTCCTAATGCTGCCACACCATCTAGATATATCATCAATCTTATATTTTTAATAACTTTTCATTCCACAAATGTTGCTATTAGTTCGTCCTAAGGATATTAAATATTCTTATTAATTATTTTGCCCACTTGGTTTCTTTCATACTACTAGTCCTCATCACTCACGACTTACATAATCACTAACATTTTTAACCTATCATTTATTATGTACCCTAAATATTCACCTTATACCTAATACTCATCAATACTAAGGTTTTTAATAAAATTTCTTAATTCTTGACCTAATGCTGCCTTACCATTCAGATATCACATCAAATCGATCTCATTAACTCCTTCGAGTTTGATTTACATATACAATTAACTTCTTTACTCTTTTGTCCATATCCTCCTGGATTACAATTTCAAACCATAATGCTAACCTTTTAATCTTTCTGGATTACAATTTCAAACCATAATGTTAACATTTTAATTAGTCTTATTTGACTAAGTGTTAGGCACCATGTCTGAAACTATTGACTTAACATCCATCTATTGCTAACTTATATCAAATTCAGATTCAACTCATCTGTCTCACCTATCTTTGACTTTAGAATTTTTAACAAATCCTTTCCTTATCTAAGTCTAATAAGATATTCATGAATTCTTCTAATTTTTATCTACTACTTACTCCTCATATATATATTATAACTCGTCATATATCCTTCTTATACCCTTAAAGTATCCAAGTTCATTCCTAATGTCATTCCTTCCATTTATTA